CGTCGCATGGTCTCCAAACACATGGAAGACAAGGTGCGCGCGCTGCCCAACTGGCCAGTGTACTCCATCTCATCTCCCGCTCGCGCGCAGATTCTGCCTCAACGCCAAAGGCCTCCCCTACAAGACCATCTGGGTCGAATTCCCGGACATCGAGGCCGTCTGCACCCAGATCGGCGCCGCGCCCACCGGCAAACAGCCCGACGGCTCCCCCATGTACACCCTCCCGTGCTCCACGACCCGAACACGGCGCGACCGTCTCCGAGTCCCTCGCCATCGCCCGCTACCTCGAGCGCACGTACCCCGGCCCCGTCGCGCTCATCCCGCCCGCGCTCGACGGCCTCGTGGGCGACTTCCAGAAGGCGGTCTGGGCCGCGTTCGGGCTGCCGATGATGAGGCTCGTCGTCCCCGCGGTGCACGCGACGCTCCGCCCGGGCGCCCGGCCGTACTTCCGCGCGACCCGCGAGGCGCGGTTCGGGCAGCCCCTCGAGGAGCTCGCGCCCGCGGGGAGCGCGCTCCGCGCGGAGTGCTGGCGAAGACGCGGGAGCGGCGGGGGTGCTCGCGGGGTGGTGGGACGAGGAGGCGAACACGAAGGGCCTCGTCCCGCGCGCCGCCGAGGAGGCGGGTGCGGGGGAGAGGACGCTGCTGGTCAGCGACGCGCTACCGGTGTCGTACGCGGACGCGATCATGGTCAGCTGGCTGTACTGGTTCAGGGAGTGCTTGGGCGAGGAGAGCGGGGAGTGGAAGACGATGACGGCTTGGCATGGCGGGAGGTGGGTGAGGCTTATGGCCGCGATGGAGAAGTACGCCCAAGTCGACTCGGGAGAGAGCGTTCAACTGTCAAAGTTGTAGCGGCCAGAACGACACGATTGAGTGTGGGGTACTATGAAAACATTGTATATGGACACGATTCGTCGGCTCCTGCCGCGCCCTTCGGACACGAACAAACACACCGATCGGTTTTGTGAACACAGAACGGCGACGACAGTCAGAGCGACGACGACGCCCCCGCCAAGTTCAAGACAGACAAGGTCCAGCGATGGCCACGAGAGCCCCTGGACGACAAGAAAGATTGCACCCGAACACCGACCAGCAGGTTCTTGGTCTCGTTCGCGCTTGGCTCTATCCCGCGTGCATCGGCCGCACCCTCAGATGATGGTGCATACCGTTGCGCAAGCTGTGAGTGTTGAGACGGTAGCCTCACGCTAGTGGGCGCGACATCTCACCTGTAGCTTAGTAGAGCCTGTTTGAGGTCTCGCACGTAGTGTAGTAGTAAAAGGAACTGTGTATTAGCAGGCCGGGATACTCGGGTATTTATACAGGGTACGAACGAGTGGCTGGTGCTACTGTACAGTACACGAGAGAGGCTGAAACGAGAGCAAAGAAACGGGGCTACACTACGGTATCATAGAGTAGCTAGAGATAGCTCTCTGGAACGGGGGATGCACGATCGGAGACGTGCATGCCATGCAGTGGCGTTCCGTAGAGCGCGCCATACGGCTAGACGCTCTTAGGTAAGCCGAGCCGCTCGGCGGCCCGTGGCCGAGTATGCCGAGCGTTCTCACGCGTAGTCCGCGGTGTACTTACCGCGTTCAACACCCCCCCTCGCTGAGCAGCCGTAATAAAGGCGCATCAGCGAAGTAAGACAGAGGCCTAAGGGTGGAATACAAGCCCTAGAAGAGGACGGAACTTGAGGAACTTGTCAGGCCCCAGGTTCTTGGTGAAGAGGTCGGCGGGGTTATCTTCGCCTTGAATGTAGAATAATTCAACCTTCTTCGCCTCGACGATCTCGCGTATATAATGATAGCGAATGTCGATGTGCTTGGTGCGCTTCTCAGTGACTGGGTTCGAGGCGAGGAAGATAGCACCCTGATTATCGCTAGAAAGCGGTACAGGCTCGAGGAAGTAATAGATCTCCTCGAGGACGTTGCGCGAATAGACGATTTGACGTCCAGCGTCGTCTACAGCCATATACTCGGACTCGGTGACAGAGTGCGAGACAGTGTTCTGCGCACGTGACTGCCAGGAGAAGGCGGCGTTAGCCATCTTGACGAGGTATCCAGTTTGAGAGCGGCGAGTTGTAGGATCAGTGCCCCAGTCGGAGTCGACAAAAGCGACCATGCCAAGCCCCGAGTCGCCGTCGTAGACCATGGAGTACGATTGAGTGCCGACAAGGTAACGGCAGATGTACTTGGCCTTGGTCAGGTGATCTTCAGATGGGTTAGCGGCGTATTGCGCTAGCTTGGTAACTGCGAACGAGATGTCCGGGCGCGTGCCGAGCATGAGGTATAGAAGCGATCCGATGACCATTTGGAACTCAGCGCGACGCTCGAGGTTCACAGGCTGGTCGTTGGGTTCAGGAATGTACCCAGCTGGTAGAGGTGTGGGCTTGGATTTTGCGTTCACCATCTTGCAGCGCTCAAGGACGGATTTGAGGTAGGCGCATTGATCCAGATGGATCTTGCGGCCGTCGCGTCTGATCGTCATGCGGAGGAACTCCTTGGTCTCGCCAAGGTCGCGGCACTCCCAGCGCTTCATGAACTTCTCCTTGAGTTCAAGCACGAGCGCCTTGTCCTTGCCGCAGAAGAGCGCATCGTCAACATAGATGATGACGAGTACAATGCGTCCGTCGCTATGTTTATATAGGAATAAACCAGCATCGGTGGAGAGTCGGATGAATCCGAACTCTACCATGGACTCGCAGAGGGCGCGCCACCACGCTAAGCCCGCTTGCTTAAGTCCGTAGAGCGCACGAAGTAGTATGAATACTTGGTGCTCATGCCCTCGGATTTTGAATCCTTCGGGCTGCTCCATGTATATCTCTTCGTCTAGCTCGCCGTATAGGTAAGCCTTCCGCACATCAAGTCCAGTCATGAACCAATCTTCGAGCGCACAGAGCGCGAGGATCAGTCTGACTGTCTCGTAGCGTACGACGGGAGAGAAAACCTTGAAGAAGTCTTCAAGTTCAGTCTGTGAGTAGCCCTTTGCGACTAATCGGGCTCTCTTTCGACCATCTGGTTTGATGTCGAATACCCAGCGGTTCTTGACAACCTTGCGGCCTTTCGGGCGGTCGACAAGTTCGAATACATCCCTGCGCTTGAGGTCTTCCAGCTCCTCGCGGCAGGCCGCTTTCCATTCTTCTTGCTCGTCTTTAGGTAAGCGAGCGATGTCACGGAGCGTCCAGTTTCGGACGTTTGACGGATCGGGAGTACTATCTGGTGGTACAGCTTTCGCTGCGAGATAGTTTAATAACTCCACTCCCCCTTCGCGGCACAGCTGTGCCAACAGTAGGTCGTCGACTTCAGACGACTCGCCCGAGGAGGATGATTCAAGAGAGGGTTGTTCCACATTTGAAGGTGCGTTCGGAGCAGCATTTCCGGTGTTATGCGCTTCCACTTGCTGATTGGGATTACGATGGCGACTCGCATTTTCTCCAACCATCTTCTTCCATGTACTCTCTTTCTCAATCTCTTGGTAAGTCTTGATGGGGTCTCGTGACTCCCCATAGACGTTTCCTGGACGAACTGGTACTTTCCGCTCACGCGTGCTTTTTCGCGTAGGTTGCTGCGGCGCTTTCGCGCGCTGCTTATCCTTACGTTCAGCAGCCGGTCGCTGTGGCGGCGGACTAGGATCGCGCGAGGGTGGAAGGTCAGGTTCGACTCCCCCTTGCTGCGGTGGCGCAACATTCTGCTGCCCATCCTGTCTCCTTTCTGCGGTTGTGGGAGCACGACGCGGTGCAGGTGCGTCGTCTTCATCATCCGACAATATTTCGTCGCTGACGGTGGGTTGTTTATACGGTCGTCCGACCGGTGTAGTGCCTCGCTTATTGTAGCCGGGGCATCGTGGGAACGAGTGCTCGTCGAAAAGCGCTGATGTCCCGGTAAACACGATATTGTTGGGTGAGCGCATGAATTTGAAGCCGTTCACGCCGTCGGGGTTGCCGATGTAAGTCATAAGCTCAGATCTAGGTGAGAGCTTGTTCTGACGAACGTCTTCAGGCAGATGAACATATGCCCCGCAGCCGAATACGCGAAGGTGATCAACTTGCGGCTTCTCGCTGTACACCACTTCGTATGGCGTGACCCAGTCGTGCCTACGTATCGGGGTGCGATTGTAGACGTGAGTTGCGTGTTCTATCGCGAACTCCCACCATGAATCAGGTAAGCAAGCGTCGTGACGCATAGCTTCAGCCTTTTCCATGACAGTGCGGTTGAAGCGCTCTGCGCGCCCGTTCTGTTTTGGTGTATGAGGTGCGCTTTGTTGGATTTTGATCCCTTCATCGCGCAACATGTTGACGAAAGCGTCGGAGGTATATTCGCCTCCAGCGTCTGACCTCCAGTTCGTTATACGCCCATTAAGTTGATTCTTGATCGCGGCGATGAACTGCTTGGTCGCATGAAACGCAGCACTCTTTTTGCGCAGAAACATGGTCCAGGCGAAGCCTGAGTAGTCGTCAACGTAAGTGATAATCCACTTATATTTGTGATACGACAGGACGGGGAACTCCTTGAGATCGGAGTGTATCGTTTCGAATACGCGCTTGGCGCGAGCGGAGGAGGGCGGGAAGGTGCGTGAGTGCATTTTTCCTTCTGCGCATCCTTTGCATAGCGGCGCTTCATCTGGGAAGATGACGCTGCCAAAACCATCTGTATGGTTTCGTGCGTGCTTCAAGACATCAATTGAGGGATGCCCGAAACGTCTGTGCATAGTCTCATAGTCGAGCTTGAACACAGATCGCGATACAGCGAACGCGTCCTCGGGCGGGACTGCCCAGAGGATGTAGATTGAATCCCCAGGTTTCCTAGGTGAGAACCGTAGTAACGGTTTTCCGTTCGGTTTGACTATAGTAAGCGCGGCTTTATCTGCGCGCGCTGACATTCCTTCTTGTAAGAAGGATCCGAGTGAAATGAGGCGTCCACCTAGATTAGGTAGGTAGTTGACGGGGTGCAGCCGTATGGCGCAACGTTCGCCGTCAAGTGCGCTTGCGGTGTTGATGAGTACTGTGCCGAAACCCTTTACGAATGTTACTCCGTTTGCTGTGCGAACAGGGGTGGATTCATCTTCGAGCGGAGTGAACTCAATGAAATCATTGATATCATGGGTATAGTGCTCGGAGGCTCCGGAGTCGCACATCCACGAGATAAGATTCGCGTAATGCGGATTATCAGGGCGCCAGCGCTCATCGTCGGTTAGACCCATCCGCGCGCGGTCTTTTCCTTTGCAATCTGTACACGCAGCGTATGTGAACTTATGCGCACATAGATCGTCATAGCATAGTAAACTAGCTAATACATGATCATCTACATTACTAGTCTTCGCAGCTGTGAAGAGCGCGTTAGCTAGTTGCAGATCGCGCGAAGGTGCGAGGACTTGCCTCATATACTCATCGCGGTCGGGGCAGACCCAAGAGAGACGACGTCGTCGTCCTCCATAGCGCTCTTGTCGCTGTCGGTCTCCACGCCACTGTTGCTGCCATGATCGGAGGCCCATGTGATGGGCCCGAGGCGCTCCTGGAGGGATAGGCGCTGCTTCTTAGAAGAAGATGCTGCCGCGTTGTCGGGCTCAGTGATACGCGCGCTGAGCGGGATGTCCATGCGTCCGGACGATGTAGAAACAAAGTTCTTGATCGACTGGATGGACGCGGAGACATTCTGCTGGGTGGCGGTGTTGAGTGCCTGGACGATGTCGGGATAGACATTGCGGCCGTCCATCGTGTTAGGAGTGCGTATGGCGTTGGTGCGGATGGTGATTCCGTGAGGGTGAATGTCCATGACGCGAGAATAGTCTGGAGGAGGGATAGAACGAGGGAGATCCGTGATGACGGGACCGGGGAGAGGAGCGCGGAGAGGAGCGCTTAGCTCGGTGATCGCGGGCGACGCGATGTGCGCGCTGTGATCTTGCTTGTTGTACTTCTCCTGTACGCTCTTGCCGGCGCGATTGCCTCGCTTCTTGTTCTTCTTCGCCTGCTGCTGGTTGCTGCCTTGGTTTGGGCGCATTTGCTGCGACTGGAAGGTGGGATCGTCACCCTTGCGCTTGACGGCTGAGATCTTCGCCGCTTGTGGATCCGAGTGAGTGTGTTTCGACTTCGTCCGCTGGTTTTCAAAGCAGCGGATGATCTCCGCGCGGAGCTCGGGGTACTTGAGCTCGGCGATAGTTGCGACTGACATCTTGGAGTTGATGACGTAGTCGTAGTTCGAACTAGGCAGCTTCGATAGTAGAAGCATGGCCTTGATGAAGTCGGGGATCGCGATTTGAAGGTCGGAGAGCTCGGTCCAGGCTTGATCGAGGCGATCGAGAGCGGGGATAGGTGACGAGTTTGATGGGAACGAGGTAGCGAGAGCGGTCTTGAAGTGACCGAAGGCGTTCGCGACCGAGGTCTTGTCGTAGAGATCTTTGAGAGCTTCCCAGATCTCTTTGGCGGTCGTCTTGGTCTTCACTGCAGTTTTGACTGCGGGCGAACAACGCAAGAGGATGTTGCCTTGCGCCTTCTGATCGAGGGCGTCGAAGGTCTCGCCTTTGGTGTCGTCGTTGTCCTTGGGGTTCGCAGAAGGTCTGGTCTTCGTGATCACGGGACCTTGCCCTTGGGAGAGCAGGTAGCACCGCATCTGCGGTTCCCACGACCGGTAGTTCGTGCCGTCGAGGACAGGAACGTGCTGCGTCAAGGTTGAAGACATTGTATGTGTAGGACGATTTGTATTGGAAGATAGTGCGATAAGTTCTGTATGAAGACAGAAATCAGCATACGTCCCAAAACGGATGAAACGCAGCCGTTACGGCGCGAGATAACGCTTTGATGCTGACGCTCTGAGTGAGTCCTGCAGCGGATCAACCGCGCATGGATCTGCACTCCGGTCTGCCATTTCGGCGACCTACAGGTAAGCTCAGCGCGCCGACTGCAGCCATGAAGGCGCTGTCGAGCGACACCAGGGCTCATAACCTGTTGAGACGGTAGCCTCACGCTAGTGGGCGCGACATCTCACCTGTAGCTTAGTAGAGCCTGTTCGAGGTCTCGCACGTAGTGTAGTCGTAAAAGGAACTGTGTATTAGCAGGCCGGGATACTCTGGTATATATACAGGGTACGAACGAGTGGCTGGTGCTACTGTACAGTACACGAGAGAGGCTGAAACGAGAGCAAAGAAACGGGGCTACACTACGGTATCATAGAGTAGCTAGAGATAGCTCTCTGGAACGGGGGATGCACGATCGGAGACGTGCATGCCATGCAGTGGCGTTCCGTAGAGCGCGCCATACGGCTAGACGCTCTTAGGTAAGCCGAGCCGCTCGGCGGCCCGTGGCCGAGTATGCCGAGCGTTCTCACGCGTAGTCCGCGGTGTACTTACCGCGTTCAACACATAGGTCCAGAAGCCCTTGCGTCGTCTCTATGTATTAAGCTGCGGCCAGCTATCAGCTATGCGCGCTGTTAATTCAACATTCAGGTGCGGACGCATCGTAAACGCAAGACATCACCAAGTGTCACACTGTCCGTGCGTGACTCACTGAGGGCCTGGCGCTGTCCGTGGGACAGTGGCCAGCTGGGTTTACCGCCAAAATGATCCCACGACGGGATGGGCTGCGGGCTCGGGATGGGTTCGCGCCCGTCTCGGTGGGCGCGGGGACCCATCCCACAGCCCATCCCACGGGCAGCCAACCAGGGCCTCAGTGAGCAATTGAGCGTTGCGAGCTCGAGCCCCGAGAAGGCGCGCGGGCACAAACGTTTGCGCGAGGCCTAGGCGCCTAGCGCATCGCCGGGCGCTTCGGAGGGTGTTTGTCATATTGCGCGCTTTCATTCGAACCAAGCCTGCCGTGCACGTAGCGCTCCAAGTCCCCTTCGACACCTCCTCAGTTTCTTTCTCTCCAGAAGAGCTGCTACTTGAGTCGACGCAGTGTTACGCGGAGCAGAAGGCACTCCCTCCGATGTTAGCTCATAAGAGAGTAAAGGGACAAAACCGTCGCCTCGCCAATACGAACAGCAACCATTTGGTGAGCTCGGGTGACTGACACACAGTTCTTCATGATGTTAAATGGAATATTTGTCAGAAGAGAGACTATCCTCTCGAAACGGCCACATCCCGTGCGACCAGTTGTCGAGATATTGTGGCCCTCGTTCTGGATGAAGCCCTCGAATGTAATCGAACGCTAGTGGCGATGGCTCGGGTGTGCAAGGCTTACAATCCCATTGCTATCACGCGTTTATGGCGAAACCTCCGCGACCTCGAGCCCCTTTTGAGGTTGTTTCCTACATTAAAGGTTGAGAGAGACTCTTTTTATAGCTACAGTAAGGTACGCATCTTCACCACGCCGCATGATCCCAGTATTGTTAATGGTACAGACCGTTGACTGTCACATTCCAGAAGTTAACTCTATCTACCGATCCATCCGAAGAGGACTGGACACGCTTCGACTTCTTTGCCCAATCCGTTAGACAGGTCGACAGAGTTTCTTTCTCTACCTCAATTTGTTGGGAATTCTTTTCCCCCCGTTACGACCGTGACAGGCCCATCCTCCCTCGTCTCGTTCGTCTGGGAAGACTCAATGTTTGGCTCCCTTTCCCCATCATTTCCGCCCTGCTCCCGGTTACTCTGCAAGATATCACCTTCGATCTACCGTTACCCGGTGATCACCCCATGGTCAGACATCCCCTGCGAAATGCACTCGCCGCTCTCGCCCTTACTGCAAAGAACGTCACGAGAATTAGGATTGACGGCGTCGACGAAGAATCTGAACTTGCACCGCTTCAAGCCTTGAAGTCTTTCCACACTCTCGTCGTCACACTAAATGAACTCACTTTCGCATCAATGATCCACTTGGGAGGAACACATCTGCGCTGTCTTGATATCAGATTCCAGACCTTCAACGCCGACCTCGATTACCAGTCGTTTCATGGACGGTTCTGCGCCCTGGAAGACCTCCACATATCCTTTTCCTGTGACGGGTCTCGAGCCATCGGCAAGTTTTTGGAAGTCGCGCGACCACCCTCCCTTCGTCACCTGAAGCTCTCGATCCAAGACCCGTGGAGGTTCCGGGTTTCCTCGTCCCACGCTTTTGGAAGTTTGGCACCTGTAGCAGACAGCATAGAAAGCTTTGTCCTTGAGTCCCCCGACGACTACGATGACGATGTTCCACTCCTGGACATACATATCATCGAACCGGTCCTCGCGCTCCACCGCCTTACCACTCTCAAGATATCGATCTTCCCGATGGTGCTTTTCAATGACGTTTCCCTCGCTGCCTCTGTGTCCGCGTGGCCACTGCTACGGGTTCTTTGTATTGAACAAGACACGTATGATCCAGACAAAGACTGCTACCACGGCAGTCAGCCCCCGGTGCGGCCCACCATCCACGCGCTGAAGATTGTCGCGGAGCGCTGTCCCTTGCTGGAGGAGTTCACTTTCGAGTCCGACTTTCAGCTCGACACTCTACCCTCATCGTTCGCCGACATCCCGCGTCCCCTGGGCCACCGTCTCCACTACCTCAAGGTCGACTGCAAAAAAGGCCTCAACGCGGACGCCAACATGCCCTTGGCCTTCTTTGTGGATAGCCTATTCCCACACCTCCGGCTTCCGCCCCCTTCCCCACTGAAAAATCGACCACAGAGGAGACGTCAGATGTTTTCGACGACGACGTAACTGGGCTGCTTGTCATGTTGCAAGCAGGACGGAAGCAAGCGGAGATGGAAGGATCCAGTAATGCTGGGGGTTGAGACGGGCGCCACGAACGAACCCGGGCGGAAGCTGGGATGGGTGCGACTGGAGACTGCGTGCAGACTGCTCAGCCCTAGGAATCGTCTGTATGCATTGCTTCGATCGCGTCTGTATTTCACCATACTGATGTCCGGCGGAGCACGGAGGCAGCGGTCGACACTTTGGGGATGTTTGGTATTACGTGCAGTGTGAGTAGATACATACAGTAGAAAGTGCATCGCCATACGTCCGTGCATGCACTCTGAAGCGGAGACAGATGATTGGTAGCGCGTGGGCACCCGCAGGCGTACGAGCCGGGACTTGGCTTTCTGTCCATCTCGTCGTTTGTGCTCCGAGTTCGAACATGTGGCTCGCCGCTGCCTGACGTGTTGACCACGTCTGTGCCGAGCTGCGTGCTATGCTCCATCTCCACCCCGCACCCCGATGTCGAGAGTTGCGTCAAGCCAGGCGGGCGAGACTGCAACATGTCTGGGCGGTACATACAGATGTAGTTGCCGACGCGGGCGTCCAGAATCTGGGAAATGATTTTGATGAAGTCGGAGCCGCGAGCGCTGTGCCATGTGGCAGATATTGAAGAGGTCAGCGGAACCATCCACTGTAGTTTCGGTATACTTGCGTATAGTCTCAGAGCTAGTACGTGAATGAGGATCTTAGTGATATGAGGGTGACGCCAGAGAACACAAGGGACTGCTCACCTCGGATGTTAGGACAGCCCACGCTCTACGCACGAGCCGCATGTCATAATGTGCGTCTTCCATACCCATATATTCGCTCAATCGATATGTATCACTGTCGACACCACAGAGCATCAGCAACGTTGAACAACGGGTGCCCACTTCCCATAACAGCGGGGCGCATGAAGGGGGCGGGATTGTGGAAAATTCGACATACCATCATGAGCAAGCAAGTCCAAGACGTGTCGACATGGCGGAATTGTACACTGTGTGTGTGAAGCCGTTGAGGAGTGAAAGAAAGCAGCTTGGTATGGTACGGCGGGACCCGCGCGACTCGGCGCACCAGGTGAGGTCACGGTGTTATGATTGAGTGACAGTTCGCGTTTGTCACTCAATATGCCCATGATCACACGCTTGACTAACACAACAATATTCCTCAATTCTGAAGTTCATCCAGCCACGTCACGACTTGGTCACGACGCGCGAATACGATCCAGAGTCAAGGTACTTCATGAAAAGTTGCAGAGCTTACTAGATACGGGTCACCACTCTAGTGTCGTCGTGGTCTAGTACTATGTGCTTTCACATTTGCGCGGGCCTGTGAGTCGCGTCCTTTCTCATATTATCTCACTGCTCCATCGGTCGCCTTTTCGGCCGTTGAAGTCCTGAACGATATCGGTGTCGAGTACTGATCAATCGCGAACGGGTCACGCCCAAGAAGTCACGGTGACGCAGAGTGACATGTGGCGTCGCCGCGCCGACCTCGTCAAACGTCGTCCTCCGCGGTCCCTTCTCCACTACCACGACGTATGGAAGCAGACATAATTCAATCCGCGCAGCGGGGTTTATATACAAAGCTTGTGAGCCATATTCTTCCATGCCTACCACCTCGCCAAGTCTCCAATGATGTGACATTGATGTGACCTTCTAAATTTTTGATGATTTTCCAGCCCGCAACACGTCGTGCTCTAGATTGTCAAGATATCATAGAACTCATTGCAGATGAACTCGGGTACGGCACCTGGCGCTCCAGAACGCCGGCGCAATCCAGGGCTCTCGCCTCGATGGCGAGAGTATGCAAGGCCCATAGCGTCATAGCTCTTGCCCGCCTATGGCGCAATCTCGCCAACCTCTATCCCCTCTTCAGACTGTTTTATTCTTATAGACAAAAGGAATATGGCGAACCGGTGCGTTCTCGTGTGAGATAAGTGGTCAGGATTGCGCTTACGTTCCGACACAGTCGCTCTCCCGTAACATATCCGATGAAGAGTGGGCGCGTTTCGACTTCTATGCCGGTTACGTTCGCAGTGTAGACGACATTCTCATCAAAGACGCGAAGGCTTTGAAAATATTCACTCACCGGTATAACCGCGAGCGTCCCATGCTCCCTCAACTCATTCGGATCGGAGAACTCAACATGTGCCATCACCACCGTGTCATCGCCGCCCTGCTCACATCGACGTTACGGTCCGTCGGCCTCCATGGATGGAAGCCGTACGACTCCGAAACCAACGCAAGAACTCCCTTGCGGGACACGCTTTCAGCTCTCGCTGCTCGCGTACCGAATCTCTCAAAGCTCGGCATCGAATTCCAGGACGACGACATCGGCGATCAACTCGAGCCTCTCGTGGAAATGAAGGCGCTCGAATGCCTCACTCTCACTGAGCCCCTAGAAATCGACGCTCTGGAGTTCTGCGGAGAGCCACCTTTGCACAGCCTGCACGCGGAGATCGAATTCGCTCCCTCCTTCGACTACGAGCAATTTCACGGGCAGTTTCGCGACCTGGAAACCCTCGGGCTCACCTTTCGTTGTGTCAACTCGGAAGGAATAGGACATTTCTTGCAAGCAGCTCGCCCTCCTCGCCTTCACACTCTCAAGCTGTTTCTCATGGATGGATGGTTGGCGGCCAGAGTCGGATCTTACGCCTCCCTCGCGAATCGGGATCGATCTCTATCTTCCGTCGCCGGAACGGTAGAGACGTTGTTCTTGTACTCTGGTCGCGAGGATGAATCTCCCGAAGACTATGAGGAAGAACCGGCCTTCGACCTTCGCTTCTGCATCGTGGAACCCGCGCTCATCTTGCACCGCCTCACTACGGTCCGGATACGTTTTTGGCCGTCGATGGTGCTCGACGACGCCTCGCTCGCCACTATGGCAACTGCATGGCCACTCCTCCGAGCCCTCTACATCGACCAAGGCACCGACCATCCGGAAGACGACGCCGACACCTCCCCATATCCAACCATCAACGCCCTCAAGATTTTCGCAGAACGCTGTCCCTCTCTAGAAGAATTTGACTTCATTTCCAACATGCGCCTTGAGAGCCTACCTTCATCGCTCTCCGACGTCCCCCGTGTCCTCGCTCATTCCCTCCGCTACCTCAACGTCGTCTGCCGGAACGGCTGCGATCCAGAAGATCACATCCCCCTCGCATTCTTTGTCGACGCTCTTTTTTCGCGCCTGCAACTCCCTGCGGCCTTCTCCGCCGACCGGATTCCCGAGCAGAAGACTTCGTATGCGTTCAACGACGAGATCACCGTGCTGCTCGTCGCGTTCCAGGCAGGGAGAGGGCACATGTGATAGGAGCGCTGCGTCGAGTCCGTGCGACAGGTTTCCTGGCTCTCGAGGTTGTCGATCTCTGGCGTAGCTTTTCTTGCGGCAGACGAAAGTGCACGCGACGTGTACAATGACTCCGTCGGCCCCAGCCTGCCCTCATTCACCTCGCGCTATATTGCCTCATCTCCGTCGACAGCCCACTGCCATTTTCGTCAGCATCGAGGTCGAAGCGCTCACTAACATGACCGTACGCCGTGTGAGAAGGCGCTTCGTGTGCTTGTAGGAATAATTTCAATTATACGTGCTTTGCGAACAACGTTGCCCGCTCAGCCCACATTGCTCTCGCCACCACTCACTGCCTCACTTCGACCAAGGCTGACAGCGGAAATCGCCAAGATGGCGAGCGATCCGAGTTCCGGACCAGACGTCCAGCCATTCCAGAGCGCAAGCGGGACCGCATTGCGGCACAGGAGGAGGAGGAGGAGGCGATGATGCATTGATGCCTCGAGGAGTCATCCTCCCCTCGGAACTTCCAAGCCTGCGACTCTGCGGCGATGACTTTGGCGTCTGTCCAGATAAGGCAACCCATCGGCGTCCGCTGCGCGTTCGCACAGCTTTCTTGGCGACGCCCTCCTCGTTTCAAATGGTGACGACTCGTTTGAAGCCCGCATCCTTGATTCCATCCCCCTGATAGAGCTGGTGACCGCAATAATGGCTGGTCGCAGTACTTGTTCCTTGGTATGTGCGCGGTATCTGATCGGTGGCGACATTCACTAATGGCACGCCGCGATCATCCAACTCCGCCGCGCCACGCCTGAACCTGTCCCCTCACAGCCCCGAGTCCTCGCGGCAGCGAACGCTCTCAAGGTGACTCCGAGTTCTTTATCAATTTCACCACTCACATCGTGGCGTGGCACAGTCGTGGCCCATCGCCGAGCAACTCGTGCGATGGGAGTCAGCGTTCGACCTTCCTTTGCAGTGGTTCTCCCGAGCCGCGGGGAGTCATTGCAGTGTCGGAGGAAGCCACCGCCCCACAGGGCATGTCATATAAGAAGATGTGGGTTGATGATGGCGATCAGCAGCTTGTCTTCCACTCGTCTTAGTCCTCACCGAACAATGGCCGCTCTTGCTACCACCGAACACATCGAGGCGTCAATCTCCGCTGAGCCTTCCACCTCTACGGCAGAGTCGACTCCCTCGACCTCCTCTACCGGGGCGGACACTGCCTCGACAACTCCTTCTACTCCCGCCGAGCCCTCCGACTTCCACCTCGATATCAAGTATGTCGACTCGCGATACAAGGAAGATCCCGAGGGATGGGAAAACGAAGACACCCCAAACGCGGGCGATGTCGCCGCTGAGCTCGTTCAGCCTCTCGGGATGGAGACGAGCGACGAGTCGTGGGACGGCTACTGCTTTGTTGTCGTCCGCAAGCACCCTACGCCTGAAGAGAAGGCGAACGGGAACCGCCAAATCAGGTTCGAGATCGTCCTCAAGAGCCGGTATCTTGTCCAGGCCTGTCAAGAGGTCATGGGTGACCTCCCTGGGATCTCATGGACATCACAGCCTGTCACGGTATGCGTGATCCTGCTTGACTTGTCGCGTACCGTTGGTGACGAGATAAACTCCGCAGCTCCGACCTCAGCTACTCCTGACCTTCTTCCCCAAACTCGAGGCGTACGAGAAGGAGCAAGCCCAAAAGTCATCGCTCGAGGAGACCGAGGAGCGCATGCTCGCCTCCATTCGCGTCCTCACCAGCTATCTCCGCCAAAACTACCGCCAGACGCTGACACGCATCGCGAGCCTCCTCTCGAACGGCGAGATCACCTTCGACCTCCTCTACGCCGTCCTCGTCCCGGGAACCGTAATCGTCAGGCGAGACGCCGTCACGCGCGAGATCCGAGCATTACGGCTCCGCTCTGCTACTAAGGGCGTCAACTCGTGTGGGCAGCCCTTGTACTCTGTCGACTGCGAGGGTCTCGAAGCGTCTGGCGCGGATGCCGACACTGACGGGGAAGACGGCATCGGCTGGACGGACGAGGACAAAAGCACGGTTCGGTTCGGGTACACGCGGAGCGTCACGAACATCCGCCACTTCACCGGCGTCGAGAAGATCTCCACGCTCAGCCTGTTCCCGCTCCAGTACCACCCCGACGCGGGGCGTGTGCGGGAGGCGCTCCTCGAGCGTGCGCGCAAGTGGGCGGCGCTTTCGAGTGTGCATCACATGCACTTCAAGGGGACCGCGGCGCGGCGCGAGTGGGTGCAGAACGAGCTTGTTATTCGGAGGTTCACCGTCAAGTCGCGGATCATGATCGACAAGGGTGAGTCAGCAGGGTGCCTCTGCGAGAACTCGTTGACCGAGGAGAGCGTTCAGGTAACTTTGAGAGGAATGATCCCAACTATGATCCCCCGGCTCCTGAACGAATGCTCCCTCTTGTCAGCGGCAAGTCGGGTGTAGAGTCACTATCGGACGACGATGCGCTCCTTGCCAGCCCCGTCCTCTATGGGTACAGCTTCTCCGACAAGCTCTGGTGTATGTCCTCTCTTCTTCTCCGCTCCTTGAACCCGGCTCAACTCCGTCAACAGTCGAGTTCTCCGTGAGCCACGTCTCCGAGATCGAGTGGAACGACGAAGCGTTCACAGGCCTCATCCTCCCCTCCGAGCGCAAGTCCCTGCTCCTCTCGCTCATCGAGGCGAACGGCAAGCTCAACGAGAGCGCCGCCTTCGACGACTTCGTCCGCGGCAAGGGCCAGGGCCTCGTCATCAACCTCTTCGGCCCGCCCGGGGTGGGCAAGACGATGTCCGCCGAGGCGACGTCCGAGCACCTCCGGCGCCCGCTCTTCGTCATCGGCAGCGGCGACCTCGGCACCACCGCGTCCGAGCTCGACGACAAGCTCGAGACCACGTTCACGATCGCGGCGTGCTGGAACGCGGTGCTGCTGATCGACGAGGCGGACGTGTTCCTCGAGCAGCGCTCGCTGCACGACATGGAGCGCAACGCGATGGTCGCCGTCTTCCTCCGCCACGTCGAGTACTACCGCGGCATCCTCTTCCTCACCACGAACCGGATCACGACCTTCGACGAGGCCTTCCTGTCGCGCATCCACGTCGCGCTCCACTTCGCGGAGCTCTCTGCCGCGACGAAGCGCGCGATCTGGGCCGCGTTCCTCGCCAAGATCGGGCTCGCGCAGGGAAAGGTGGACGACGCGCGGCTCGACAGGCTCGCGGCGCGCGACATCAACGGGCGGCAGATCAAGAACGCGTGCCGGACGGCGACGTCGCTCGCGCTGTCCCGCGGCGAGACGGTCGGGTACGGGCACCTGCAGGAGGCGCTGGACGCCATGGAGGAGTTCGTAACCGAGTTCACGGCGCTGCAGTCGGCGGAGAAGAAGGCCGCATGACGAGCCCATGGGTCCAGGAGTTTTAGTACTCGGACACGGTCTGTGGATCCCATGTCTGTACACCGGACGCTACTCCCGCGCACACCTTGTAATTTTGTTCATACCTGTATCTGTGCACACATACCTCCATTCTCGGAGTGAGACAGATTGTAGTATCATCATGGCTCTATAAACATTCTAATTCGAACGCGATACCGACGAATGATGCACTCTACTTCATGAAACTAATGCCGTCACACCGTTGAAAACCTACTATGGCCGTCTGGCCATAACGTGGGCGGGCGGTGGCACAGGCGAAGAAAAGTCTTGCGCAAGCTGTTCATTCTCTTCCGCGTCATCGCTGCGCTGCACGACTGCATCGATATTGGTGCCGACACTTGCGATGGGGCGACGATCATATTTGCTTGGATAGGCGTTGGGATGCCTGCCCAGAGCAATTAATCAAAGGCGCCAGAAGACAGCTATGTCGAAGCTAGTCCGACATGTCCCATTAACGTGAGCACATAGTACAAGATCAAATGAACTTCAATGGGCGGTCATCAGTTATGGACCCAAGTGGGCCGAAATACATCTCAATTTCTAAGATACAGTCGCACTATTGCGCGCTCAACCCTGCAGATGCGCTTGTCAGCGTCGTTTTCGCTGTTGACATCAGAGCACTCACCGCTGCTTTACGAGCATTGTGACACCTTGGCTCATGATCCCCTTCAGGATCTGCGCGCCCAGCGCCCGGTACAAGCCTGCCCATCCGTCGCGCTCCACCACCGACGTCCAGACCTCGGCAATTGTCGGCACCTTCGCAGCATTGCCCTTGCCCGCCGCGGCTTGTACACGGACCTTGGCAAGCAGGAGTGGATAGAGAAGCGTGACGGCAAGTGCGTTTGCAGTTGCTCCGCTGAGAAATGCTCCGAGAGAGGACTGGGAAGAGGAAGAGAATCGGCGGAGGGGGTGAAGGTGACTGAGGAGCTGAAAGAAGAGGAGCGTGAGCGCAGGGGTGAAGCAGAGTGGGAGCGCTGGGCGGAAGCCTGTGAGCACAGGAGTCTTGTGAGCCTGTGTGGGGAGCGGGGAACAGAGCGAGTGTGCTACTTGCCTGCCCAGAAGGCGTCCAGGCCCTCGTCCTCGTATATCTGCTTGACCACCTGCATGAAGCCACCACCGTTACGCCATCGGCCTGGAGGCGGGCACGCAACGTTGTCGGGGGGGCCGAGAGTGGAGGTCTCTTCGTCCTGTTCGTCTTCGTCGTCGTCTTCGGAGGCAATTTGGAGGCGAACCGTCACCACGTTCAAGGGCGTCGACACGGCGCGATTGGCCACGCCCGCGAGGAATCCCACCGCGAGTTCTGCTGGGACGCCGAGAAGGACGGGGGGCGTGGGTGACGTGAGGGCACGTTTGATCGCCTTGAGCAGCGACACGTCCGATGACATGCGTCGCCGAGCCACGAGGGCATGCAAAAGAGTGTAGAAGTAGTAATAGAGGAAGCTGCGAAGTGAAGGGAAGGGATTGCATTGGCTTCAGGGTTTGGGGCGCATATAGGCAGGGCACTCACTTTGACACCAGCATCGACGCCGTGTCTGCGCCAAGCCCGTCATAGAGACCGGCGAGTCCTTCTGTGCGACGGATGTGCATGAGAACGAGGGAGAGCCCGCGGAGCCCGCGCGTTCGCCGCGTGTTGGAGGTTTGGAGCCGTGTCGCGACGAGATCGAGGGGGTAGGAGATGGTGTTCGCGGCGGCACTGGCGAGCGCACCGCTGCAGGCCTGGACGAGCGGGGGGAGTGCGGAGGTCATCGAGAGATGCTCGGTATCCAGCAGCGGCCCCAGGATGGTCTTGAGTGCGGCAAGCGGTGGGGTGGGCTATGACGTCGCTGCCGTCGGGGCCCATCGCACGTCATGGGCGACGCCCTTGTCGGAAAAAGGGAATCCGTCTTGCAAGGCGGCTATCTGGCAATGATATGGCAATTCAAGGCCACGGTCTTGATCGCGTATTGCAACGACCTTGGCACGCCCAGGTTCGACTGGGATCGATTGCAAGACGGCAAACATCCTGCGACACCATATCAATCAGACCGATCCCCTTGCGACGGCACGGCTATAGTTGAACTCAACCTGCCCTGAAGTCCCGTCGCCTGTCACAATTTCAAAGTTGGACTTCGCGTCTGAGTCCGAGTCGTGTCTCTTGCTCTTTCCTCCCATGCTCTCTCTGTTCCGAATCCGAACTCCCCGTCGTCTCCTGTCAAAGCTTAGAACGTCGTCGGCCGACACCACTTCATTCACCACCAGTGCCTCCCCCTGCCCCGGGAATTATGTTACTAGTTGTCTGTTGCTGCCGTCCGCCCGTCTGTGGAGTCCACACTTGTCCTCTGCCCCCTCCGCTGCTCTTCTCCTCGTATTGACGATACTCCTGCCCTGCAACCCTCCCTCGTGCTTCTGCATCCGTTTCTGTTCCTCTCGGCCTTCCTGGTTAGTCACTGGCGTCGTTCATATCGCGCTGTTCACTGCCGGTCTGGCTCTTGTCCGTCTCTACCGCCCCGCCCCGTTCTCTTTCCTCAACGTCCTCGTCCTCATGCCTCCCATTCCGTCGTCTCCGTTTCTCGTGTTCATGCTCGGTCTCTCGCCTAGACTACCAGGATACTATAGGTTTGCCAGGATCACGTTTGACACCGTCTGGTGTATATCATGTCGACCTTCGTGTAGTAGTTTAGTAAATGCTATTATTTGAGACTATTACAAGCGTGAACCAGTGAAAAGGACGACAGGAAAACGGGGCTGCAAGACTGGAGCCCGAATTGCAAGGTGGACGCCTGGAACAGCCATTTGGCGCGCGGTCTTGCGATGACCTTGCAGGAGAAACTAGTCATCTGGCAAGAACGTTCCAATTCGGATCAATCTTGGGACTATTGCAATGGCATTGGAAGCGCTTGCAAGCCCGATTCAGTTTTTCCGACACTGGCCGCTTGCGTGACGCGCGCATTTGGGTCCCCGGTTAGACTCGATCATCCAGCCGTCATCGTCGTAACCTCCGCTTCCTGGTTCGCGGGTTTTGCTATGTGGTAGCGACAGGATGATGGAGGCCAGTCGAGGTGAGGACAGACTATTCCCGTCGGGCAATGTCTAGTCCTAGAAGCGGGGGTGGGAAAGGACGAGCGCCCGGAGGGCCGTGCTGCCGAGCCGTTACGCCAAGGCAATTGCGCGGCGGGCCCTCCGGACGTCGACCGGAGCGCGAGAGTGTCTCGCCGTGTGACGGTAAGACCCTCAAAGCACAAGGGATTGTATTCGCAAACGGTTTAAACTTTTGACTGTTGTGTGCCCGTGTTTTTTCCCGGATTGAGCGCCCACGACACAACTAGCGGCCGTTGCACATCGGAACACGTTCGAACGTGTTGCACATTTTATCTCTCATTCTTATTTGCTCTCGGTGGCTGGGTGACAGGTGTGTCGGAGGTGGTACACATAGCACACTGAGTTGAGCAAGGTGCCTGGTGCGAGCGAAGTTGCGCGTGAAATCGGCGTCCACCAGTGAGCGCTTCATCACAAATGAGAGTGCCTTAGCCGGGCTTGGAACCAGAAAAGAAAGGTTGGAAATCCGTTTGCGAATACGGCCTAGAAAGGGAGTGGAGGGTGGGCCAGAAAAGTCGACAAGAGTGCGCAGTGGGAGAGAGAAAACCGATAAGGTTCACGCGCGCACGCGCGCGCGCGAGCTCCCACATTCGCACTCCGCTTCAGGAAGCATCTGTTGCAGCGTAGCGCTCGTGCCTCGCTCTACGCTAAACTCCACTCTAACGGCTGGTCAAACTCGTAGGGGAGCACCTGTCCCTCACGGGATATCAGTTTCCCAGACTCGAGTGATCCGGGGGGCCGTGCCGAGTCTCCTTGACTCAAAATCCCACCCACCCCCAACTATTAGTTAAACTACAGGCCTGGTGCTTTCCTTGCAGGGAAGTATTCGACGCCTCTACTAAGTATGGCATACGTCCAGTCTCCCCCCGTATGTTTTCCCCGCCCGGCCCCGTGATGTCCCGAGTCCCGACCCCTCCGCCATCAGAGCCCCGCCCCTCCTGCGTCATTTCCCGCGCCGGCGCCGCGCGCTCTGCCGACTGCCGCCCCATCACTGCCCCGGCATGCCCGGACACCGGCGCCCCGTGCCCCACCACCCGTGCTCGTCGTCCCCAACAGCGAGCTCGCTGTCCCTGCACCCTGCCTCCCCCTCCCCTCCGTTTCCCTCCGTTATTTTTGCAATCTACTTGTATTTTAAATGCGCACCTAATGACACACAATGCAATAGCTACACTTGCCTGAGTGTGCCTGCACTGAGCCCATATACCCCCCAAAATGCGTGCAATATAGGAACATATACAAGCATTCAATTGATCGGCCAAGTTCTGCAACATATAGTTGTAGGTGAGAGCTGCTCTAGTATAAAATCGCAGGTGGATAGCTAGAGGGGTGCAGGTATGATGTCATATGTTATTTCAGAATGACATACTTCACAGTGACATGGCATATACATGTATCGTCTTATATACACCCAGAATCGTACCTAGAGATCATTCAGAGAGCATTGAAAGAAGAAGCAAGTGAATAGATGATGTTTTGGTGAAGATGTGATATGTGTTCAGAAGGGGGTATTGCATTGAAAATGCGGCCTTCATATGTTCTTGTGCAGACCTCTGATCACTTTACATCTTGTTGCGTTACGTTTGTATGTATGTGGAGAGCTCAGATCGTCAGTTTGGTGCTTATCGGTGAAGGATTGAACACAGGCCATGGTATGTCATTATTCTATGACATAGAGTATAGCGATATAACATGTGCTCCGATTATTATTCTGAAAAGCGGAATAGAACGGAGTGCACTTCTGCTAAACGATGCACAAGAACTCTTGAAAAACGGTTGAGAAGTGGTTGAGATATGTCAGGTGAGCTTAGAGTGTGCAAAGTGCTGTAGGTGGTTCGAGGGCGTCCTCTGGACAACTTGCCGCTCTAGACCCATCTGACATATCTCAACCACTTCTCAACCGTTTTTCAAGAGTTCTTGTGCATCGTTTAGCAGAAGTGCACTCCGTTCTATTCCGCTTTTCAGAATAATAATCGGAGCACATGTTATATCGCTATACTCTATGTCATAGAATAATGACATACCATGGCCTGTGTTCAATCCTTCACCGATAAGCACCAAACTGACGATCTGAGCTCTCCACATACATACAAACGTAACGCAACAAGATGTAAAGTGATCAGAGGTCTGCACAAGAACATATGAAGGCCGCATTTTCAATGCAATACCCCCTTCTGAACACATATCACATCTTCACCAAAACATCATCTATTCACTTGCTTCTTCTTTCAATGCTCTCTGAATGATCTCTAGGTACGATTCTGGGTGTATATAAGACGATACATGTATATGCCATGTCACTGTGAAGTATGTCATTCTGAAATAACATATGACATCATACCTGCACCCCTCTAGCTATCCACCTGCGATTTTATACTAGAGCAGCTCTCACCTACAACTATATGTTGCAGAACTTGGCCGATCAATTGAATGCTTGTATATGTTCCTATATTGCACGCATTTTGGGGGGTATATGGGCTCAGTGCAGGCACACTCAGGCAAGTGTAGCTATTGCATTGTGTGTCATTAGGTGCGCATTTAAAATACAAGTAGATTGCAAAAATAACGGAGGGAAACGGAGGGGAGGGGGAGGCAGGGTGCAGGGACAGCGAGCTCGCTGTTGGGGACGACGAGCACGGGTGGTGGGGCACGGGGCGCCGGTGTCCGGGCATGCCGGGGCAGTGATGGGGCGGCAGTCGGCAGAGCGCGCGGCGCCGGCGCGGGAAATGACGCAGGAGGGGCGGGGCTCTGATGGCGGAGGGGTCGGGACTCGGGACATCACGGGGCCGGGCGGGGAAAACATACGGGGGGAGACTGGACGTATGCCATACTTAGTAGAGGCGTCGAATACTTCCCTGCAAGGAAAGCACCAGGCCTGTAGTTTAACTAATAGTTGGGGGTGGGTGGGATTTTGAGTCAAGGAGACTCGGCACGGCCCCCGGATCACTCGAGTCTGGGAAACTGATATCCCGTGAGGGACAGGTGTAGGGGAGCCTCGCGTGAGTCCCATAAAAGGCAGTCACGTGATGGGGATGCCCTCCCCTCGCTCCACTCCCTCGCCCAAACGGGCTCGTTGGGGCACGCCGCCCTCCCCAAGCCCCACGCGCGAGCTCGCGCGCGACCGGTCGCGCACAGGTGCCTCGCGTCTGTCGCCCGCTATATATGCTCGACTCGTTCTCCCGTGTCGCGTTTACAATACCCACTCTCCAGCCGGATCTGGACGCTCTTTGCTCTCTGAAATCTCGGGAGCCGCCACTTTGGCGTCAGCGATGTTTTTACCCCGCGTGTTTCATGCAAGTGGGCCGCCAGGCAACTCTGCTCTTCACCCATGAGTCTGCCCAACGTCTTCATCCATATGCTTAACTCGCATCTAAGCCCACTCCTCAGCCGCCATTGACTCCTACTTTTCAGCTGTCTGCCTCTGGTTTACAAGTGTCGACCCCACGCACCCACTTAGGACGCCCGTGCCGCTGTCCGCGCAGTCCACGGTTGTCCACAGAGTACCTAGATCACTGTACATTGAATTTTAACAGAGAAACTACTATAATTTAAGCCGTTTCATTATTTGATTGCCACATCTCCTGGACCCGTCGCCTGGAGAGCGAGTTGAGCGTCGCGTCTGCAGGGCGGCGCGACACGCCCGCGCGCTGCGTGCGACCAGCCGCGCGCGCACACAGCTGGAGCTCGCGCGCGAGCCCGCGCGCAGGGCTTGGGGGAGGGCGGCGTGCCCCAACGAGCCCGTTTGGGCGAGGGAGTGGAGCGAGGGGAGGGCATCCCCATCACGTGACTGCCTTTTATGGGACTCACGCGAGGCTCCCCTACGAGTTTGACCAGCCGTTAGAGGAGGTTACGACGATGACGGCTGGATGATCGAGCCTAGTCCCCGGTGCGCATTCGCGGGCATCGAGTATGCGAAAGGGCAAAGCAGGAGGAGTGCGACGGGAATGCAGGGAGCTCGCGTCGGAGCTTATTATTATTATTATGATCTGCTTATCCCAATACCTCACAAAGGCGTACAGCTCGCGTCGGAGCGCAGTTGAATCGAATCGGAGACCGACGGCGGCCGGATCACAATCACATGAGCGCGTTCCCCGCCCCAGCACGAGTTGGCGTCGCGCCAAGCCGCGTCGGCGGCGCCAGTGGCAGCCACACACTACCCCTCATCGTACTGTACACCACTCCGCCGGACCACCCTTGACCGACTTGCTTAACGAGGAAGACGCCAAAAAACCCTCCTCTGAACTTCACGCACACACTTTCGTCGCGGCACGATGGCTCTCGCCCATGGAATGCGCAAAGTTGGGGTGATTGGTGCGGGTCAGATGGGTGCGTTTTTACTGGGGGGACGCTTCGAGCAGCGCTTCTCACACGAGCTGTCTTTCAGGACTGGGCATTGCATTTGTGTCTGCGGTGCACGCAAAGGTGCCCGTGCTTCTGCACGATCGGTCTGCGTCGCAAATCAAGTCTGGCCTCGCACTCATGGACAAGCTCCTTGGCAAGGACGTTAGCAAGGGGAAGATGACTCAAGAAGCCGCCAACGAAGCGCGTGACCGTGTCACCGTGGTGGACGGGCTCACGGATTTCAGGCAAGCCGACGTTGATATGGTGGTGGAGGTGAGCAGTACTAGTATTCTGTTTTGCGGTCTTGTCCAGCGTAACCTCCAGCAAGCAAGAAATGATGAAAGGACGTGCCGTACGTTGGCGAGGGAGACGTTGCAGGCCATGCCTACGTTATCTAAGTCAGAGGACCATTCCCGCAGGCTAAAACTGCTAGTGAATGATTTGAGTCCGTGATAAGGGGGTGGTGGAATGAGCCCCTCAACGGTTTCCTCATTGGCCTGCACCATTTCTTACACTCTCGCATCAGTATACTCATGGTATCCCTTTGCGCAGGCAGCAACCGAGAATGTCGACCTGAAGACGAAGATCTTTGGCTCTCTAGCCGCCGAACTCTCACCCAAAACAATCCTCGCGTCCAACACCTCTTCCATTAGTATTACCAAGATCGCAGCATCCACTATTCCAGAAGGCAAGACAGCCGCCCACCCCGAAGCCCAGCAGAGCACTTCGCGCGTCGTCGGCCTGCACTTCTTCAACCCGGTCCCAGTGATGGTAAGTGTTCTGTCTCGGTCTGTGTGCTCACGCTCTTGCTCAGTTGACTTCTTCCGATCTCCAGAAACTCGTGGAGCTGATCGGCGCGGTGCAGACCTCACAGGAGACGCTGGACCGTGCGCGCGCGTTCGCGGTTGCTTGTGGCAAGGGTACGTGTTCGTCCCGTCGTCCCCGAACTTCTCTCGTGTCTCCTTGTTTGAGGACCGTGAGGCCACCGCACCGACGAAATTTTCACCCTTGTCGTGAACAGAGGTGACTTCTTCGCAAGACGTCCCTGGGTTCGTGGCGAACGCGTTGCTGATGCCCTTCCTCAACGAGGTGCGTTCCAACCCTTGACCACACGCGGCGCTATTATGCTGAGAAGCTGGTGCGTCTATTCAAGGCGATCATGTGCTTGGAGAAGGCAAGCACTTCTAGATTATCGCTAGCCGATTCCCGCTCATCTGGACCCACAGGGTATCGCAACACGTGACGACATCGACAAGACTTTCCGATTAGGTATGGCGCACCCCATGGGCCCTCTGCAACTTGGTGAGTGCTTGAAACATCTGGGTGAGATTGCAGATGCCTGACTTGTCTATCCGGCATAGCCGACTTGTAAGCTCTTTTGATTCGATTAAGATCTGTGTTGCTGATGAAAGCCACGCACATCAATGCGACGTAACCACGCCTGCGCCATACCCTAAAACCCTGCTTCGTGCAACTCACTTCCGTTTGGAAATGCACTTCAATCGCGGAATGACCGCTCCGCTCACGGTACGTTTCGTCCGCTACACTCCTCTCCGCCCCATTTGTCTCTCGGGCAGTATTGGCCTCGACACCTGCCTGGCGATACAACGGACGCTCTACCAGGGTACGGGCGACTCAAAGTACCGCCCGAGCGTGCTCCTCGAGCGCATGGTGGACGCGCAGTGGCTCGGGAAGAAGAGCGGCAAGGGCTTCTACGACTACCAGTAGCGGTGTTCGGTCCGCCCTGTCCTCCTTTCATAGGCGCTTTATGCACTCGGGCTCGTTTTCGCAGGTTTCGTCCCTTGATCATCGGACCTGGCTGATCCGTGGCTCAAGCCTGGACTCGGAGACTCGGCTGTCGTGAAGCTCGTCCGAGCGGTGCACGTCTGTTTTTGTCCGCCGGCTGGCAGCGCCGTCCACAGTCCTGACGCCTTCTGTGTCCCGTGGGGGCTACCTCGGAGGTCGTACCGGATCCTTTGAATGGCGGGGACGTAAGAGTCGCACCCAGCGTCGTCGACGTGGCCTCCGGGGACGCGCCCCACGGGCGGCGGATCTTGTGCAGACGATCGCGTGACCAGATGGGTGATCCCCGCGGCACCCGCACCAGCTCCCAGCGCGTGTACGTTTGAATGCCGGAGTGCGGGTGCTCGTGGGGGTGTGCTTGCGCCCCTACGAGCACTCGTATTTCCGGCGGCGCAGCTGGGAAAGATGTAGCGTGGTGGAGGGACCTCGGAAGGGGGACGTCCACCGCACGGGCGCCAGCTCTCCACCCTCCGTCGTGCAGGCGCACCGTCACGCGATGCACGCTCGGCCGCAGCCGCCTTCGATGCCGCTGCTGCTGCTGCGAATCCCACTAAAGTAGACGTAAACCGCGCCGCTGCCGTCCCTCCTCGTCGCTCGCTTGACGCATCTCACCGTCAGCTCGTATTGCCTCTTAGGCCCGCACGCTCCCGCTGACGACGGGGGCCGCTTCCGATGCCGGAGATGAGCGGCTGCGTCGCCAAAGGAGTGCGGGGGCCAAGAGGGGCCAAGATGCGAGCGTCGAGGCACTACGGTCTCGAGCGCGAAGTCGGACGAAGGCACCCCATACCACTCGTGTGGGCGACTTTGCGTCCAGCGCGCACCACGGTCCACGGCCGGGGCCCGACCGCGCCCTTCTATCCTTCCCTTTCCAGGCCGGGCGGCGAACGCCGGGCCCCGCGCTACGATCGGAGGGGTCGTACGACCGCCGGAAGTGGCAGAGGTGGTTGGCGGCGGCGCGCGGCCCATTTCGCCGTTCAACCTGGATCCCGTGCGCCGCCCTCAGTGGAAGGTTGGGCGGCGACGTGGACCTTGGGTGCTTCAAGCAGACGTCGCCGGTCGGCCTGTCGCCCTTCGAGTTTCGAGGCTACGGGTCTGTCAGCCGGAGTGCCGGGGTGTTCTGCGTCAAGTGTGGCTCGGAGCGCGCGCAATCGCCCAGGCTAGCGCACCTGGCTGGGAGCGGCGCGAACGCTCGCGAACGGACGACGACTGACGTCGTTCCTCCGGGGGTCCCCTACTGCGTCATCACCTCACTTCTGAGGGCAAGGGCTAGGGCCCGGCGAGCTCTGCTCGCCGCTGGACTTGCGTCATGCATGGTCGCACCAGCCAGCGGCCCTCTCCGCCTACTTTCCCCGCTCCCCGGCCATTTGGGGGCATGGGAGAAATAGAGCGAGAGCTTCTTCCTGGGACGCAGAAGCCATGGCTTCTGCGTCCCAGGCCGACGCAATTCGGGTTGGTATTCCCGTCTCGACGCCCTCACGCGTACGCGAGCGCGATTACACACTGAGAGAGTGGTCCCGTGCCCATGCTTTGCCGCCTCCCATGCGCCTGCGCGCGGCGTTAAGCGGACACGGACACTGGGGCCTTGAGGGTGCAATCGCATTTGGAGTCCGCCGCTACCCGCGGCCGTCTGGTCGATTCAATTCTGCCTCTATTCCTGTTCAACAAACCGCTTACGGCCCATCGCCTCGCCTTCGCGAAAGGACACCGTCCGGGCCGCCGAGTCCACCTCTACCTCCCTCCCACCCCCGCCGCCGCGGACGGGCGTGGCTTCTGCGCGGTATCGGCCCGAGCGCGCCTTGCGTGGGTGCGGCTGCAACGAGGCCTGGCGCGCACCCCCGGCTTCTGCCCGGGATCGCTGTGTGGCCCCGCCGTCCGCCGCCGCACGCGGCGCGCTCGCCCGTGTCGATGGCTGTGGATGCCTGAGTGCGTCGTGTGGGCCCCCCGCAGAGCCCGCGTCGACGCCGGAAGCTGTCTTCGGGTGGCGGAGCGACTCCAAGCGTGCGTGCGCACGAGCCGGGGGGCGCTGGATCAGAAGCGGGATGCTTGCGCTCTGATTGAGCTCGGGGATTCCCAACGAACGCACGTGTTCTCGCTCGCGGTGCGCGATCACACGACGCGAGGTCGTGGCTCGCGGGCCTCTCCGTCGTGCGCGTCGGGGGAGCCCAGTGACCGTTGACGACGTCGCGGGGACGTTCATTTCGCTTCGGCGAGGCGCGTAATTTCACGGGGACGCGGAACGGCGGCGACGGAGGCTCGGAGTCGGAGAGCTGGCGCTCGGAGGCAGACGCGCGCGCGCACTGGGGACGGGGGCCGGAGATGAGAACGAGCGTGCTCGGCTGCGCGGCGACATTGTTGCTTGTTGTTCGTCTATTCGCCCAACGCTGTGCCTCTCGCTGGCTGGCGGGCTGGCGGCTGGCTGGTTCCCACAGGCGAAGCGTGCGGCTTCTGACATCGTCCCCGGGCGAGCGCGCGCGGGCGGTTCAGACGTCGGATGTCGGAGGCGTGGGCCGTGCTGCCGTGTCCGCGCGCCGCCTGAGTGGGTGGATGGGTGACGGTCGCGAGCTCCCGTCGTTCGAGATTCGAGCGCGTTCGGGAATCGGGATCGGGAGGAGGAGAGTGGTGATCGGAACGGGGCCTGCTCGTGCTGCACGCCGAGCGGGACAAAGTACATATAGAGCGGTGGACGAGCCTGCCGACCCAACCCACTCCTCCACCGCATCCAACCCACAGCTCCTCCTCTCTAGTCTGCGCTGCCAATCGCCTGGCAAGCTCGTCGGGAAGCAGGCTCGCGTCGCCCTTCGCTCTCTCGCTGTACACTGCGCTCTCCGCCAAGGACCTCCATCGACACCCACCGCCCCGTCCCGCGTCACGATGTGCGAACTCGAGTGGTGAGTGGATTCGCGGCACGTGCGCGCGGCGTGTGCTGATCGGCCTTCTTCGCGAACGCTGCCAGTTTCGGAAACTACCACCGCGGATGCGAGGTGTGTGCGCTCGCCCCCTGCCTCTCCCGCTCCCCGCCGTCCGTCCCTGCGTCGTTGTCGGGCCGCGGCCGCGTTCCCCGTCCGCGTTCTCCGGAGCCCTGGCACACCCTGGGGCCCTGCATGGTCCCACTGCCCACTCTGTTCTCTCACTGCGTTGGCCCTGTCGCGCACTTTGTCCGCGCGCGGACGCAGTAGTCGGAGACGTGATCCTGAACCCTCCCATGCATGACCACCCACGCTCCCCTCTCCCACCCGCGTCTCCCGCACCGAGCCACGGCACTGATCCCGCGCCCGCACACAGCACTACGTCAAGCTCTACGAGAGCGGGAAGAAGACGGACTGCGGCTCCCCGGCGTGCGCGCTCAGCGCCGCGCACAAACATCGCCCCGGCCAGCGATCCTGCGCCGGCACGTGCATCACCGTGCGTGCTCGTCTCGTTCCCCGCGCTCCGTGTCAGGAGGACCCCACGCTGACGCACGCGCGCACAGGTCCCGCGCGAGGGCCGGCGGGTGCTGAGCCTCATCCACGAACGCTGCGACAGCTGCACGCGCGCGGCGTGGGCGACGCTCGAGCGCGAGTCTGGGCGCGTGTACTAGCCAGCTGCGCCTCCCGGTCGTCACCTCGGGCGGAGGACGGTCGGCTCCGATTCAGGGTTCGAAAGTCGTGGATGTCTCTGGCGTTCTTGGCCCGGACGCGTGCCCTTTCGCTTTGTGCTTTGTGACCGCATCTGTGCTGTATCAATATATTCCGCCGTGTAAGATAGCATGGACCGTGGCTTTAGACGTCCTACAGTTATATGTACAGTTCTTCGGAAGACCAGGTGTGCGTCCGACCCACGTTCAACACTCGGGGCCTTGCCTCAGCGGGCCCACGCGTCAAGCAGATCACGCGGCCTCCGCCTCCCTCCTTTCCGCCTGGAATTGCATGAGCAGTTTTCCGACGTCATAGAAAACGCTCGTCCTTTTCACAAAAAGCCCGGGCCAGATGTTGGGGGAAGGCCCAGGCGCGAGATCCAGATGCGGGAATAGCCGATCCACATACTTCGCCGTGGCCATGCGCGCAGGGTGGGATTCGTCCAGTTCGATGTCCGGGTCGACGGTGGCCGTCCAGAGAAGCTGGAGGCGATGCCCCAGCGGTTCCGGGAGGTCGTCGAGGGCATCATCGACGTCGTTGAAGTCGATGTCGGAGAAGAGCTCGAGCTCTTGCAGATTGGGACAATGCTCCGCGAAGCTGCGCAGACGCGGACGGTGGGGTACGTAGGAAGAGTGTCGGGGTCGTCGGGGTCTCCCGGGGGCCGGCAGTGGAGCCCAAGCCTTGAGCGATGTGGATTCTGCGGAGAAGGGGCCACGCGGCAGCCATGTCGGCAAGGTGGGTGTCGTCAAGAGGACGTTTGGGGAGAGGTCGATGTGAACGCTGGCGAGCCGATGGAGCGCGAGTGTTGGCGAGAGGGACGCGAAGCTCTCTAGAACATCGCCGGACTCGTGAGGATAGTTCTCGGGATCCCCGATCAGGGCTGTCAAGTGCTCGACCGTGCCTGCGATGGGAGCGAGCGCGTCGGGGAAGGAGCGCTGTTCTTCTTCGTAGTCGTAGGTGACTCGAAGCTTTATGCGTGGAGGGAAGGGATGCGTGCCGCCCGCAAGAATTGTCCTAGTCCTTCGTATGAAGGGCAGGTGAAAGCAATGCTAAGGGACGACAGGTTGGAGAACATGCCCCGGAATTCCTCGTAGCCGAAGTCGGGCGGAAACTCGGCGTTGACTTCGAAATGATGAAGTCCCATGTTTCCGAGATGGGAGAGGGCTTCGAGGGGGGTGTCCGTGCGTAGGGATAAGCTCTCCAACGAGCTGAATGTCTGCAAAGTCTCGACTGCAAATGTGACCTCGTCGTCGGCCTTGATCTCCAAGGACGACAGGCTGGTCGCATTCGAGGCGAGAATGGAAAGTACTTCTTCTAGGGGTTCGTTTGAGGAGCCGGAACCTTCGAGACGGAACTTGATGTGCTGTAGACTGGGTGATAGGAATGTTGAAAGGATGGGGAGGGGGAGGAAGACGTTGATCGTTCCGAGACGAACGAGATGAGGCAGGATGGGGCGATCGCTAGTATACCGGTGCGAGAAAAGGTTTGCCAATCACCGGAAAATCTCTGCATGTAGCCCACATCGTCGATTATCTGGACGTAGCCGGCATAGATATCGAAGCGCTCCCATTCTTCGTCCGATGGGGGTTCCGTAGGTAGGATCTGAGTCGAGGTCAGTCTTCAACTCTCGTCAAGCCAAACGGAAGTCGGCATACCCATCGTTTCTTATGATCGTATTTGGTAAAAACATTGAGTAACGGACTGAAATACTCGAGGTGGCTCCAGAGTCGGGCGAGCGCAACGGGTCTATGAGCTTTAGAAACTCGTGACATCGACGCCAGAGCGGCGCGGTTCCTCCGACGCTCGGTTCCGACTTCTGTGTCGCCCTCCAGTGGGCCACATGGGAAGTTGTCTAGAACCAAGGAATAGACGTCTTGACCCCAAAAAGTGCGAGGAGCAGCAGACGGGAGAGCCGCCGTGGATTGCTGACGATCGGGATGAGTTTATACAGAGCAGGCTACAAAATACAGCCACTTACATGAGCACTGTGCATTTCTGCTTGTCCGAGAATTATGATCAAGACGATGGCGAAGAGGAGAGACGGAGAGACGGAAGAGACGGTGGGAGCGTGAAGTTCAAACTTGTTCCTGGCCAGGTCTGCTCTGAGTCATCTGGAATGTGCGTGTCTCTGGGTGATCAGCACTGCCAAGAAATACCACGTAACCCGATGACAGTATCGTCAGATTGATCCCAATATTACCCAATGCTGAAGACCTCAAGGCCTAGGCATCGGAGTCAATCTCGAAGGGTTTGCTGTCGAGCGCCAGATGCCATCATGAGTGCACACAACTTGAACTATCACGATCGCTGAGCATGTCCTCCCTCTCGGCTCTGGGTGGGTGCAATATTAGTTGTGAACGAAAACGACCAGACGGTGATATATATTGATGCCTAAAGAGGTGTTTACGGGTCTCAACGGCGCCTCACGACACGCCATCATCCACCTCATCCCCGGCCAAGTATCATATGGCTAGGCTCTCCAGGAGAACAAATGGGGGAAACGGCACCTCAAACGAGTTTACGTAGGTTTCGTGACATGGAGTATGTCTATGATCTTCTCCAACCTCGCGTTTCCTCCCAGTCGCAGAATCTCGGCCCGTATTTGTTTCTCGAGGTTGTCCATGACGCTCAGGGTGTAGTCGAACGACTTGGTGTGGTCGCGCAGGTACGCGATTGTGTACTTCTTGAGGGTGGGGGTGGTTGGTCGCTTCTGTAGTACATCTAAACGTCACGCACAGACTATCAGAGGTGAACCCATTCACAGCGAAGAGAGCACATACTGAGTATTTGTCGGTTGGATGTGTCCGCACGGACACCATGAACAACGGGGAAGGAGAATTTACCCTCCGAAAGGTCTTCCGCAAAACCTTTGTTATCTGAGTACTACGACAGGGCGGATGAGTAGCTAAAGGACTATACTGGATGGCTGGATGCGAACCTGTGTACTTTGCAAGTTCATGTAGTCATCCCTGATCTGGAAATGTACGCCGATCAGATTCACGAGAGGAACATAATCGCTATCGTGGGATCATTCGATTAGTATCACGAGCTGGAAAGCGTTCATATCGTCACATACACCTCGAGGTTTGTGGTAGAGCAAGCCATCATGAGCTTGACAGCAACACGTAGTAGACCACCGGTCTCTGTGTACGGTGTAACAACTCGTTATGCCACAAAAGCAGGCAGAGGCGTACTGTTGTTGACCATAGACACGTACTCCTCCTCTGACGGACATTGTAATGAATCGCGCCAGAGCAGCTCAAGCCCCTGCCCGCGGTGAAGAGACATCAGTTCAGCTGTACAGACTGAAATCAGCCAACATCATGCACCAACATTGCACTACAAGAACATACCCGTGACAATGCGATCGAGCTCCTGAAAAGGTACCAGCCGGTGTTCAGGTTTGCTCCGCGTCATTTCTTCATCATGACCGATTCCCGAGCGCAGAGCGAAGAGCTCCTGGTACGCCTTGAAGTATACGTAGTTGGCAGAGTTGATCGTTTGAGGTACCCCGTAAATCTTGTGCGCGACTAGCATGTCCATCAGTATGTTGACGCAGATATTCCACAGAGGAGCTCACCGGGGGCCCCTCTTCGCAACTGTGCGTCGTCTTCAATGTCGTCTACACTGTCAATCAGTTACACTCGCGTTCATACCGCCAAGAAAGTCGGGCTCACAGCAAGCTTGCGGTATGCAACATGCTGACGACCTTCGAAATGATCTTCAGCTTCTCGTCTGGGACACTAAGCCAGATGTTGAATGCTTCGATCAGTTGACTCCTGATCTCTTTTCCTGGGATCGAGAAGATGTGCGTAAAGGGTTCAAGAAGTGCCTATATCTTACGCACGTTGACGGAGTGCTCGTAGGAAGGCATAGAGGCACACTTACAGACTCGTTGGCCTCCGACCATGTCTCCGAATCTGCTAGTATCTTCTGAACGTTGAGTGAGGGTGCTTCTGATGTCATGACAGGTAAGCAGAGGGCGTGATGGGCGTCGAATTGTCTGATAAACACAGAGAAAACTGTGGGAGAGGTGAATAGGGAGGATGAAGTCAAGGAGATTGTCGGGGCCGCCGCTGCTTTCGCCTCCTTGGGTGCCCGGGCCTTGCGGTCCGCCCACCCCTAGAATAAGGTTAGGGTTATTAATGGGATTTCGAGACGCGCGACGCGCGGACTGGCCACTCTTGCTCGACTTTTCGCTCTGCCTCCTTCCTTCCCTCGCACCGCGCCGCCATGGGGAGGTCAGAGATCGAAACTTGGATGGCGTCTACCTCGACTGGATCTGACGATGAAGGCGATTCCTCCACCTCCGGTCCTACCTGGCGCCGAGAAAACATTTTAAAGGATTGGCCGACCGCAATGCAGGTCGCCCAAACGAAACTCTTCGTGAGCAGCACCAAGGCGCGCATACAATTTCTCAATGAAGAGCTTCTAGTACTCGCGAAATACGGTGGTGCGCATGTCCTCAATATTCGCGTGTGTACCTCGCGTACTGACGTAGATCGCAGATCTCAGCCTCTCTCAGATCATGGATATCTTCAAGCTTTTGACTTCGACGTATCCACGCTATATCGATTCCGAATCGCGAGAAACCGTCGAGTCTGTGGGTATGGCGATGGTGCGACGAGACGAGCTAAGGGGACGACCGGAGGGCGAGCCAGAAGAGAGCAAGTTCGGAGTCCTCGAGCAAGTCCTTGGTTGGGTGTCGCAGGAAGTGGGGAGGATACACAAAAGTCCAAGGTGCGTGATGTGCCATTGTCCCCAAATTCTAGTCATGATCACGGCACCTATATTCGAGCTTCACCCGTTCACTCCGGACCTCACTTCGGACTTCTTTCATGTGATATATTCTCACATTATTCCTTTAGCTCTTGCGCCGCTGCGGACATATTCGTGCTGCTGAGCTGGTCATGCGGACTGTATGTTATCTGCCTCGACTGCGATCCCGAATTTCCTACCTCTCGTGCATGGCCAGTACTTCTCGCAATCATGGCCTGTCTCGTCGATATGCTTCTGGATCCCACAACGCCCGGAAAGAAGTCCATCCACAAGAGTGCATTGGTCAGAACTAGGCGAGCACTACGCCATGTAAGTCTATTCGCCGTGGCTCAGAGATTTGCTCATGTCCATGAAGAGCCCAGGAAACCTGTCCACTGTGATGCGCACTCTACTCAGACCTATGAAGGCTTTGCCTTCTCCGTTAGCCGTGGTGCCCCTCCTTGGTATCTCGATTGATGTGACACTACGCCTGAAGGACGTCAAGGATCAAAAGCTCACCACCATAGATTCTGCAGTGAAGGTGATCTATCTTGACTTTGATTCGTCGTACTCTCGCTCACGTCTGGACAAGACAGAGATTATCCAACTCTACACCGGCTCTGTTCTGATGTCGAGAGCACCGGTGGGGAGCCACATCTCTGTCCGTACATTCACATTCTCATTATGTTCCGACCTAACACAGTTCTTAGACAGCACTCCATGATTTCATAAGCAGTCAAGTGACCACCAGTGATTTCGCCGGAACGATTCTTCCCTCCATGGAGAAGGCACTTCTTCGCTCCCCAGAGATCTCCCTCACTAGTCTGTTCGATTTCTCTTCTCACTGAACTATCATTGACGATGATTTATTTGTAGTCACAGCCGACTTCTTTCCTGCCTACGCCCATGAAGTACCCAGTGATTCGTTCCGCAAGCTCCTGGCATCCTGCTTGAACAGTGCCAAGTCGTCCAACGCATTGGTTAGGAATAGTGCTGCTGTCTTCTTCAAAGTTCTTGCGGATCGCGCAAAGGAACCGGCAGATCAAGAACACGCCGCCAGCGAGCTGTTGGCCCTTCCGAAGGCTGGCAAAACTGCTGGACCGGATCACCGAGTCACATTATTCACTATGCTTGGCGGACTGCCGTCGTCAACCTCCGTCTCGCCAAGCGTCGTCAGAACTGCTCTCCCTATCCTCGCAAAAGAGACACATGATGCCGCAATGACCGCCTTATCCAAGTCCCTCGCACCTCATCTGCTCAGCTCTCTCAAGAGCGACACACCACTCCCCAACGACGTCGTTATCGTTGCGACGAAAGAGATGACGAGCGCGAAGCCACCCGTTCGACGGGCATTTTGCTCGTTGGTAGGCAATGCGCTTCTCTCTATTGGCGACACCGTATCCGAAGCCGCGTTGGCGTTCACGAAGGCCGTCATTCCCGCACTCGAAGCCAACTTGAAAACAGTCGCTGCGAACCCCTTCAACGCGGCTGCGGGCACATTAGACGGTTACGTTTCGGTGGCAATCCTTCTTGGCCCTCTCGCACGCTCCAAGCAATTCGGTAGGTCTCAAACACCATCTACACTGCGTTCACGTCTGATATCTTTGAACGCTAGATACCATTATCAGCGGCAACTCGAACTTGCATGCCCTTGCGGTAGCCAGTCCGAAGCCTTCATTCTTGCTCTGGGATAAAGTCTACCAGAAGTTGAACGGCGAAGAGGAGGAGATGTGGCTTCTGCATGCATCGGAGGCGACTCTCTTTTACTTCAAGAACGAGTTCATCACTAATGAACAAGCCAGGTCGGTAGTATGGACACATTCCTTGTTCAATGTGCTCACTATTCTCCATTTAGGACGCTGTTAGGCTCCATCTTCCTGCATCTGGTGGTCGAGAGCAATATCCCTGCCGTTCGGCGCGCGGCTGTCGGTGTCGTGGAGCGTCTGACCGCCGCCCTCCCCGAACATATCAACCTTGCGATCACTTCGGCCTGCGCCACCTACCTCTCCAAGGAAAAGACGCCAGTCAAAGCGAACGGCTCGAGCGACGAACTGGAGACCACTACGAGCAAGGAAGCACGACTCCCTGCTTTAATCCTTGCCTGCGCGGCGTTCGGTGAAGATTGCCCGCTTGACATCAAGCAGCGCATGCTTTGGGATTGGGTACTGCTTGCGCATCATCCAGGGCCTTGTAAGTCGTTTATAACAGAGCCCTAGTATCATCACTGAGGCCATTGCAGCTGGAAAGATCCGCCAAGTATGGATTGAGCTCTGCCAGAAGGCGCGTGTTGATCCGCACGAGCTGGTTACTGCTCACGCGGACGCGATTTTGGAGAAAGTTTACAGTGCCATGGAGGTGGATTCCAAGGTGAGCTTTTTCACGGTCATACCGGCATCAGGCTCCTTACATATCATTTGAAGGCCGCATCTGGATTCTCGGAGGCCGCATACCGTGCGGTTACAACACTGGTCTTCGTCGCCCCAGAAGCCGTGCTCCACAAGCTCGTTGGCCACATCCAGTCCGACATCGCCCCTTCCAACACGCAGTCGCTCGCGGACGACGACCTCGCGATCTGGGCGACTCCCGTAGGCCAGACCTACGTCGACGTGCTCGCTACGAAGAAGGATGAGGTCCCACAAAAGAAGGGCAAGGGCTACAAGGACGCACAGTGGGAAGCTGAAGTCCGCAAGTCGCTCGCGAGCAAAAAAGCCAGCGGGGCCGGCGCGACGCTTTCAAAGGCCGATCAGGCGCTTGTGCAGGCGCAACTCGAGAAGGAGGCGGCGGTGCGTGCGCGCGTCGAGGGTATCAAGGCGAAGTTGGAGAGAGGACTTGGGTTGGTGCATGCTCTCGTGCGGGCGCAGGTGGAGGAACTGCACAGTTTCGTATCACCACTGGCGACGCTCATACGTGAAGGCGCGTTCGGCCCGGCTGTAAGGCTGGTGGGCGAGACCTCGTTCACAACCTACTTGGTAAGTGCTTCGCGTGCGCATGTCTCTGCATAGCTTACCGGGGTCTGGGGCAGATGCTTTCTGAGTGCTGTTCGGATCGTTTGGACAGCTACTGCAAGTGGGTTGGGGTCGCGGCACTGCGCAGCTCTGAAGTAGATGGCATTCCTGAAGACTTCACTATCGAACCTCTCAATGGTATGCGTACCTCCCGTTGATGTTACATTCATGCCCTGGCTCACCGAGTGTGTTCCAGCCTTGGTGATCCGCGTGCTTTATCGTCTACGCACTCTCTCCGAGCAGACTCCTTTCGACGCAGCCACGTACGGTTATGCGTCACCACTTCTCAGTCAAGTGCTGGTCAAGGGCGGCATTGCTATTGGCGAAGAGGACGACCCGCTTGAGCAGATCGCGCTTTCTCTGGACATCATCAAGTTCCATTGCGGTGAATGTGAGTGAATTTTGAAGCACCTCAAGGATGGACGCTGATGGATTTCAGTCTCCGATGCCACCTACCCCCGCATTAGCACCGTTCGCGACCTTATCCATGCGATCCGGTATCAACCCAAGCTTGCGAAGGACGCATCATCGGCTCTCCTCGACATTGGTCAGGCTATGCAGGCCAATGCTACTCGCGAGGAAGTTGGCGTGCTCGTCCGTGGTACCCTGTATCAAGAAGTGTACACCAGGACATCGTGTCTCCAGGCATTGCAGGTAAGCTTCTCCAGTGGTGAAGTGAAGCCTCGCTGAGTTTTGGTTAGCCTTTCGATCTCACAGATCTGGACTGGTCTCCCGAACTCTGGATTTCATGCCATGACGAGGATGGAAACAACGCCCGACTTGCGAACGTCATTTGGGAAGACAACGGCCTCGACGTGCCGGAGAACTTTGTCCAAGACCTTCTTTCGTACCTCGGTAAGCTACCTCAGCAGGGTAGGTGTTGCCGACTGCTGATCTCGAGTTTGTAGAGCACGAGAACGTGTATGTCCGGACGTCTGCGGCCGCTGCTCTTGCAGAAGGTGTTATCGAATACTGGCCTACGACCATCAGCAAGGTCCTCATCACGCTTCAAGACTTCTATCGTGAGAAGGTGATATAATTTCACGGTCTTGACTTCATGGTCGGACTAACACACCTCGTAGGCGAAGGTCTTGGCTCCTGAATTCGATCAATACGTATGTGCAGGTCACCCTCGCTATGCTATCTCTACTGACAAAAAGTCTAGGGCATGGTCATCGCCTCTAGCATTGGTCGGACAGATCCGTGGCCTGCTCGCGTTGCTATTTCCCGCGCACTCGAGGCCCTCTCACCTGCCTTCACCCCCGAAGATGTGGAGCCCTTTTTCAAGTTCCTCATCCAGGATAAGGCACTCGGTGATCTTCATCCCGACGTTCGTCAAGGCATGCTTCGCTGTGGCACCACAGTCATCGACTTGCACGGATCGACTCGCCTCCCGGAACTCATCGGCATGTTTGAGGCGGAGCTGGCCAGCACTGGTCCTGCAGACGAGTCCTCGGACCAGATCAAGGAGGCAGTTGTCATTCTCATCGGTCGCGTCGCGAGGCATCTGGACCCATCGGACAAGCGCCTGCCGTCCACCGTCGAGCGGCTGGTGGGTGCGCTCAAGACACCCGCGGAACAGGTTCAGATGGCCGTTTCCGAATGTTTGTCCCCGCTTGTCAAGATCCTGAGGGCGCCGCCCTCAGAGTTGGTCGATCGCCTTCTGGACGAGCTATGTAACTCCCCCTCCTACGCTGCCCGTCGTGGTGCGGCATATGGTCTCGCAGGTGTGGTCAAGGGTCTCGGTATCTCTGCGCTCAAGGAGTACAGGATCATAGATCGCCTTCGCGCCGCAGCGGACGACAAGAAGCGCTTCGAGCCGCGCCAGGGCGCTATGTTCGCCTTCGAAACGTTCACCAGCACCCTCAGTCGTCTTTTTGAGCCTTACGTCATTCACATCCTTCCACTGCTCCTCAACTCCTTCGGCGATGGAACACCCGACGTCCGAGATGCAGTTCAAGACACTGCACGAGTCATCATGGCAAACATGTCCGGCTACGGGCTGAAAACCATCCTCCCATCGCTCCTTTCTGGTCTGGACGAGAAGCAGTGGCGGACCAAGAAGGGTTCTATCGAGCTCCTTGGTATGATGGCGTATTGTGCTCCCAAACAGCTCTCGCAATCACTTCCAATCGTCATCCCTCGCCTCACCGATGTCCTCACTGACTCCCATGCTCAAGTGCGTGTGGCAGCGAACAAGTCCCTCAAGCAGTTCGGTGAGGTCATCAGCAACCCGGAGATCCAGTCGCTCGTGCCAGTGTTCCTCAAAGCAATGGTGGATCCTGCGAAGACGCCGAATGCGCTCACTGCCCTGATCAAGATGTCGTTCATGCACTACATCGACCACTCCTCGCTCGCGCTGGTATGTTTAACCACAAGATTCCTCACTCGATGCTAAATGTATATTTAGGTCATCCCCATCATTGAGCGCGGTCTTCGTGAGCGAGGCGCCGACACCAAGAAGAAGGCAGCTCAGATCGTTGGAAACCTGGCATCCCTCACAGAGTCCAAAGACTTCGTTCCTTATCTCTCTCGCCTGCTCCCCATGGTCCACGTGGTGCTTGTCGACCCTGTTCCCGAAGCTCGTGCCACCGCTGCCAAAGCTCTGGGAACACTTGTCGAGCGACTTGGAGAGATGCATTTCCCCGACCTGGTCCCTGGTCTTCTGCGCACGCTCAAGACGGATACTTCCGGCGTCGATCGTCAAGGTGCTGCTCAAGGTCTGTCTGAAGTTCTCGCTGGTCTCGGTATGGAACGCATGGAAGGTCTTCTCCCCGATATCATCACCAATGCTCAATCTCCGCGGAGCACGGTTAGGGAAGGTTTCATGTCGCTACTCGTCTTCCTTCCGGCAACATTTGGTGCCCGCTTCCAGCCTCACCTTCCCAAGATCATTCCGCCGATCCTCAGTGGTCTCGCCGACACCGAAGACTACGTGCGCGATGCGGCGATGCGCGCTGGTCGTATGATGGTGAACAACTACTCGACAAAGGCGATCGACTTGTTGCTTCCTGAACTCGAGCGGGGCATGTTTGATCCTGGTTGGCGCATCAGGGCATGTCCTGCATTCCCCATCTATGCACCCTGTCTAACCGATGTTTTTTTAGCAATCGTCAATCACACTTGTCGGAGAACTCTTGTTCAAGGTGTCTGGAATCAGTGGCAAGGCCGAGATCGAAGAAGATGAGGAGGCGGAGGAGACTACTATGGCGGAGGGTTCTCGCAAGGCTTTGGTTGAGGTCCTTGGCGTGGAACGTCGTGACCGCATCCTCGCAGCTCTCTACCTCGCGCGCCAGGATGCGGTCAACGTCGTCCGCCAGTCTTCCGTTCACATCTGGAAGGCGCTTGTACACAACACTCCCAGGACAGGTAAAGTGATCTCCCCTTTGTACGAGATACCGTGTTTATCGAAATTCCAGTGCGCGAAATCCTACCCGAGCTCCTCACTCAAATCGTCCTTCTGCTCACCAGCGAAGAGAGCGATCAAGAAGAGGTCAGCATCGTCTTACCATGCGCACCGTCTTTTCTAACATATTGTGCAGACTGCCGGTCGTACCGTCACCGAGTTGTGCCGCAAATCTGGAGAGAAGCTGCTCGCCGAGATTGTCACCATCTTGCGCGAAAATGCCAAGTCTAGCGATACTCGTAAACGCGAAGGTGTCTGCCTCATGCTCTGCGAACTCATGTTAGTCGTCACTCGCCCCGTGTTCAACAAAGCAGCTAACAGTCTCAATAGGGTTAGCACCACGGACGGCCAGCGAGAAGGTCAGGAGATGGACATCATTGCTATGGTTAGGGCAGCGCTCGTCGACGACGAGGCCAGCGTACGCTCTGCGGCCGCGAAGGCTTTCGATACCTTGCAGGAACACATTGGCGCACGGGCCATTGACGAGACTATCCCCACGCTCCTGGAAGCTCTCCGTCAACCTGGGCAGAGCTCAGGGACTGCGCTCCAAGCGCTCAAGGAAGTCATGGCTGTCCGCGCCTCGACGGTGTTCCCCATCCTAATTCCGACTCTTACTGCCCTCCCTATGTCGGCATTCAACGCGAGGGCTTTGGCCACGTTGGTCACCGTTGCTGGGCCTGCGCTCAGCAGGCGTCTCTCACAAACTTTGAATTCCCTTGTCAAGATGCACGAGGGATCAGAAGTGCAAAGTGACGAAGAGCTCAACGAGGCTATTGACGAAGCAGTGCGGGCCATCATGACTTCCATCTCAGACGCCGAAGGTCTCAACAGCTTGATGCTTACACTTCTCGACTGGTCAGTATATAATCTGCATTATCCTCATAATCTTGTCGCTCATATCACGTGCACAGGGCAAAATCCCATTCTGCAAAGCGTCGAACGAGTGGATGCGAGTTCTTCGCAATCTACTGCGAGGCATCTGAGCAGGACGACTCTTTGTACCGCATCGACTGGATTCGACAACTAGTGACTCTTCTCGACGACCCAGAGGTGGAAGTGCACACAGCTGCCTGGCAAGCATTTGATGCTTTCGTCAAGTCCATCCCCAAGGACGAGCTCGAGCCTCTTGTCGTTCCCTTGCGCCGGACAATAGAAAGCACTGGCGCGCCCGGCGTCTATGTCCCCGGCTTCAGCCTTCCCAAGGGTGTCGCTCCCTTCGTCCCCATCATCATCGCCGGCCTCACTACGGGAAGCAACGAGCAACGCGAGCAAGCCGCGTACGCTATCGGTGACCTGGTCGAACGCACAGCGGAGGCCGCAATCAAGCCGTTCGTTGTCCCATTCACTGGGCCGCTCATCCGTGTCGCCACACAAGCCACCACGTACCCGCCCGCGGTCAAGTCTGGAATTCTCACCGCGCTCACGACGATGCTGGAGCGCATCCCCATATTTGTCAAGCCCTTCTTCCCCCAACTCCAGCGCACGTTCGTCAAGAGCGCTGCGGATCCCGCCAGTCTTGCCGTGCGCTCGCGTGCCGCCCGCGCGCTCGGAGTGCTCATGCGCAGCCAGCCGCGCGTTGACCCCGTCGTCACCGAGCTCGTCACCGCGGCGCGCGCAGCAGAGGACGCGATCGCGGCGAGCTTGGTTCTCGCCCTCGCCAAGGTTGTACGGAGTGCGGGCACCAACGTCGGCGAGAAGGCACGGGAAGCGTGCTTGGAGCTGATATCAGACGCGTTCAAGGAGCAACACGAAGGTACATCTCCACCCTACATGATTCTTGCCGCATATTGCTGACGCTCGTTTCACTGAACAGAGCCTTACTGGGTGTCGATGTCGGAACTTTTTGCTGCGGTCGCAATCTTCGACGACCTTGTCATGCCCATCGTCAGCGCTCATCTGGTTGGCGGCACTCCGCAGTCCGTGCTCGCCGCGCACTGCATCCGTGCGGTCGTCGCTCCTGATGAGGACGAGGACGACAACAGTGCGCAGACCGAGAACGTTTTCCAGCGTCTCGGCGTGCTCCGCATGGTCGCGCAGAAGGCTCAGGAGTGTGCAGCGAACGAGCGGCCTATGATCGCGCGCCCTGGGCGCGAAGCGCGCGACGCGATCAAGGCGATAGTTGAATGAGGGGTGCGCCGAGTCTCGGGGACTCTCAAGGAGGAAAAATCAAAACGAGGGACGGACTCGTTCTACATCGCTTTCGCTTTCGCTTACACGCTCACGCCCACGACCTGTTGTTGTACACGTACGCGAATCTGTCATTATAACCGAGTATATCCTGAATCCAACAAATCTTACGTCCAAGCACCTCTAAAATCTATAGCCTGGCTGTCTGGGAGGTCGTCTATGTCCCCGTGCGTGCGTCATCAAGTCCATGAAAGTTCGTGAGCAGGGAATCCACTCCGCCTGCACTCAAACCTCCACCTTCTCTCCCAAGGCTGGCGTCTCCGCCCTCGACGGCCCCGTATTCTTCCTCTCCCTCTCGACCCTGTCCTCTTCCTCCGCCTTCTTCTTCAGCTCGGCCTCGTCCCCGCGCGTGAGCTCGGTGTGCTTGATCATGAACACCGCCACGACCGTCGCGAGCGCGGCGAGCGCGGCGTTGAGGAGGAACACCACGCGGAAGCCGCGCACGTACGCGTCCAGCACCCGCGCCGCGACGTCCGCGGGCAGCCGCACCGCGTCCGACGCGGACGTGGGCGCGCTGAGCGCGGTCGGGTCGTCGACGACCGCGGAGATGACGGACGCGGGGAGCCCGAGCTTGGCCATCTCGCTGCGGAGGGCGTTGTTCCTGGCGCGGCACGAAGGTGAGCGAGCGGGGTGGGGTGGTGGGAGGCGCGGACGTACGTGATCGTGGCGCCGATGGCGAGGGAGAAGGTGCCGCCGAGGAGGCGGATGAACTGGGAGGAGGGGCTTTGTGAGGAGATGTTGGAGAGCGGTGGGAGACGGTTGGTACGCACGTTGCGCACCGCGGTGACGACGGACATGTCCTTGCGCGACACGCTCGCTTGCGCAGCGACGGTGGTGGTCTGGAGAGTCTGCGACAGTACCAAGCGTGAGCCGACGGCTCGCTTGGAGGGCGGATGGTACGCACTCCCCCTGCGCCGACCCCGGTGATGAGCATGAAGAACACAAGCAGTCCCTGGGGTGTCGACGGCTTCACCGTGGACAAGCATCCACAGCCGATTGCATAGATGGCGAAGCCCATGTAGATGATGGTCTACTTCGTATATTAGAGACAGAGACAACTCGGGCAGAGCGTCGGAAATCGCCCTTACCCGGTACCTGCCTGTCCGGCTGACAATTTGACCCTGTTAAAACCTCACTAAGTTGCTTGCAAATATAATGGCGTTTGAACGGAAGTACCAACCGAGCAGAAGCTAGCCGTTGTTTGGCTTACGAGCACTGGGAGCAGGAACACCCCTGACCTTACGGCAGAGTATCCGAGCGCGACTTGGAAGAACTGGGGAAGGTAGTACAGTGAAGAGTAGAAGATGACGCCGCTGTGCATTCGATCAGACAGGCGGAACGCAGCGAGAAGTAGTTGAGAAACGCACTTTGAGAACATGGTGAGGTAAACACCAATAACTGTGATCTGCTTGAAAATGTACACTGAAGGCCATAGTTAGTCGGACGATCACGTTGCGTACACCACGGGAAACGTACTCGGCACAATGGGAAGACGCGCTCCCCTCCATTCCCATAGACAGAAGAGCGCGATAACGAAGAAACCCGCGACCAGAGGGGCAATGACGACAGGAGATGACCACGGGAAGGTCACTCCCCCCTGCACGCGACCGATTCAGATGTCAGAAAACGAAGTCATCTATGAAGTCGTGGAACGCATGCCCAGATCAGAGGCAATGTGACGAGCGCACACCCCACCAAAGTGAGGATAGTTCCCAGATAGTCGACGACCGCGAGCTTCCTGCGGAAGTCGCCCCCAACCTTCTTCAGCGGCAAAACGAGGACGACGCAGGGGATTGCGACAGCAGAGACGGGCAGCGTGACCCAGAAGCACCATTGCCAGCCAACCTTCTCTGAGATGACACCACCGAGTAATGGACCGACGGCAAAGCCGAACGCGACGACCACTCCGATGATGCCCTGGTATTTACCCCTGTACGGCGTCGAACCTAGGGTAAGCATGTGCTACGCAGAACCCCGGCCACCACACTCACCTATCGCGGAGGGAAACAACGTCTGATATCACAATTTGCGCGATGCTGACGATGCCACCCCCGCCCACGCCGGCAAAACCACGGAGAACGATGACCTCGATGATCGTGCGCGAGAAGCCGGCGGCGAGGTTGCCGACCATGAAGATGCCCATTGCCAAACACAGCGCGGCCTTTCGGCCGAAGATGTCGCTGAAGCGCCCGTCTGTGAAGCGGCTGAAGTCAGTGCTCAGAAGAGTTTGAAACGCTCCACCGCACGCGGGCTTGGCGGGCACCGTCGCGGTCGCATGCCTGGAGAGAAGGCGTGAAATATGCAGACGGGGACTCACAGAGAGGCTGGAACGCGGTGGACGTGAGGAAGTACGCCGACGGCACCCAGGAGACGACCGAGCCCGCGTTGAAGGCAGCAGCAATCGTTGGGAGGGCGGTGGCGACGATGGTTGAATCCAGGCATGAGACGAGGATGCAGAGCGAAAGACCACCGAAGACTGCCACGACCTTCCTGCGCGGGAGGAGGTTCGTTTGGTCCGTGAGGGAGATCGTTTCCGAGCGCGAGTCCACGACGGTGCGCGCATCTTCGACGATATCCACAGTGGACACAGTTTGGGAGACAGCAGGAGTGGCCGACATGGCGCGTCGGGGCCCGTGTTGAGAACTCAAGCGCTCAAGGCTGGAGGTTATCCGCGAGAGACCGCCGAGGAAGAGGAAAGCTGCGTGGGGACTGCAGGCCTTGGTAAGCTTGGCAATCCATCTGCGAGTTTTATACACCACGATGAAGCGGCGCGCTGCGCGCGATTGTACGTCAACACCCCGGCTCGTTGGGAGTGGGCGCAAAATGCGGGCGCGAGGTCCGACAGAAGACTCACCACAGGCCCAACCCCTTCGTCGGGCTGTCGGGCGCGTCCTGTTATGGCCTGCTCCGCATGACTGGTTACGAGCTTCGGCGCGCACCCGCTACCGACACTCAACATACGATCGCGTTACCTTGTCTCGCTACGCGATTGCCTCCGGGCTCTTCCCCGTCGCCGCTTCTACCCACATCGCCGCTCTCGCGAGCCTCCCCGAGGTCAAGCGCGTCCCTCTAATCCGACCCTGCCTTCCCGCCCGTCTCCGACTCGCTCCGCGCTGGGCCCGCGCTCCGCGACCGTAACACGTCCTTGCGGCGGGCACATCAAAAACCACAGGCTTTGCTTCTATGAATAGGCCCGGATGGGCTGGGATAGGGCCTCGTGCCGAGATTTGAGGCCGAGGGTTATCGGAAAATCGCCGGCCGACGACAACTTCGGAGACGGAGAATTCGACGCCGGTACGATGTTTGGGCACCTAGGGGAAGATGCCATTCATGCACAGACGGCATATAACACGGCGTTACACGATGCGTACCTGCACAGGGATCGTAGTGGTGGCTGCTAGCAGAATGTATGCACCGCATACAGCGACGACAGTCATTGATTGCGCTGTTGCTGGCACTGCTGTGAACATAAGTTTGTGGGTACACACAGGGGGAAATCACTCGCATGCTTGATGAAGGCGTTCATCCGCGCGATAGCGACTGCAGAGGATGGGTGGAGGAGGCAGAGAGCACGAGCACGACGGTTGAGGCAAGCGCTACGGGACTCCGGCGCTTGCCCACAGTTGATCGCAGTGACGTCACAGTCTACCGAACGCCGGCAGCGAATGTGAGGCACCATGGGGATGGATGCATGAAATCAGGTGTATAACAGTTGTGGGTAACAAATGAAAGTACAAAGGGCGTGAAACGGAGACTATTGATACAAGTACATCGGACTCCAACTTCCAACCAATACATATCGTACACCGGCACGCCGCAGCGAACGGAAGTGAGCGAGTCACGAGACAAATACTGTCATGTCTATGGGTATATATCTCCGCCTGTAGGGTTAATGTACAGATCCCACATGGCCTGGGCGTCGTCCGTCAACGGCTGCGCATCTGCGCGCTGTTCGCCCTCGAGCGACTCGAACATCCCGCCAAACTCGGCGCTGTTCACGCACCCCGAATCGTACAGGCTCGGCGTGAACTCTGGAGCGTACCGATCGAGTCCCGTCGGCTGCGCGGGGTGGTACTCGGCACTTCCCGAGGGGGCAAGTGCGTCGTTCACGAGGGACGTCTCCGACGAGGTGTTCATGTGGGACTGCGGCATGTCAGGGAAGGTGGGTGGCATGGGAGGGGAACCACTCAAAGCGGCGAGGCGCATCGAGGAGAGGTCGTTGAAGGCTGGGTTCGCGGTGCGCGTCGGGTGCATGCACGTCATCTGTGGGACGAGGTGGATGTACGGATTGAACGCTTCGACGCTGGGGCCCAAGGGGGCGGATGGGCCTGCGAACGGCCGGGACTCAAACGCGTTCTGAGGCAGTTGAAGAAATTCCTGGCTTCGGGGGAAAGGTATCCGCAGTGGTTGGGAGAACAGAGGCAAGGGAAGGGACGTCTGGGGCATGGTGAACGACGCTTGAGTAAACGGCCCCGAGTACTGAGGGAAAGGTGGCTGCATGGCAGAGGGAGCTTGAACGCGATTCGATCCCCGGGATAGCTGCGCCAGCGACTTGTCGAGCATTGCTGGCTTGTACACCTGCACGTCCGGCATCATCCCGGGCGCAGGTACGGGTTGCGGAGTCGGAAGCGCCTGTTGCTGAAGTGTAGTGTCACCGATGGTAGCGTAGCCAAAGTTGCTCTGGAGGTCGCTTGCCGTCGCCAGGTAGTAGGACGCCCCAGAACTACCGCTGGAGCTGCATTGCGAGAAGCTGGGTCTGGCCGCAGGTTCCTCGAGGCTGATCTTGGGTGGTATCCATGCGGGTGTGACGTTCCTCCCAGAGGCCGTTGTGGGAAGCTTGCCATTGCGCTTGGTGCAATTCTCGTTCGCTTGGCGCTGCAAGTCGAGCTTGTACGCCTGGAAGGCGCGTTCGGCAGCCATCAAGCGGTCCTGGTCTTTGTCCGTACGGTCCACAAGCTCGACAAGCGACTCTGTCCTAAGCGGCAAGAACGGGAGCGCCAGGTCGGCTGCGACGACGACATGACTTGGCGGCGGTGGGACGCGCGAGGATGCTGGCGAAATGGAGGGGGCGTACGGGGTCGTCGAAGTCGAGCGTTTGCCATTCGTGCGGAAGGAAGTGGCCGTCCCGAACGCACTGCCACTCGCCGGCGGGGCGTACGGGTGGTGCCGCGCAACGGTCATACCACCGGGAGATGGACGAGAATGCTCTGCGGTCGACATGGGGATACCGCGGAGGACCCGACGCTGCTTTTTCTGCCGCTTCTCGTGCGCGAGGGGGGAGGGGGAATCTGATGGGGGCGTACCGGAAGTCCCCCGTCGCACTTGCCCCTGCGCGTTCTTTATCTCCTCCCATAGACGCTGCCAACATGTCTTCCAATTCTCCGGAATCTCCCTCATCCACAGTGAGCCGATCTGGGACCTTACGTCGTCTTTGTGGACCCCGCTGCCTAAAAGTGTCTGGTAGGCACCTCGAAATAGAATGAACTGGTTCGGCGCCTTCTTTGGGCCGCGGTCGGCCAAGGCCTTCGGGTCCAAGTATGTTGCGCGCGCTGATGAAATCATCTTTTCTAAATCCGCGTCTGTAGGGACTGGGATTGTGAAACCTGAGCCAGAGCTTGCGTCTTCTCCGTCGAAGTCAAAGTCCGCCATGTTGCTGAAGCCGAGAGGAGACGATTATGCGCAGAGTACTGAAGGAATTCTGTGGACAATGAACAATGGCGTTAGCCACAAGAAGGGAGGGCAGAGTTGGTCAAGCCACCTACAAGAAAGACGACGGAAACAGAGATGAGTATGAGCAGGCGGGAGGAGTGGGGCACGGGAGACGCGGGGAGGGGTATGAGGACCGGAGAGAAAGTGTGGACGACGCGGCCTGCCGATATAAGTACTCCGAGGTCCGCCACCCCCGGAACGGCCAGAGAGGAACGAATGGGCGGGGATTGCCGGTCCAGCTTGGACGGGGAGTGGCATGGGGGTAGTGGGCGAACGACAAAGCAGGTTTTTTACGTCACGCGCGAGTTTTGCTAGCCTAGCATACTCCTCTCGCGGACGCTTCTCGCAGACGGTGTGGAAGCAAGCACGCGCATTGTTTGCATCCATACACGCTGCCTTCATCGAGGGGATCGGCCTCAGGTCGACGGGTGTCGTCTGCGCGAATGCTATCAGTTGAGCCACCCAAGTATGAGCCAGAAAGACATTCACGGGTACTGCCGCTCGGCCACACTGATCAAGGCCACGCTTCACAGATCTGCGTTCCGCAGAGTCGGGTCGATCCACTCCAAACCGAGCAGCTCGAAGACTTCTTTCTCGGATCGCGGGAAGAACTCCTTGGAATCACGTTGGCGCACGCTGTGGTAGGGGAGCATGAACAAAGCGCCGTTTGGCCGAGAGGCACGACCACTTACATGCCTGAGCTGTCGAACTTCATCCCACACTTGTCCTTCGCCCACTGTCGGATGTCGCGCTCGAACATGACTGACCCCGTCCTAGTGCGCATACAGTCAATTTCGGGTGGGGAACGGCGAGTTATAACCACTAACCATCCAAGCACAGCAGTCCAGTACAACTCCGGCGGCGCGAAGATGAGATCCAGTCTTCGTTTGGTCCCGGTATAGAAGGAGGAATCCGGTGGTAAGACGATCACTGTTAGCGATTTCTCGATGGAGTCCAAGTTATTGGCGCGGTTGGGACTTTGAGAGTGATAACTGCCCAGGTCTGAGGGTGCATCAACACGTGGTGGGCCTATGGAGAGTACCGTAACGTACGCATTACGTGGGTGATCATCCCTGCGAGCACAACACGGCATGAGCATGACAGGAAAGCGACTCAAACAGCACTGCTAGGGCACCTCGATTGTATAGCCGGCGAAGGAAGCGCTTGCACATCCCTCCTATTTTTGAGCGGTCGGGGTGTGTGAAAACGATGTCCAAGTCATTGCTTTCAGGTTTTCCGCGACGGTATCTGGCAACGACAACGTCAGAGAGCTGGCAGGCACATCTGAAAGAGTACGAAGAGACATACCCTCCTGCCATGATCGACACAAATCCGGGCTCTAAATCGTTGAGCTCGTGGACCACGACCCGGTACATCTCCTCCGCCTCGGCGCGGGGTATCCTTACCGGACTCACATGAGCGAATTGGCAGAAGAGCGTGACATGAGACTCACTTCTTCTCCAGGTCTCCACGCAGACCAAGCGCAACCCGGACCCAGTTGTCCCCTAACCCGTCGTCGTACACCATATGCTTCCCGCCGCCCGGTTTCTGAGGCGCCTGCTCCATTTCGACTAGCCCGCCGTCGTGGGGGGAAACGTAGCGCTCCACGCCGTAGTAGATCTCCAAGTCTTCAAGGGAACGAAGTCCGAGATTGAAGAGTCGGCGGGCGGAAGTCGGGCCAATACCGTACACCGAGGTGAAGAGTGAGAGAACCTTGAACCGTTCCGACGACTTGATGGTTTCTGGTCATAATTCATGTGAGTTGGCGATGTAGATTGCGAAGAGTCACCCGCACCAGCTTCAGAAACCTTGCCAGTGTCAATGAATTCTTCTATCTATGGGGATGCGGATGAGCGGGAGAACCCAGGGCGCATTCACGGCGAAAACAAGAGAACGATACCTTAAGCGCAATCTTGGGCCCAATATGTGGCAGGTTCCCCACTTGGCGCAGGGATCGGATGTGGTGCGGATATGCTGCGTGATATCCAATGCATTATAAGCGTTGCGAGCTTTGGACTACGCTGTAGATGGTATACCTTTGAGAATTGAAACTGCCCGCTCGTAACTCAACGCACTGCGGTCGTCCCCATCCAAGGTCCGACTCCGACGGAGCACGTTAAGTTCGGTGGCGAGGGCTTGATTCGGGCATACCAGTGGCGACGGTCGTCGACAAGCATAGCGGGACGTGTAATCCAACTTGGAGACGTCTGTGGGAATAGGGGGCTGCGGAGGCAAGAGATATTGAGGGTCGTCTTCAGAGACGCGAGGCAGCAACAGACGCGAAACAGAAGGGCCGGCAACAGAGACTTGAGGCGGAACGGTCTCGGACTTAGAAGAATTTCCGCAAGCACAGGGGTCGTGAGTACAGCGGGGGCAGTTCTTCATGGTCGTGTCGTGAAGATCTTGAATCGCGACATAGTCCTCGCAAGGCAAAGCAGCACCCGCACGAACTGAGTCTCTCAGCCATTGAGGGGTAACAACCGCTTTCGCTTTCTGCCACGGACGACGCGTGAAAGTGAGCTGCATGAAGGCGGAGTGATAAGACTGTTACTCACCGCGATGTCCCAATCAACATGTCTCTCTAGACGCTTCCGCATGCCAATGGCCGTGACAATCACATCTGCGTCTCTCGGATCTTGGCAGACGCCTCGTGTATGGTGCTCGGCAAGGCTGAGTAGCGAGCCTACCGACGGTGCATCCAGCTTCGCTTGCACCAGATAGACCTTCACATCGAGCTTGTGAGAGAGCTTTGCTCGCTTGGCACCAGGTGGAGGCTGTGACGAAGACTGGGAATAGGAACCCGGGTTTGTCTCCTGTTCGTATGCTGGTCGTTTGAGAGGCATGTTATGGCACGTCTGCTACTGCCGGTATCAATGAGAGGTAGAGAAGATCAGGAGGGAAATGGGGACGCACCTGGGACTGCATTTATGACCGCAGAATGAGCGAAGATTACGACATGGAGGTCCACCGCGCTCTCACGCTGTCTGGTGTGGCAGATCGACGCCAGCGTGGTTGTAAGAAGGCGAGGAGCGAGGAAGAGGGCACTCTAGGCGGGGAAAGTGGGTGTCAAGGTGGGTGTTGGGGTTTAAGGGCGCATATGCCACACAGTGGCACTCTGGGATATGCCCGGGAACAGGCGTCTATTGGTCTATTGTCTTGTTTCTCAGCCAGAGCGTCTCCGATACTCGTCAAGGCGCGCTGCTCGAAGATTAAGCACAAGTACAATATGCCCCACTTCTGCGACTCTGAGAGGTATAAGAGGATGTAGGTAGCTTGCATCTAGGATATTACAGGATGTACTACATTACGAGGAATACACGGCAGGTAGCATCAGTCCGAATGCGAGCACAGTTCTTCTCCCCACGACTCCTCGTCATCTGTATCTCCGCTCTGCGAAACAGCACCATCAAGGGTGCCCTCCAGTTCTGCACAACCTCCGTCAACGCCCGCTTCTGAGCCCTCGGCCTCCGCGACGGCAGCCACCCCGGTCGCCTCGTCGCTGGGCCAAGTAATTGGCGTAGACGTTGCACCATCCTGGACGGACACACCACCGTCCGTCACCCACGAACCGGACTCGGAGCTCTCCTCAAGCTCAGCCATAAAGTCAGCGGTGCAGGCTTCGATGACGTCTTTCAAATCCTCGCCATGAAGAAACCCGAAGTCAATATCGTCGCGAGATTCACCATTTGCTTCGGCTTCGGCTTCGAACTCGAACCACTCCGGGGGAAGCACGAGGGAGTCTTCAGGCTTGATGACGGGTGTAGGTGCGGCGTTGCGAAGGAGCGGGGGGTCTTCAGTGTCGTCCTGAGGCTGAGTCGTCGGGATGGTGGTAGTGTGGGAGCCAGATTGAGAGGGGCCAATGTAGGGCTGAGGGGCGTCTGATACAGGGATCTTTGCAAGAGCAGTAGAGAGAGGGTCGTCCAAGTATGAAGGCTGAGGCGTGGTCGCACCGTAGAGAGATTCCTCAGAGGCCGGAAGTTCGAGGCATGGAACATCGAACATGAAAACCGCCGGGTCCGTGGGCTCGGTGAAGGGCGGCAGAGGTTGCATCGTCCCCGCCATCGGCAGTCTTTGCATTGCTGCGGGCGTGAAATGAGGATACATGAGATCTGCGCCAGGTTGTGGGGCGCCGTTTACCATAAGAGTATTGTTGTTGTCCGGAACCGGAGGACTGTAGAAGGGAAGTTGATAGTATATTTGAGGAGGAGGGACAGCGAATGGGTTGAGGGATGGGTCGAAGGCGTAAGGATTATGTACAAGTGGGTACTGGAGACCTGGGGGATGGAATTGCCCCGGCATCGGGGGCGGCGCCTGTCCATAGTTCTGCAGAAGCTGCGCGGCTTGCGTCATGTATGCTTGAGCCTGCTGGATCGGAATTTGGGGAATGAACATGTTGGCGATCTGCTCAGGAAGCGACGGGTCGTCGATGTTGAAGATCTCGCCGATCACTGCCGGATCTGCGAGGTGCTGGAGGAACTCGGGCGCCATACCAGGGTCTGCGCCAGGAAGGTCGCCTTGAGGGGTGCCAACGTGCTGCTGAGGGACTGGCTCGCGGACGTGTCGCACAGGCTCCTGTACGGCGGCAACGGGATGAGCTGATGGGCCGTCGGTGCGTGACACGATCTCCTGGGCTCCTCGTTTCCCCTTCTTTGGTTCTCCCTTCAGTCTCGCTTTCTTCGACTCCTCCGCATCCTGCTTGTACGCCAACTCCCGGCCCGTGTCGCCCAGTTTTGGTGCCGTGCCTTTCGGCCACGGCGGCAGCGGGTCACCGTTCGCCCACGCAATGTAACGTCGCTTCCTGATCGGCTGCCAAACGTCGAGCTTCTTCCACGCCCACTCGAGGTTGAGCATCGTCCCCTTGAAGTTGAGCGGCCGGACGGGGCGCGGGTGGCCGCCCTTCCTCTTCTTCCACTCGCCGTGGACGGTGAAGAGGATCTTGAGCAGGACACGCACCATGTCGTATGTGAACTGGCGGAAGGCCTTCTCGTCCGTAGAGACCTTTACGCCGTCGAAGCGAACGTCTGCCTTCCGCCAGATCGAGTTGTCCGGCGCGGGGAGCTCGTAGTCGAGGTCGTCGAGGGATTTGTTGCTGCTCTCAGGCGGGTGGCTCTGTATAACTTTGACAAGAGGGACATCCTTGGAGGGCGCGGTCTCGGGACCAGACGTCTCCGAAGGCGTCAAGTTCGCGGAGGACGCGGCCTCGGGGTGGACGACCGGCACGGGAACCATGAAGGACGTAGCTTGGGCGGCACGAAAACTGCTCGAGGGTGGTGCGAGGGGCGGGACGGAGGGGCGGGCATAAGGGTGGTGGTGAGAGTCTGAATGGGAGCTCGGTCCGGCAACGGACTGTGGATGCGTGTCGTGACGAGATCGAGTCTTGGAACGACGAACTCGGGGAGCTGCTTGCACGGGTGGGGAAATCCCGGCAAGCTGCTCTGCGACCTGAGTCATCGAAGGACGAGGGAAGCGAAGGGGGACGGCGGGGGCAGATGAGACGGCGTGCAAAGTTGGGTATAGTGTGGATTCAGGAGCGAACCGCGTCTTCGTGCGTTTCTTGGGACGAGCCATCGGTTCCTCGTTGATAGCTTCTCCCCCCGTGCCTGGGGCGGTGGAGGTGGTGGCATGAGATCCCCTTCGGTATCTCGAGACCGTTTCCTCCGGTGGTGGAACTGGGAAAACGGCGGAGGGTTCGCTTGTAGGTGGGCGGGGGACATCGCGGACGGGTGAACCCCTCCGTCGTTGGAGGCCATGACGGACGGACGGATCGTTCGATGACCAGAGCCTGAGTGGCGCGCGCTCCTTGGAACCAGAAACTTACTGTCAAGACTGACAGGGATCGACGTGAGAGCTAACGTACACACCTGGGTGGTCGTCTGGACGGTGGAAGGGGGCGCGGGACACCGGGGGTTTAGTGGGGGGAAGAAGGGCGGGGGTGAGAACAAGAGAGCTTCCGGCGCGTCTTTACGTTGAACACCGAGCACCATTCGCGGACCATCTTCCCGACCAGGTTGCTTGGACCACACCAGCGGGCGCGCACGCTAGAATCCCCACGGGCGTTCCCCGAATTCGGTAAGCAACCGCGACCACAATGCCGCGGCTGCCCGTTCCGGCGATAAATCCGCGGGGCGGGCCAGGCACCGAGGCCTCGATGCCATTCGACGAAGATCCACCTCGTGCCAACCCCGTCCTCGAGCTGCACTGCCCCAACGTATCATCGGGGGTCCTCGATTTCAGTAACTGAACGAGTCACTCGCCGAGCGGGGAGGGAGCAATGGGGGAGTTGGGACACATTTGTGCCTCGCTGAATCTTGAGATGGCCGCGCTCGCCTTGTGTCCAGCAGGACAATGAGCTGGCGGCGCCGGTTGCCAATGTTACGGAGCGAGCGCTTGTGCCGGGTTCAGGCCATGCATGAACCTTGTCCAACGTGCCCGTGTAGCTTCTGACTTGCGTTCGAAGCGGCCGAGTGGAGGGCCCTGGCCAGAACAAAGCGTAAGACAACGTCGAGGTAGAAGCGGAGGGGCACTGTTGGCCCTTGGGGGGCTGTACCTTGCTGTCCATGCAAGGATCTTCTGATGACTTGGTCTTTGCCACGAGTACTTGTCCGCCCCGCCCCGCCCCGCCCCGCCCGGACCGGAATCCACACATGGGCTCTGCTTCCTTGGATTGTCAGTACCCCAGTGCCTATAGAAGCGCCTCTGCAACAGGTTGTCGAACACGCGGAGTCAGTATGCCGTGGAACTGGTCTGGTTGGATATTGAGCAAGTGCCAAACACGGCGAAAGGAGTGGGATTACTGTCGCACGTACAGCGTGTATGCATGAAGGATAGAACGGATGAAGGGAGGACGAGGGATGCAAGTTGACTCAGTTCGGAGGCTGGCAGAGTTACGCCAGAGCTGAACGGGACTGGCGTCTATATTGAAGATAAGATAAGATAAAAAGCGGTGGAGATATAGTGGGCTATTGAAGCCAGTGTGTGCGCCTCATTTCTTTCTACTCTCACCCCTCGGCTACGCGACTGTTCCCCACCCTGTCACTAGGAGTAGATACGTGTCTTGTGCACACGCAGGACAACACACAACTCAAAGTGGAAATCTTGGTGGCAGATGATGATGCCGCTCGCGCCGGACTTGAACCGTACGCCGTCTTATCGCGGGCTCCCGAGGGATGTGGCTTGACCAGGTCAACAATGGGTGAGCTGCTTGTGTCAATGCAACGTTCTCCTCGATGTTCGCTCAGCCGGTTGACCCTGGCGCACGATGTCCGCTCTTGAGAGTCCGGCAAGAGCGGCCGCCGTACCCTTCCCCTGGCGGATGTGGGATGTGGGTGTGGCCAGTTTTTTCAGGACTGCACGAGCGTTTTCGCGGTTTTTTCCCCTGCGCGCAGAGTCTCCATCTTTCCTCGCATACTATCGTCTTCACGACGCGAACAGGACGTTCGCTCGAGGGGTGTCCACTCGGTACACACTTCGTCATGATACTTCTGCATTCTCTGTCGTCTTTGCTTCGTTAGACTCGTCAGCATGGATGCGATGCATGATCCAGCCCAGGCTGCCTAGTATCCGTCAACGAGCAGCGTGGAAGCTCCTCCGAGGCTTATCGCCCTCGGAATGCGCTTCTATGTCTAAGTAGAACTGCGCACAGTCCGTTAAGACATCACGACGCAGCGCTATCGCGACGAAAATACGTCCGTGAGATCATACAGGTCGAGTTCGCAGCACAACTGCATGCGCATCTCACGCTCGACCTCCGGCCAGCCCTTGTGATGCATGGTTATGTCAACAAGCAGCCTCGTGAACCTCATTCCACCGCTCTTCCGCTCTTCTCCACTATCTCGCTCCTGACTGGCCGGGCTTCTGGCCGACCCTTGGTCCCGCGATCGAGGGCGTCTGTTGTGCTACCGCAGCACTCTAGAGGGGTGCCGCGAGTATATCAACCCCCTCAGTTCTCCGGCTCCTCACTGGACTCCGGTCTGGGATGGCGGGCCGCCGCGCCCAACGGCAGACGGAGGAAACCCAGAAGATCTACTTCCCTTCTCTTTGGTGAGTGAGTGCCTGTTTTGGGCGTGCTCAATCTCCAACATACGAGTCTCCAGTTGAAACGATGTCAGCCCCGCAACGCTGAACAGCGTTGGTAACCGCAGCCAGAACCCATGGGAGCTCGCGTCAAGGGCACACTGGGGCCTTGATGTTCGTCAAGGCCTCGTAAGGCGGCGGTGAGGTAAGAGGGGAGCTCAAGAGGGGGGTTTCATCGTTTGTGTTTGCCAGCAGCCGGCCGGTGAGTCGTTCTGGGATGGTCTTTCCATCATCCCATCAACTCTTATTGATCATCACCTATATGATTTCGGCTTACAGCGTCGCGATCTGCGTGAGTTCCGCGACCGCCTCCGGGGCCGCTGTCAACGGCACTTGGGAAGAGATTCAGTGGTGGCCCGAAGTAAGTTCATGTTATGTTCACTGTTGCTCATGCAGGCCCGAACTGATAATGCCCACGGAGGTCCACAATCATGAGATGGCTCTCACTACTGTATCTCTGTCCCAGTGAGGGCAAGTCAAACTTGCTGTCTTTGAACACGTAGTTACAGTGTATCTCTGAGAATACAACTGCAACTGTGTGAAATGAAGTCAAGCATTTGGCCAAATACGTCTCACTCGTTTGCGTTGACGTTGACCAAGACTGAGGTGTCTGGGGATTGTGATCCGTACGCGTGTATTATAGCAAGCAATAACGACATGTAGTGTACTTTCCCTCCTCCCACTCACATCCGTGCCCGCGGTCACCGCCAGCCACCGCCCAGAAGCTTGAGTAGCCGCTTGCGGATCGTCTCGTTGTCCTGGGCCTCCGCTGCTTCCTTTGCCGCCTCCGCCTCCGCCTTCTCCGCTTCCTCCGCCTCCTTAGCCGCCTTCGCAGCCGCGTCTATGAGCGGCGCACGCGCGTTGCGCCGCGCAAGCTCCAGGATCCTCGCCTTGCCCGTCAAGCGCTTCGACGCATCCGGAGCGGCGGCGTGCTGAGATTGAGGCTCGGGTTCGAACTCGACGACTTCCTCTGCTGTCGCGGAAACCGCTTCGACTGTGGTGGACGACGCCGTTGCAGACGGTGCGGAGCGCGGGGGTTCCTGTGGGATGAAGTGCAAGTCTGTCCACGCGTCCGCGACCGGTTCCACGCGTGAAGACTGGGCGGCGACGTCGTGCGCAGGCTCCTCCACAGTCGCATCGACTACAGGCTCTTGGCTCGCGGCGGGCTTCACGGAGCGTTGGCTTGTCGCAGGCGTTAGCCCGACCTTTTCGGCGTGCGGGCGCCACTTGGTGAGCAAGTCCGTCATCTCCTGCGGGACCGGCCGGTCGCCCTCCTGCGGGGTGTAAAAGCCGCCCCACTGGTACAAGATTGCGCCAAAATTCTGCTGATGCTTGATGAACCTTGGATGCAAATAATCGTTGGCCTTGCTGCCTTCTGTAAGGGTACGTGAGCGGCGTGCTTCCGGCGGGGTGTGAGGAAGACTTACTGTTGCGTTGGAGGATGAGCTCGATGACTTGGGTCTTCTTGGGGTCTTCCGGCACGGCCATGGTCGCGGCGCCATAGAGCCCCTGGTTCTGACTTCCGTCGCGGTCTCTTCGCGTGAGCAGGTTCTCGAGATCGGCGAGCCCGACGCCGCCGGGCTGGTTGGTGGGGAAGATGGGGACGACGACCTTGAGGTTGGTACCGCTCTCGGGGATCTGTTTCACAGCTTCTGGGTCTTCAAAAAAGACTTGGAAATGCGCCGTGTACTCATTCGGATCGCTTGGGTGCTACGGACCGGAACGTCATCAGCCAGGAACCACGGTGCCAGAGTGGAAGGATTGGAGGCCTCTCATGCGCCCACGGAGCATCGCGTGACGCGCAGACAGAGTCTCTTCGTAGCAGTCCCTGTCGCCATGCCTGAAACGCACGCGCCATAGAGGGAGGTGAAGAGGAGGGAGGGGGAGTGAGCAGGTCGTACTCACACGTCTCTTCAAGTCATAACGCTTGATGGTCCCGAATCTCATTTCCAGCCCACGAAGCAGCGCGAACATCTCCGGCATGGTCTTCACGTCGTTCCACGCGCGCACATACACCGCATCCCCGGTTTCGTCGACACGACGTGGTTCGGAAGACCAGGCAGCCGCTGGGTCCATGGACGAGGACGAGGCAACCGACTCAGCGGCCTGCGCCTCGGTGGCCAGCGAGCGGAAGACCTGCCGCGGACACGCGAGCCGCCTGACCGCGGTCTTCATAGCAGGCCTTGCTACCGCCATGCTACACGCCAAAGAGATAGCCAGAGGAAGGGGGGGGAAGGGGGGGGACTAGGATGAGGAGGAAGCCGGAGGAAGAAGTGAGTCTCGGCGAGACAGCGGGACGGTGAGCTGAGCGCCTTGGTTCAGCTCTCCGCACCAAGAATCGAACCAACGGGATGTGATGATGCGCGGCCCGACGGCACGACCCACTGCGCATAGACAGCTCTATCTCACTCTCCCATCCTCGTCCCTCGTTCCCATACATGCCCCCGCTACCACTGCTGCCATGAGCTCCACCCCACCTGCCGGCCAGAAGCTATCTCCGGTGCGTGCCGCGCTGCGAGCAATCTCTCAGCGGACGCGCACCCCGCTCCCGTCCCTCATACTCTCCTTCGGCATCATTCACGAAGTGACCGCGATCTTCCCCCTCGCCGGCTTCTTCTTCACAGCGCGAGCTTTCGGCGTCGGCGAGACTGTCGTCCGCGCAATCACTCTCCCGACGCCTTCCGACGAGCCTGGGGAGGATGGCGGGATTGCAACGCAGATCCGGGACGGAGCGGTCGGCCAGAGGCTGCGGGAATGGATGGCGGAGGGCGAGACGCATGTAGAGAAGGTCGGGCGGCGGCACGGCTGGTTTGGGTTCGAGAAGGGGAGCACGCCCTCCCCGCAAGCAGTGTCGAACACCGAGGCCGCGACGGTGTCGGGGAAGATCGCAGGCGACGTCGCGAATGCCGTGGTGGCTTACGCGTTGACGAAGGTACGTGTTCTTTGCCTGATCCCCTCGGGATGTGTCTTTAATGTCAGACGTACGCACAGGCCATCTTTCCCGTCCGCGTTGGGCTTTCTCTCTATCTTGCCCCAGGGTTCTCAAGGACCCTGGTACAACCAGTTGGGACGTTTGTAGCTAGGATATTCAAACGGTCTTCATAGCCTCTGTGAGTACGATGGTACCAGAAATTTATATCGCCTCTGCTCTCGGTTCCAGCACATTTCCACTCTGTTTCTCTCATAACTCCACACTCAAGTGCGTCGCTACGCGTTGTGCGAGGGACACGTGATCGTGTCCCAAAGCAAGTATGCTCCATCCAGGAATACCGCGAAGAGACTGGCAGAGGTTGGTGGATGCATTCATCGCGCAAGCTGCAGGCTGCAAACCTTTGTTATTGGCGTAAGATCCTGAATCTGCACCGATGGGATGGCGTGACACTAGTACAGCGCGTCGTCCTGCTTTCGCTTCAGTGGCTCTCACACAGCCACTGCACTAGCCTCTTGCTTTGTCGCATTCCGTCTATGCTGCTCAGAGCCACACCTAGGGCGCAGTCTGGCGATATCGCTTTGTATGTCCCGTGGCGTGTGCACTCTGGATTTAAGGCCACTCGTTCCATGTCCTTGGCCTTCCTTCCGTCCACTCCATCACCGGTGAACCCCCGCGTCAAGAGATGTCCTGCTCACCCGACGCCCTTCTTCAGATGGCGCAGCCAAAACTGGAAGGTTTCAGATCCTCGCCGAGCGGCTACCAGCTCTTCAGATCCTGGTACAATTACCAGCGAACGCAACCCACGGCCAATCCCTCGTTCAACAACGTCAAAGACAGCGTGGCCTGGAACACGCTGCTATCGGACCAAAAGACACCATGGTGCGACAAGGCGAAGGATCTCGCGTGGCTTCGGGTGACGAATAGAACAGAGCTAGCGATGTTTCTCTTCGCAACGCCTCCATGGAGTCCGGAGGGATTCGCGCTGTCTGCTGTGAATGTGGAGAAACTGGCTGAAGTAGTGGCAACCATGAGGGCAAAACGCGAGGTCAGGAGAGCCAGTGCGTGATTGTGCTAGAATTTCCTGCTGTCGTGCGCTGATATCACCCAACAGAACGGCCGAGGCGCTCCACCTCTTCGCATCCTGCCCAAGCCTCGTCCCAACGCAACACGAGTTTCGGATATCACCCTCCAGATGAGGATACCCCAGCAGAGCATACACTTCGACCGCATACCGAGGAGCAGAAGGCTGTGTTCAACGCTATGCAGACGCTTCTTCGCGGTTTCACAATGACCATCCCGGCCGACAGCTATGTGGCTCGCGCGCTGGGATACTCCCAGGATCGCTCGCTACCTGCACCTCCCCAACAACTACCTATGCAAGCTTCGTCTTCCCCGAGCGACTTGAGCGGCAGCTACGCTGCTCAGTCTTCAGCAATGTCGTCAGACTACGATTGTGCAACGGTCACCCCTAATCCCACCGAACCAGAACGAAGTTCGACCCCCTACGGTCTCCCGGGGCCACTCGGGCCACTCCCCGCTTCTCCCATCTCCACGCCGACCATCCCCTTGCGAAAAAGGTCTCTCGTCTCCCGTCGTGCCGCTCACACTCAACACCACCCATACATCAGACCGCGACACGAACCCGCTCCGACACATTGCTCCTCCGACACGGCTCCTGACGAAGGGTATGCTAGAATGGCGATTGACCGGTTCTCTCCGTCTGGTTCGTCGGTTACGTGTCTTCAAGAAAGCGGTGTCTCCGGTGATCCCATACCGCTATTTGGCACCTCCACGCACACAAACGAATCCCTCCCTCGAGGCGGACTGTCCCACACCCACCACGTTCCTCAGCGTGTCTCGGCTCCGGATCCCTCCCTCCAAGACGCAGGTTTCGGTGGCTTCGACGCTCCGTCAGCTGAGGGGCTCACCGGTGAGCCTGTTGCAAGCGGCTCTGTGTTACAGTGTCTTGCCGCCGGATCGCCTTACGATTCGGTCGTTGATACAGAGGGAGATGTGGACGACGAGTGAGTAAGGGCTTGAGTATGGGCTGGGCGAGCTCTTGCAAATGGAGCATTTTTATGTAATTGACCCTTGGTATAATAGTGTTCAAATCCGATCATGAGACCGTGTTGGCACGACCACAACTACAAGTGTTGCAATGGGCTTCGCTTTTTGCGAATGTTTGACGGCCACTCAACTGTGATCACGGCTGGCCACTACAAGCGATACCACGACCACGCTTTTGTCCACCGTCCCTTGAAAGAAAGCATGACAGGTATTAGAATTTGGCTTTCCTAGCTTCTCAAACGTCATCTAGATCCCTTCCCAGAGTCCGCCTGCCAAAAAAAGTCACCATGATCATCAGGTGCGTACCAGTGACTCTACAAACTACCTTCATCTACGCTGAAAAGCACTCTAATATGGTCTCAATCACACATCCAGATCCGACGAAACCGCATTTCTGGAGCATATACCTCAGTACACCTATATATATACCGATACCTATTAGGTGTCGGAACAATGGGCATGTGCCAATTCCTGGGGCATATGGGTAGGCGCGGGCCGTGTGCGCACAGCGGGCGCCTAGAAAAGACTTGCGTCTTCCGAGATTAGAACCCCGGCCTAGCATAAACAAAGCGCAGCTCAGCAATATTACAGCTGAGCTACGCATCCTTACGGAGTTCCCCATATATGTTTTTATGGATCTACTGCGCCCACGAATATGTTATCAGATCTCCCATCAGCCTGTGTTATCTCTCCCGCTTGCGCCCACGTTATCTCCCACGCCCACGTCGCGCGCTTCCGACCTGCCCCCCGTGCTCGTCGTCCCCGACAGCGAGCTCGCTGTCCCGTCGCCCCGCTCTCCCCTCTCATCCGTTTCCCTCCATTCCTTTTTTTATCCACTTTTATTCTCAATGCGCACCTAATGGTATATAATGCAATACCCTCACTCAGCTGGGTGAGCCTGCATTGAGCTCTTATACCTCCAAAATGCGTGCAACATAGGAACCTACGCAATTGATCAATGGTCTGGCTAATATCTGCATCAGATAGTATTATGTGAACTTGTCTTTCATCTGAAATCGCAGGTGGATAGCTGGAAGGGTGCAAGTATGATGTCATATGTCATTTTAAGATGACATATTCCATAGTGGTATGGTATATATGTTTATCGTCATATGTACACCTAGAATCATACATAGATATCATTCAGAGAGTATTGCACAAAGAAGCAGGTGAAACGACGATATTTCGGTGAAGATATGACATGTGCTCAGAAGGGAGGACTGCATTGAAAATCCGGCCTTCATATGTTCTTGTGCAGACGTCCAGTCATTGTACCTTTTGTTTCATTGCGTTCCTACAGATTTATAGAGCTCAGATCGTCAGTTTCGTGCTTATCGGTGGAGGATTGAAGATAGGGTATGGTATGTCATTATTCTATGACATAGTGTATAGCAAGATGACATGTGCTCCGATTACTTTTCTGAAAAGCGGAATAGAACAGGGCACTCTTCTCCTACATGATGCAGAAGTAATCTCGAAAAACGGCTGAGAAACGGCGGAGATATGTTAGAGGAGCCTATTTCGGCGGGTTGTGCAGAGGACGCTCTTGAACCACCCACACCGCTTGGCACGCTCTGGGCTCCTCTAACATATCTCCGCCGTTTCTCAGCCGTTTTTCGAGATTACTTCTGCATCATGTAGGAGAAGAGTGCCCTGTTCTATTCCGCTTTTCAGAAAAGTAATCGGAGCACATGTCATCTTGCTATACACTATGTCATAGAATAATGACATACCATACCCTATCTTCAATCCTCCACCGATAAGCACGAAACTGACGATCTGAGCTCTATAAATCTGTAGGAACGCAATGAAACAAAAGGTACAATGACTGGACGTCTGCACAAGAACATATGAAGGCCGGATTTTCAATGCAGTCCTCCCTTCTGAGCACATGTCATATCTTCACCGAAATATCGTCGTTTCACCTGCTTCTTTGTGCAATACTCTCTGAATGATATCTATGTATGATTCTAGGTGTACATATGACGATAAACATATATACCATACCACTATGGAATATGTCATCTTAAAATGACATATGACATCATACTTGCACCCTTCCAGCTATCCACCTGCGATTTCAGATGAAAGACAAGTTCACATAATACTATCTGATGCAGATATTAGCCAGACCATTGATCAATTGCGTAGGTTCCTATGTTGCACGCATTTTGGAGGTATAAGAGCTCAATGCAGGCTCACCCAGCTGAGTGAGGGTATTGCATTATATACCATTAGGTGCGCATTGAGAATAAAAGTGGATAAAAAAAGGAATGGAGGGAAACGGATGAGAGGGGAGAGCGGGGCGACGGGACAGCGAGCTCGCTGTCGGGGACGACGAGCACGGGTGGCGGTGCGGGGAGGCGCCGGCGGAGACGCGGCGGTGCGGAGCATCCGGAGATATCGGGGCCATCAAGGCAGGCGGCGCGGCGGCGCGGGGGAAGGCGCTGACTGCCACGGCTATCAGAGATAGGCGCCGGTAAGTGCCACGGCCTAATTGGCAGGTGCACAATCAGTACCAAGATAAGCGCCATCCATGCAGCTGGGGAGCGTTTTGTGCAAGTGCGAAAAGCCCTCTGTGAGTAGAAGTGTTCATACCTACCTTTTGATGAGGCTATATAACTTCAAGTTTATGCGTTATAAACAGCCTGATGGTGCAGTTGGTGGAGCGGCAAGTACATCCCGGATACCCGTGTTCGAAACAGATTGAATGTACTTTGAGTTTTGCCGGGCGCTTCGCGCGTGGCAGCCTGCGGCCTATCTCGTCACGTGGTGGTTTCTTTGTGCGCGGGTATATGGCACATGCCAATTGATCTGACACCTAATAGGTGTCATTATATACTCTAGCGTACTGAGGTCCCTCTTCTGGAGATGCGCAACGTCCACGTACTCAAGAGCTTCCAGAACTACGTGAAAGTCACCGGCCAGCTCCCCACCCGCGAGCAACTCATACGCTTCAACGAAGTAGCTAAGCCGCCCGCGAGATCGCCACCCACTAAGATGCTCTGTGCAGGATGGTTCACGAAATCCGCGAGTGCAACTACGAGTGGGCCATCGGCGATAGCCTCCTCGCCGCCCCTGGGCAAACGCTCTCGCCGGACATGTACTTCCCGTCGCTCATCTCGCCGCCCCATGGACCATCTGCGACCGCAGCACGGAGCACGGAATCCCTGACGCCGCGTCCACCGCCAGCTCCGGTCGCAAAACCGGAGTCCGAGGCGAAGCGTTACTACGACCCGTTCGCGAACATGGAACCCGTGTATCTCCCTGGTCCCTGACCCGACCCGCTTGCACCCGAGACTGTGACGACGGCCGCCGTAGCGGAGGAGGAGGCTGCGCTCGCGCACACACTGGTGATGAGCCAACCGCATATCAGTTAAGTATGGGCTCCGCTCGGGGGGCGGCGACACGATGGACCAGTGGCGAGCGAAGAAGAGCCAGGCGACGTGGTACGCTCGGGGCAGGTTCATCCGTTCGGCGACAGCTCAGCGAGTTAAATTTAGGAATGATGCGCAGGCTGATATGTCGTGATGTCCTTCTGTTATTGAACTGATATGCATTATGCTATTATGTTTGTACCACAGGCCACCGCTGGGAGAAGCCCCTGCAAGCAGAACTAGGCAAGCGTGATTTACGTCGTCAGCGAATGGTCACGAGTATGATTCTTTCTGACACTCACCAGGGATCAGCCCGTCGCTCAAAGGCGCGATTGCGTCGAACGCCCCGACGGACAAGTCGAGGTCGTTCGCACAGGCGCAGGTCGTGCGACAATCGTGGTGCTTGTAACTCGTATCTGTTTCTGTTTGAAGCATTGGGGAGACATAGTGGCGCCCGAGACGTACATCTCCACGCCTGCAGCGGAAAACGGTAGCAACACTTTGTGAGTCATAGTCGGAGGGATGCGAGTAGAGACGTACAGATTGCGGCAACGTGGTAGCTGTCGCTGTTGACGATACCACATGCACCTGGGAGGCCGTTTTGGTAGTAGTACGTCGCACTACGAGACGTGTGATAAAGGTGATTAATGATTATCCAGAGAAGACCGGGGCACGAGACACTAAGACAGTGGCAGTTGCACTGGAGAATGCAGCGCAAGCAGAAGCGAAGACGAGGAAGCGCATCATTTCAACCAGCTAGACCTCAAGGAGGCTAAGTAGAGATACGTCAACGTTTAAACATTGGTGGTGGTGAGAGGACAACTCGAGGGGAAAAGCTGTGAGGGCAGCGCCGCCGAGGGCCGAAGCGACCCGGCGCACATTCGGCTCGGACCAAGGTCCGAGGGGCCCTGCCCTCGGCGCTCATTGTAATGCATTACCCCGCACACGGTTTCTCCTGTCTCGACTCTCGACCTCCCCTTCTCGCGCGCTCTCGTCCCCGTCTCTGTTCTCTGTACCCTCCAAAACATGCTAGCAGCAAAGGCACTCAGATGTGCGGCGCGCGCGAGCCGCGCGACCCCCATGAAGGGCTGCGCTGTGGGGAAGCGAATGGCTTCTGGTAAGTCGCGTTGGCACATGTACATGAATCGCACCACCTCATCTGCTGGAAGGCTACACTAAGTTCGACTGGGAGGCGAGAAATTTTCGGAAAGCCCGAGGTCTTAATCCTTGCTGACCCTTCGGTAGGACCCGGTCAGCTTGGAGTCGCTGCTCATGGAGGAGGAAATCGCTATCCGGTGTGTCCCTTGGCATGCTAGCTTGCACCGGTGCTCATCGTTCTCTCTCGTTAGAGACACTGCTCGCACCTTCTGTCAAGTGAGTTGTCCGAGGCAGCCGCCGTATCGGTATTGTCATGGATGTGGCCTCGCAGGAATATCTCGCGCCTCGAGTACTTGACGCACAGAGGACAGAAAGTGAGCTCCCTGCCTAGGCTCCGAACGCGTTTGATGACCGCGTCTGCAGATTTCAACCACGATATGCTTCCCGCAATGGGGGAGCTCGGCTTGCTTGGGCCGACAATTCAGGGTTACGACTGTGCGGGTGTGAGCAGCGTGGCATATGGGCTGATCGCGCGCGAGGTTGAACGGTACGTCATTGCTTTCCACTCCTTGCGCGCCCCCTCCTCCTGTCCTCCAATATCACGCATTTGTTCCCTTGCAACATGAGTCTTATCGTATCCCTTCAGTGTTGACTCCGGGTACCGCTCAATCATGTCCGTTCAGTCGTCGCTAGTCATGCATCCCATCCACGCCTACGGTACGAAGGAGCAGAAAGAGAAGTACCTCCCCGCGCTGGGTATGATCAAGCCATCCCTAGAGCCATCTCTATCGCTCACATTCTCACCGCAGCTAAGGGCAAGCTCGTTGGTTGCTTCGGGCTCACGGAGCCCAACCACGGTTCCGACCCCGCCGGCATGGAGACCACCGCGACGGAAGTCGACGGCGGCTACGTCCTCAACGGCTCCAAGACCTGGATCTCAAACGCGCCTGTCGCTGACGTCTTTATCATCTGGGCGCGCTGCAAGTGGGACAGCAAGATTCGCGGGTTCATCCTCGAAAAGGGCATGCCCGGCCTCACCGCACCCCCCATCAAGCATAAACTCGCGCTCCGCTGCTCGGTCACGGGCTCGATCTTCATGGACGGAGTCAAGGCGCCGAAGGAGGCGATGCTACCCCACGGAGAAGGCCTCGGCGCGCCGTTTGGCTGCCTGAACAGCGCGCGGTTCGGGATCGCCTGGGGGTCCATGGGTGCGCTCGAGGACTGCGTGCACCGCACGCGCGAGTACGCGCTCGAGCGGATGCAGTTCAAGAGGCCGCTCGCGTCGTTCCAGCTTGTGCAGAAGAAGCTTGCGGACGCGCAGACTGAGGTCGCGCTTGGCCTCCTTGCGAGCTGGCAGGTGCGCGATCGTTGTCTCCGTTTGGCATGGTCACGGTGTTGACGAGACTATCCAGGTCGGAAAGCTGAAGGATGAGGGCAAGGTTGCGCCTGAGATGATCTCTCTCATTAAGCGTAACAACTGTGGGAAGGCCCTGGAGCACTCCCGCAGGGTCCTCGACATTCTTGGCGGCAACGCCTGCGCGGACGAGTCAGTAGCTTCATATATTACTTTGCGTCTTGTCTCACACTATGACAGGTACCACGTTGGGCGGCATGTTGCGAACCTCCAAGTGGTCAACACCTACGAGGGAACATACGTAAGTCTTCCATCTTTCACACGCCTGTAAGAGACGGTGATATGCTAATGATGCTACAGGACATTCATACCCTTATCCTCGGCAAAGCCATCACCGGCATCCAGGCGTTCGTGAACTGAACACTGGTGCAATCGTATATTTGCCGTTTTAATGAGAAGGAACCTTCAAGATTACCTTGGAGACACAGATGTCTATCTCGTGCATGTAATTACACGCTCAACAGGATTGATTCCCTGCTCTCGGAGAGGTCTCCAACAGCTGTGCTTCCAATTTGGTCGTCAGCGCAATTTCGCCGTTCCGTCGCAATCCGTCATGCATCTACTGCCTTAGGTTCCCCCAAACTGTCTTGATCAGCTGCAGCGTGGCTCGGCAGGACGGCGATTTCGTCGCCTCCCTCCGTAAGCGCTTGACCTTCCGTCGATGCGTCCAAATCGCGTCGACCCGTCGCGCGATTGAGCCCACGTGACCGCGTCGGTCGCTTGGTGCTGCGGCAAACTCTGTTATACGAATTCTATCCTCATCCACGAGCATGGCACACACTCTCACCTACTCTCCTCTCCTTTGCACACATACCGGGCGTAGGGATGGGTGACCTCGGTGCCGACTCAGTACTGGCCTCGGAGTTCGTCACCTTCCTCCATGCTCAGCTTAAAGCAAGTCGGGACGAAGTAGAGCGACTCAAGCAAGTGAGTGCATCTTATGCAAACACCGATGGCATTGTTGGGGAGAACTTGTGCTGATGAAGCCACACAGGAAAATACCTCCTTGCAAGCTGAACTCCACGAGGTCCGACAAGCATTGGAGCCGGACAAATCAGAGCATATAGCTGGGGATGACTCGGTGAGTTCATCTTCATCCGTCCTTCATCATCTAGCCCTGAGACGTCATGAAGACTGTCGCGAAGTTGCAGTCCGATCTGGAGATACTTCGTCAGGAGGTCCAGGATATGTGCGCGCTTGCTGCGGTCCATGAAGCAGACGCCAAGACCTGGAAGACGCGATACGAAGAGCTGAAACCCCAGCTGCTAGCCTCTGCGGCCGGCAATACTGCCATCTTGGACAAAATGCGCGATCAGCTGGCCAATTTTGTGACTTGTCAGCCGCATGTGACCAATGACAAGACAGCAGAGGTGTGTCCATACCTTTTGGCTCTGGTTCTCCACCCCTGAAGTTGCGTGCAAGGAATTCATCGCGTTCTTGTCGGTACTTCCGGGGGCATTTTGTTCGGACATACGCGGTAAGACCGCCCAAGCTCTTTTCCACTCCACGTACCTCCCGCTGCTTCCAAAAGTGAGTACCTACTGAAGCACACCATCTACTACTTAAGCTGATATTCGCCATGACAGTCCGCGATAGACGCATGGTAAGTGGCAAGAACGTGTGATACTTCACCGCGTCAGCTTATCGGTCCTTAGTGTGGCCGGGGGGTACGCGTTCTTCGGCCCAAACCTGTTCTGGTGCGGGCCTCTCTCACAGCACGCGTACGTCGTCCACCCATGTCTCAAGTACAACCCCAAGTTCGCGAATGGAGAGACACAGTGGTCTCTCGACTCTCGGTGGTCTCAAATGATGGGCCAACAACGGGACCTCTTCTACCTACACAACGGGAGCGTATGCTACGCAGGGACTTTCATATGTCACTCTGGCCCGCGCTCCGTCTCATTGAGCCATATGACATCGGTGAATGCGAACGAGGTGAGTATCGCTCTGACGACCGATGATTGGTGCATACTCTTACTACCGCCTGCCTGCAGCAATTTGCAACCACCCTCGCTAGAGGGACATTCGACGCGATGAACGTGAACCAGAAAGCAAAGGGAAAGGTCTACATCCCCCTCCTAGACACCCTCTATCGCGACGGATCCCTCTCGGTACAGCTGCTGGGGCTTCAGCGCGTCGGCTTCAATGAAAAGCTGTACCATATCTTGAAGAAAGCCTCCGACAAGCGTGTTATGTTCAGAACGACCGACAACTCCAGAGCCGCTCCGACGACAAAGCGCACGATGGAGGACATGCAGCAAGGAACGAACGATGCGGTGATGGAGCAATGGGACGAAGAAGCAGGGCCTTCGCCTCCGAAACTTCCACGCCTTCAGCATGGAGTGACGGTTGCCGAGCTTCCTGGCGACAATTACGCGTGAGTTCTGATACACAGGTGCTATGTGGTCGCCCTCCTTATAAACCTTTAGTATACTAGATAACGATCCTTCGCTCTTCTGATGACGACGTGGACAACTTATGTCGAGGCCTATCCAGTTTCCGTACGTCCAATGACCAGAGTTTTTGAACGGGATCGTGCCCAGAGAACCACTACGACGTCAAAGACATCGAAATCGTCGGGGAACTATATTGGGACGGCGCGCTTCCAACACTCCTAACCGCATTTAGGAGGGAGCTCCAAGAGCGCATCGACCTTGAAGGCGCTGCGATCGACTTAGACATACAGTGTTTGGGGACCGTCAGAGAAGACTACAGTGCTCGGGCACGAAGAGTGATTATGTAAGTAACAATGCAACACTTCACATGTGACTTCAGCTATTGCACACCCTCCAGTCACATCGGCACCGGGGACACGAAGGGGGTGATGAGTGTCTTCTCCTTGTCCCACTGGGATCGAGTGAGCGCTCGCCTTCTTAGTACGCACCGGACGCACCACATTGTTGATCCAATATGGGTCCCCGTGCAGACGTTCGAGGGCCTCGGCGTAGTTCGTGCACTCCCAGACCATGAGTGAACCGACCATCTCGCGCGGCTGGTCAGGCTTGTCGAGCGCGTCGTTGGGCGTGACCATGGCTCCGCCGAGCTCTGTTACAAAGTTATGGGTCGGCGTTCGCTTGTGACGCCCCCATGGAAGAAGAGAACGCACTGCGGCCGGGGTTCGCCTTCGAACGAGCGAGATGCGTCTCGCGCACAGCGAGGCGACGATTAATAGCGTCTTCGTCAGTGTAGTCGGGAGCGTAGACGGCGAAGAGAGGCATGATCGCGGCGAGAGCTGATGTGGGCCAGACGCACCCAAAGTCGATTGGCCTTCTGGTGCCAGCTGCCAGGGAAGATAAGATAGGCGGCCATGTCATATTGCTGACGTCGCACCCCCGAAACCTCTGGCACTCCTTTCGGTACCCGAAACACCCCTTGCTAACGACCCGGCTTTGCTCACAATCCTTGCCTTCGCGTTCGACGACGTTCAGGACCTCGCTAATCCGATCACTTGCTCTACTCCAACGCTCTCTTGCCTGTCCACGACGTCCTGACGGACCCTCAGCTGACACACAGACAGCCATGCAACGCATCCTCTCTCGTTCTGCGTCCCTACGTCGACCCTGCCTCCCCCAGACGCGCACACGGTCTTCCATCGCGTCTGTTCGCCACCACTTCATCGTCTACGCTCCAGATATGACCGACGAGGGCGCATTTGCGCGACGCCTGAGCGTTCGTCCCGCGCACCTCTCAGCCGCGGGTGAGCAGATCAAGACCGGGGTCTTCAGTGAGTCTCCACCGATAGTCTCCCTCGTTGCCACACCCCTATACGCACCGTGACGAATCTGCAGAGCTGGCGGGGGCGATGCTCACGCCGGAGTCCATTGCGTCTCCGACGGCGGACAAGAAAATGGTTGGGTCTGTGTTCGTGTGCGAGGCGGAGAGCTTGCAGGCGGTCCGGGAGCTCATGGAGAGCGACGTGTATTATACGAGCGGTGTGGTGCGCATATTCTACCGTGCCCCTTGCGCGCAATGTGTGGCTAACATATGTGCCAGTGGGACAAGGAGAAACTGGTCATCATGCCTCTCGCGCTCGCCACTCCACTCCCTAAGTAGACATGCTTAAGGGATATACTTTCTATCGCTGCCTCTATTGGCGGAGCGAATAGCCGTGCGCATTGGTGAACAAGCCTTCGGATACTTCTCTCCTATTGAAAGGAATCTGTCGAGAATTACGATTTATGAACACATGCATGCTCCAGGAACACGGCCACCCTCTGACCCCAGACCAAACAGCATCCGTTCCTGCGTTTGATGTTTGCTATACTTCTCCACTAGATAAGATTTTTCTTCTTCGCCGTTAGCCCTTGGGGTTCGTCTTGCTTTGATCCTCTCTGTGCAAAGAGGGCGGGGAATGTGTTCCTCATATTGCAGCTCCGGCTTAGATCCACCAACACGGTAGGCATAGGAATGTTGGCCCCTTCTCTTTCTCTGAATCTTGTCCCTGCTCGTTTTTTCCCTCATGATGGACATCCGTCAAGGGTAGTCGGCCGGGGTGGGGATGATCATGGTGATATTGAGGGGGCTCCCCGTGGGAGCTCATCGTTGGTGTTGAGGCGTAATGTGTTGACGTCGAGTTATGCCAATCATCTTCGGGTTGGGGGTTGTAAGAAGAGGACGAAGAGGGATCAAGATAGGGTATTTCGTGTTTGTCGTTTTCTGGTTGGAGAGGAGATGTCGAACTTTCGAAATCCTCTCCCACCTCAGCAGTGTGGGGATCCTGAACTCGCTCAATGGTTACTTGACAAGATCCATGCGCTGAATTCAAGGTACCTGATCCCGGTCGGAGTGTGCGGGGCTGTACAAGCCTCTCTAGTCCAGCTTCACCAGTAGGTTTAGTGATTTTTGTCTTGTGGAATGGGTCAAATACTTACGGTGAACACTTTCGAGGTTTTCTGTTCCGCGATGGGGTACCTCACCACTAGGGAACATCTCCTCTCCATGTGTCGGGCGTTGCAATGTGTTGTAAGGCATGTGGATGCGGGAATGGACTATCAGGGAAGTGACTGATGCTTTTCGCGACGATGAACTTGGCTCTTTTATGGTGTTTCCTGAAAAACGTCCCGATCGTCGCTGTCTTTTGTTTATTATAATACGATTTAATTCATATCTCCCCTGTATTGTCTGAAACGATGTCCGGGAACACAGAATAGAGGATTCAGATGTCAATTATCTACCGCACAGGCCGTCCCTCGGCGGTGACGTAATGCGAATGCCTCGGAGCAACCCCGGGCCGCTGAGCGTCTGAAGCTGGTTCAACTTTGGGCGCCAAAGCCATGCCATCCCGTTAAGCGTCTCGGCCAGTGCCGACGCTCCTTTGTCCTCGTCCCAGCGGATAGCCGGCTGGGACGCAGCCAGGAGCCAGGCAAAAGCTCGCCACGACCTCTCTAGATCGCCACATCCTCTCTCAATCTCTCCTGCGATACCCCACCATCATGAACACGCCCACGAACGAGGCGCGAGCCGCATCGGAGCCTCGCGACATGTCACTTGCCCAGGTCTTGCGCCTCGTATGGGTTGATACACCAGCCAACATTAGGGTCGCACTTCGCGGCGCGGGCGAACAGTTGGAGAAGACGCAGCGCGAAGAAGGTCAGGCGCGCGCCGCGGCAGGGCTGCAATCTCCCGAGGTGCGTCACGATCTGGTAGATCGCGCGAGCGCTGCTTACACGACGGCTTCTTTGTTCCCTTTCGGTTCGAGCAGTCCTGGGGATCTTACGACGAGATCTATGGATCAAGCGTGTGCACTCGGCTTCCGCCAGCATGCGACCAGCTTGAGCTTGTCGTCTACCCTGTGGACCCCGACATCGCCGTGGACCACTACGACATCGACCCATCCGCCAGCCCATGGAGTTGGGCTACGGACGATGCGACCCTCTCCGCGCACCTCCACGCACCGCTGTACGGACACCCCCACACGCTCCGCGATAACGACATGACGCACGACGAGGAACCTGGCTTGCATGGTGAACCCACCGCTGACCACCGAGCGAGCGCCTACGCGACGCGTCTCGCATGTGGTGAACCAGGCGCCTTCGGGGCGCTCGCGAACGAGCTTGGTTTCGGACCCGCGGCCGCGCACGTATTCCGGCACCCTCCACCTGGAGCGGTTTGAGGGGACGATGAGGAAGATGGGGTGACGACGGATGCCTAGACCCCCCCGACGAGTCGGACTTCCGAGCGGGGGACGGAGAGAAGAATGGATCTTTGGATGTACGGATGGATGGAGAAGGATGCGCTGTGCGCCGCCCTCGCGCTGTGATAGCTATGCTCTGCTGTTATTTTTCCCTCGATTGACCCACGACTTGACTGTATTCGCTTCGTTCGTACTCGTCGTGGTCTTATTGTGTTTGATTCTGCTCATGTAGGACTCGTGCTGCTCACATATTGTAGTCTCACCTGCTCTTATTATGCCAGCTTGTACTCTTTTCTTGACGTTTCCAGAGTGCTAGAACCTTTATGACTCGTCGTCGAGCATGAAACGAGGAAGACATGCCGAGCATCCTCGTATGAACACTGCCCAGGAAACGCTGGTATATGCGCGTCTTGAGGTCTGGTGATGGCCACACTACTTTCATTACGATGGTATCATACACATTCTGCTTTTCATCTGCATGTTCGTCACATATACGTTGTCTTATAGTCTCAAAGAGGCACCGGCGAGACCCACGGCCGGATGACGGTCTTCTCCTTGTCCCACTGCGGATCGCAGACGCCAAAGAAATGAAAACATGCAGGGTAGCAGGACCCGTGTGCTACGCACCACATTGCCGGACCAGTACGGATCCTCCTCCAACATCTTGATCGCCGCCGCGTAGTTCTCGCACTCCCAGATCATGAAGGATCCCGCCATCTTCTTTGACGCGTCGGGCGAGTCGAGGGCTTCGTTGGGGGTGAGCATGGCACCACCGATCTCTGGTTCAGGGTGTCAGAACCCGCTCGAGCGGCCCATATAACAGCACTTCGCGTACTCATCGAAGGGTTGCCCGCGGCTTTCGCGAGGTGCGCAGTGCGGGCAGCGAGGCGACGGTTGATGGCGTCCTCATCGGTGTAGTCGGGGGCGTAGACGGAGAAGAGAGGCATGGCTGTCTGGAATACGTGGCAGTCAAGAGGAGAAAGAGCGTGGGTATTTCCTTCGTCACGAGCGACAGTGGAATCTACTTTGAACCCGTCACTAAGGCTGGGCGATGAGACCTTGACGAGTCCCGAGGCCCAGCGAGGATGAGACAAGTGGCCGAGATAAGATAAGCGCGCGATCCGGCGGCCCGGGTTGTCCCGCTGGCCGCCGCGGCCTTGGTCAGCGGGCAGCACTCATCGCGCGACGCGCACCTTGTTCTCTTCGACGACCACCATGCCCCCTGCAACGTCCCGAATTCTTCTGCGCGAACTTGTTCCTGGACCTTCACGCCGCGCATCTGCATACGTGCTTTCTATGAGGAATCTGTCGACGTGTTCGTCATCTCGCCCTGCCCATTCTGCCCTTCCCCGCTCCCTGCCCACACTAGCCCCGCATACACCCCGAAGGACGCTCGCGACGACCGCCGTCAGACACGCTGCTGTCGCGCAGAAACTGAGATCCGCACGCACACTGGTGGTCGCAGCCCCGTCCCAGGATGCACTGGCCCAGGAAGAGGACGAAGACGAGCCGGACGTAGAGCTCGTGTCTCCGGGAGACGTTACGATACAATTGTCGGATAGGGCAGCCGAGGTGAGCATCTCACGTTTCCGCGAAAGGCACCAGACCCCCATTCAATGCGGTTCCTCGCAGAAACTGCGAGCTGTGGCAGAGCGGGACGGCGCACAAGCTGGTCTACGACTCGCAGTAGACAGTGGAGGGTGTCACGGCTACCAGTATAGAATGGAACTCGCGAAGAGGCCGCAACCTGATGACTAGTACGTGGCTATCTATGTTTGTTTCATGCGCCAAGGAATCATCATTGTTGCTTGTCGTGTCTAGTCGTCTATCGCATCCGCGCATTCAACCGTCCAACGTGTACGTCGACGCGGTATCAATGACCCTAGTCAATGGGGCGACTGTTGACTATGCAACGGAGCTCATCGGAAGCAGCTTCAGGGTGCTGGAAAACCCACAGGTGCGCTTTGCATTGTATTCTGGCTCTGCGGGACGGCGTCCTTCCTGCTCACGCCCCTGGCTTGCAGGCGAAGGGAAGCGGATGCGGATGCGGAGTAAGCTGGGAGCTCAACGTGTGAGCTGCTTCTCCTGTTGACGGAACTCGGACGGTTGTCGCCGTGGGCGTCGCGTTCCGTGTGCATGCATGTACTAGACGATATAATACGCACGATCCGCCCGCCTTACGTCCGCCTTACCCTGCGCCGCCAAACCTTATGCCGCGTGTGTGTGCTCTTCACCCGTGGGCTCGTTCGGCCGTATATATACGGAGGTGCGCTTCATTTCGGATACTCTGAGCCGTCATTCTGCAGGACTTATGACATCATTTCTTTTGTAAGGTCAAGGTCGAAACGGCGAAGAGGCGTTCAAGGCCGCTCGCGCGTGCGCCATCCGGGCCATCTATGAAACCACGCCCATGCCATAGCAGCGGATTCCGTCTGAACGGGTCTAGTCAACGCCACGCTCAGCGGCCCTGAACATGCCTGGGGAAGAACCCCGAGCAACGTGCATGTACTGGAAGCCGCCCACGCGATCGGTAACGCGAGGGTAGGTTAGGAAGACTGCAACCCGTGCTTACGTTGGAGGTCGGAGTTGAGATCTCAGCGACTGCTCTGGCCGCGCGGGAGGTGCTGTTTGCGCGCGTCGACAGCGGCCTCGCACGGGTGCTGGTTCACTAGCCCTCACGCTCACGCGAATCCCAGCGGTGGCATCTCACCATGCCTTGGCTCTCCCCCCGAAATCGCGACCCTGAGCCGGCGACCCTCAGCACGGCCTTCGGAGCCTGTTGCGCACTGTGCAAACGACAAACGCACGCGCCGCGACCACGGCTGAAACACGCACGGATCAAGGGCAGGAGGGGAAGGAGACGGTGAGCAGTGGCCATAAGTTATGCCCGAAACTGATATACACGCATTGCACGCGGAACCAAAACCAGAGACCGCGTCGATCCGATCCGCCACGCCGTCCGTCCGTCCGTCCACGCACACCCCCAGCCACGCGGTTGTCCCGATCGCGCATCGATCCAGCTCCCCGCGAGCCGTCCCGCTGGCTCCCCTCCTCCCCCTTCCCCTCCTCCCGCCGCTCGCCTCTTTGCCGGCCGACGTCCTTATTCGTCCCCGTCGAGCATGAGGTCCTCCTGCGCCGCCAGGCCGTCGTACCACCGCTCCTCGCCCATCGGGCTTGTGACGTCGACGGTGCGCTCGAGGCTCACGCCCGCCGCGTCCGACGCATCCATGCCGACGCCGTCGCCGTCGCCCGCGGGCGGGATGGTGCCCCGGAGGAGCTGCGGGCGGCGGCGCATGTCGCGCGCGATGCAGAGGCCGCAGCCGGCGTTGGCGCGCGTGTAGCGCACCTTGCGCACGCGCGCCGACGTTCGCGGGAGTGAGGCGGGGGGCGGGTAGAGCCGGTTCCAGTAGCAGCGCGCGAAGCGGCAGCGCTTGTCGACGAGGAGCTGGCGTGGTGGGAAGGTGTGGAGGCGAGGGTAGGTGAGGGGGAGGGCGGAGGGCGGAGGCGAGGGACGGTGGGGAGAGGTTGGTCGAGAGCGGCACGTCGGGTGATCGTCCGGGAGCGGGGATGAGCGGACCCCGTATGAGTGTGAGACGGCAGGAAGATGGGTGTGGGAAGCGGAAGGACGTGGACGCAAAGGCGGGTCAGGGGGGGAACCGTATCGGCGGGGGCGTAGCGACGCGAGGGAAGTGGTGTGTCGGATGGGGAGAGCGGGATGAAGACGCGAGATGCGATGTGGACGGGTTCCGACGAAGCAGCCGGAGATACGGCGGGCGGAGAAAGAAAATTCCAGTCAGCAGTGGCGAACACACGAACACTAGCCTAGAGTGTGCGTGCTCACCAGAGCGAGCCAAGTGTGGCTGCACCTAGAACCGAGTGAGTCGCCTGTTTAGCATCGGACAGTGCGCGAAAGAGCGGTCGGACTAACCTGGAACAAACCACATTTTCGTAGTAGATGAAGCACATCCCAAGAGCAGGCTCTATATGGACGACACGACGAGTTCAAGGGGTGGGCGCACGAATGTCTCCGGAGGACTGGAGGTGAGGGACGACGACCGGTGTTTTGGGAACACGCTCTTATACCCTGCTTCCAAGAACGGGCTCCCGGCGCGACGACGCGGGCCCTCCGTGGCGCAGGCGTGCCTTCTCCCGATTCAACGGGGCCTGAAGCGGCGCGTTCAGTATACCTGTCTGTCGAGATCAGTGTCGGCACTCAAGGTCCACGCGTGCCCTGCGCGCAGTTTAGGCATGGGCGCGTACCCTCCTCAGCTCGTGATACGCTCATCTACCTTTAGTCCGCGTTAGATTGCGTCTTCCGTTCGCAGAGGACTGCAGCCCTGGGGCCGCGACCATCCTCTCTGCGCGCGGCCCTGCAACGGCGCCGCGGCCGTGCGAGGGCACACAAGCGCGCGCTCAGTGGTCCACCCATATCGTCCCACTGGTCCCGTGAACGTTCGCCCTCGGTGAGGCCGCGATCAGCCTAAGCCTGGTCTGTCATGGTTTCACGACCAGGTGCGCTTTGATTGCCTGTTATGCTCGTCGGCAACTTACACGGAGCCGGTATTAGGCTCTTCGCGCTCTCAACCAGACGGGTCGATGGCAGGCTGCCAGCCGTGAAACCACACGCACAGCGCCTCGCCCGCCATATATGTGCGTCAAGAGCGGAAGTTCGAACCCCGCCCGGAGCCTCCCTTTTCGTCCCCTTCGACTCGAGTTCTCCTCGCGTGGCCTGCGTACGCTCCGGCAGCACCCTATCCCCGGTGCGCCCTTCATCCTGCACTAGAGTGGATGCGTTAATCACAGGGTCCCGCCTCCAGATAATCTCCCCGGACGCGTGGCCGCGCCACACCGCCTTCTTGCACGGGCATGTCAATTAAGTAGGACTCTTTCCGCATCGCGTATCAGTCCTCCCATTCTCAATCTCCCTGCGCACTTCATACCCGCCCCAGAGCCCGCTGCCCGCCGCCTTCGACTCCCACGGCCGGCCAGACGGGTCGGGTTCTCTCTCGCCTCGCCGCTGGCACGCCGGCATTATTAAAATTTCCGGTCGTCAGATATTCATCTTGAAATGTAATCCGAAATGCTACGTTTCCGAACACATTTCAGACGTGAGAATACGAAGGATTTCGCCTCTTCACAAACACATCATTCTGACAGTCGTTCCAGAAGCGCAGAAACTTGACGTTTCGGACGACGAGGAATGACAATAGAAAATTGAAGTTTCGAGGCACGTGGAACTTTGAGTTTCTGTCGACGAGAAATGATGAACCAATGGGGAGCCATCATTTCTTCCTCTCAGATACTTAAAGTTCCACGGGTTCTAGAACTCTAAATTCCTGTTGTCATGCCTAGCAACGAAAAACAATAAGTTCCTGTGCCTCCAGGATGTTTCTCAGAACATTGCATTTCTGCACGGACGAAATACTTCATTTGTACGTAGTTGGAACGGGGTTAGAAACGTAACATATCTGATAACATTCCGCCCAACATATCTGATGACCGGAAATTTTGATATTACCGGCGTGTGGCCCGTGGATGGACCCTTCCGCCAAGGCACCGCACCCCGACTCGCAGCGCCCTCCCCATAACGGCGCATTTTACATCGCTACCTCCGATGTGCAGCGGAGAAAGTGCGCACTTCCCCCCAACCGCGCCTTCGGGCATCGCCACCGGCCCTGCACACGAGACGCCAGGCGTGTCATGGGGCCTTAGGTCCGGATGACACTATCCGTGTCGGGATACGTGCCAGCGGTGAGTGTGTCGTCGATCCCTGTCAAAGGAATCAAGAGGCTTTCTGCCTGCCGTATTGCGTTCTTGGAGGGGGACGATGACAGCCGCGGCAGAGACAGATTCTGTGAAGGTTTTGCCTTCGCGATACGCCCAGGTACGCCGCATGCCCCCCGCGTGGCACTTGTCGAGAGACACGTGCCACGAGGGATACGAAGATGTCGGAGCCTGCTGCGGTGAGCGTCACACGGGATATGCAGATAAGTCATGAGCTGACGGCGAACGGGTTGGTAAAGTGTCCAATGTAGGTGTAGATGCCGATAATTGATTATCACAGTACACGACAGCGTGCCCCTTCACTCGACTTCGCTACACTCCAAGCTTCCAGTGCTCCTTGCGAGCATATGGATGCGTACAGTCTACTCAACTACCACTCTGCCCAATATACATGCGTTTATGATCACCTATGACATTCTGGCGGCACGACCCGCTCTCACTGAAGATATTTCCACCGGGGAGTGTGACTTGATGTTCGTCCGCATTGTCTTCCAAGTTCTGTTTCACTTCGTCGACCACCCCAGCTTACTTTCCACAAACACCATCACTCGGCGAACGGGGCGCCCCTCATCCTTCTGGGAATCCAGCACCTCTGCGACTGACGCGGCACCTCCTGTTCGAAAGATACTGACGGCCAGCGTCTTGAGCTCCGGGAACCAACCGCCTCGCCCCCACCCACCGTCAACGCCGCGCATAGTCCCCTCCGACGGTCCCCCTTCGTCCCTTCGTCGAGGAGCTTCGCAACCTCCGCCGCCGCCCGTGGCAGGGCGCCGATCAATGTCCACGTCTCTTCGCGTGGGAGGCCCTCCATCACGGTGCGAGGGACACATACGACCGCGCGTCCGTGCTCGGGAACACGCGGTCTCCCTCTGCGAAGGGCGCATCAAACGCTTCGAACACGGGTGCATGCGAGTTGCCGGGCCCGGGGCATGCTGACGTCCGTGGGCAGGCGGTGTGTCTCGTCAAGGAAAGGGCGCAAGAGTTGCAGCGATATAGTACGCGGCTCATACACAAGCCCCCTGTCTAAAGGGACGATGTTATTGGCCTGGATAATGCAGGGCGTACCATGTGGGTGGCTGGCGATACCGGGACTTGTTTTCTTTGTTCCCGGCCGCGGATCGTTCGCGCCCAGCCGTATGTGCGTGGTGCCAATTGAGTGAGAGAAGGTGATACGGGACAGGGTGGAAGCGAAGTCGCTCAGGGAGATGGTGCACAGGTGAACAAGGCAAAGGTCGGGGAACTTGATGGAATCGAGGAGGATGCTATGAACTCAGCCGTCAGTTCCGAACGCGGAGCGAAATGTATCCCGCCAGTGGTGCACTAGAAGCGGTGGAGATGAGTCAGGGGGACAGGTGGATAGATTTCTGACAGACCAATCCTCGTAGAGGATACAGTCTGGCAGGTGGAACGGGTGCAACGCCGTGCTGGTGCATAGCATGGTGAAAAGAACGCCATCACCGTAGAAGTGGTGACTGAGGTTATAGTTAGAGACAATAAAGCGTTTCAGAGAAAGGAAATCGTTGGTAGGTGGTATAGGCCCCTAGGGAAACAGTGTCCTTATCCGTGGAGTTCGGCTCTGAAAAATGGGCGCTGTTGCAACTTGAGCATCCCAACATTCCAACTTGTATGAGAGGAGCTCTGGAGCTGGAAGTTCGACTTCCCGCTGTATGTATGGTTCTTTCTCTGGAGCTTTGTGGTCACTTTTGTCGACTCCTCGGAATTCGACGACCCCATGTTGCATACCATCTCCGACAAGTGATCGGTCCGGCGAAAATTGTTTGTTCGCCGCGTAGAGACGCAAACCGAAGCCCCGATACAGGGCTATGAAAGATGCCATGATCTTCCCTGTGACAATATATTCTTCGCATCGCGGTTCCCTACATATAATTTCCACTACGGATGTAGGTGTGAAGCGGGAGCAAGTGGGACGAAGAAATTATTGAGGGGGGAAACCCTTCTCGGACCGTAGATAGCAATTTTTGATATCTGCTTGGACCTTCCTGATCTTTTTTCGAGGCTTCGAGCAAGAGCGAAAGCTCGGAAGAGAATTTTTGGAGGGGAAAGTGTTCGCTGTTTGTTGAGAGTCAGGTAGAACATTGAGATCGAGCAGTGTAGCATAGATTTCCTTCCTAATAGAGTTCATCCGATCCGATGATGTGATGGGATACATGTCTGTTTGGATGGATAAAGAAACTCATCAGAGCCCCATGTACCCTTAGTGTTTATGAAGTTCGGTCATTCATACACGTTTCAGCTTGATACGATCTGGCAGTGGACTTGCTGCAGCTCTCCTTGGGGACCCTGTTCAACCAATCTACGTATCTTGGACCACAGAGACGTCGCAATCTCCGGCGGGGGCCAAATGAGCATGTTTGTCATCGCCCATCAATGTCAAATGATCATCATCAATTCGGCGAAGTGCACATGATCAGGCGGGTACCAAGGACGCGTGATTGTGAGAACATATACCGGACCGGGAGACACCTTGCGTTCTTGACGCTCGATGACATCGTTGCCAGCTGTCGCGAATCGCCAGCACCTCCAAAGCTGCATCCTTTCTCCCCACTTCCATCGAGTCTGCCCTCCATCACGGCGCTATTCGTGGGATATATGCGCAAGAAGGCCACTGCCTCAAAGCCTGGCGAGTCTTGTCCTTGCTCATCTCGATCCAAGCGTCCAACTCTCGGAAGAATCGTGTGCTATCCGTGCACACTTGCGATCGTCCCATGAGACACCAAGAACGTACATGATCTCTAGTATTCAAGTCAGAGACGCGTATTCATAGCACTGTATTAGTCCTTCATTTACGCACGTCTCTGGTGAGTGTGGCATTTAGTCTGCTGGTAGTTCGTGCGCCACCTATGACCCACAGATGGACGGGTGGTGTGGTATATACGCTGGGCTCACAGAAAAATCATTTATAGGTGGCTTATAAACTGGCGGCTCGACGTACGCCGATTTCGGCATGGGTTTTCACGCTCTATGTTATCTATGGTCGTCGATGGGAGAAATCAGGTGGTGCGTCATTTATGTGCACATTTATTTACGTTCTGACTCCCTCTGCAGTACGTGTCCTCCGCACCTTTCGTGCGCAGGACGACGCGACGCGACGCGTCTTCGCTCCCGAGGCCTGGGGTCCTAAATATCGTGCAGAACACGATTGATCGACTATCCTTTGCCTCGCCGTGCCGGACGGTCTGTTCGCAGCGGGGTCTTTCGATCGCCCTCTCACCCCGTCGGGCCCGCGGCGCAGGCCACTAAACGCGTGTTGATTAGCGTCGGTCTCTCGGAACGTCCTGCGCTGCACTTACGTACCCGCCAGTCAACCGACCGCGTTTTTCGTCGCGCGGCACACGACGAGAGCGGCCAGGCCGCCGTCTCAGTAAGTCTACTGTTACGCGCGGCGCGTGCCCGGGGCGTGGCTGACCACGTTTTCCAGCCTGCGCGCCCCCTCTGAGATACAGGGATGGTGGAGGACGGACCGAGGACAGACTGGAGCACGACGGCCTCTGCCACAGGAGCGAGATCGCGCCACTTCATTTTGCTTCAGCCTTTGAGCTGCACGGCGATCGCGTCCCATTTGGGTTCCCCACACGCGATCATCCGGCCCGATCCGGAGTGCGGGGTAAGGCCTGCCCCTTTTCCACCGCGTGCCCTCAAGCGCGTGACGTCTTCTGGACCCCCTCGGCGACCCTACGCTCGACACCCCGCGCGACAGGACGGCGCTGCAAATATTTCTTTTCGGCCGGGAGCATGTAGCGCGGTTGTTTGGCGGAGACAGGAGGTCGCCGACACGAGGTATGTTACGTCAATTGACGGGTAGCATGCTTCCAACCACCGCGCCGTAGCTCGCTGACACCCCCGGCTCCGTGCACCCGCAGGCAACGATTGAGCTTTCAGAAAGGGCCAGCATTGGGAGAAAAGCACTCGCGCAGAGGCGACACGCCCTATCGCCATCACGCCACACTACCGTCGGATGCATCGCTGCGCCCGCGTGCGCCCAGCCACAAGGCGGCTTCGCGGGCTCGGCAAGAGTCCAAGTGACCTCCCTTGAGCGCAATCCCAGGTACGGTCGACGAGCAAAGTCGGCGCACGCGCAGACGCAAAGACGCAAAGCCGAGGTTTGCCCCGGGCGCTTGAGCGCTGCGCAAAGGCTATCTCACGCCGCCGACTTCTTTTTGGACGAAGAAGCCCGGCGCCCAACGTCACGCGCCCCGAGCGAAAGGGCAACCCGGCGAAGGCGCGCCGAGGCTGGGGAGCCAATTCCCGTGGATCGTCGTCATCACCCATCCAGCGCGGCCCGCGCATCGCACCAGAACCCGGCCTGGCAACTCAACGCCTTCACGACAGGCGGAGCGGGCAGCTCTCGCGCTCCTGGCGAGAGCAGGCCCGGTCTTCGCGGCGGCGAGGTCCGCCTCGAGGCCGTGGGCTTTGCAAAACGGGCGGGGACACGGGTGAGTAAGTACGTACCGCCCCGTAGGCGTCGATTCGCTGATGGTGCCGGTCTACGCGGGCGATGCACGGTTTTACGCCGCGCAGGCCGGGGTGCGTGGCTGGCTCCGCTGACCCTCCGCCCTTGCGCAGGCGCGCTCGTCGAAGCTGCCCCACTGCTGCAGCACGGACGCCCCCTCGGACCAGTGGCCGGCGGACGAACGGCGCAGACACCGAAGGCAGCTGCAGAAGAAAAAGAAAGAAGACGGAAAACGGGACATCACGCGCGCGCAGATCCTCCGTGGGTCGCGACCGCCCGGCGCGCGATAGCGTGCCCATCGAGCGTACGGCGCTTGGTGCTGGTGGCGGCGCGGGGAGCAGGGGCACGGGAAAGGGGAAGGACGATCGGGTATCGGGCGGCGGAGGCTTTGCTCAGCCTGCACGCCGCAGGTCCGCGTTTGGGCCGCTCCGCGGTGCAGAGCGGTCGGAGGGAAGGAAAAGCGTGCGGACAGGCGGGCTGGGTGGGGAAGGCGCGGGCGACGGGTCGGAGGAGAAGGGTCGATGGAAGGCGACGCGCGCGAAGGAGCAAAGGGAGGGAACGGCGGGAGGGGATGCACGGGTGCGTGTCGGCGCGTCCTCGGACAGGGTGGGGAGAGGCGATTGGCCTTTCGCGCGCATATGCGAGGAAAGAGTTTGGCTTCAGGACGCGGCGTGCAGAGCACGGCAAGTGTGGCGCGAAGCGGACGCGCGCAGGTACGTACGGCGGTGCGGTCGTTATCGCGAGCAGGGTTGCAAAATTGGTCGCGGGGATTGGGTCCGTGCGCGCGCGCGAGGGCGCCAACGGTGAGAACGGACGCATCACCCGCGGAGGCAGGCCCCGGCTATTATTCTGGCGTGGTGGCGTGGTGTGCGTGCGCTGCGCTTGGGTGCCGCTGGGCGGCGGGCGGGCATGCTGCAGGCTGCAGGGCATCGACGCGACACAGGCGGGGGCAAAGGCAGACGCGTGAAACCTGGGCCCCGAAGGGGATCATGGAAAGGAGGGACGGTGATGGTGATTCCAGTCGGCAAGCTAAAGTTGTCTGGGCGAGCTCCTCCCCTTTCCAGCACCGGCAAGCGATATAAGTCCGCCTCCGCCTCCGCTCCATCTTTTTGAACCCGAACCCCCACCTCCGTCGCCCTCCTCCTCCGCACCACCGTCCGCCCACCGCCCTCTCGCCCCCGCCACCGTCCGCCCTGCCTTAATTTCGCCTTCGCCACCCCCCGCCCCCGGTCCCTCGCTCAAGATGTCCGCCCTCCCCGCGCTGCACATGTCGCACATTATCGCCGCCGACGCCCCGCTCACCTCCCCCATCTCCGAGTCGCTCACCGTCCCCTGGGACCGCGACCCGGCGCTCGCGGCGCTGTACGACCCCTTCGCACTCCCCGCCCCGAGCTCGCTCGCGGCCGCCGTCCCCGATTCGCGCCTCGCGCTCAAGGGCCGCGCAACCCCCGACGCGACGCCCGAGGCGTGCGTGTCGACGCACCAGGTCTTCGACCTCGCGCCCTCGCAGCTCGTCCAGATGAGCAGCCCGGCGTCCTCCCCGTCGTCGTCGCCCCAGATGGAGATGCACGACCTCCCGGGCGCCGGGCAGCACACGTTCTCGGCCTCGGGCGACGACGAGTGCGAGAGCCTGGTGCCGTCGAAGCGGCCGTCGGTGACGATCGCGGGCAACGGCCAGTGCGCGAAGAAGCCGAGGGCGGCGGAGCGGGTGAGCACCAAGGACTTTGTGCCGCCGGACGTCACGGGGCTCAGCAAGCGCGAGGCGCGGCTGGTCAAGAACCGCGCCGCCGCGTTTCTGAGCCGGCAGAGGAAGCGGGAGGAGTTTGAGAACATGGAGATGTGAGTGCTCGCCTTCCACCCTTTGCCCTCCGTATCCATCTTCCCGTCCGCGAACCCCGTCGTTTTTCTCGCGTGGCTCCCCCTCCGTGCCGCATTGTTTCGCACCCCTTGACCCCGCTCGAGAGCGCACATTCACGGGCTTTCCACGCGTGGTGCGCCCCCCTGTGCGAGCATGGAAACGGTCGCGTCCGCCGTTTGTATATGCGCGCAAACTTTTCCGTGCCCCGAGTCTGCCCGACGGGGCTGGGAAATGGGCGATGCGCGGACCGCAGGCGCGTTGGGCGCCTGTGACTGGAGTCTGATTGGCCAGATGGGATCTGTTCAGGTCGGGGAAGCCCCATCAGATTCTGGTCTCTCTCGTCATTCTGCTTTGACGTTTCAAATCCACGCGCATTCCCCGCCCCCGCTCCTGCCTTCCCTCCTTCGTGCACCGGGCCATCCAGCTGATCGCGATTCCCCCAGCCGTGTCGCCGAGCTCGAGCAAGAGAACGCCCGTCTTCTGGCTTCCATCCAGCAGACTACTCCGCCCCCATCGGGTCCTGAGGACATCCTCAAGTCCGAGCTCGAGCAGCTCAGGCGGCAGCTCGCGGAGACCCAGCAGCGCGAACGCGAACTCGCAGAGAAGCTCGAGGGCGCACCCGTTGTCGCCCCCACCCCGGCCGCGCCGGCGGCGGAGGTAAAAATGGAGGCCGTCGAGCCTTCTCTTCCCGTTTCGCTTCGCGCGCACAAGGGCGAGCGTTCAGGAGCAAGCTTTGGGCTCATGGTGCGTCCCGTTCGTAGTGCTGGGTCTTCCCTGCGCGCTCATCGTCGGTCGCCATCACGCAGGTCCTTCTTTGCGCGCTCCCGACGCTCCTCTCCATGCCCGCGCACACCGCGATCTCGAACAGCATGTCTTCGTTCAGCCACTCGCATTCGCACTCTCACTCGCACTCGACCTCGCTCGACATGACCTCTTTCGGCACTGGCGACCTCGACTGGGGCTTCGGCTTCGGCTCGGGCGCCATGGACCTCGACCTCGCGCCGTCGTCTCTCGTGTCGGATGAGCCTGCTGAGCCCGAGTTCAAGAAGCTCGAGTTCGCGGACGAGAAGCTTGGTCTCGGTGGTCTCGATATCTCGTTCGACGCCACCGCCGCCAAGGAGGGCCGCATCCGTGTCCGTATCCACCCCCCGGCATCCGAGAACGGCGAACAGGCAGAAGACGACCACACGATGTGGCAAGAGACGCAAGACGACCTTGGCCCCTTCCTCGGTGTTGGCGCTGATTTCGACACGCCCTCCTCTTCGTTCGGCTCCTCATCCTCGCTGCACCCGCTCGACTTCTCTTTCCCCCAGTCCTCGTCATCCTACTCGTCCGCGTCCTCACCATCACACCTCACGTCGCCGACGTCTGCGTTCTTCTCGACCGCGCCGTCGCCAACGCATGTGAACGAGTACGAGTTCGATCTGGGCAGCGAGTACGGCAGTGTGGGGAGCGGAATGTCGCGTGCGGGCAGTCCGGGCATCAGCTCGTCAAACGGCCGTCGTCGGGTGCGTATCGCGCTGCGCGGCATGCCCGGCAAGGGTAAAGAGGGCGGCGAGTGGGAGGTCGAGGTGTGCTAGGCTTGATGTCTGGCGCACCTGGCGTCCGGGTCGTGCGCCTCGCGGACGTCGCGCGTAGGTGCGGTCGTACGTTTTGGTTTCACTTCTTTCGTTTTCTTCTCGAAGCAACACCCGTTACACGCTGTGCCGTCCCGAGCGCGCGCAGCGGCTCCGTCGCGACTTCTCCCCTTGTTTTATTTGCAGCTCCCCCCCGTCGTATCCTACTCGCTCGTCTATGTATTACTCTGGCTCTCGTGCTCTCGCCTCGCCCATTGCATCCACCCATACACTCATAAAATCCTCGTAACATACACTGCGTCCATACATACACCACCGCACATACATCACACATCCGTCTCTAAACACAAACCTACCCTTAAACCCGACTACAGCCCAGCAAGCGAACCCAATATCGTACATACTCCTTATTTACCCGCCTACCCTACCTCCCATACCCCCGCGCCGCTTGTTTTTGTCGTCGGTTGTTGGCTATATTCCGCGCTAGTTGTATGCCTTTCTCCCCACCACCTCCCCCTCACCCCGTCTCGCGTCCACACACGCGGTGCGACCCCCGCGGGAGCTCTTAGCTGAGCACTCTCGCGCGTGGGTTCGCTTCCGTGCTCGTGGACGCCGACACGGGCTGGGGAGGAACTAGAGGACCTCATCCAGTTGTTCCATTCCGCTTCGCGTCTGTCGTTATCCGCCGCTATATGTTCCCTATGTCTCTGTTATACGCTTACACTGCATTGCCTTGGGCTTGGTCAAAACGGTGTTCTATGGATGTACATGTATGGCCCTATATGGAGTTCCACAAAACAAGCTTCACAACCCCCCGCTCTCCCCACATCCTCTTGTGTGCGTGCGTGACCTGCCCTGATCAATGTGCCGTCAGCCCGCCAAACTTTGTCGTATCCGACGGGGCAAGTCCGCGATGATCAATGGAGCGAGAAGCCGTTGGCGGCCTTCTGTCCTTCCTCTCATCGCAAAACTTTTCGCTGGAGCGTTCCGTCGACTTGAGCCTGATCGCTCCCGCCGTCGGCGCACGAACGTTGACCAAACCTTCTCAGACGTCGGACGTCTTCGAGCACAGGGCCGTCGCCATCCCGATGTCCGCGCAGCGGTGTCCGACGTGATGTGCCTGCCGGGGCCCTGCGTGCATACACGGGACCGCGCCGCGCGCGCACGCAGGGCGAGCCTGCCCGAGGCCAGGCACCGGGTTGGTGCCTGCTCGGAGTCGGACGCGCTGCTCAAGTTTTAAAATTCAAACGCCGCCCCTCGCCGCCAGCCCAGAGTCCAGACTGAGACATCTACGGACATCGCCGTCGCGACTCGCGAGTCGGCTGCTGGGGTCGTTCTGGGTCGTTGGACTTCGGAGGCGGATGGTGTTGCCTTGGGCACGGGTTGGCGGGATGGCTGAACGTTCTGCGCTGGGTGTTCATTACAGGACGGCTGCGCGGAAGTATGTATGTACCACCTATTTTTGCCTCCGCGGGGAAGCTGCTGCTGCGCGTTGCGCACGGTTACTCAATATACTCAGTACTCAGGCCTTCTGGCCGCGGGGTACATACTTAACACAGTTCATAAGCTTACATAAGAAGAAAATAGATGAACCATACCTGAACATTGCGCGTAGAGACACGTTCCACTTGGGTAAAAGCTTTGCGCGGGTCCAATCGTGCTGCTCCGTTTGCAGAGACTGATCGTTGGTAACTCATAGGCTGCAGTAAAGCATGAACGAGGCACACCCATCGCGGCCTGAGCTTGTGAACGAAACGACAAGGTGTGAATCTGGTAGGGCAAGCCGCAGACTTGAAGTTGGCCGCTGCTCGGGTCTAACGGCCCGGGAGATGTTCTCACGGTCACGCTTCCAACCAGACTCACGTCTCTTTCGTTCACATCTCGAATCTCGACTGCTTCCTGTCTTTGGATGTGAGCGATCATGCCGCTGAATATCCCTGGCATCCTAGCTCCTTTCCACCTCATCATCTTTCCTCGCTTAATTGTGCCTGGCATTGTCGTGAAGGGTCGGTCCCGCTCGGTGTTCACGCCTGCGCGTTGTGTTGACTCGCCGTGCCAGGAAGACATTCGCCAGCTAGACTTTCCAGCGTTGTACAAAGCGGGATATAGGGGCGCAGTGTTCGACAAGGATAATTGCTTGGTATGTTCTTTCACCGTCCCTCTTTTCGACCGGCTCACTGGTCAGCAGACAGTCCCTCATGAAGACCGACTAGTCTCGGAGCTGAAGGTGAGTCAAGCCTGTTGTGTCTTGTTCTTCGTCTCACGCCTGGAGCAGCAAGCCTGGCAAGAGTGTCGAGATACTTTTGGACCCGGGAACGTGCTCGTTGTGAGCAACACAGCAGGATCTCATACAGACGTCGGCGAGATCGAAGTGGGTCCATACCATTATCCCTCGCCTCCTCTCCTCATTGTTACTCTCAAGGCAGAGTCCGTGACGCATCACCTGTCCGTACCCGTTCTGCGACATGCCTCTCTCAAGCCTTCATACTCCTGCATCAAGAACATCCGGGCCTACTTTGCGTCTCTCCCTCAACCCATACGAGACGACCAACTCGTCGTAGTCGGCGACCGACTGCTCACCGACATGGTCATGGCCAACCGGATGTCGCGAAAACGGCCCGCCGTTGCCGCAGCAGAGGGCGAGAAGACACCTCTCATGGATGGGCAGGTGAGCGAAGAGTCACTAGTACACCCGGAGAGGGTGGGGCCGCTGGCAGTCTGGACAGAAGGATTATGGAAACGCGAAGCGTTGGCGCTGCGGCTATTGGAGAAGGGCATGCTAAGGGGTGTGGAGAGGTGGCTGCTCAAGCCCCACGAAGTTACATGGCGGGAAAATGTGCAATGCAGGTTCGTGAAGCCCTTGCCTGTCCCTGAGAAACCCGTGAAGGAAGGGTGGACATCGAAACTCTGGGCGAGGTTCGCCGCATGAGCGCTCACTCACCGCCCTATGTCGTACCGTACTTGCTTTCCCCCTGCTCATATGTTATGCGTAGCACCGCGCTTTAATGCATCTCCACTCGCACTCCCTCGACGTTCAACCCACGTGCTACGTCGTGTATTGCGGGCACACACGCATCGCCAGCACGCCTTTTCCGGGGGGCTGCATTGTGGCGTTCGTGCGAAATCATGACGCGTCTCACGTGCCGGGGACACGACACGTGCGTCAGCGTCGCCTGAGTCGACTCTCAAGCTTGTCTCCGTCTTCCCACTCTGCTTCCCACTCCCCTCCACCTCCTCCTGCTTCGCGCAGTGAATCCTTGCTCGGACGACCATGCTCGCCCTCCGCGCGCGCGTCCTCGTCGTTCCGACGCACCGCCCGCTAGCACCAGCGCGGCTGGGCCGACACGTCTCGAACCCGCCATGTCTTGCCGGCACTCTCCAGCCGACCTCCAGCCTTCGTCTCTCGTTACGACACTTCGCTTCATCCTCTCCTGCTCGCTCGCCTCCGTCTGAATCCTCCACACCCGCAACCTCAACTACACCGTCATCCAAGGCGTCCGACCCATCTGCATCCTTGCCCGCACCCGCCAAGTCAATATGGAGTAGATTTACCGCGAGCGCGCAGGGCTCAGAGACCACGAGCAGCACGTCGTCGTTCCGCAAGATCGTCGCGCTCGCGGCGCCGGAGAAGAAGCCGCTTGGGGCTGCGATTGGGCTGCTTATGGTCTCGAGCGCGGTCTCGATGAGCGTGCCGTTCACGATCGGGAGGCTCATCGACTTCTTCTCGACTACGAACCCAGTGAGTTGCCATTCTATGTCCTTCCCCATCCTTTTCCTCTCGCGCACGCTGTACGTGTGACGATCAGTGCAAGCTGACATGGCTCCGGAATGCAGCAAATACCATTCGGACTGTCATTAGGGCAGGCGTCCGCGGTTCTCCTGCTCATGTTCTCTGCGGGAGCGGCAGCGAACGCGGGACGCGCGATGCTCATGCGGTTATCCGGTACGTTGAGTGCCTTCATACTGCTCGGCCTTGGTAGGCTGATTCCTGCTTCTCTTCGTAGGCCAGCGAATCGTTGCCCGACTACGAGAAAACACGTATGCCGCGGCGCTACAGCAGGAGGTGGAGTTTGTGGAGAAGGGTGAGGGTGATGTCTTGAGCAGGCTTAGTGTCGACTCGAGTATCGTCGGTGAGAGGTGAGCACTCTTCCATAGCATGTATTGGAGGTGCATCTCACCGACCAACGACTGCAGCGTAACACAGAACCTCTCCGACGGTCTTCGGTCGGTGGTCATGGCTTCAGCAGGCTGTGAGTGTATTCTCTCTTTGCTTTTTTCCCTTGTCCTGAATCGCATGCAGTGGGCGCGATGTTCTACATCTCACCACAGCTTACCCTCCTGATGCTCACGGTTGTCCCTCCGGTCTCTCTTGGTGCTGTACGTCTCCATCCTCGAAATTCACAGCATCCGACGTCTGACGGTCAATCAGGTCTTCTATGGTCGTTACTTGAAGAAGCTCTCCAACAGGACTCAAGAAGCTCTTGGTGAGATGACGAAGGTCGCTCAAGAATCGTTGTCGGCTCTTCGCACAGTTCAGGCTTTCAATGCGGCAAAGCAAGAGGAGGGCAAGTTCCACCAGAAGGTCGAGACCGTACTCCAGCTCGCACGGAAAGAGGCCATCGCGAGTGGGATCTTCTTCGGAGCGACTGGTTGGAGTGGCAATGTGACCCTACTTGCGCTTCTTGGTTATGGTGCGTAACACGTGCTATGCGGTGTGTGATACGGTTCACTCATCGTGCCAGGTGGTACTCTCGTGAGCAAGGGCGCTATTTCAATGGGTGATCTCACGAGCCTCCTTTTGTACACGGTCTATGTCGGAAGCGGTCTCCAAATGCTCACGTATGAAAATTTCCCCACACTTTTGCAAACTCTGGCTGATTCTCCTTCGTTGATAGTTCGTTCTTCGTGCGTGTTTCCCCGTATTCCTTCGCATTCAGTCAATAATAAGGCAGCGCGCATACAGTCGTCGATCATGCGAGGCATCGGTGCGGGAGTCCGCATCTTCGACCTGCTCGACCGTCATCCCGCCATCCCGCCGAACACCGGTGACATCGTCGACCCCCTCCGACGCGGACCCATTCGCTTCGAACACGTCTGGTTTGAGTACCCGAGTCGTCGCAATGTCCAGATCCTAAAGGACCTCAATCTCGAAGTCAACGTTGGTGAAAGCGTTGCCATCGTGTACGTCCATTTTTTCGTTTGTCATGGCGTTGGAGACTTACCGAAACCGTGTAGAGGCCAGAGTGGCAGTGGCAAGAGCTCTATTAATGCCCTGCTCATGCGCTACTATGATCCAATCAAGGGCAAGGTGACATTTGATGGTCAAGACATCCGGGAGTTCAAGCCATCTTCGTGGAGGAATCTCATCGGCGTCGTTCCTCAGGTATGTGTCCTGTCGACAGATGCGCAACATGGGCTAATATTCACGTCATCCACCCCATGCAGGATCCGGTACTCTTTACTGGTACTATCGCCTCAAACATCGCATACGGTCATTCCGAAGCCACTCGCGAGCAGATTGAGGCTGCTGCTCGTCAAGCTAATTGCGAGTTCATCTGGGGCATGCCCAATGGCTTCGACACTGAGAGTGAGTGCATTCTCTGCTCCCTTTGGTTCACTCGGCTGACTTTCATACCACAGTCGGACGCACCAGCTTGAGCGGCGGCCAACGCCAGCGCCTCGCAATTGCCCGCGCCCTCCTCCGCAAACCGGCTATTCTCGCGCTCGACGAAGCGACAAGCTCGCTGGACGCGACCTCGGAGCACCGCGTGAACGACGCGATCGACAAGATCCTGCGCTCCCGGCAAACGACGTGTCTCGTCGTCGCACACCGGCTCTCGACCATCGCGCGGGCAGAGCGCATTGTCGTCCTCGAAGACGGCTACATCGTCGAGAGTGGCACGTTCCGGCAATTGGTGAGCTCTTCTTAGTCTGATTGGGTGCAGTGCAGATACAGGAACTTATTTGGGTCGCGTTCAGGTTAACAAGGAGGATTCGCGGTTCCGACACTTAATGGCAGCCCAACTCGACGCTGCGGCCAACGACTACTTGACGCCCAACGTCGTCCCGCCGATTGAGGCGGCGCCCGTGCAGGTGGAGATGGCCTCGCAGCAGCCGCAGCTATAGCACCTTCCCGTAGTCGCAGCTGCGAGAGCTTCGTTGCTTCTCACCTCCCGCCGGTCTAGCCGGTTTCTGGGCAGGACACGCCCACCTGTCTCCCACCACGATCCGTGCGCCATGGGATGACCTCGATGTTGATTATTCGCTAACAATACGTAGAGCCGCGAGTGTCGTAGGCGTAATTCCGTGTATTGTTGGATCGCATAATTGGCAATCATAGACTACTCACAGGATTGCGCAGTGGGAGACACCAGCACCCTGTACACATCTTGCCTTCGAGCCGAGCATCTGGTTGATTCCGTGCTTCATCGCTTGGTTTCTTCGTCACAGGTCTTCTTGCTTCGGTATGACAATGGCCGCTCAAGTTCAACATTTGTGTTCATTATAATGTCCATATATCCGAGCCAAGCAACGGTGCGTTACATCTCTTCCTTTGCCATTGTTCCGGCAAACTCATCGTTCCTTACGACCGCTCAAGGAATTACTCGATCGTCGGGAAAACCATGAAAATGGGCATCACCGTGGTTTTTTGTGGGCCACTACCCTCCCGACCGCCGGCGTGGTTGGCGCGATCACAGCAATATGGACGAAGCATCTCGAAACTTATCACCTCTCTCGACGTCCAAAAGATGTCCTTGCGGATGAAGTCCCAGAGCTCCTCCGCCGTCTCAGCAGAGGCGATCATGAGCGACCCCTTGACCTTTTGCCTGGCGTCGGCCTGGCTGGAGACGACTCCGTCGCGGAGGACGCCGCCCGCGAGGACTGTCGACGGTGTTCGTCGCTGGATCGGAGTGAGCCGGAAGGGAGGGAAAGATACACCGACGCGGCCGCTCTGCACGAAGGGCGTGCTGTTCTCTGTGTTTTCGGCGAGGTGCTTGGCGCGCTGGGCGTTGGGCAGGTCGGTTATGCTGATGGCGGCGGGGCGGACATGGCTGCGATGTGCGTTTTTCTGCGTCCGCGGGCTTGATTTTTTACACTTGTTTCATGTGTCATTCCGTCCAGGGATGAGTCCCCGTATCCCGGTCGGGACGTCTTCAGGCGATTGGTGAAATGACACCTGCTCGTGCAACTCACGGCATTACACCGATCGGAGGTGCTTGTGCACTTGCACGACGACCTAGCCGTGTTGCAGTGACCTCAGAACCCGCTCAGCGTCCGAACGCATCTACCCACTGATGTACGCAAATAACAGCACAAAGCGTCCACCCTGCCGGCACTGAGGCCTTGAGGCCTGAGATCACGGTGCAGGTGCCCACTCTCCGGACTCATTGGGCACTTCCTAATCCAGCAATGACATTGCACACTGGGAAGCTTCTTCGCCATGCCCCCCGGCTTCCCCTCCGTGGTCCTGCCGCGTGGCGCACGCGTGTCCGCAATGGCGCACACATCGATATAAGCAGCAGCCCGGACGTCCTTCATCGCGCTCATCGTCGCCCCCCGCCCCCCTCCCCCCTGCCACAGGCACCCGAATCGGGGCGCAAGATATTCTCCAGACGCTCCCTCGGCCAATTTCTGATCAGAAGTTTCACAGGCGGACCCACACAGAATGGTGGAAGCACCGCCGAATCCAGCAAGGTCTGTCTTGCTGGGGGACACCGCAGCCGCAGTGGCGCCGACGACTACCGCAGCAGCGGCGGGAGCGTCGGAGGACGCGTTGAGGGTATTCGGGGATATACAGGCATCGCTCGGAGGCTTGGAGGTGCGCGAGTCCCGTCTCCTCTTGTCTCGTCTCTTCAGCATCTGCCCATCATCTCGTTTTGCAGAGTGCCCTGGGAGCAGTTGGTATGCAAGCAGTAAGTCATGCAGCCAGGTCAGGGGATGGACGAGCGGATCGTCGCGTATGTGTCCGTGCCTTCGTCCCGCTCACTGGCTTTCTAAAAGCACTGTGTTCGCAGCGTCCAGGCAGAAATGAAGCAACAGGAGGACGAACAGGAAGAGCATATCAAGGACATTCAGGGTGCGTGGTGCACGCCGTCCGAGTAACGTGATTACTGATTGGTTTGTCGGTTGCTCAGCACTATGTCTGGAGGTCCTGGAGAAGGACGTTCTTCAGCATTTGACTGCCCTCAGTACGCGACTCTTTTTATTCCATGCTTTCAAAGTTGTGCTCATTGTGCGTGTAGTCGAGGCCGGAGTCCTCGAAGATATCGACAAATTGGTGCAGGAGCACGTCGCCCAGCTTCTGCCGCATTATCTTCCAAGGGAGCTTCAATTGGAGCTTCGAGAGCAGCAGGCAGAGCTGGAACGTCTGGAGAAGCAGCTCCATGATTCGTAAGTCCTTTGGGATGGTTCTGTCACATGCTGACCTGTGGTTCTAGGGAGTCACGGCGGGCAAACGCCACCTCCGCTCACATAAACATAGCGAGCACGTTCATTCTATTCACAACGCCAAGGGAAAATCAGCGAGGGATTCCCGAGACCTGAGCCACATGTTCGCTCTCACTTGTGAGTCTGATGAAGTCTTCAGAGTTCATCATGCTCATTGGCCACATATATGCACAGCGAGTGCTGCAGAAGTCCTCGTACGCGAGTATGGTTTGGGCGAACCGAGCCCTGTCCGTGAAAAAAATATCAATGTATTCATGCGCCACTGCGGGGTGCAGTATCACTGGTGAGCGCAGCTCGCTGGGTTTTTTATGTTATGGTACTCACTACTGGCCTGCTGCTCAGGTCTTCACAGGGGTTGGAGAACAGGCTGTACCCAGGAAGGTCAGCGCAACGACGGGCGCACAACCAAAGTAATGTGACTGTATTCATATGGACAGCTTAGTAGTAGCATTTGTATGATCACGTCGCGAGATTGGCTTCCTCCAACGTGCCAGGATCTGGACTTGCTTGTGTGCAAATCAAGCGTCGAGGAAATGGATGCTATAGACGACTGGCAAAGCAAGACTGACTTCAAGCACACTTTGAGGGTCGCATGCTGGTGTTGCATATGGCTGGGATGAACTTATTAACTGAGCTTGGAACATGATGGCGTGCGCTGAAATCTTTCGGGCGCCCACCGGGCCGCACGATAGACGCCGCGTGCGAAGGTGGCGAAGACGCTGATCTCCGCGAGCTCGCTGTCTCTTCCGGCGAGCATGACTCTCTCGACCACGCTTGTCTCTGCTCACGCCCCCTTCTGCCAACAAGCTCCATCCAATCCGAACGCTTCTTTCCAGCACGTTCAGATGGCGCTAGGAACTAGGCCCGGACGCCGCGACGGCCAGTCGGCGAAGGCAACAACGTGCTATCGTGATCCGCCGATAACCTAGCGGCCATATGCTGCTCAATTCTCAGCCATGCAGCGCGAAGACTGACTCGGCGCTGGGCCTCGACCTGTGGCGCGGCCTCCGCCCTCAGACCAATGCGAGCTCGCGGCAGTCCAAAGATCCGGGTCCTTCGTTGAGAGTGCATAAGTATATAAGGTCGGTCGCGATTGCCCTTGAGCTAGCGTAGCCTCCCCCTCCTCACCACTCCGCCTCGCCGCCAGGCCTTGTCGTTATGGCATCCTCCAACGGCCTTATCTGCTTCACGAACTGCCTCCTCCCCCAGGAGGACGGTGCTCTGGTCGAGAAGGACCTCTGGATCGACGAGCGCCGTGGGGTCATCCTCGACTCCCAGCGTACGTTCTTCCTCCGCAAGGAGCGTCCCGATCGTATCATTGACCTCGGTGGTAACATTCTGAGGTGAGTATATCCGTGTCGTACTACTGTAACCCCCTCGTGCACATCTTCATATCCTCTTCTACCTTGCCCCTCCATGTCCCTTAATACCTGCTTCTCGCCTCCGTCATATCTGCGATATTTCCCTCGAGGTTCTGCACCCACAGTTTTCTTCGGCCACATCACTGACTCATGTTATTCGACCTCCAGCCCAGGATTCCTCGATATTCAGATCAATGGCGCCTACAACTTCGACTTCTCCGTCTATGAGGGTGACGATGCCGCCTACAAGGAGGGTCTCCACCGCGTCGCCGAAAAAATTGTCGAGACCGGTGTCACGTCGTGAGTGCAATGTTTATTGGCGCGCATATAGTCACGCTAACGCGTTCGTGGGGAGGCTCCTGCCTACTATCATCGTGAGTTTCTAGGTCTCACCGCATCATCCTTCAATCCTTTCTTCGATCGGGTACTTGTGGGGAAACCCCACCTCGTGAGACGCGTTACGCGTCTCGCGGAGTGAGTGCCTGTGTTCGCGTCCTTGGGTGCGTATTGTGGAATTGCGTCCTTTGAGTTTCTGGGGGGTCGTCATTAGTTCGGTTTGAGTGGTATGCGGCGTACGCTCGGAGGATGCGCATCTTGCGTCCGACGATGTTGCCCGTGCGCGGTTGCGAGTGGAAGCATAAGACACATGCGTTCGTCTCGTACAGCCTTCCAGCGTGCATTCGTTGGAGGGGGATGTACTGGCGTGCGTTAGTCTGGTGTCGTTATGCCTTCGTACAGCTTTCCAACCATGACGCACTATCGCGCGCGTTGGCGTTCGGTGACCTCTATATCTGGTTTTCCTTGTCGTGCTGTATGGCAGCCATCTCGCCCGCATCCCGTCTGTCTGACGTATCCCCCGTTATCATCGCTTCTTTTTCCTGTGTTATGATGTTCGATCAGTGTACTAATCACCGGTATCTCCCTCGCAGACACAGGAGCGTTCTCTGTACCCCAAGCTCCTTCACCTTCTTCGCCCTTACAGCGCGCCGAACTCCGCGACGCTCCTCGGCTGGCACGCGGAAGGACCTTTCATTCAGCTTGCCAAGCGCGGTGCACACGCTCCCGAATTTTTAATGGGAGCCAAGGAGGAGATCAAGTCCTTCGAGTCGGTCTACGGCGCCGAAAACCTCGTTGTCGCCGAGGATTGGCTGATGGGCAGCGAGGCCACGGGTGACGCACTCGGCGTACGGGTGATCACTGCTGCGCCCGAGGTGGATGGCGTAATGGTGTCCATCCCCGAACTCGCGCGCCGCGGCGTCGTCTTCTCCATCGGGCACTCGATCGCCACCACCGCGCTCGCGACCGCGGCCGTCCAGGGCGGCGCGCGGCTCATCACCCACCTCTTCAACGCGATGCCCCAACTGCACCACCGGGACCCATCGATCATCGGCCTGCTCGGCGCGTCCCCGCACCTGTCTTCCCCCAGTTCGTCGTCGAACCCGACGTCGCCCACGTCGCTGTTGGCTTCCCACTCCTCCAGCGCGTCCCGTCCGCGATCCGGCGCTCCGCGGCTGCGATCGGCGCGGGCGCGACGTCCGAGGCGTTCGACGACGTGCAGACGCCGCCACTGACGCCCGTGCTCGCGCCAGGCGAGCTCACCGACCTCGGGCTCACGAAGGGCAAGGTCGCGGAGATGAGCTTCGAGCGCCCGTTCTACGAGCTCATTGTCGACGGTATCCACTCGCACCCGAACTCCGTCCGCGTGAGTTCTTCCCACCTGTCGCGTATACGTCTGGCACAAGGCTGACCTATGCGCACGCCCTTGCAGCTCGCATACTCGTCCTATCCCGACGGCTGCGTCCTCATCACGGACGCGATGAAGATCCTGGACCCGCATCTGCCCGACGGGGTGCACCCGTGGCGGGACGGCAAGAACTTCGTCAAGGCCGGGGACAAGCTCTACCTCGAGGGCACCGACACGCTCGCCGGCTCCGTGGTCTCGCTCGACAAGTGCGTGCGGAACTTCTCGCGCTTCACCGGCTGCTCCCTCGGGGAGGCCATCCGCTGCGCGACGTACAACCCCGCGCGCTGCCTCGGGATCGAGGCGCGCAAGGGCACGCTCCGCCCCGGCGCCGACGCCGACCTCGTCGTCCTCGACCGCAAGGGTCGCGTGCAAAGCACTTGGGTCGCCGGGCGCGAGGTGTGGACGCGCGCGTAGACGGCCAGCGCGGCGAGAAAAGATAGACCGCGCCGTAGTCTTGGAGATACCACACGCGCCGTCACGCTGTACTTGTGTTTGTCATATAGACCGCCGCCAGAGATAAGGCGCTCGACGGGCGCGCGTCGGGTAATATTATGTGTCTATAGAATATGGCACCGCGCGGCGCGGGGGCGGGTTATGCGAACGGCGAATCGCACGTGCCGGCCCGCGCGCAAGCGTCGGTGCACTCTACGTGCGAAGGAGGGATGCGAGACGAATAGGAGTGTGCAACCAGGGGTGGAATGCGAGAGCTAGGGATGGGAGCGGGGGGAATACATGGTCACATCAACAACAACCAGCAGCGAATCGTACAGCGCCATTCAGAGAGCTTCTGCCAAGTTTCAACATATCAAGCGCAACACAGCGCCGGCGCCGGCGCCACAGTCATGGCGCGCAGCGTCGGGAACGAAGGCAAAGGTGCACGGGTTATGATGCCGCGACGGCAGACGACGACGGCGACGCAGAGGGCGCGGGGCCGTCGCCCTTCTCGCGCTCCTTGCCCTTGTCCTTCTCCGCGGCCGCGGGGTCGTCCATGTACAGCCCGCGCTCCTCGATGTACTCGACGACGGGCGCGGGGAGCAGGTAGCGCACGCTGAGGCCGCGGCGGAGGAAGAGGCGGACCTTCGTGCTCGACACGTCGTTCTGCACGAGCTGGTGGACGAGGTGGATGTTGCGCCGCCAGCGCGCGAGCGCGTCGAGCGCGGCGTCCGTGTCCGCGCCGGCGCGCTCGACGATGAGCGCGCCGTACCGGCCGAGGATGTGGTCCAGGTCGGGCTCGGACCACACGCCGGGCTCGGACATGGTCGCGATGAGGTCCGAGCCGGCGAGGAGGAGGACGCGGGCGGGGACGCGGGGCGCGTCGGGCGCGGAGGAGGTGGCGATCCCGCCGAGGACGGTGTTGATCTCGTGCTCGACGTGGTCGAGGACGACGGCGGTGCGCTGGTAGTCCTGCACGGCTTCCCAGGGGTCGACCATGAGCCACTGCGAGGTCTGCTCGGCGGCGAGCGAGCACATGTTCACCCTGGGAGGTACGAGAGGTCAGCGTTCGGTTCGTGGGGCAGATGACTGGCAGCGTAGCAGTAGACTTCGCCTAGCGTGGATCCGCCTCGTGGGTGTCATACAAGATCTTCACGAGACCCTCCCCGCAAGCCCCATACTCCACACATGGCTGGTCACGACGTGCCACCCAGACGGAGGGCGATATGCCGGCCTCCCGCGCGAACATCGTGAGCGCATGCGATACACGGTCGTAGAATGCCTGCTGTGACAATTTTGGAGGCTGCGGTGGACTGTGGTGGATCCGCGTGCACTCCGAGGGCCACCACGAGGTGGCCGATGTCCACATAGCGGTCAAGCGATACGGACAGCCTCGGGTACGTGACGCACTACACGGCCGGACGGCAGTGAGGCAGAAGTATCCGGGAGGGCCCGGAACACCATGTGGACATCCAAACACGTCTAACTGCCCTCGCTCTCTCGACCGGCACCGTGTGCTGCAGGACGAGAGAGAGGACAGCCTGGGAGGCGGTACTGACGGCAGTGTACGGAACTCGGAGCCGGGTACATGCTCACGTGACCGGAGCATATGGCGCGAGAATCGGCCCTCCTGAGAAGTTTCCCGTAGAGCACCGCGGCGAAGAATGGCGACATCGTGCTGAGCAAGGCGAAGATGCTCACCGGTGGAAGGCAGAGATCAGGCCCGGCTTCTTGTACTGGTCGCTGACCGGAGAGAGGTAGCCGCCGACGATCTCCCAGTCGGTGTTCTGGCGGACGTAGTCCTTCGCCATCTCGAACATGCGGAGATGGAGGTAGGTGACGGGGCTGAAGGAGCCGCAGGCGACGAGGACGACGGGCCGCTTGTCTGGGTTGCGGAGCTCGCGGGCGAGGCGGTGGGCCGGGAAGGCGTATCCGGGCGGGTCCGTGAACGACTTGGGCGACGGCGCAACGGACATGGCGGGGAGAGGAGGGCGGCGGAAGGGACGGGGCGGGCGGCGGGCCAGCAGGGCCTGGAACGAGAGGAGGGCGGAGGATGGTGGCTTTGCCATGGGATAGAGAGCTAGATAAATCACATCAGAATGCGCACTGTGGCGACCGAGTCATCTGTTCCCACGCTGCGCTGCCGGCTGACCCCTCTTGAGGCCTCCTCCGCGCTTGTATACACGCCCTTCCGAGATCGCCGGTGGGCGACGACCAGCAACAGACATCCAGTCGACGTCAAGTCGGCCTCGTCGAGCTCAGCTGCACGAGCCACGATACTTACGGAATCTTGCGGGACGCGACCGCTCTTTCGGAGCCATCGAGATCGGCGTTAGACTGGAAGCGGAAGTGTGTATACTTCATCAGCCGGAGGTTCCGAAGATCCATGTGTTTGGTGACTGGTCGGGTGCGCCAATGACAAGTCTGAAAGAAGGACAAACCAAGGGGCGTGCGCCGGGTACATAAGCACTTCAAATACTTAGGAGTCGCCATCAATTTCTCCTAGGAAGGCCACCGGCGTACTCCACATCGCGTACGATAAAATTCCTTCACAACTGACTGAGCGGACTCGCTGTACCTCTGTTCTGTCATCTCACAAGTTAGAATTTGCGTGGTTGGGTTGAGGGAGGAGTGGTGGCCACCGCGGTACCTTAGGCTCGAGGAGATCGGTGATATGGCTTCACCTGTAGCGGGCGCTGAGCGCGGGAATCTTCTGGGCGAAGCGCACGAAAGGTGGTGGTGAACGCACCAACTTGAAGCTGGGGACCGCGATGATGCACGCGCGTGCTGCCCTTGGCTTGGGCGCCCGCGATAATCTAGCCTCGGAGCGGTCCGTAGGCGCTCCGTGCGCGCGATAGTCCCGGAGGCGCGCAAAGTGACCGTAACAATCGGGAAATCGTATGCACGCTCTACGAACCATAGTACCACTGATATGACAGCATCGCTTGTTCAGCGGATGTATTAACCTCGTGGTAAATTGGATTCAGCTCGGGTCTGTAGTTCCACCCTGGCTTATTTCCGACGAGTCGGGACTCGGCGTAGTTGAAAGGAAGGACTTGATTAGAAAGACTGTGAGGGCGAAAGGCCGCCTGAGTCATAGGGTCTGGCATTCCATATGAGCGTCGAATTTCATATAGGCGTTGAGCAGTATAAAGTAATTAACCCGTTCTCCTCGTTTGCGCAGACCGAGGAGAACGACACCATCGACGACGACAATGTCCATCCAACCAAACACGAAGAACTGGTTCCTCATCCACGCTCCCGACTTTCCTGACGCGCAGCGCGCGAAGCACATGTCGCTGCATTCGGAGAAGTGTGCACGAACCTGGATCCACTCCCGAAGCAGGGCTGACGAGGATCGGCGCCGGCAGTAATGGCTGGCCTCCTCCTCCCGAGCGGCGCGCGCTCGACCGACACAGACGCGCGGCAGAAGATAGCTGGGTCTACGATCGTCATCTCAGCTGAGACGGAGGAAGAGGTGTGGGAGATGATCCGGGATGATATCTTCTACACATCTGGAGAAGTGGTACGTGTTTGTTGGGCGTTAAAACCATGTTTTGCTAACGACGATGGGCCGTGGCAGTGGAACAGGGACAAGTTGACCGTGTCGCCATTGTTCTTGGGAATCCCGCAGCCTGCGTAGATAAGAAGCAACGGAACATGTGGGGGATGCTATGCAGGTCCTATAGAAATGACATGTCAAGCAGCTACGGTCTGAATTCTGCGCAGATGGACAACAGAACAAATTGGGTAGCAGTTCGCGGTGATGTTGTATGGACCTGCCTCATGCGGACAAGCCGACGGCTACAAAGAGCACGATGGGCCCCAAAAACTTGACATACGTAGGATCCTATGATTGGTGTCATAGAGCTGGTCGCTTTTGTCGTCGTACACCTGTCATTATAGCTGCCATGGAAAGCGCACAGATGCTTCGTGAATTAACCGAATGTCCGATCGGTGTAAATTGAACGGTTTAAAAATGGGAAAGACCGACATCGGAAGACCGGGATGAGGATATGCGCGCTATTCTCTGGCTCTCGGGTGGGGTTCGGCGACCCCGAATGGACTTCCTGAGTCATCGGCATCTATAATTTCATGTCAGTGTTGAGTATAAGAGGTTCACGAGGGACTCGCCGCTAAGCTGTATCTTCACCGCTAGTCCTCCCTCGACACCGCGACGACGATGTCTCTCCCACCGCCCAACACGAAGAACAACTTCCTCGTTCACATCCTCGACTTGCCCGATGCGTATGCAGAACGCATGAAGCACTCTCCGGTCCACATGGAACAGAACGGGCCAATTATGGAGAGCGGCCGACTCGGTGCGCTCCGGTTGCAGAGCGTATCGTCGGAGAGCGGCTAACGTAGGCTTGCAGTTGCGGCGGGTGGCATCCTTCAGAGCGGTGCGCGCTCGAGTGACGCCGACGCATTGCAGAAGGTGGTCGGCTCGTGGATGGTTGCCAGTGCCGAGACGGAGGAGGAAGTGTGGGAGCTCCTCCGAAAGGACATCTACTACACGTCTGGCGAAGTGGTATGTGCCAACTCCATGACGGTGGTCTTGAGCTTGTCGTGCTGACGAGAATTTTGGGGGCAGTGGGATCACAAGAAGATAACCGTATCGGCTACGTTCGTGGCAATTCCTAGCAAGGCCTAAGATGTCGATGAGTAGAGGGAGCACCGGGGAAGAACATGAGTGACGTAGACACAGACAAGTCTTACCGTAGTTCCCTGAGCCGCCACGGTGGGGGGATGTGGCGGATGGCATACAAGAGGGGGGCTGAGGGCGAACCGTGAGGTATTTACCGCGATATTTCGAAGAGGTTTGAAGTCATATGGTTGATGCATGGCTCTGGTGAAGCCGGTGATGGTAGAAAAGCAAGTCACGTTTGCATATCCGTCGGCGCTTGAGTGATCGGAAGTTGCCGCTCGGTCCCTAGGCTGACGGGCGTCCTCCGTCGCTGTCTGTCTTCGCCATCTCGTCCCATCTATCTCCAGTTTCGCGCGCCCACTACCACGTCACCCACGTTTTCCGCTCGAAGGCGTGAGGCGGCGTCAGAGGAACCAGAGATGTGTGGGTGGTATTTGTTCGCCGCGCGTTCTTCATCATTGCATACCACTGACGGGCTTCGCGGCGCGGCATCTCATCAGTGGATGCAAGCACTCTGCTCCTCCAAACACAATCCATGAAGTCGTGACGCTCTGCAACTCGCACAGCCTACGGAGAAGCGTACCGCCCACGAAGGCCTCGAGGATGAAACGACCGCTCAACGGGGAGGAGTCCGGTGTTGAGCAGTGCCTGGTGAAGTGGAAGAATGGCGAATGCGCAGTGTCAGGAAGAGAGCCTTAGCTCCCGTCGACCGACATCGCCGCCCAAGGTGAGCCCGATGTACAGCCCGATGCGCGCCGGTCAACACTGAGGGCAGTCAATTCGTGGTGTGCGATCTAGCAGGCCCTCGCCGCTTGGGTCCTTTCGAGCGTTGATGCAGCGTGCTTGTCGGCCCATCGTCACAACGGGTAAGCTGCACTTTCCAGTTACATATGGGCGGGACTCATACACCTAGTTTTTCTTTGCACGGCTTTCTTAGCTAACATGTTGCCCCTTGGTCTAGGGTGTTTGCAATTGCACGATGGGCGCAATTTTCGGGCAAATGTGCCGTGTGACCGCCGTGGTCTCCCGTCGAAGTCCCAGTCCGTTATTCTCGCCAGATCCCATCAATCTGTGTGTACCTCCTTGATCTTCTTCACTCACGAGCTCAATCGTGTAGCGTTCAGCTAGTCTTAAGATTATGCTCTTGCGACTTGGATCACATTGGAGTTAGTGTGCCGACACCGTCTCGTAAGTCATCAGGATGGTGTTTTGCGGTACGTCCCCGCTCATGAGGCTGTAGGGCGAATATCGTTGAAATAGTGCCCGGCTGTGACAACAGCCTCTGTTATTCAAATTTCCCATTACCGCCCCTGCTCGCGCTACTTTGGTGGCAAATGCGGCCACTCGGGCACGGTATATAAACCCATGCTGCCGCCTCTTGCAAACTTTGTCCGCGACCAAACACACGACTCATTCAACGAATCGAGGCAGGATCCTCTCCACGACTTTATTCACTCTCACAATCCCCCTCATCATATATCCTTCTATTCACCATGTTCACCAAGACCGTCGCTCTCTCTGCCGTTCTCCTCGCCGCCGCCACCCTCCAAGCCGAGGCGCACGCGACGATCCAGCCCATGCTCGGTCTCACACGTACCCCCGTGCGCAGCGACGCCATCCGCCCGTCGGACAGCACGCCGTGCGGAAACGTGAACATCGCCCAGACCTTCGACACCTCCACCACCATCGCCGTCAAAGCGGACCGCACCTTCACGGCGACGATCACGAACTTCAACGCGTACGTCTCCCGCCCTCCCCTCAGACTGCAGCCCTGAGTCCTGACGAGCCTGTGTGTCGCTCGCCCCGTACAGCGGGGTCGACGGCTCGCGCGAGATCGTGAAGGCGAGCTTCGACCCGACGGGCACGGGGAACGCGTTCCAGGACCTCAAGATCATCACGAACGGCCAGCACGCGCCGACGGCGGCGACGGGCTCGGAGCAGCTCCTTTTCCAGCTCCGCCATGGGCTCGACTGCAAGGGCGGCAAGAACGGCAAGAAGTGCCTCGTGGCGTTCAAGACGGCGGGCGGGTTCGGGAACTGCGTCGTCGTCGAGCAGGGCACGGGCACGGCGGCGAAGCGCGAGGGGGATGAGGAGTACGAGGAGGAGGACTGGGAGGAGGAGGAGGAGCCGATCGTGAAGACCGAAGTGGCGCGCCGGGTGCACGCGCGCGATTTCGCGGGCTCGTTGGACATGCTTGACTAAGACCGAGCCACTATACCTATTCACGCATATGTCAACCTTGAAGTCGTCTTTCTTTCGAGTGACCAGATCAGGTTTAGATGAATGGGCCTGAAGTGGATGTAAATGCGCGCATTCAAGAATCGAGATGCTCACTGTCCACAAGTCCTGCACCCGCGCCAGCATGAGCCTGTGTTGTCCCATTAATCCACGAAATTTTTATCATGTACATTCTCAGCCGAGAGCACTGACATGAGCGTCCTCTAGATTTGGCCTGGCTTTAAGCTTAGGAATATTTCAAAGCTTCAGGAGGTTCATCAAGCGCGCAAGTCACGCGACACATAGTATGTGACTTGCTCCGTGCAATTAGTCCGACACCACCTTCACCTCCTTACTGCCATGCAGTGTTACTCTGAAGACTCAAATGCCTCAAGGCGCCCGGCACGCTTTGTACGCAAGTAAGTATATGTCACAGCCTTCCTAAGCCGCATGTGTCTCCAAATAACGCCCGGCCTCTGACAGCAGAAACGCACTTGGTGTTTTTGTCTATTGGGTGATGTCCGCTTCGGACATCCAGTCGTGAGGATGCCCGAGACACCATCCTTTTCATCAACGAAAACTTCGTTTCGTACGAAGTTCTCGGCCTCCTGAGTACGCCCCTGCTGCAGAATCTTTCGCGGTGCGTCAGCATTACTCCCGCGATGGCTCGGTGATTCCGCTGATTGGTTCCAGGATGCTACGGAAGACGCTCTGTTACATATCCCCGTCGCTCAGCGGCCGCCGATAGAGCTACCTTCCGGCTTTATCAACCATACATCGTGGTCGCAGACAACGTAGGAGAGAGTGTTCAAGCCTACGACGGTAGAGGGGTTATACCGGCCTGGACACCCCAGCAAATGATCCTTGACCATCCGACGGTGAGCACTGTGTGCGCCCTACCGCTCCCTCCCGTTCACTCCTCGCTTGACACCGATCATACTTTCTCAAGCAACAGGATGGTATGATGTCAGCCACAGAGGTCAGAACGGCGTCACCGAAGCAGTTGCATCCGCCACCCCGCCGCGAGCTTTCCTTTCTCGTGACGCGCTCGGCGGATCTTGACTGCCGCCTTCCAACATCATGTGGTCCTGCGCGGCCGACCTGCCTGCCAACGCCGTGTTCATCACGGACATACACAAGATTGTCTACGAGCTCCCTGAGGTTCGTTCGGGCTCGGGTTCGCAGAAGATTTCCCGGACTGGTTACACCCCGGTCTGACCCATCGATGCGGTCAAAGCCGAAGCCAGGAACGTTCTGAGGAAGGCCCTGGGAGAGGACGGGAAGGAGATGCGGGCACTGCAACGGGCCACGGCAGAATGGGAACAAGGAGAAGCGTCCAAGAGGGACGTGGCGGCGTTCTTGGAGAGCCTGTAGGTTTGGACAAGACCCGAAAGTACCTCTTCACTATTGAGATATGTAAGCAACATACTTCAAACACGCTCTTTTGAGAAAAGTAGAACATCGGATCCAAGCCCGAAAGTTATGAGAGGTAGGAGACCCCTCTGGGCTTACTCATGTCCGACCTTTGATAGTAGAAGGGCTGCCTAGGGAAGAGTACCGTTAATGCCCGACACCGGACCGAATCGATGGCGCTTGCCTCGGCGCTTGCCTCGGCCTCGTAGCGACCGACTTTTGATCCGAAAGCGATTGGTTGGACTTTTGCCAGAAGCGCCTCTGTCACGGAGCTCAGCGCTCACCAGTGACCTCTTCTTTAGCCGCAGCAACGAGCGAAACGCGAAATCAAGTCGTTGCATTTTATTCAACCATAGGGCGCGTACACACAGCACTGACAGTGCTTCCTCCGAGCGACCCACCATGGTCCAGCCGTTTTAAGTCACGGGCAGCCTGGCAGGCCGACTCTTTCGTCTAGCAGGGCACAGGGTAAGTCGGTACTTGAGTCTGCGAAACACATTCGGCTCATGGAGCTCCGCGTTGGTGCAGCTGCGCAGTGGGGACCCGAGGAATATTGCCTATCAGGTGATGCGCCTGAGGAAGTTTGGATACGGGGTTTTCATCCTTCTCGATTCCTGCGCCGAAGCCCACAGCCTTTAAGAACACGCCACCGCCGCACGCTGCCGTTACAACATTGGTTCGCCATGGCTCAGCAATCTCGTGGTGGTTCGGAAATAAAGTAACGTCATCGGATTCAATCGGGGCGGCGGAAGAACGCCGTTTTTTTTACATTCTCATCGTCCACGTCGGTCGCCGCGCCATCGGTCGTCTTCAAGCCCAAGTGTGTCTCTCTCGGCTGGTCGCACACTGCGCGGATCTTGCCTTTCTGCCACCTCATGATTCGTATGTGAGTTGTCACGGTAAGTTGGTCATCGGAAACGTCCATACATCTCGACGGCCTCGCGAGCTATGTTACCCGGTCCCCTGGCAGTACAAAAGGACAGCGTAGTCGACGTGGATGTAGCAGCTTCTCGAGCATTACTGCCATGACCGCGATTTCACTCACCCACCTCGTTGCTAACAGTATTGAAGCCTGGGGTGTGTTTTCTTCACGCGCACTCCGACGAAGATATATGCTCATTGCGACACGTTTGTAGGCCATGTTCGCCCTTTGGTCACCTTCTGCGCCCGCCTCGTCAAGATGAAGACGGACCTCTACGTTACGCTGCTGACTACTACTGTGATGTTTGAACGTCTAATTAGGGAAGCGGGACGTAGCTTCGACGAGGGCGATGAGTCCTCCCAACGCCTCAGGTGAGCGTCCGTCTCGACATACTTATGTTCTGTCGCCGACGCGTGCTTCCAGGATCGTATGCGTGGGACCTTCTGCAGACATGGTCGGAGATGGTCTCATAGGGCCCATGTGGAAAGCGTTGGCGGCAGAAGAGGACTTGATTTGTCAACAAACGGGAATCAGCTGCAATGCTCTTCCAGCACCCACCGTCGCCATCATCGACGTACGTACCTTTGGTCATCTTCGAGTTGTCTCTTCTGCACATGGTATCTCATTGCCAGCTATTCGCTCTCGAAAATACTGGTGTCGTGCGTGCCTTTAGCGGCAGCTCTGTTAAGATATACTCGTGGTGGCCCGGACTCACTTACTACGGTTTGTATGAATTCGGCGACGTGCATGTCGGCGGTCTCGGCAATATTCGTGTTCGGGCCGAACAAGAATCGCGTCAATCGGGCCGGCCCTACCACGACGTGGTTAAGGAGGTACGCATCGTCATTTGTTGGTACCGGCCCTGTCGAAGTCTACTCAAATGTCTGCACATAGATATTCTTTACGAAATCCGGCAACCTCGTTAGACTGCCCAGTCTTCCTCCGATGTACGATTACGAGATACATCCACAAGATGTGAGTAGTACATCAGCATTTACCGGCCCTCGACTGACGTGCTGTGCACGCCGTCAGTTCGATATCCCGGACGAGGCCATAGTAAAGTTCTTTCCGAAGGTTAACGAGTGAGGACACGATTTACGGGCTGCGCTTGGCCACGTAACTTCCACGCACTAACACATTGGTACCCAGGGTCGTCGCTATGACCGACGGGGTTATTCTCATTTCGTTCCAATCATGGGAGAAGGAAGCCATACAGGCGACGAGGGACTGGATGACGGAAACAGGCCGAGCTGTGTACACCGTCGGGCCACTGCTACCGACGGCGTCCAAGAGAAAGGCGGTGGCGAACGAGAAGATCCAATCCCCTGAGTCCGCATGCATCCAGGCGTTCTTGGACGAGACTCTTGCGCGCTCGGGAGGCTATTCTCTTCTATATGTGAGTAATGCCAAGTGAGAATTGGTGGTGTGTTGGAAAGTAATTTGAAATCTTTTAAGATATCATTTGGGACTATTTTCTTCCCCTCGAAGACATCGGAGAAGCTCTGGGCGTTCCTCGACGTTGTTATGGAACTTGATATCCCTTTCGTGAGCCTCATATTTCTCCTTTATACGTACTACTAACGCGTAGTCCTTCTAGCTTATGAGCAGAGCTTCACCTCGCTGTGTCGTTCCAGAGGAGGTAAAGGAGAAGGTCAAAGCCTACGGCAAAGGTTTGATCTCGGCCTGGATACCCCAGCAGATGGTTCTCGACCATCCTGTGAGCTAACAGGTCCAGCGCTCAGCATTGTCGCTTTCTGATTGTGCTTTCTCAGGCCACCGGATGGTATGTCAGCCACGGCGGCCATAACGGGCTCACGGAAGCGATTGTATCTGCTGTCCCGCTGTGAGCACTCCGATACCTCTTGACCTGCCTCGGTCGTCCCACCCTCTGCTGCCCAGGATCATGTGGCCGTTCGTCGGGGACCAGCCAGTAAACGCCGTACTCGTTACGGACGTGCACAAAGTCGGCTACGAACTCCTCCGAGAGGTACGCTCGGGATCTGGCCTGCGGAAGATCTTCCGGACGGGGTATACGCCCATCGGCACCATCGAGGCGGTCAAGGACGAGGCGCGAGACGTCTTGCGGAGGGCGTTCGGTGAGGACGGCAAAGAGAAGCGGACACGGTTGCAGGCGCTGCAACAGGCGGCGTTGGGAGACTGGGACGAAGGCGGGGCGTCGAGACGGGATGTGACCGCGTTCTTGGCGAGTCTGTAGACCACCAACAGCCTTGTGCGTTCGTGACGTGGGTCTATAGACCCTCGACGGCGACGTAGGCTCTCCGACGCGCAAGCTCCATTCACCCCATCCACTCTGCAGTCCACTTGTTCTTTGGAGGCGCACCCTCTGATTATGGAGAATGTGCTGCTCCGTCTCGACATTCTCGGGTTCGCCAAGAGCGAAAGTCATTCCTACGGCAAAGGAAAATCTCTCCACTGTAGCCGTTGGCCTGCCATCCGGCTATTCTTGGATGCGATGATGCACTACGAGTACTTGCTGCAACGTCTCTGCGTGCTGGAACCATACGATCGTTGGTCCAAGCATAATATCTGAATCTAAGGACGTGCACTGCACGCGTAGACATGGAAAGCACAATGATGGCATTTGGGGATGCGGAGGGACAATATCAAACGCGTACGAATAGCTCGAGACTTCTAATGACATATCTCCGAATGCCCCAACCTTGCTAGTATGGGCTCGACGGCATGGCAGAGACCATCTGGGAGCAATGCGTAGAAACGCTAGAAGAGATGCTACTTGCTCACCGGTGCAGGAACCCGCTAACCTGAAGCTTGTCCTCCACAAGTCCATCCAACTTCCTGAACGTTCCTTCCGGTTTTCTAAGTTGCGCACCCCAAACGAGCAGGGGCTGGGGCTCCTGGCTATCGAGCTCCCGAACGGCCATCAAAGCATCTACTACACCTCTAGCAACGGGTCTTGATAGGAGCTTGTGTATGAGACGTGCCTTGCCGTTCAAACGACGATGGACCGGGATGGCAGATGGCGGGAGGCTTGCGCTGGCCAAACTTGAAGCCGGGGTTTTTGAACTTGAATGCGTGGTGCTATTTTCGGACATGCGAGAGAAGACATCAATCCAGCTCAGCATATGAGGGTTTTGGAAGAGCGGTGGTCGTGGTGCGTGGAGAAAGAGCGCACAGATCAGGCGCGCCACATTGGCGGTCGTCCCCGACGCGCCGGCGAGTTGGAGTGCCATGACTCTGAGCCTATGCGCTTCAAGCTGCTGCAGCTTCTCCCACCGCCATTCCCTATCTTTCTCTTGAAGCCAGACACATCTCACGAACAGCAGGATTAGTCTTGGACTATTCGCAGTAACACCTCTCGACCTCGACATGCCATGGCCACTATCAGTAGGACGTCCCTCTACCAACTCAACCTTGTCAAGTCGTTTCAAAGCACAACGGTGGTCGGCAGCGTTTCATAAGTCCGTGGAATCATCGCTCGATACGCATGTGGCTTGCGGCTTCCCGTGTTTGAATGTCCAATCGGTGTTGGACGTTGGCGACTCCTCCGTACGTAGCGATTGGATTCTTCTCGCTGGGCGCCCACGGAATTGGTCATCGCTCATGACACTGGCTATACAGAAGAAAGTTCCCATATAGTTCAATGAGAAGACCGGCCCATACAACCCAGTTCGCACCACTAATCCTACGGCCCCCGATAACACGCGTACCTGGGTCCTCATGGTCAGCATTCCCGCGCTGGGTCGGTCAATGGCGTGGCCGGATCGACGAATGGCGTGAAAGAAGGCCGTTAGATTCTCCACTTGCTGCCCAGGCTTGGCCCAGGCTGCCACCCGGACTAGCCCGGACTCAGACTGCCTTCCACAGTATCTCCCTATGCGGATATAATCAACGTAATGCCCGATTACTGGGGCTGTCATGGTGAATTGGTCATCGGAGGCATGCTTGACGGTTTGGACAACTTAACAGCATGTCCGTTATTGGGTCCAACTACAAAAGCAGCCGGGCACAGGAGACGTTCGACAGGGCATTTCTTTGCCATGACCGCCACTACACGCATCCACCTCGTCGCAAACTGCATTCAAGCCTGGGGTGAGTACTTTGCTCACACACATTCACCCTCACATGCATGAACCGAACTTTCCATAGGTCATGCTCGCCCTTTGGTCACCCTCTGTGCACGTCTCGTCAAAATGAAGACGGACCTTTGTGTCACGCTACTGACTACCGCCGCGATGTTTGGCCGCCTCACCAAGGAAGCAGCACGCAACTTTGAAATCGGCGATGAGTCGTCCCAACGCCTTAGGTGAGCATGCGCAGAGGGATATATTGCTAGTCGTTGACATTGACATTGCTTCCGATGACAGGATCGTCTGTATGGGTGTCGCTAATGATTTCATTGGAGACGGTCTCATAGAGCCTATGTGGAAAGCGCTGATCGCAGGCGAGGGTTTGGAGTGCCAGCAGACGGGTACCAGCTACAACCCTCTTCCAGTCCCCACGGCCGTCATCTTCGACGTACGCACACTTTGTCTTCGTCGGTTTTTGTGTCACTGACACGGCATCGGTCTACCAGTTCTTCGCGATCAAGAATACCAGAATAGTCCGATCTCTGAGCGGCAGCTCCGTCAGGATCCACTCATGGTGGCCTGGACTCACCTACCACATCCTGTATCAATTTGGAGACGCGCACGTTGGCGGTCTCGGCAACATCCGTGTGCGGGCTGAAGAGGAATCGCGTAAATCTGGGCGGCCCTACCACGAAGTAGCGATGGAGGTACATATCATCGTCTGAAATCCTCACAGCACCGCTTGGCACCTGACTCGCTTCGCAGATGTTCTACACGAAGTACGGGGGTGTTGTTGGACTGCCCGGGCTCCCTCCGATGTTCGATTACGAGAATTACACCCAAGACGTGATCACCCTACCATCCTACTAGGATCCCTCTGACACTACCTGTGTTTTCAGTTCTCACTCGGAGACAAGGCTATGACCGAACTCATACCTCAAGTCAACGAGTGAGAATTAGAACTTCACATCAAGCTGTATGAGCACGGTACTGACATCTAGGTGCCTAGAAATCTGGCCACGACTGACGGAGTCCTCCTCCTCTCTTTTGAGTCATGGGAAAAGGAGGGTATACAAGTGGCGAGGAACTGGTTGGCGGAAACCGGCCGGCCAGTCTACACTACCGGTCCACTGCTGCCACCGGCGTCGAAGACATCGGTTGCGAACGAGAAAATCCAATCTCCCGAAGGCGCGGAGATTGAGGCGTTCCTCGGCGAGATGCTTTCACGCTCCGGAGAGCACTCTCTGCTATACGTGAGTAATTATGAGAGGCTTGCCTCTCCGATCAGCAACTTAGACTCCCTCAGATATCTTTTGGGTCCGTCTTCTTCCCTGTGAAGACGCCGGAGAAGCTGTGGGCGTTCCTCGAAGTCGTGGTGGAGCTCAACATCCCCTTCGTGAGCCCCATCGTTGTGTTCCCTACATACCACTCACACGCAACCCGTTCCTAGATCATGAGCGCGGCATCGCCCTTCTGCGTTGTTCCGGAAGAAGTGAAGGAGAAGGTGAAATCGTACGGGAAGGGCTTGATCTCGACCTGGACACCTCAGCAGATGATCCTTGACCATCCCGTAAGAGTATCCTGTCTTCAATGTCCCCGGTATCTTTCCTGACGAGCATATGTCTTGTCAGGTTACCGGATGGTACCTCAGTCACGGCGGCCAGAACGGCGTCACGGAAGCAATCGCATCTTGCGTTCCACTGTGAGCACCTCTGGGTCGTGGTGCGCGTCGATCGTCTGATCCACCCGCCACCTTACAGTATCATGTGGCCGTTCGCAGCGGACCAGCCTATGAACGCTGTGCTTGTGACGGACGTGCACAAGGTTGGCTATGAGCTCCTGGAGGTCCGATCGGGCTCGGGTCTGCAGAGGATTTTCCGGACGGGGTACACGCCAGTGGGGACCATCGACGCAGTCAAGGCTGAAGCAAGAGACGTCCTTGGGAAAGCGTTCGGGAAGGACGGGGAGGAGAAGCGTGCGCGCATGCGGGGGCTACAGCGGGCTACATTGGCGGAATGGGAACAAGGAGGAGTGTCCAAGCGGGACGTGGCTGCTTTCTTGGAGAGCCTGTAGGTTTGGACGGGGCCCGCAAGGACCTCTTCAATATTGATGTGTATACAACCTACTACGTCACACACATGCTGTTTGAGAAAACTGATACGTCGAATCCAAGCCCGAAGGCTATGAGGGGCGAAGTAACGAGGCGTTTGATTCGCCCTTACGTGCACTACCGATTTAAGGATACACTCCTCCTAGAAATGAGCGTACGCGGGTTCCTCCAACGCGTAGAACCACTCCGCGAAGCTCTCGAGCGTCGTCCGCGTCATGTCGGGATACAGTGCTTGCGCGTCGAGGTACCCAATCTTCTTAGCACTTGCAATCGAATTCTCGCCCATCACGTATATACTCTTCACGTAGGCCATCGTCCAGTACGGATAGAGGATCTCCCACGCCATCGGGTTCTCCGACGCCTCCGACGCAGCCTTGAACTTGATGAACCGCGACTCGATCTCTTCCGCAGATATCTATCAATTTCCCGTGAGTCTCGATCCAATGTGGAACTCGACGAGAAGAAAACGCTCACAGATATCCGCTTCGCAGCCAGAGATTCCGCCTCTCCGCTCAGCCTGCACCCGATCTCGAACGCGTCCTTTTGCGTGCGCTCATCCTCACAGATGAGGACCGGGTGGTTCAGCGTGCGGGGGTCTGCGATGATGCGCGCGACCCATCGGCCAATGGTCCGGAGATCAGTCAGCGCGGTCGGCGTCGTCCCGCCCGCGTACTCGGTGTTGACGCGGGCGTGCACCTCCGGTTCGCGCTTGCTGCGTGCGGGGAGCGGAAGGAAGAGCTGCATCCACCAGCCGACGTCGATGAAGGTGTGTGGGAGGCCGATATCGACGATGAAGTCGCGGATTTCGCCTTTCTGTGGTGTGAGGGCGGGATGCTGAGTGTCGATACTGGTCCCGAGCTGGAGGGACGCACCATGTCGCCCATGGGACGGATCCCGCGCTGGCCAGGTGTGGCCCAGTCGCAGGGGATGAAGCGCTTCACGCCCACTTCCTTCGCCGCGCGGATGAGGTCCTTCTGGTCGAGGACGACCATGGCGAGGATGCAGCTGACGACGATGTCGACGCCCTCGAGGTGCTTCTTGAGGTCGGCCATGCTGTCTTTGAGGTCCCCTGCACGGATTTCGACGCCACGCTGTCGTAGCTTCTCGGTGGACGGCTTTGTGAGGGATGAAGGGCGGACGAGGCCGGCGACTCGCTGTTGAGTCTGATAAGCGATTCTTCCAGTGGATCGAGAACATATTTTAACACTCACGTAGTTCCCGGATTCCAACAGGCCTTCAACGATGCTGTCGCCGGTGTGACCTGCCGGCCCGAGGATGAGGACGAGAGGTTTCTGTGCCATGTTTGGGATAATATGGGGAGTATCAGTGACGATGGGCAGCACAAGATTGGCTGCCTTGTATTTATACCTGTGGGCCGTAGGAGACCCCTCTTGGCTTACTCATGTCCGACCTTTGATAGTAAAAGGGCTGCCTAGGGGAGAGTACTAATGCCCGACACCGGACCAGTATATCAGCGAATCGATAAACGGATAGGTGCGCGCGATACAGACGCGGGGGCAAGCCGCAGAAATTTGTGCAGGTTGTCGCCATCCGGGGCGCTATCTCGCCCTTCATCCGTTTCCACGACGAACAATGCGAGGCGGCGGTTTCCCGCCGGGCCCAGCCCAATGTTGAACGTTTGAGGCGGCGCAAGTACGTGACAGACGCGAACAGTCACTCACACGTGATTCGATATTACGCTCACGAGTCACTGATCCCCTTTGCAACTCGGACAACGACCTCAATCGCCCTGAATCGACTATCTTTTCGGCAACATCGAGTTTCACTATGGGCTGGCAGGCTCGGAATAGTTGATGAGGAAGCGGTTCGGTGATGGACATGGTGCGGTGAGCATGCTTGTCGCACACTTCCCTTTCTTATGTGTCCTCTTGCCAGCAACCCGAGTTTCCGCGAATCCGCTCGCAGAACCCACACGTGCACTTGCCAGTGCCGAACGTCGCATGTACCCCAATGACATCATATATTCGCTCGGACGCTGAGCCCCCGTCTGCCCCATGACACCCTCTCCTCTTGGGCGGGCTCACAGTGCTCGACGACGGCGGTCCGCTTGCTAGGCATCCCAACATTCACCAGTTAACCTCCCCGTCCCGCCGTCCGACTCCAACACCCGGCGCGCAGTCCGCAGCATCCCCAGCCCTCCGACGCTTGCCATCTATGCAGATCAGTGACGTCGTGGCTTCCGTGAGTGTTTACCGACCATCGTCTCAGTGCATCGACTACGATCGTAGCTGTCGCGCCCAGCCTCTAGCAGATCAGACGCGTACGGTATCATCAACACCGAATGCCCTTAACGCATCTTGGCCGCTCGTAGAGTCGTACTATCCCGGTGCTTCTGCCCTTTCTACTGTTCTTCTTGCTACAGCACGTCAACGTCAACATTCGAGGCCTTAGAACCCCTTCAGCCATCACCAAGCATCGGACGGCAGTCGTAAGCGTTGCTTTCTCCCACCGCCGTCTATGATACATAACACAACTTTTATTCAGATACATCCTATCTCCAAAAACCGTATGTTCAATGGCCGACAACTCACTCAGACACGTCGTCGCAAGCTGCCTTCAAATATGGGGTGAGTGGTTTTTCGGCACGACGACGTTCTTCCCCAAGCCTTCAGCCGTCATTATTGATGGCCCCTCGCGACGACTTGGGTTGGACTGACCCATGGAACTGGCAGATCTTCGCGGTCGGGGACGTCGAGACAGTCCGTCAGCCGAGCGGCCGCGCAGTGAGGGTCTACTCCTGGTGGCCCGTGCTCACGTACTCGATCCTCTACCGGATCAGAGATGAGCACTTTGGCGGGCGCGGAAACGTCCGTCGCGGCGCGCGCCGAGGAGCGCGCGAGGCTGACGGGCGAGTCGTACGAAGCGTGCGCTTTGGAGGTGAGCAGCCTACGGTCCGTCGCAGAGCGTGACCGAACGCTACTCATCCAGCATTCGCGCAGCTGTGTTTTGCAACTACGAGCACTTCAGCCAGGAGGTGTGTGCCCGCCCCCGCGACTGGACTCAGAGACGCGTCGTCGCTGACCATTCCGCCGTGCCAGCTCCCCACCCCAGACGGAGGCACCCTGGGGTTCTCTCCGCACTCAAACGACTAGGCTGCGCCTGTTCCATAATGTCTCCACCATGCACTGACCGGTGATCCAGAACACTGGTAAAGACGGTGTTATATGTGAGTATATCTCGAGCTAATCAGACAGTGAGCGCTGTGCGTCTTCATCTGGAAGTATTTGTTCGATCTCATTCGACTCGATCTTCTGGCCAGTCAAGACGTCCAAGGATCTGTGTGCATTTCTTGGTGTCGTCATGGAGCTCGACATACCTTTTGTAAGTCTCTTGCGCATGTTGCTCTAACCTTACTGATAGGCTGTGGCAGATCATGAGTACTGCGTCCCCTATGACCAGCTTTCCGGATGAGATCAAGGACAAAGTTAAAGCTTATGGCAAGGGACTATTATCTTCCTGGAGTCCGTAGCAAACGATCCTCAGCCATCCCGTTAGTCCTCGTGCACATCCGCGCATCCTCCACTGTTGATCAACGCATTAACACTCTACTAGGCGACGGGCTGGTACGTCGGCCCCGGTGTCCAGAACGGTCTGACCGAATCGATCATGTCCGCTGCGCCCTGTGCATCATCCCACAATCGTCTACATCACCAAATTCAGCAGGCACTCACACATCTCGGCTCACCCGCGGGATATTCTGGCCCTTCGACGGCGACCAGCCGACGGACGCTGTCCTTGCTACGGACGTGCACAACTTCAGCTACGAGCTCCTCGAGGTACGGGCCGAAGAAGATTTGCCGCACGGGCTACACCCCCGTCGTGACTGTCGAAACCGTGCGAGCAGAGGCATGTGAGGGGCTGGGCAAGGCGTTCGAGGCAGAAGGGCGGGAGAAGCGGGCGTGTCTGCAGGGCTTAAGAAAAGCGATGCTGGACGAGTGGAGGGAGGGGGGTGGGTCGAGACGCGATGTACTGGCGGTTTTGAAAAGCTTGTAGACGACGAGAGAGGGAAAGCACGCTATCACGGCTTTTCTATAATTCGATCACGAAGCCGTTAAGGAAGCACGAAGTGACTTGTTGCGACTTAAGCTACAGATGTGAGCCGAAAAGAGGTCGGTTGGTACTTCCGCTCGCTCGAGGGTGGTGACGGGACGAGAAATTTTATAATCACTGGTTCGCAGTGCATACAGGTGTGAGGCCTACCGGGCGTGGTCGTGGGATATCCATGGTGCGCCTGAAGAAAAACATGACCATGAAGCGATAACGATAGCTTCGGCTAATCGTCTCGAGTAGGCCGTTAAACTTGGACTCCGTCCGCTTCGCGGCACGACCGATGGCGCCGTCGCGCTGCCGAGCCGGCGCTAGATCCGAACAAGCGCCTGCGCATAATAATGATGGTGACGTGTTTTTGAGACTCGATCAACGCTTATGTTGACCATCAGGCTATCGTTATGAAAACAGCTGGAACGAGAAAGGGGAAGATTAAGTCTATGAAGGGGGACGTATGACATGCTTTCAGGGCGGAGGCCGCATGTCCGCCTCTGCGACAGCCTGACCAGAACGCGCAGTTCGTTTCAAATCATCCGCGCATCTCAAGCGAAACTACCCTTTTGTAATTTCCACGAAACGGCCACCGACCGTCGATGTACACCGCCGTCTGCACCTCGCAAGGGCCGCCATCCGTGCCTCAAGGCCTCACCATTCGCATGAACGATAACATTGACATACCCATACCAGTAGTTGAGCGGCGAAGCTTTCGGTGAGCACCGGGAACGACGCCTCCCATATCTCCATATCTTGAGCAATAAGAACCAGCGTTTGTGTAGTGAAGATCGTGAGGTAGGTTGTGGACGTCTGATGTCTTGCGGAGATAGCGGTTGGGTTTTCGCCCGTAGCAGTCGGTTGCGATGACAGGGAATTCGAAAAAGCAGCCGACAACGAAACGACAGCTAAGTTCCCGTGGGTCGGCAAGATGACAGAAAACGGTAAAAGCAGAGGGCCAAAACATCGGGCGAAGAACGGGACGATGGTCGAAACGGCAGGAGAGTGCCCATTAGGCGCCCTACCGCTGGTTGTCGTCTCCCACCAACACGCCGCTCGTTCAGCTTATTTTGGCCGACCGCCGAACGCTCTTTATGTCGACATATGCATGACAAATCATGTTTGATGTGTTTTTAGAGGTACGAAAAGCTTGCAGGCTCGCCATTCCACCACAGAGCCACCGTCTACTTACTATCTCTTCGAAGCCACGGCGACGCTGCCACAGGTACGTGCAGTGTGCACGAGTCATGTTCGCTTTGATTTCCGAGCCTGTTCCGTGTGCTTGGGATGACTGCCCATGACTCAACGGAGACAACACGCCTCAATCTTAACTGTAACATGGCGGTGCCGATCTCCTACATGATAGCCATGATCATCCAATGGCTCATGATGCATGACTATTGAGTACCACACTTCTCAGCGTAAGCTAGATTGTGCTGAGTCGGTTTTTCCACCGAAAGGCCCGTCATTGGTCAAGGATGGGCCTACATCGGACGCGTTTCGAGCTCACACCCTGCGCTACGCGTACACAGGATTCGGCTTAAAGGGACAAGACGGTCGACGACCCAGAAGTCAATTCCTCAAGGCCACCATTGTGATCATGTCCTCCACTTCGACCCACCTCGTCGCAAACTGCATCCATACTTGGAGTAAGCTCCCAGGCATCTCGAGCAAAGCAGTCGCTTACTTTCGCTGCAATCCCCCAGGCCATGCACGCCCGTTGGTCACTTTCTGTGCCCGCGTCGTCAAGATGAAGCCGGACCTTCATGTCACCTTCCTCGTCACGTCCCTGCTGTTCGAACGCCTCAACAAGGAAAAGGCGCGCAGCTTCGACGTAGGCGACGAGTCTGCCCAGCGACTCAGGTGAGCGCTCGGCGTAGTATTCCCGCTTCATCGCATACCTTAATGCGCGTCTGTCCAGGATTGTGAGTATGGGTGCCACAACCGACATGATCGGGGACGGCCAGATAGAGCCATGGTGGAGGGCGTTGGTCGCGGGAGAGGAGATTGTGTGCAAGCAAACCGATACCCGCTACGCTCCTCTTCCAACACCCCCGGCTGTCATCTTCGATGTGAGTATGAGTGCTTGCAGATGCAATTGCCTTGCCTCAGTGTTTATCCTTGCGCCAGGTCGTCGGAGTCAAGAACATTGGGATCGTGCGCGCGATCAGTGGCAAATCTGTCAAAATCTACGCCTTATGGCCCGCTCTGACTTACTCCATCCTCCAACTCTTCGGTGATACGCACGTTGGTGGCCTCGGAAATATTCATGAGCGTGCTGAGGAAGAGTCACGCCGCTCCGGGCGGGACTTCGCCGACGTCGCGGTGGAGGTATGCATCTGTGTTCGGCATGCTCTCAGTTCTGCTACAGCTGCGCGTCCCTAGATCATAACGTCCAAGCGCGGGGACGTTATTAGGATGCAGGGCCTGCCGCCGATGTATGACTACGAGTACTACCCCCAAGAGGTATGCACTGTGTTCTTAGGAGTCTGCAAGCACATCGCCGGTCGACTGATCACGATTTTTCTAGGCATTAGGCGACGGTAAAGCTATCGTCGACGTCCTATCACGTGTAAACGAGTAAGTTTAGCACGTTCCTGAGATCTGGGTGCTAAGTTACGCCTCTCGTTCTAGGGTCAACAAGACCGTCGACGGCGCAATTCTCATCTCGTGCTTGTCATGGGAGAAAGACGCGGTGCAGACGGCGAGGGACTGGATGGCGGAGACCAGTCGGTCTGTCTTCATTGCAGGCCCACTACTGCCTACCGCATCCAAGAGCACGTCGACGGAGAACGAGAAGTCTCAATCACCTCAAGGCGCAGAGATCCAGGCGTTCCTCACAAAGACACTCGAAACTTCTGGGCGGCATTCCCTTCTATACGTGAGCGGCGACTGAGCCAGTTGACAGATGTGCTGGACGTGGCGATTCATTCATCCCCACAGATCTCATTTGGGTCCATGAACTGGCCAGTGAAGATATCCGACAAGCTATGGGCGTTCCTCGACGTTGTCATGGAGCTAAACATCCCCTTCGTGCGTGCAATCCTTTCCTATCTATCTGTAACGTTTCGTTGAATATCAAGGCTATATTCAGATCATGAGCGCCGCTTCGCCCCTCGCCGTAGTTCCAGACGAAGTCAACGAGAAGGTCAAAACGTACGGTAAAGGCGTGATCTCGACCTGGACGCCCCAGCAGATGATTCTCGACCACCCGGTAAGTCAGGGCGTCTCGTTGCCCCTATCACCAACCTGGAATGTTGCATTTTCACAGGCAACCGGATGGTATGTTAGCCATGGCGGCCAGAACAGCGTCACGGAGTCGATCGCCGCTGGGGTCCCATTGTAAGTTCCGCCCTGCCCCGTGCGCCTGTCTTGTCTGATACCATTGGCTGGCGTAATCCAGCATCATGTGGCCCTTTTCGGCAGACCAACCAATCAACGCTGTGCTCGCCACGGACGTGCACAAAGTCGGCTACGAGCTCCTTGAAGTGCGCTCGGGCCCTGGCCTGCAGAAGATCTTCCGGACGGGGTACACGCCCATCGGGACCGTCGAGGCGGTCAAGGACGAGGCGCGAGACATCTTGCGGAGGGCGTTCGGTGAGGACGGCAAAGAGAAGCGGGCGCGGTTGCAAGCGTTGCAACAGGCGGCGTTGGGAGACTGGGAAGAAGGCGGGGCGTCGAGACGGGATGTGGCCGCATTTTTGGCGAGTCTGTAGACCACCGACCGACTTGTGCGTTCGTCATGCGAGTCTACAAACCTTTGGCGGCGACGTAGTCTCTCCGACCCGTAAACTATCTCTTCCTCGTATCCAAGTACTCCTTCCACCTTCCAGTCCACGCACATAAATCTACTGACAGTGTGGACTATTGTCGTACGATTCCGACTGGATTGACCAGTGGAAGTTATTGTTCTTTGGAGGCGTACCCCTCGATTGTGGAGGGTGCGCTTCTCCGTCCCGACATTCTCGGGTTCGCTAAGAGCGAAAGTCAAAGGGAGAACGTATCTATTGCAGCCGCTGGCCCGCCATCCGGGTGTGTGAATGCGACGAAGCACTAGCACGAGTACTAAGTAGTACTTTTTGCAACGTCTCTGCGTGCTGAAACTATACGATCGTTAGTCCAAGCATACTGCCTGTGTCTCAGGACATGCACTGCAGGCGTAGACGTGGAAAACACAATGGTATTGAGGGATGCGGAGGGACTGACAGGAATTATCTGGGCGAAAAAGGAGTATTCGCTCAGCCGCTAGCCCGAACCTTGTCCTCCACCCATCTATCAGACCTCCCGAAACTTCCTTCTATCTCAGCATGCATCAAACCGGCCTTCTCAAGTGACTCATCCATCGGAGGCAGTTGGGGCTCCTGACGATGAAACGCAGGTGGAGCTCCCGAACAGTTGGCGAAGCATCTACATCTCGGCCACATGGGCGGTGACAGATTTGGGCAGAAGCTTGTGCACGAGACGTGCTTTGGCGTTACAACGACCCGGGACGCCGATGACCGGCAGGAGTATTGCGTTCGCCAAGACGAACCTGAAGGGAGCTTGGCACTTGGATGTACGTTCCGACTTGCTGCCACCACCGTGCGCAGCGGGGTGTTCAGCTGTTGTCATTTTGCGAGACAAGTGATCAATATTTCAATGCGGCTCAGCGCTCAGGAGCGGCTGTTATATACATAACGCGGGAAAAAACTGCGGCCCGACCACGGCAAGCCCACACTGGCAAGCGCCATACTCTCGACAAGCTTCCATCATTACCATCTCCCACCGCCATGCCCACCTTCGGGATTATTCACAGTAATTCAAGTCGACATGTTTGCCTGCGGCAACCTAGGAGCGGGCGGTTAAGGCTACAAGTACTCTGACTTGGCTTCGTAAGTCGGTGGCACATTTGGTCCGAATGCATGTGGCTCACAGCGTCCCGTTTGTGAACTCAGTCACGTCGAATTGCTCGTGTAGGGTGACGACATCGTCATACTTCGGGATATCATCCTTCTCAGCGAGCGCCGCCCACTAACGCTCATGACACGGGCTAGTATACAGAAGAAAGCTCACATTTCCCATCTATATATTTTAACGAGTCGTCCACACAATCCAGTTCTCACCTCTAATTTTATCGCATCCAAGAGAAAGCGTATGAAGTTCATCATGTGTCAGCATTCGAAGGCTGTTGCTCACTCGCCGCCCAAGCTGTCGCCAGGAGGGCGGCTTCTACAATGAATCCCTATCTCTGGCCGCTGACTCCACCGGGGCTGTGAAGGTGAATTGATCATTACAGGCGCACTCGAAGGTTTGTGCGTCCGGACAGCACGCCATTTGGCCCCCCTACAAAAGCAGCTGGGCACGGGAGATATTCGACAGGGAAGCAGCATCTCTTCGAACACCACCACCATGACCCCCACTACGCGCACCCACCTCGTCGCAAACTGCATTCAAGCCTGGGGTGAGTGTTTCGCTCACACATATTCACGCGACCATGAACTGAGCTCTCCATAGGTCATGCTCGCCCATTGGTCACCTTCTGTGCACATCTCGTCAAAATGCAGACAGACCTTTGTGTCACACTGCTGTCTACCGGCATACTGTTTGATCGTCTCACCAAAGAAGCAGCACGCAACTTTGGGGACGGCGATGAGTCGCCCCAACGCCTTAGGTGAGCGTTCACTCCGAGATATGTTGCCGGTCGTTAACATTGCTTCCGATGACAGGATCGTCTGTATGGGTGCCGCGACCGATTTAATCGGAGACGGTCTCATAGAGCCTATGTGGAAAGCGCTGATCGCAGGCGAGAGTTTGGAGTGCCAGCAGACGGGTACTACCTACGACCCTCTTCCAGCCCCCACGGTTGTAATCCTCGATGTGTGTGCCCTTTGTCTTTGTCGGTTTTTGCGTCACTAACGCGGCACTGATCCACCAGTTCTTCGCGATCAAGAACACCAGAATAGTCCGGTCCCTGAGCGGCAGCTCTGTCAAGATCTACTCATGGTGGTCTGGACTCGCCTACAGCATCCTGTATCAATTTGGAGACGCGCATGTTGGCGGTCTCGGCAACATCCGTGTGCGGGCTGAAGAGGAATCGCGTAAATCTGGGCGGCCCTACCACGAAGTAGCGACAGAGGTACACACCATCGTCTGAAATCCTCACGACATCACTCACCTGACTCCCTTGGCAGATGTTCTACACCAAGTACGGGGGTGTTGTTAGGCTGCCTGGCCTTCCTCCAATGTACGATTACGATAATTACCCCCAAGACGTGAGCACCCCCTGATAAAACACTGATATCTCTCGGCTGACACTTATCGTATAGTTTGAATTCGGAGGTGACACTTTGATAGAATTCCTTCCTCAGGTCAACGAGTGAGAATGAGACTTTTGCGTCAAGCTGTATGAGTTGGCAACTCACCTCGCGATACCCAGACATATAGCCATGACCGACGGAGCCCTCCTCACCTCGTTCGAGTCATGGGAGAAAGACAGCATACAAGTGGCGAGGAACTGGTTGGCGGAAACCGGCCGGCCAGTCTACACTACTGGTCCACTGCTGCCACCGGCATCGAAGACATCGGTTGCGAACGAGAAAATCCAATCTCCCGAAGGCGCGGAGATTGAGGCGTTCCTCGGCGAGATGCTTTCACGCTCCGGAGAGCACTCTCTGCTATACGTGAGTAATTATGAGAGGCTTGCCTCTCCGATCAGCAACTTAGACTCCTTCAGATATCTTTTGGGTCCATCTTCTTCCCTGTGAAGACGCCGGAGAAGCTGTGGGCGTTCCTCGAAGTCGTGGTGGAGCTCAACATCCCCTTCGTGAGCCCCATCGTTGTGTTCCCTACATACCACTCACACGCAACCCGTGCCTAGATCATGAGCGCGGCGTCCCCCTTCTGCGTTGTTCCGGACGAAGTGAGGGTGAAGGTGAAATCGTACGGGAAGGGCTTGATCTCGACTTGGACACCTCAGCAGATGATCCTTGACCATCCCGTAAGAGTATCCTGTCTTCACTTCCCCCGGTATCTTTTCTGACGAGCATATATCTTTTCAGGTCACCGGATGGTACCTCAGTCACGGCGGCCAGAACGGCGTCACGGAAGCAATCGCGTCTTGCGTTCCACTGTGAGCACCTCTGGGTCGTGGTGCGCGTCGATCGTCTGATCCACCCGCCACCTTACAGTATCATGTGGCCGTTCACAGCGGACCAACCTATGAACGCTGTGCTTGTGACGGACGTGCACAAGGTTGGCTATGAGCTCCTGGAGGTCCGATCGGGGTCGGGTCTGCAGAAGATTTTCCGGACGGGGTACACGCCAGTGGGGACCATTGACGCAGTCAAGGCTGAAGCAAGAGACGTCCTTGGGAAAGCTTTCGGGAAGGACGGGGAGGATAAGCGTGCGCGCATGCGGGTATTACAGCAGGCGTTGCTTTCCGAGTGGGAAGAGGATGGCACGTCGAAGCGCGACGTTTCCGCGTTCTTGGAGAGCTTCTGACTCCTGAGTTGAGGCGAAATCGTTAGCAATGAGCATTTGACAGTGGTTGGGGTTTTGACTGAACTGTATATACGTTACAAGCGTTGCCGCGCTTCGCGCGGCACCCTTTCCATCATGCTCCAATGAACGAATGCAAACAGACGAGCTGCATGCACACACGTCGCGGGCGCAACGTGGTGAGTGTGGAATCTGCGCCAGGCCCGCTCGTGTACGCTCGAGCTCGCACCTCGCGGTCCGCGAGCCACGTCTCCTCTACAGCCGTGAATTGCGGGTCCTTTCCAACGCCGCACCCGGGCGCGTGTCCATGAACGGTCGCGATGGAGGCACCGCGGCGGGCGTCGGTGCCACGCGCCGAACGCGAGCCAGCGCACACGAGGGCGATGAGTGCGAGCACACCGTGCACGACCCTGAACCCGATCGTGTTGCAGGTACGGAAGTGCTGGATGTTGAGGCGTTGAGGGCGAGCAAGTACTGTCGCGGCGACGCAGCTTGAGCGCGGAGGACTGAAGCTTTGAAGATACTTACGTACACTGGACTCTACAGCCTGGTCTAGATCCGGGGCAGAAATACACCACCGCATGACGTCAGTGTGCGCAGAAAGAATTCACGATGACAGAACGTATCATCTGCTTTTCCGTGTGCAAGCAAAGCCCCGATCACGCGTGGGGCTTCGCGATCGGCGAAGGGAAAGTGGGAATACACGCCAAACAAAAGCACTACAGGAGATTTGAATCAAGTGGAGCGCCATTAGAAGTGCGGGGAAAGCAAAAACAATACCGATCACCGATCCACCACATATCCGTAATACGTTGTTCATACTATGCCAGGGCGCTTGGACAGTTGAGTGCTCAGCCACACCTTCTCTTTCTACCACCACCACCCCCACCCCGATGCCAAAGCTCCGCCTCAAACGCACCCCTACAGAAGAAGCCGAGCGCGAGCTCAAGAAAGCGCGCAAAGCCGCCCGCCGCGCCGCGAAGCGCAAGCACCTCCCCGACCACGACAGCGAGTACGAAGACCGGCCCCACTCGCAGCGCAAACGCCGGCGCACGCCGACGGCTCCGTCTCCGAAGAGGAGTGCGGCCCGCAGCCCGCCCCCTCGTCGTCCTCGCACCGTGCGCACAAGCCCGACTACGAGCAGATCCGCGCGGAGGTCGAGGAGGCGCGCTTCCGCGAGAAGCTGTGGGGCGCGGCGGACGACGACGGCGGGGCGCGGCTGGACGCGCTCGAGGCGACGTTGAACGCGTACGCGCATGTGCCGAGGCGGTGGCGGGGCGGGGGCATGGAGCGCATGGACGATGACGAGGGGATAGACCCGCAGGTGATGGAGGACGAGGACTACGCGGAGTGGGTCCGGGCGGGGATGTGGAGGTGCGTTCTTCTTTCCTTCTTCTGTGGCTCGGCTGTCCAGGTCACCGAGCAGTCGTGAAAGTGCGGGATGCCTGGAAGGCCTCCGTTCAGAAGCGAGAGAGATGGTGCTCACGATATGCTTTTCTGTGTTTGCAGGAGGAAGCATGCTGCAGAGTACGAAGAGCAGCAGCGCCGCAAAGCCGAGCGCCAGGCCCGGATTGACCGCGAAGAGGCCCTTCATGAAGAGACAAAGAAGATGGAGCGCCTCGCGGAGGACGAGCGACGGCAGAAACGGTCTAAGAAGGAGGCCCGTCGCGCGGACGAGGCTCGGGAACGATACGAGATACGATGGAAATCGCTCCTTGCTCCCGTTCAATCCCTTCCACTCCCGCCGATACGAAAGACCAGCTGCTTGGCTTCGAAGACGTGCCGTGGCCCGTGCACGCACTCAGTGCGTGCGCGACGCTCGTTGCGCGGGAGGAGTCCCTCGTGCACGACTTCACGCTGGACGCCATCTCAAGTTTCCTGTTCCCCCACCGTTCGTCGTCAGACGAGGACGAACAGGATCCCGCGGAAAGGACGAAGAAGAAGAGGGATCGGCTGCGGGAGACCATGCTGCGGTACCACCCGGACAAGTTCGAGGGGCGGGTTGGGGCGAGAGTGAAGCCGTCGGAGCAGTACATAGTGAAAGAGGCCGTAGGGATTGTCGCGCGGAGTCTAAATGCACTGCTGGATCAGTGCAAGTAGAGGTGAGCACTGAGTACGCCTGCGCCGTTTGGCCAAGGTGTAATACCGTTTGTGCTGATCGTCAGATGAATCAGAAACAGACTTGCACTATTGTAGATTCTACGCCTAATCGACTGAATATTACCTCGCGGATACCTGCCGCTGCGGAGGCCGTGTTCGTTGATCTCGTTATACAGTTCCGCATAGTCACGGTGTCCTTGCACATATGGGACGTGCGATGCGGTCTTCACACTACCAGATACCAAACAAACAGCGATAGCATAACGACTAACGATTGACGACCAGCGAAAAATTCAAACCAAAGACGGAGGATGGTACATAGAGGTACATGGACATGGGGAGAGAGGGTGAAGTAAGGGTCATAACAGGTCGTCATGGGAGATGGGCGATAAAAAAGAAGGGAGAGACATCGAAGCTATGAAAACAATGGGGACGTGGAGTCCGCGCATGAATTTATGTTACGGATAAGTTGTGAGGAACAGACCGAGAATAGGACGGGGTAGGGTAGGGTAGGGTATGATGATGGTACAGTCGAGCGTGGGCGAGAACCAGGCGGGGTGCGATGACGATCAAGGGAGAAAGAGACGAGGATGTGAATTCGGGCCCAGCGTTCAGTGTTCAACAAACCAAGGAGGTAGAAGGGAGCGGCGACTTTAGACCACGTACACGTCCTCTTTCTCGAGGCTGTATCCGTCCAGCTTGCGGAAGTATTCCAGGCGTTCTTGACGCTTCCGCGCACGCTCCTGCGATATGACCGACCACAGTCAGTCCAATCTGGCGCCATGCAAACGAAGGGATGATGAACGCACCTCGTCCTCCTCCGGGTCAATCTCCTCCTCACGCGCCTTCCCTTGCCCTTCGACGCCGGCTTCGCTCGGGACGCAGGGGCACGCCCCGCCGGTCTCCCCTCCCACCTCGCCCTCCACGCCCACGCGAACCCGGAGGCGGTCGCGGCGGCGACGTGTCGTCGCTGCCCGACTCCCCGTCCGCGCTCGTGCTCTCCTCCACGCTGACCTCCCTCTCGCGCTCTTTGCCCTTGCCCTTGAGCACGACCGACACGTTCTCCTTCCTCCCACGGGTGACCGTGCTCGGGCCTGCCCGCGCGCTCTTCCGCGTCTCCCGCACCTTCGCCTTCGCTTCTCCTTCGCCTTCGCGTTGTCCCTCCTCTTCGCCCGCCGTCGACGGGCTTGACGACGCGGTGTCGCCCGCGCGCGTCTTGCTCCGCTTGGGCAGGAGCGCCTCGAGCCGCCGCACCGCGTTGCGCGGGTCCGAGTCGGAGCTCTGTGCGCTCGGCCCGCTCTCCTTCTCCTCGCGCTCGACCTGCGCGCGCGTGCGCTTCCGCCCCGTGGCCTTCCCGGCGGGTTCTGCCGGGCGCGGACGGGGGACGGGGGCTCTTCGGGCTCGAGCTCGAGCGTCGCGAGCGGCTGGCGCACCGCGGGGCGCACGATCGACGGACCGGCGTGGGGCAGGGGGGGGCGGGGGCGGGGGCGGGTCCGGTGCGTCTCTTGACGGGGGATGGGGTGTAATCTCTCTCCTCGACCGAAGCCCGTTCTTGCCCTTGCCCTTCCCTTTCCCGGTTGCAACCCCATTCCGCGAGGTCGAGTCCTTCGTCCGACGGCGAGGCCGAGAACGCGGGGGACGGGAGCGGCGGATGCTGGTGCACGTGCAGCTTGTGCGGCGTCGACGGGGTGCGCTCTTCTGAGGACGTCGGCGACGGTGACGGTTCGGCGAGCAGGAGCGCGAGCGCCTCGGGACGCGCGAGGAGCGGCGCGGAGGTGTTCGCGGCCGCGTGGGGGTCGTTCTCCCGTCCAGGTCCTCGGGGTCCGCGTACAAGTCTTCGTCGTCATACACCGGTACAGGCGGGGGTGGTGGCGGAGCGTTCTCATCGTTCTCTTCCTCGACGTCCAGGGCGGCATTCTCCGTGTCGTCGAACTGGAGCCAGTCCGGCTCGTTCTCCTTGTCTCCGTTTTCCTCCATGTCTTCCTCATCCCCTCCGAACTCGAGGCGGCTGGTTGGGGGTGCAGGGTCGACGTCCAGGTACAAGTCATTGTCGTCGAACTGGCTGTCGTCCGACGGAAGCGGCGTAGGCACCTTCTTGGGCACGAGCGCCGCCGACGGCACTTCGTCCATCGGGAGGGTGCCCAGCGCACGGCGGCTGCCTCCCGAGGCACGCGATGACTCCACCACGGTACGGTCGTCTTCGTCGCCTGCGCCTTCCCCTTGGTCGTTGTGGCCAGAAGCCCGAATGGATCATCCTCGTCGCTCTCGTCGCTCTCCTTTCTCTCTGCATAGATCGCTTCCGTCCGTGCCTCGCCCGTCCAACTCCCACGGTACCGCACCGGTGGCGGCAGCGCCACCTGCTGCGAGCTGGACGCTACGACAGGGCTCGACGGCGGGAGCGGCGAGTGTGGGCCCGCGCTCGCGCCACCCACGACCTTCGCGGTCCACTTGCGGATGCTGTTCTCGTGTCGGCCGCGGACGTAAAATGGTTTGAACGACTCCGCGAGGGGCGGGAGCTTCCCGAGGGGCGTCGCCTGTGCGCCGATGGGTGGGCGTACCAGTCGCGCAGGCGATGGTGTCGCAAGAATCGCGCGGACCGCGTCCGACGCGGTGCTGTCGTCATCTGCGATGGGAATTGATTCGGGTGTTGCAGGGCGTGGGCTCAGAGGGGTGGGGGCGTGCGCCGGGATGTGCGAGTGTGTGTGGGGATGTTGGGCGTCGACGTGAGCGCGGGTGGCGGCTGCCGCAGGAACTGGTACGTGGCGGGCAGGGCGGAGCGGGACGCGCGCGACCGTCGGGGTGTCGGGCGGGGGCAGGACTCGGAGGGCCTGTGCGCCCAGATCACGCTGGAGATGCGTGCTGCGTCCGTCGTCCGTGGCCGTTTCCCGTTAACGCCGCCTGCAGATCGCTTCTGTGCCAACAATACCGGGGGCGGCCCGTTCTCCGCGTCCTCCGCGTCTGAGGATGCCTTCACTGGAGACGGGCGTGCGCGTGTGGGTGTGCGACGCGCAGACGAATGAGACAATAGCGACTCACGTTGGGCGTCCTTGCGCGTCGTGCGGCTTCTGAGACGGGTTGACCTCGCATTCGTTTTGTCCTCTTTCGTCTCCTCGAGATGCGCACGGACTTCTGCCGCGCTCGAGAGCGCTGTGGCGGGTGGCGACGCGTCGGTGACCTCGTCCCCTGTCTCGCGGGCAGGGGAGACGCGACATACGCACCTTCATCATCGTCATTCTCCGTCATTCGGCCTTCACTTTGCGTGTCTTCGCCGCCGCCGCATCTTCCTTGCGCGGTCGCCCTCGCTTCCGTGGAACGAGGGGCGCGGCGCGCTTTCGTCTTGCAGGGGCTCCTCTACGACGCCGACGAGACGGACGCGTTCAAATCGCCACATCGTGCACAGAAAAGAGCTACACACCTCGCTCTTCGACGGCATCCATGCGTCCATCCTTCTCCTCGTCCTCAGGCTGTTTCTGTTTTCCCCGCCGGGGGCGGACCTTGATCTCGACAACGGGCACGGTCTTTGGCTTCTTCAGTGGCTTCGCGGAGGTCGGCTTGGGCTTCTGCGGGGTGTTTCCGGGTGTTTTATCTTTCAAGGCAGGCCTGCGACGCGTACGCATGGCGGGCAGATGGTAGGAAGGGATGGAAGAGTGGAGTTGAGAGTGGTCAGAAAGAGAGCCCGTTTCAGAGGCGCGGCGAGGCCGCCGGCCCGTGCGCGTGGAGTCACGTCACGCTCCCTCGCCTGTCACGGCACATAGGTGCTGGCGCCCTACCAAGGGAGACGCCCAAAGCCACGTTAAATAGGTGCAGATAAAATGGTGCTCAATGCGTGGAAGCATCAATTATCTTCGATGGCTGCCATTTGCTTACAACGAAAAATAAACTCCCTTTACCACATGCCCCCAGGCTGGATTGAACAACCGACCTCACCATTACGAGTGGCGCGCTCTACCACTGAGCTATAGGGGCGGCAGCTGAGGCAGTTCTTCGCTGCACTCGGACTCAGGGAACCCTCAGACCTTCTCCAGCCCCGACTTCTGAGTAGAGTTTCTCAATGGCTTGCATCCCACTAATTGAACGCCCTCTCATCCCACACATGTCCTTGCCGGCACGTCTCGGATCTCAAGCAAAGCAACCGCCGAGCACACCGGCTTCCGGCAAGGCAGAGGCCGGATGTGTCGGACCCGGACGATCTTGTGAGTCTCCGCGATGTTTGTCGTCCGACGTCGACGCGGGACGGGCTCGGAGTGGGTCCCCTTGCGCGATCTGCGACGCCGAGCGGCAGGCCTTGTCCTTTAACGCGGGGCGACGCCGGGCCGCGCACCAAATTTCACCGCCCGGCACGAAACGACGCTCTTTGCCCTCATCCTCGCCGCCTCTCGTGTTCCCCGCCATCGCCCCGCCCGCCCAAGCCATAAGATGCTCAGGTCCCCGAAGCGCATCCCTCGCCATCAAGGGCCCCTCGACTGCCCCCTCGCTCGCGCCTCCTCCGCCGCTGGATGAGTGTCCGGCCGGCAGAGCACCAGCCCCACTCCGGTCAGTCCTCTTCCTCCTTCTCGCCCTCCCCACGCCACAAAGCCCCCGCCTTCCTGTCCTGTGCGCCCATCCGGCGTCACCCACCCCCGCGGGCTTCTCCCGCCCGCTTCTCCGTGCTCCGTGCACCGTCTTAACCACCCCCACAGACGCGCCCCGCAAGAAGGTCACCATCCGCGAGCTGCAGGCCCTCCGCGCCGCCCGCACGCCCATCACGATGCTCACCGCCTACGACTACCCGACCGGGCGCGCCTGCGACGCCCTCGGCATCGACATCACCCTCGTCGGCGACTCCCTCGCCCAGGTCTGCCTCGGCCACCCGCCACCACCCACCTCACCCTCGACGAGCTCGTCCACCACACCCGCGCCACCGCCCGCGGCTCCCGCGCCCCCTCCTCGTCGCCGACATGCCCTTCGGCACCTACGCCCCCGCCCTCCCCCGCGACTCCGTCCGCGCCGCGGTCCGCATCGTGCGCGACGGCGCCGCGGACGCCGTCAAGCTCGAGGGCGGCGCCGCCCTCGCCCCACCGTCGGTGCCATCGTCGGCGCCGGCATCCCCGTCGTCGCCCACGTCGGCCTGCTCCCCCACGCGCGGTCATGCTTCGGGCTTCCGCGCCCAGGGCCGCGACGCCGCGGGCGCGCTCCAGGTCCTCCGCGACGCGCTCGCGCTCGAGGCCGCCGGCGCGTTCGCCGTCGTCGTCGAGGCCGTCCCGCACGAGCTCGGCAAGTACGTCTCGACCGCCTCACGAGCGCGTTCAGCATCGGGATCGGGGCGGGCCCCGGACGCACGGCCAGGTGCTGGTGTGGGACGACGTGATGGGGACTTGGGACGGGCCGCAGCCGAGGTTCGCGAGGAGGTTCGCGGACGTGCGCGGGGAGGTCGAGCGCGGGGTGCGCGCGTACGCGGGCGCGGTCCGGGATGGATCGTTCCCGACGACGCAAGAGAGCTACAAAATGCCCGCGGCGGAGTGGGGAAGGTTCCAAGAGTTGGCAGAGCAGTTCATGGAGGAGCTTGCGTGAAGGGACTGTGGAGAGTTTGCTGCGCTGATCTGGGTTCCAGGGATTCTCGGTTGCTTTAATATTATCTAGCGTTATCATTATAGGAATTCCAGTCATTGAACGAAAGCACCGCATCATGCTGTTGAGTCCTTCCGGCGAACGGCTTCGCTGGAACATCATAGTCATGTACACTGTAGGTTATCCGTTCCTCACTGTGGTGGGCCGTCTGTCGGAGCAAGGATGCGACAACTCTATGACGAGGCTGTTCACACACGATGGTCAACGCGGGAGGCAATGTGGAGAGGCGAACCCCGGGAAAACTCGGACTGGAAAAGGACGCGATGCTCATAACTGGACAGGCAGACGGGATACGCTACAACGAAAACAACGCACAAGACTATTCCGCCGCCGCCACCCCCGACTTCTTGTGTCGCCGACGTTTCTTCTTTGTCGCACTTTCATGTGTACCAGACTCGTCGTCCACAGCCGCTTGGTCGTCCCGCTTCCGTTTCTTGGGTGCAACTTCCTCCTCCTCACCCTCTCCGTCCCCACCTCCCTCACCCTCGCCTGCAGCTGCAGCCGCCTTCTCGCGCAGCCGCTCCTTCTTTCCCTTCCTCTTCTTCACTTTCTCCTTATCCCCATCGTTTTCACCGCGTCCACCGGCAGCGCCGCGCTCGCGCAGGGAAGATTTGAGCTCCTTGAGTCGCGCGGTGCGCTGGCCGTCCCATGTGCGCCCGCGACCTTCCTTGCGGTACGGGGCGTACTTCTTGAGGCCCATGTATACGTTGAGCTCCGCGTCCGTCGCTGTCAGGATCTCCGCGGGCGAGAGGCCGAAGTCCTGGTCCTCCACTTTCGCATATCGGAAACGTGTGGGCATGCCCGCCACCTGCGAGGGCATGCGTGGTCAGCGGCACGAAGACAGCGACCGGAGTAGAAGAGGGTGGCACACGTACCATGTCGTTGAAGTCGAGCCCGTAGATCTCGTCCATGTACTCCTCGAGCTTCCGCTTCCGCATCTCCTCCGTCCCGTCCCACTCCTCTTCGTCTTCCTCCCTCGACTTGCGCTCGACAGCGGCGTCCATCTCGTCGACGTCGACCCCGCCTGCATCCCCGTCGTCGTCCCTGCTCTTCTTCTTCTTCTTCTTTTTCTTCTTGGACGATGAAGGGTCCCCGCCGTCGTCCGCGACGATGTCCGTGATGTCGATGTTGTCGTCCCACGTCGGCTTCTCCATGTCGCCCTCGTCGCCGTCGAAGTCGCCCCACCCGCCCGCGGGGGCGTCGTTCGCGTACAGCTCTGCCATCTTGCGGTCGTGCGCCTCCGGGTCCCAGTCCGCCTCCAGGTCGAGCGTCTGGAGTGCTGCGACAGTGCCGTCGTCTGAGCGAGGGCCGACGAAGCCAGGCGCGCACATGGACCGGGGACGCACCTTCGACGTCGGCGAGGCTCTCGCCGCCCTCGTGTCCGATGCGCTCGAGCTTCGCGCGGAGCTCCTTCATTTTGAGCGCCTTGAGACGCTTTACCTCTTCTCGCTTCTTGAGCAGCTCCTCCTCTTTTCGTGCCTTCTTCTTTTCTCGCGCTTCTTTCCGTGTAGTATCTTCTCGACGGACCGTCGACGCGAGGTTACGCGGATGCCACGCAATCTCTTGTGCACCCCTGTGCGAACCCAGACGTTACGATGAGTTGCGCGCTTGGGAGAGGGACTTACGGCTCCTCGAAGCGGAAGTTGTAAGAGCTCTCGAAGCGGTCGGCGACCTCTTCGAATTCATCTTCATCCAACAGCTCGTTTCCGTCCCCAGTCCCATCCGAGTCGGACTTGACGCTTGCGTCGTCCTCTTCGTCCGAGGCTTCGTTCGCTGCTCCCTTGCCCTTGGTGATCTCCTGTACGTGGGTACTCTGCGCGCAGACTTGTCGATCCAGCCCGGTTGAGGATGTAGCTGGGAGAGACGTTGAACGAGGAAACGACGGTTCAAAGACAAAGGCACGCACTTCATCAAGAACTCGTGGTCGCCGTCCTGTTTGCTTTTCGAGCCTTCTTCTCCTTCTCCTTCCCCTTCTTGCTCTTCTTCTTTTTCTTCCTACCCTCCTCTTCCTCGCCGCGCCCTGCTCTTGCTTCACGTCCCCCTCAACCGTGATGAGCCCCGACAGATCCTCCCCGACCTCGCGCTGCAGAAACGCGCGGTACTCTTCCTCCTCCCGCTCCGTCTCGTCCTTCGTCTTCTCGCGCGGCACGAGCAGCTCCTCTTCGTCCTCGTCATCCACAGCGCCATGGAACGCGGCGATCGTGTCCTTGCGCAGCCGCGCCTGCTCCTGCACGTGCGTGAGCGGGGCGGGCTCGGGCGTCGGCGAGCGCGAGCCCCGCAGCGCGGAGTCGAGCGCGGCCTGGCGGAACGTCAAAGGCTTCGACTGTCCCGGACGAGGCTCTCGTCAGAAGGCAAAGCACGCGTGAAAGAGGGGAGGGGGCGCACCTTGTCCTTGCGCTTCTGCGCGCGCGCGAGCCTCACGTCGCCCGTCCGCTGCCGTTCCTCTGACCTCCCAAGGTTGCACGCTCAGCCCCCCGCGCCCCGCGCACATGAGAGAGAGGGGAGCTCACCCTCGAACACGTCCTTTCCGTCCTCGTAGATCGCGGGGTCCTTGCGCTTGATGCGCGCGAGTGTGCGGAGGATCGCGGCGTCCACGGCGGGCGTGAGCTCCTCGCCGTCCTCGTCTTCGGACTCGCCGTCCTCCGAGCCTTCCTCGTCGTCATCTTCGCCTTCGTAGTCCGACCCATACTTGTCTTTCACTGAGGGGGCGAGACGGAGGGGAGTGGGAGTGGGGTACGGGCGCGGAGAGGGTTCAGTATGAGGTGCACTGGGGAAATGACGAAAGGGCGCACGTTTCGCGAGCTCTTCGCGCTCCTTGCGGTACTCGAAGGCTTTGGCATAGTGCTCGTTGATGGTGATGTCATGCGTGTCTTCGATGTCGGAATCGTCGGAAAACATCCTGTGTTGGCCAGTGTGGATGCTCAGTCCAAGACAAAAGGCCGGAGGTTTTTGACTGAGTTCAAGCATCGCTCTATAGCGCTTATACAAAAATATATTATTATGCCCTTATAGCTCAGTGGTAGAGCGCGCCACTCGTAATGGTGAGGTCGGTTGTTCAATCCAGCCTGAGGGCAATTGTGATGTTACTTGCTTTTTTTGAATTCTATGAAGCTAAGAATTATCAAAATCCATCGACTAATAGCGACTAAACAGCATCTATTGACAACATTGGCAGTAGTTTTCAGTGTCTAGCATTTGGACACAATGCGGCATGGTATAGTAAGACCCTTACATCATCCACCAAATTGTCAGCCACACCCGCGCTCATTTCCAAATGCAAAAAATGCAGACTGAGTCATACCCACTCACTTTGCTCACTGCACTCCGCCGACTTCACCTAGGCCAAGCCCCGCCTCCCTCCGTGGTGCAGATTGTTGGATCTCGCCCAAGTCGAGGCTAACTCGTAATGTCAACCGAGACAGGATCTGGGCGGATCCTCAGCATCCAGTCGCACGTGGCTTACGGCTACGTCGGCGGAAAGGCCGCCGTCTTTCCTCTGCAGTGCTTGGGCTACGACGTCGATGTGAGTTTTGCGGTTCATCCTGTGCACATCTGCATCTTGCTGTCCTAAGCGATACTGATGTCGATCATAACAGGTCGTCAACACCGTCAACTTCTCCAACCACTCCGGTCCGTCGAGCCGTTGTCTACTTCTTGGAGATGCCGTGCTTACACGAATGCACACCGAACGCAGGGTATGGCCGCTTCGGAGGCACCAGGACATCCGCAGCCGATCTCGCGCAGATCTTCGAGATCATGGAGCAGAATGAGCTCCTCAACCCTCAGCGGTTGCTCACAGGTTTGTTTGCTGCCCTTTCCGCCGTTGCTACCTTGCTGACCACGAAATTTTCTGGTCTGGCTGGCCACAGGATACATTCCAGGTGCCGAAGCTACGGCCGCGGTGACCGCCCTGGCAGAACGACTACGCAAGCGCAACCCCAAGCTCATCTACCTGCTCGACCGTACGTCTCGCCTCCGGCGCTTCTTGTCGCGACTCGGTAGCCACTGACGTCCACATCTCAGCCGTCTTGGGTGACTCAGGGAAGCTCTACGTCTCACCGGACGTCGTGCCCATCTACCGCGCCGCGCTCTCGCTCGCCACCATCATCACACCGAACTGGTTCGAGGTCGAGTGCGTCGCGTCCCCGCTGCCCCACCATTTTCTCTCCGCACCCGCTAACCCACATTCGCCCACAGGGTGCTCACGGACGTCAAGATCACCGACCGCGCCTCGCTCCGCCGCGCGCTCCGCACCCTGCACGACACCTACCGCGTCCCGAACGTCGTCATCAGCTCGATCCCGCTCGCGCCGTGGCTCCGCGCGCTCCTCGCCGCCTCCTCCTCCACCCCAGAGGACGACGCGGGCCTGGCGTGCATCGCGTCGAGCGCGCCGTCGGGCTCGGTGCACGCGTGCGCGGTCCCGTGCCTCCCCGGCTACTTCTCCGGCGTCGGCGACCTCTTCTCCGCGCTCGTCCTCGCGCACTACCGCCCGTCCTCCACGCCCGGGGCGGGCGTCGACGGCGACAGCGACGCTGCTGGTGGAGATAAGAAGCAGGAGCAGGAGCAGCCGGAGCAGGAGGAGATGGAAGGAGAGACGCCGCTGTCGCGCGCGGCGTCGCTCGCGCTGTCGAAGACGCACGCGATGCTCACGCTCACGCACGCCGCCGCGGGCGCGCTGCCGGCGGCGGAGCGGACGGAGACGGACGCGGAGGAGGACGGCGCGGCGCCGATGCGCAAGGTGCTGCGCATGCGCGGGCGCGAGCTGCGGGTCGTGCAGGGGCAGGGCATCATCCGCGGCACGGCGGCCGGGGTCGCGTACCGCAGGCTGGAGGCGTGGGCGGGGTTCTGGGACGAGGGGTGAGCGGCGGGGAGCTCGGGCGTGGTGGGTGGTGGGTGGGCCTCGGGAGGGAGCGCGGGTGGTTTGGCTCGCGTTTACGTGTGTGGGGTAGACTTGGGGTTAGAGTGTATACCAGAACGATGGTACACGAATTAGACACGCAGTGTATCATCTAATCCATTACGAGGGTTCAGTGTTTTCGTGGCTTCGATTATTTCGACCCGTGTGGCCGAGCATGCATGAATTCGAAAGCTCGAGTACGTGCCAAGTTCCGTACAGAAGCTCGCACATCTCTAAAGGCTCCGCCTCGACAACCACAGCGCCGGTACCCTCGGGTTCACAAGGGGCCACTCCGTGCACACCAGATCACGCCATTCCTTGTCGTCCATGCGCCGGCCCTCCCACGTCGTAAAATAGATGAACAGTGCCAGACTCTTCCAAGCGTATGTTCTCGGCGTCGGCACCATCACCAGTGGAGCGATGGAGGGAGAGATCGTGGGCAAAGTCGATGTGGTTAAGCCGAGCACGGATCTCAATCTGAAAGCGTACGCGTGCTCTCGCGCAGCTGCGCGGCACCCCGGCCGTTCTGGAACCCCGCTAACCACAGCTGGAAGTCGAGATCACGGGTTCCGGACAAGGCTCCCTCCTTTGGCTTTGATGGGCTCGAGATCTCGCAGCCCCTCTACATGCACCCTAGCGCAGGGATGCCCACACCTCTTCCCGGCCAGACATTGCGAGTCGCGAGCGAGCGGCGAACGCCTCCGAGGACACCCGCTATCCTGCTCCGCCCACATCCTCGGACACTTTCACGTCGCCCGTACACCGCATGCTCGCGCGTCTTCCATTGGAATCCCACTGCACTCCAGCCCCACACGCTCGGATCCGCACGCCCTTCTCTTCGTCCTCTGCAGGCTCGAGCGCGGTGACTCCCGCCGGCCCACCGTCCGACGCCTCCAAACACACCCTCTCCATTTCCCGACTCGACCGCGCGCTCAGCGGAGGCGCCCTCGCTTCGCGCACTCCCCGTGCGCCCCCGCGTCCGCCGCCTGAAAGGGGAGATCGACCGAGCTCCCTTCGTCGTCGTCAACAAGCACGGAGCGGGGTGACGTTTAGATGCCGACGGACGCCGGGCCCGGCCATCCCGGTCTCGCAACGCTCCTCCTCCTCGGACGGGTGTGAGCCCGGGACGCGCGCCGAGATGCCCGGTCGCTGCCGTGTTCAGCGGCGAGGATGGCGATGGCGGTCCGGGCTCGGAAGTGCCCGTGAGTCACCGGGGCCCGGGCTCGGCGTTGGGGCGTCGCGGCCGCAAACGAGAAGAGCCAGATGGCTTGGGATTCGGTTCGCCTGAAGGAGACGCTTCAGCTGAGCAGACGTGCGGCGGGCGGAGTTCGATCGGATGGCGTCTGGGTGTTAATGCCCGTGCGTGCGGGCTCTCAATGTCCCCGCTCAACCTTCGTGTCTGAACCGCCGGAAAGCACTAGAGACAGGGCAGTTAGAACGTCCGCGGGTGCATACGTCGCGTGGATCGCCGTTGGGCCAATTGGAGTCCTGGCGAATGGTACGAAATGTTGGTGCACAAGAGATGGCGCTCGGGCGGGTCCGAGTCCGCAGAGAGGTGCAGTCAATCGCGGACGAGAAAGAGGTCATCACGGATGACCCTGTGTTCGTACGTCTGCGAGGCAGCTGAGACGCCTGTACATGAGAAAATGGGATCAGATCATGACGCACCAGGGCATGGTCGCAAGGAGCGCGGCGGATGAGCTGCTGTGAAGGGCTGAGCGCTACTCCGAAATCAGGCCAGGACGAGTAAAGATCACGTACAAGCCCAGGTGTTGTTCGGCTGCTCACGCCGCGCTTATGCTTAAAGCAGCGGGCTAGTTTGAGAAGGGAGACCTATTTGTGCTCGTATCAGCGCATCCGAGTGCCCGTTCGTTCTCGCCTCGCACGGAGCGCGCATGAAATTGTTGTGATTGACGACCGCGACGTCGAGGAGCGGCGGAGGATGAAGGGACCGCGCGGTCGGAAGTGCGGAGCTTGAACATCGGAGGAAGAAGACACGCGACGACGTCGGGATCAAAAGCCACTTTGGAAGATAGACAGTATGTTGCTCTGTGTGTCGAAATGTTAGAGTGATGGGCATGTTCCCACCATGCGAGAGCGCTGCAAAGATACACACCAATGAGATCCAGGCGGCGACGTAAGCCAGGTCAGTGGCGCGCACGAGTGCGGGACGTCGATAGCCTCGTGGGCGCGGACTCCGGTTCACCAATCGTCTCGGGTGACCGTCCCCATCCGGTATACACCGAGCGCTCGGGACACATGCCGCTATTACGCGGTCACCCAGCGGTCGGCGGGTGATTTCGATGATTGGATGAGCTAGAGTGATGGGACACAATTGAGTGAGCCTAGGCGAGAGGCGGTAGGTTGAGAGGCAGGCGCACGTACACGCCTGGATGGCGTAAGTTCTGTGTACATTCAAGCAGCTGGAGCCAGTGAGAGGCTAGTGCTTGGGGCCACGGAAAGGAAGGAGGGGGCTGGAGAAATGAATGACTCACGAACAAGAACGGGGCTCGAACTCAACGAGCACCCGAACAGACTGCTCATCCAACAGGCTTGAAGCGCGTGGATAGGCCGCGCCCGGGCGAGGGCGTGTTTGTGGTGAAACTCGAAACTAGTCGTGGCAGGCTCAGCGACGGCGACTCCCTCTGTTCGTTCTTCTGGCGTCCGCACCACGACCGCCAGCCCGGCTCTGGATCCCGGCGCGCGCGAGGCTAGACCGCGGCCTTCTAGACCTGTCACAACACACCGCGGACCCGGCAGTCCGCCACTGCTCGCACCCGCGATGCGGTGGCGCATCCTGGGCCGTCTTCCCTCGCCGCGTGCCGTCTGCCGCGTCCCACTGCGAGCGTTCGTGCCCGGGATCGGCGCGGACGAGACGTCTGCCTGCGAGTGGCGCCGTCTGCGCGCCATCCGTCAGCACTTGGCGGGAATCGCCGGCCCTACCCCGAGTGGGGTCACGGTAGAGGCTTGACGCTCTGGTGGCAACGCTTCTCTACCAGACTTGTATCGTGTCTTGAAGCTGTAGTTGATGGTCAAGAAGAGCCGTGCGAAGCGCCGGGCGCCGACCGCAGATGCAGGCGCCACGTGGCCATCGTAACGTCCGTCCCGCACATCATCTTTTCCACACCAACCGCGCTCATCTCAACCTTTTCTGCTTCTTGGATTGATAGGATGACAAGCCTGGTGCGCTCCTGTGAATAGCTGAAATACTCGTTCATCTCTGAAACAGATTGCTCCATCTTGAGAGCATGGTGCGCACGCCACAGTGCGATCTCTACAGCATCAAAGAAGGGAATCAACGATGGGTTATACTCGCGCACTCATTTTAGCCTTCAGACATTTCGAAGCGGCAAGTCGCATGCCCTTGACTACACTTTCACAAGTCCATGAGTCTTCCGGTTAACCCTGACACGTTGTCACCCGGGCGAGTTCCCAGCCACACATTCTTCGTCAGAAACGAACTCACACTGGCACCCAACCGGTTCCTGGGCTTTCCTTGCACGAGAAGTCTACCCCACGACATGTACGTTTTCTCCCGGCAAGCGGACACGATTGTGCCTGCTAAGACAATCAGACCTTAATCGTGAGTCCTCAAGCTTCGCATTAATCCGCTTTCCGTCCTTACACATGCCTCACATTCTCGAATTCACCTCACCGATCCTTCTCACGCTCCCAACCCGAAGCCCCACTGCCCAGGCACCAGGGAATCATGTCCCACGTCCCGGCGAGAAACTGTACGTACGACTCGAACCTGTGATTCTCAAACCGCCGCGGTCTTATCAGGTGCGACGGCCGATACTAGTTCGATGGGGGTTCTCGATGGACTCGAAGGATTGGTGCGGACACGCTCGTGGGACCCCACTGCGTGTTGCGGCCGGGCTCTCTTTCTCCCCCTGCGAGGGGGTACCTCCCTCGTCGACGCCCGAACCGCGGCGGTTGGCGCCTCCGCAAAGGTTCACGAGGAAGCCATGTCGCTGGAGTGGCCGAGATGCTGTACCGGTCCGCGCGTTCTCTCCATCTTCCGGTCGCAGGAGCCGAGGCCCACGTCCACGGAGGAGTCCGTGCCTCGCGCTCTCGACGCCTGCGCACTCGCCTTCCGTTTTTGGGGTTATAACCCCCGCGACGTCCACGCGCGGGGTCGACCGTGGACGGCCTTCGTTGTATCGCGGCCGCTTTCTTTGCCCACATCGTGTTGCGCTGTGGTGCGCAAACGTTCACAATCCCGTGCGTTCGCATTGTTCCTCTCCTTGTTTTCACAGATCGTCGTCAGCCGCGAATCCTAGCTCCCACATCGAGAAGAAAGCCGGTGGCAGAGGCACTTCGGGAGGTGCGGAGCCCCGCGTTAATATCTAATTTTGGTGTCCGGGCAGGTAAAGGCCTTGCATAGATGCGCATGTGCTCATTGGACAACAGTTTATAGAGGGCAGTCCCTCTCGTATGTCGATCCGCGTGAAATTTGTGCTCCAATTTTCCGGAGCGTGCAAAGGGAGCCGGCAGAGACGTGATGCCTGGATGATTGCTTCTGAACATCGGCGAGCTTGCGGGCCTCGCACTGATTTTTTGCTTCATCGCGAATCTGCGAGCATCATCAGTGCGTCTGTCTTACTCCACACCCCTCCCTGGCAGTAAATAAACGCTGATTATTAGCTCGAAGGACATCGTTTCGATGGCTCGCGGCGTCAGGTGAATTTGTCCACCGACACGACGTACGAATGGAGTGGACGCCGACCCGCCTCTCCCAGCAAGCAACAGTCCGAGTGATACGCAACCACCTCTTGACAGCTCCCCATACGCCGCTCCGTCCTTGATGTGGGTAAGTAGAAGTGAAACACGAACGGGTACGCACGGATCTGGATCTCGCGGCGGCGCGTGAAGGGCGCAGAGCACGGTATTGAGATCAGCGTGCGCCCTTCACGCCGTACGTCTGGATGTGCCATACACTTACCCACCCCACAGATCCGATCCACACGCTGCCAACGATCTCGCCGGACCGTCGTTGGACGCCAACGCGCACGTAACTACGTGGTTCGGCGACGGCCGGCTGAATTCTGTGGCGCGGCGGGTGAGTTCGTGCTGGGGCAGAGAGCGGCGAACCTCTCCTTGCGAGCGTCCCCCCGTAACCGTGACGGACAGCACTGGCACCGAGCCGTTCCGGAACGTTCACTTACGGGAGTCCCAGCGACCCCCGGGCATCCGGGTGCGACCGAGCCCCGGCGCGCGCGCACGCTCGGAGAGCTCGCGCTCCCTGTGACGTTTAGTTGCCGACGCCGCCCCAGGCCGAACGCAGTGACAGACGCCTCGCGCCCTCCTCTGAACTCCGGGGGCGCAGACGCCAAACGGACGTAACCACGCACGCAACTGGGCCGGGCAGGGTGGAACCCCGGGCGGTCACGTAACGCGCGAACGAGGTGCGTCTGCGATGTCGCCTGCCTGTTCGGGACGCGTCCTCGACGCCGACATCGTGGCGTACGAGCGCGGCGCGTACGTGCGGGGCCCGTCGCGCGCGGGCCCGAGTCCGTACTTACCGTACGTGCGTCGACGGTGGGACACAGCTCGGACGGACGTCGGAGGGGAAGCTGAAGGACGGGCGGCCCTGGAAAGCAATACAACGAACGTCGGCCACGGCCTCGGCTTCTGATGGAGGAAAGCATGCCTGCAGAAAGTGATGCGTGCCGCCGCTACCCCCGACGTCGACCTGCCTGCGCAGAGCACAGATTCGACGCGGCGTCGTCGCCTCCCCGTCTCCGCCGTCTAGGCACGGCCGCCTTGCGCGACATTGCAGACCGCGATGTCGTTTCCCCGGACCAATGACGCGCCTCCGAGGCAGGTGATGGTGGCGCCGCGCGAGTGGACGGCGCCGGGGGCGGCTCCGAGGCCGCTTCGTCCTCGAGAGATTGAAGAGCTGAACGATGTAAGAGATGTCGATGAGCATGAGGTTTGAACTGCCAGGTGCGATGTCTTTACATTGGAACGGACGTGCATTGATGCGTAGGAACAGACTGGAGGCGCGTCAGAGGCAAAACTCAAAGCACTCGACTTACCTGGGAAGTTTTGGGACTAACACTGGGCTCGCGTTTGTCAGCTGTGCACCGTTGTTCTGTGCAGGGTCGAGGGGCGGAAAGAAAGAACACGCACGCGTGCATGACGTCACGAAGAGGACGCGGTGTTCGGTTCGTGTGCAGCGCGCGCGCCACACGAAGTGCTTCTTTCCACCGAGTCTTGGCTTCTTGTACATGGTCTATGGAGGCCCAGTGGCGCGGTCTCACGAGGACGTCCCAAACGACCCTGCGCCGACGCGGAAAATGCTCATCATCACGTACGAGGTGCAGAGTCGCTAGAAGGCGGAGCGAGGTCAGTCGTCTCTAACTCGGCCGCGCTGAGATCGACTGCTGCCGGTGGGTGCTAGAACAAAAGAGAGGCGCACCGCCGCACGGCCACCTATCGCGGATTGCGTCACGGCCCCGCGCTCGTCCGCTCTAGCGAGCACGAGACGGTGCTCGAGGCGCGAGAGCGGCGTTCTAGAGCTGTTCAATGGGGCACGAAGTTGAGTTGAAACGACCAGGTGATCGCCGTCGCTCGCCACACTGCACCGGCAAGCATCAGCCTGCGGAGGTTCGGTGCCCACGGATCTCACTTCAGAGCGCGTCCCCGTCGGGGTGCGGAACGTGCGTTCGTACTCACCGGGCCCGCCCGCGCGCCTGTCGGGGGCGGAGATGAACCACATGTGGACTCGAGAAGTCGGGGTATCTTCCCAGCGTGTAGGCGACGGTGGAGCGGGTTCAGATGTGTACTTCGTTGACAGATCGTGCTGGGAAACCCCCCGCCGAGCGCGGCGTAGGGGACGCGCGGGCGTCATGGCGTGGTGAACGGTGCCGGATCTGGGCTGCTAGTTGGCTAGCGAACCCACAGCCACGACAATCTATCTGTCGACGGGCGGCTTCGGAGTCGGGGAATACCGCCGGACGCTCTGAAGGGTAAAAATAGTCAGAGTGCGGGGTGTTCTGATATTGAAGAGAGAATGCGGACGGGCACCGTTGCGTCGCGGTCACATGCTCAACTTACCCCACCTCGCTGTGCAGAGAACGACGCGCGTCCACGCGTCGTGTCGCGGTGAGACACCGCAGTGGACCCCGGGCGGCAGAAGCGAGCCGGCCGAGGAGCCACGTTGCGCCGCGATAGCAAGAAGAAGCCGAGCGCGAGTCGAGGCGAGCAGAACGACTCTCGCCACAGGTTCTGGTAGCCTCGTGCCCGGCCGTGGCAGCCGTCCTAAAGGCCTGCTAGTGGCCGACCCCGCGCCGAGGCCCTCCCGTTTGCTGGGCGGAGGTTTGCTATCGGAAGCTCCACCGTCATCCGCAACATGCCCGCGCGAAGCCGCGCGCTCCCCCACGGTGGCGCAGCGGGCCGCGGACCCGCGCGCAGGCGTCCATTGGTCGGCGAACGAGAGCCAATGGGATGCGGGGCGGGCGAGGGCCAATGAGGCCATTCCGGGCAGGAGGCCTCGCGGAGGAAAGGCGAAGGCTCGAGGAGACGTCCAGGGTCTGGAACCGCGCGGTCTGCTGTCTCGCTTGGGGGGCTTGCGAACGGCGAGGCGTTTGTTCGCATGCGGCGCCACCCGTTGGGCCAAAACAGGGAGGGGGTTTGCGCAGGTCAGGCTAAAGTGTGAAAGGTTCGAAAGAGGCCGAGAGCGCTTGAGCAGTCCGGCGGGCGGTCCATGAACTCGTGTGAGATGCAGGTGCTAGACGCTAGTTGTCGAATTTGCGTTTGAGCAGCGCGCGTAGAGCTGCGTAGAGTTGATCGACGGGTGGCCGAGGACGCCGGAGATCGCGCGCGGTACGCGTATGGAGATTTGGTGAAACCTAATGGCACACACGGAAAGCTGGTGAGCAAATGCACAAAGAAGGATCAAATCTGGACATGTACAGCGACGTGCTCCGCTGGCGCATTACGTGACGCTTTCAATGAGTTGTGACGTCGCGCAACATTGCAACCCAACTCTTGCTGTAAAGTCGTTGCGAGCGTACGTACGCCTTCCGCGATCGTGAACACGGCAGAGCCAGGCTGCAGGAGATTCAATCGCACCGGTGAAAAAAAGTGGCAGCTGGTCGGGCTCGGGCTCGGGATCACCGCAGTGCGAGCTGAAGCGTCAGCGCTTCAGCACCGATGACGTAGCAGAGAGCCGCCCATCGTCGCCGCCAGGCCGGGTAGAAGCGCCCGCGATTTGCATCCCCCCCAATCTCGCTCCTCCCTCGGCTCCTTTTTCTGGTACCGATCTCTACGCATCCAGATTTATTAGCCGGCCCCGGCGCCTGGATCCGTGCGTCTCTCCTAGTACGGAAACGTGGACGACAAACCGGGTGAGCTCGTCGACGGACCGCGCGGGGGACGGGGATGAAACAACGGAGGGCACGCCGGACGTTCGCCGTGCGCGGGTGACGGGTCTTCTCCCGCGCGCGCTGCGGGTCGACCGCCCTCGGCGCGGGTCCTCGACCCGGACGATGTAGATATCGGCACGGGATCTCTCCCGCCTCGCACCCCAAGCAGAGGTCCCGTCGGTGCGGAAGAACGCCTGCGCGTGCGCCCGTCCCCACTGTCGGGCGCGTGCGCTGCGCAAGGTGCGCCTTCAAACCGTCGTTCCCCCTCAGTCACCACCCCGGTCGCGTGCAGAGGGCGCAGAGCGGCCCAGGTCTAGACTCTCTTCTTGCGCACTAGTCTCGCCAGACATACAGTTCCAAACCCAGCCAACGTTATCAGTGCGCTACAGAAGAGAACAGGACCCGAGTCCGGACAGATCCCATCGCCGGTCTATGCACACGCTGTCTCCGCACGTCCAACCTTGCCGCGGCTGGCCACGGGCAGGTCGATCTTCCGGCCTCGCACGCTGCGTCTCCGTTCAGAGCTCTGCTCTCCGTCCCACTTACGTGCTCGTTCGTCCACCAATCAATCGACTTGTACTGCACAGGCCCACAGGTTTCGCGAGCCCCGGGTCCAGTGCGCGTCCTCCCTCCACGCCCATCTCACCTGCCTCGGTCGGCCTCGGTCGGTGTCAAAACTCAGGCCGTGGTCCACGGCCCGCGCTTTCCTCGACTCCTCCAACCTCACCCTGCATCCACCCAACCTTCGCGCCCCACGCTCCGGTGCTCCGTGCGGGCTCTCCGCGGAGACCGCAACTCAGGCTAGTCCGCGACGGTGCTACCGCCCGCAACAGAATGACAACTCGGGCCCTCGTCTCGCGCAGCGTTCAGGTTCACAAAGTCAATGCCATGCGGGCGCCCCGAGATTCGACCCTCCGGCCTGTTCCGCGCGCCGAGCTACTGTAGCAGCAAGCACCTTGCGCCGATTCACGGCTCGCCCACATGCTGCTAGCAGCCGGCCAGCCAGCTAGCTCGCTCGCCAATAACGCAATACCCAATCACTGCCCGGCCACCCGGCCTCTTGCGCACGGCCCGCCTCCTGCGGAATCGCACTCCTTCGCCCAACGCTAGCGCGCGCCGTGTCCGCCGAAGCAGACCCTCGCGCGCACCCCCACCGCTGTATGCAGCCCCTTCTGGCCCGCGCACAGCGTCGCCTTCTTCCCGCTCCCGCGCGGGCTTCGACGTTTCAACGCACGACCGCCGCCGGGCCCCGCGTCCTTCGAATTCGAACGCCCCCCTTCTCCCGCCGCGCTCGCCCCACGCCGCCACCCCGACTGCTGGGGGCCCTGCCCGGGGCGGTCGCCGCTCAGACGCAGGGGCCCCGTATGTCAGATGCGTGCTCGGCGGACGGCGCGCGGTGCGCTCGCGTTTTTGTCGTTTGGGTTGCGGCCGCCCTGAGCTAACGCGAGCGTGTGGTCGCTCAGGACGGGCGGACTGTGTTGCGCGCGCGCACGCGTGTCGCCCGCGCAGCGCATGTCCTCGGGCCTCGGTGTCTGGGGCAGCTGGCGCATTCCGTGCTCCGCCGTTTGCCCCTCAAGCTCATGGTCTCATGGCCTCAAGGTCTCAAAGCCTCACCCTCGACTGGCGTGGCCGTCGATCTTCCAGTGCCCCTGGGCGGTCGAGGTCGAGGCAAGGCACGCCCGTTTGTCTTCTGTCGTCGGCCAACGCCATTCGCCATCAGCCCTCTCTGCCCTGTGGACGACGGGTCGAAGACATCGCACGCCCCGATCGCCCTCCTCCGCGCCGCCCCGCGCTCCCGATGCTAGTGTTAGTGTCGCTGTAGAAGCACCGACCCATGCTCTCCGCGTCTTGTCCACCGCTCCCGCACTCCCGTCACCGGCTTCAGCGCGAGGGGGCAGATTGGCAGGCACACCCCGGCGCGCCTCGCCCCGCGCCCCCACCCTGGTCCCTTTCAGCTCCGCGCGTGCCGCTCCAAATGGACCACGGCTCCGCTAGAACCTGCGGACGGACGGCAGGGACGAGCGGGCGTGCGGTCAGGCTCCGCCCCGAACTTCCAACTCATTCAGAGTTCTCGACGCTGGCGATGGCTGCAGTACGCAGGCTTCCCGATCCCTGACTCCCGAAGTCCGAGCGTGCTCGCTCACCTGCCCGATTGGGAGCACCTTGTGTGCGCCCCTGGTCCTGCTGCGTACGTCCGTCCGCGTGCCTGGTCCTCGCTCAACGTCAACTCAGCCCAGGTCAGCAGCGAGCGACGAGGGGTGATGAGCGCCGCGCCCGAAAGCCCAGCACGACGGTTTATCGCCGCACGATCTCCCCGCGCGCGCTGGGCGCCGAGCGCTGAGCAATCGCCAACCTTGCAATTACGGCCTCGCGCCTCGGTGCGCCTCCCGCCCTCGCACCAGGGCCTTCTCGAGCCCGCTCTGCCACGACGGGCGCAGCGGTCGATATTCAATCAATATTCAATGTCGCGTCCGCAGCCGCGCCCGTGGGCTGGGACGCGCCCGACTGCGCGGTGCGCTAGAACCCTTCTGTAGGTTTGCTCTAGGTGCTCCGACCGCTGGGGGGTCGGCTTGTACGCTGTCTGTCTGTCTGTCTGTCTGCCCGAGGCTCCGTCCTGCTGGCTCGGACCCCACACCCCTCCCGCGTCGACGACGATGATGATGATGGCGCGCCGCGCGCGCGCGACTTTGTGCCACCACGTTGCGGGCACGCGTGGCTGACAGCGCGGGCGATCGGCGGGTGCGGTTCGGTGGTCGTGGGGCCGGCCACGCGCACGGGGCCGTTAGCACGCCAGACGTGCGTACTTGCGGACGGATGGCCGGACGGCTGCGTTCGCACGGCTTCGACGCCCTCGATCGCTCGAGGTCGATCACAGCAGCAGCTGCTGCTGCTGCCGCTGCTGTGCGTGGATGTCGGCATCCAGCCCTCGTCTCGTCGCTATGGGCGAGCGAGCTCTCGTCGGAGCTCGTGAGTTCGTGTTCGTGTTCGTGTTCGTGTTCGTGTTCATATCTACGTGCCCCGTTCAGGCCTCAGCAGCAGTAACGCACCCGTACACATACAGTACTCACCCTCCTCCGTGCGCTCCCGCTCCCCGCCCGAGACCGAAATGAGCTCCTTCCCGCGCCCGTCTCGACGTGCGCACGCTCCCCCGCGTCGGTGCGCCCCCCACTGCCGCCTTCGAAGGGCACTCGTCCGTACTGGCTCCGACGGCGCAGAGCGCACCGGCGTTCCGCCGGCGCGCTTCTGCCGCGCCTTCTTTCCACCACATCGACCCTCGCATCACGCGCCCGGCCTTCTCGCGCGAGATCGAGAAGGAGAAGCCGGATGCGGAAGTCGGTGCTTGAATTGCGAGAGCGAGCTCTGCCAGCGGAGGCCCCTGCGAGAGAGACGCAGGGCGCGGATCGTACGTACTACGTACGAACCCGGTCTCGCGAGGCTCGAGAGCGTGCCGGGTGCCCCGGGCCTACTATTGCCACCGAGGGTGGTGGTGTGCGCACGCACCGCGGGAGAGCGAGGGATGGGCACGATTGCAGCTCTCGCGCCCGATGTGCGTTGCATACAGATCGACGGATTGTGGTCGCCGCGACTCGTACGCGAGACAAAGGGAACGACACCACCCACCACGCTCGCGGGCAGCAGCAGCGCATGGGCTTCCGATCGCACGCACCATCGGAAATCTCAGAGTCCGGACAGCGACGACGACGATGACGACGACGACGGTCCATATGCGAGTCCGACAGCTGGGTGCCGCGCCAGTCGCTCAATCTCAATCACTGAACGGCGAAGCGGTCTCGGTCATGTGATCCTCGCGGGCGCGGGCGCGGGGCCAAGGGCCGGGGGGCCCGGCAGGGCGGGTGACGAGACGCGTGAAGGAGTGGTGGATCGTGCCCAGAGCGTGATCACACGGGTCGTGTAAGTACGTGCGGGCGTTGCCGGGCCGAGCCGTTGGTCAATGGTTATGCATTTATGTAGCGCTGCCGGGGGCATTGCGTGCGTGCGCGCGCGCGCGTTGGTGTCAACTCTCTACGTTAATGAGGGTGGGACTCTGTCTGGATGCATTAAGGGAGGGCGATGGGAGCGCGGAGACGGGATTGGGAATCAGAGGCCCGGGAGAAGCCCATGGCCAGTGGCCGCCCACGTCTCGAGACTCTAGATGCGTGATGGCGGTCGACGCTGCGGTTATCGCAAGTGCACCCGCACGTGCGCCGCGAGAGAGCGGCTTCTTTGCTCTCCCGCGAGTCGCGGCCAGCGAGTGCGGCTCCTCGAGGCCTCCCGTGCTCCAGTGCTCTGGCGGGCGCGGGAGGGAGGGAGGCCGGAGAGGAAGGCCGGAGGGGGGCACCGGGCCCGGCCGGGGGACGCCGCGCGGCGGGGGCGAGGGAGCCATGGGACGCTGGGCGCAGAAGGGCAAGAACGCGCGACGCGCCCCCTTCGGCCGGAGAAGCTGGTGCAATATAGCCGCATATGTCCTGCCCGTCACTCACGCCCGCTCGCGCGCGAGGACGCGTCGGGGGTGCGGGCTGCACGCCTCGAGCCGTGTGGGTTGGTTTCACCGCACCGCACGGCTCGTTTTCTTTCGTCTCGCCGTGCGTTTGGGACGTCTGCGCTGGGGAGGGAGACGGAGCCCGTGGACGCCGACGCGGCGGGGCGCCATGACTAACGGAGCCGAATAGGTGGTGATGGCGCGTCGGCGGCGGCGGCGCGGCTGGCGCAAGACAATCAGACATTTAATTGTGCGGCGGGTCGGGGCTCGTCTGCGTGCACTAGCTGAGTATCCCTTCTGGCTCGTCGACGAGAGTGAGATGGCGGAAGCGGGCCGTGGAGTTGTCCCGAGTGCGGAGAAACGAGAGGGCGTGTATCGAGCAGGGCTACCTATCTACCCCGCTGCCTCTCACACCTGCCCCGCGGTAGCCAAGTGCTCCCAGGCGGACCATGTGCACCACGAGAGAGCCGCAGGCACGTACGTACGCCAATGCGTACCTGCCGGGCGAAGAGGTCCCAGACGGTCTCCCGTTCGCTCGGCGAACCATCTGGTAACCCACGCGCCACGGTCCACCAGCCGCTCGCTACCTACCGGCATACTCCCGACGTCCGTCCCAACGCAGGCACAAGACCTTTTCTATTCGCTCGGCCACCAGCCAGTCGATCGAGCCCCCCCCTTCCGGCCGCGCTCGGCGCGAACTCACCGAGCCCCATGCGCAGGTAACGCGAGTTGTGCGGCACGGGCCGAGGCGCAGGCGGCGGTGTGTTTGGGTTTGGACCGCGAGGGAGATCGTCGTGTCCAGACGCGGCTGGCTCGAGCCCGCGGGCGATCCACGTTCCCCACGAATCGCCGGTATCTTGGAGCAGAGATGGGCCGGGACTGAGCGAGATGCCAAGGCAGGCTAGTCGCCACCGTGGCGTTGAAGGTCCGAGTAGTCGAGCGATGCCGGTGTGGGGGGACTTGTGTGAGAGAGAGCGCGGCGGCGTGTGGGGTTAGGGCACGGGTCGTACCATGGATGCCGGGCTCGAATTTGTTAATTATGGAGTAGTTTGCTTAGGATGCCGGTGACGGTGCCTGTAGGGGGCATCTATCTCGTCGTCTCCGTCGCGGCCGAGACGCCGACATGTCGCGCACGGTGTGAGGGCGCGGAGCAGGCGCAGTAGAAAGCGTTCACTCACTGTTTGGAGAAAACCCAGCGCCGCATTCCAAGTCAACCACCTCGGCACGTCCAGTGTCGTCTCCAGATCCGCAACATGGAAAATTCAAGCGTCAGGATCTCGTACGAGCGGAACCCGTCCTTCTCACCTCCAGGAGAGCGCACGACCGAGCCCTCGTCAGATCCCCTGCGGGACCCGACGCCGGCGGGCCCGCATCGACCCTCTCGCACGCGGCCGTCCACCCAAGGTATGCGCGTTCCGTGCTTTGGTGTGCTCTTGAAGCGTCGGAGAGCCTGGAGGCTGCCGTAGCGGAGGGCTTCGCGGCACCGTTAAGCCCGCGGTGACGAAAGCAACGGGCTCCGGGAGCTGCCCGGGACGGCGCGGGATCGACGCCCGCTCGAGGTCTTGTCGCGCTTGATCCGGTGCGCCATCTTTGCCTTCGTCGACGGGCGAAGACGGCGGCGCGGGCATGGATGTCTGGACGATGCGTCGGGCGAGCGTCGAGGGCGAGATTGATGACGTCGTTTGGCGGCGGCGGAGGCTGCGGTAGTTTTGAGCTGGCGGAAGCATGGTACGATCGTGCTCTGAGTATATTCGTCTGGAGCCTCTCGGGCCGCTGTACGCTCGGAGTCGACGAGCGGCACTGGGGGACAGAGGGCGGGGACTCGGAGGGCGGGACGTGATGCTTGGAACTCGACACCCACGGGCGTCTGTGGGCGGGGCGAGCTGGGCGCGTGCGCGGCGATGCGACCACGGTTGTGATGCTCGGGGTCCGGCGCGCTGGTGTGGCGTGGCGCAGCTGACGTTGATGGTGGCGGAGGACTCGAAGGCCGAAAAGATGGAGTGAGGGATGGACGAGATCTTGAGAGACGGTGGCGCGTTGGCGGCGTGGGCGAGGAAGTTGATGGATGACTCCGAGCGTCGGGCGAAAAGGACGGCAGCGACATGAAGGCGGCGGAAAGGCAGCATACGGACAGGGTTGGTCGCCGAACGCACTTTAGGCTGGCGATCCGGGAGATGCGGACGACGGGAGGCGGGCGACGACGGTTTGGGACGTCAACACGGGGCGCTGAAAACTTCGCCGGCGGGACGGTCGTGAGGGTCTGGGTCCGCGGCGTGCCCGTCGTCGGCGGGCGGGCGACGCAGCCGAGAGTGCGAAAATGAAAAGGTTTGATGCCTTCAATTGTGCATAATGAGCGAGTGGGCGTGCATGTATGGAGCGGGGTGGGTTAAGCTTGAGGGATGGTTAATGGACGTCGGCCGGCACATACTTACCTCGACGGCGCGTCGCAGGCCGGCCGCGAACCGTGTGAGACTGCTCTTCTAGCACCTCCCGCTCCGAATGAATGTCGTCCCTCGAGTCCCGCGGACGAGGCCAGGGCACAGACATGAGATGAATGTGTGTGTATGCGGAGGGTGCGATGTTCCGGGCTTGGCGTGTCGCCCACCCACGCTGTCGTCTCCTCGTGAGCGGCGGAGGGCGCTGAGGGTGGGTGAAGGGGCTGCTCACCTGTCGTTATCGACCAATGGCCTCTCGCACGCGCGCGCTGGAGGGAGGAGTGAGGATGGGAGCGCGAAGGTGGACCGCTCGGGTACTTTCATGCTTCATGTCGGTGTTCGGGCGGGGGAACGCGAAGGCGCAGAGGTGCTCTGAAGGCCGAAGGTGACGGTACGAGAGGAAGGAGGGGAGGAGCAGGGGGCGTGCCGAACAGATGCAGAGTGGGAGGCCCCGGCACTAGTACTGGGCGCGATCTGATAGCGTGCTCGTCGTCGTCCCGGGCCTCTCGGGCGGGCCCCGGCGACGGTAGCTGGGCGGCGGCGGCCACAGGGCCCGAGGGCGTTCGTCAGAACGGCCAGAGGTTCAAGTTTGGGGGAGAGCAGAGAACATACGTGGGAGGTCGAGGCCGAGGGGGTTCTGCGTGTGAATGCGACCGGGCGTCCATGCACCCGTCGCATCTGGCACGAAGAAGGGATGGCCGATGTTGGTCCTCCGTCGATCCTCGACGCTGCCTTGCCATCCCTCGCGAATTCGCAGTCGTGACTCGTGGTTCCCAATGAGATCGACCTCCGCCCCGCCGCGATCCGATGGACATATGCTGGATACGGCTCGTGCATCACGATCATGCTCTAGTGCGCACTAGTGGACCGACGCAGCAACCGCGTGCGGAACGCGAGATCCCCGCTGTTCGTACGCTGCCCTTGTAACTGTTGGGATGCCTGTACGTGCGACCGAAGGAGCCCAAGGCACGTCTTCGGCCAACCCTGGGGTGGTATACAATGCGTGCCGTACCTCACCGAGAACGCCATGTCTGGGGAGAGACGTGGGCGGGTGCGTTCGGCGTCAGAAGCCATCGCGTGGCAAGCCTATCACGGGTGCACGGGCGGGAGCCTGAGGGCCGGGAGAACGATGTCTCTTTAGGGACGTAATGGGGCGAGGGATTAAGATTATTGAAAGTTGGCCGCGGGCGCTGTTGCCCGCAATATGTCAGAATAAGTCTCGGCCTGTTCTGTCCAGAAGGCTCGGGCGGCGCGGGATCAATGAGCGTGAGCGCAGGGCTCGGCTAGCGCACGGCGGGATTGGTGGGCGGCGGGGAGCGTCTGGCTCTGGATTCGCATTCACTTGTGCGAACGTAAGACGAGGCGGTCGTGCGGGGCGAAGCGGTGGGCGAGCGATGTGTAATGCCAGCTCATATTTGCCGTCTCCCGCCGGCCACAGGCGACGTCACGACGGTGGGCGACGTTCTGGGTGACCGAGTCGATCAACGCAGGACGCACCTCACCTCGGATGGCAGACCCCGATGCGTTGCACAACTTGGAGCCTCACAGATGCTGCGGGGCGGGCGGCAGCGAGAACGGATGTGGGAGCAGAGGCGGGAGGAGCGTAAGACGTAAAACAGGCATTGCGCTGTGCGTGGTTTGATGGTGGCGCTGAGATCTCTGGGCGTCTGCTATAAACCTACGCGTGGGGAGCGCCTATCACCGCGCGCGTGCGAGAAGGCGCCGCGGTCTCTGCCCGTCTTGTCGACGATCGCCCACCACCGCGCACGGCGTCCGGAAGCGTCGAGCGCAACGTCATCGCGCACTACGTCGTGCTCTACCAACCGCCGCGCCTCTGCCCGTGCGTCCCCGTCTTCGTCCCCGTCCTCGCCGTTCACCCCGTTCGTCATCTCCATCAAGCCGCGAAACCGCGCTCGATCGCGTACCTTCACATCGTGAGGTTTTCTCTGAGCCGCGGCCCGGTCTCCTTCACGGACCCACTGGCCCCCACCCCGGAGCATTTGCGGATCTGAAATCGCGTCGTCCGCCTTTTGCACATCGCACGAGATCTGCGCAGTGCATCTCGCCACCGTGGACCTCGCCCACGGCCAAGGTGCTCCCCTCTGCCTTTCGCTGCCCGACAACTCGTGCCGCGGCCCGCCCTTCCCGCCCCTTCGCATCACGTCGTCGTTCCCTCCACGCTAGCTGCGCCCGGCGAATCCCCGGACGAACGGCGGGCGTGATGCGCTCGCTGATCGAGCCGCGTTCGCCCGCCTCTAGTAATACGGGAGCCCGCCGGCGCGCGCAGCGTCCGTCGCCGACGCGGCGTTTGCGGTGTGCGGTGGCAACGCGACGACGAGGCCCCTTGAGGCGGCCGTTTCAGCCCTGCATCTATCTCGCCGTGCGCCCTGGGCGTCATGAGATGCTCAGTTCGCGACGTTGGGATTCGGGCGGTTGACCGCGCCCGGGTGGGCTCGCTCCCGACGTCGATCCCTCCCCCCTCACGCTGTGCGCGTTGATGGCGCGCGACCTGCCCACCCCCTTGGATTGGGTGGATGAGTCAACGTTGGACGGCGGGCGTCGTGGCCGAGGAGCTGGTGCTCGCCGCTTACTCGATGCTGACGTCTTCCACTCCCGCAGCCCCGTCTCTGTCGCACTCGAAGCGAGAGCCCGGTCGGGCGGCGTCGAGCACGCCCTACTCTAACAGTGATCGGACGGTGGCCCTGCCGCGGCTGATGCGCATTTATCACCTTAGCAGATCACGCCCCCAGGCTCCCACGGCGCGAGCCCGTCCGCCGTTCGCGTTCGCGTTCGCGCCGGTGCGCAGAGACTCCGGCGCTCAAGCGCAAGCAGCGCGGCGTCGTGGGCGCTGCCGCCGGGTGTCTCCCGATCGCCTCCGAGCACCCGGTTCCGGCCCCTACTGGGCAAAAGCCCGTGCGCATCGGCCAAGGCGCGACTCAGCCCCCGTGTCCCCCGGCCTCGGCGTGCCCTAGAGCGCGCGCGCGAGCGTGAAGCTGTCCTGGCTCCTCAGCCTCTCCCAAGCCCTTGCGCTCCCGAGCCCCGACGGCGACTCCGCTGCGCTGAGCTCGACGTTCCTCCCATTCTCCGCGGGCTCCGCTCCAGCACCCGCCCCCGCCAGCGCGCGCGGGGGGGATTCTAGTGTGCCCCGTGCACCCGTGGCGCGCGCGCGGGGCAACGGTATCTGCACTCAATCTGCGCGCCCTCGCGCCGCGAAACCAGGACAATGTCGGCGTCGGTCGTCTGAACGCGGCGAAATACGTTGGCTCAGGGCGCTGGGTGTTCGAGCCGCAACTTACGCACTCTTCCTTGTACATGCGTATGTATGTACGCGGATGAAAGCGCGCGAGCGCGCGGCGGAGAAACTCTGTTCGGTGCGTCGCGCCTGCCGCGGCACTTTTTGCGCCCCTCCCCCTCACGCTTCTCTCGTCGCGCCCCTCGACTTCGCGCAGAGACTATTACTTGCCTACCCTGGCGTCGCGCCAATCCCGCACTCGCCCCCCTCCGCGCGCGGCCACGTCGAACGCGCACCCTGAGACCCGAGCCTGAGCCCCAAACACTTCCCCCGATGCCCTGCGCGATTCAGGGTCCCGTGCCGAGCGTGCGCTCGCGCGATCCAGAACGTCGCGGTTCTCCGTCCTCGGTGCTCGCGCGACGACCCTGCGGCATACTTTCGCCTCCGAAGCAATGCGATTAATGCGATGCGCAGCGCGCGCGCACCCCCGCCCGCTCCCGCCGAGCGTCATCGATTCATCGCCCCCCCCGCCCCATCCGCAAGTGAACGCGTCGACCGGGGATTGCGCGCACAGGGCCCGGGCGCGGGTGGTGGCAGCCCTGCGGGCGTAAGCTGTGTGTCAAACCGCGCCCCGGCGCGCGAGGGCGACGGCGGGTGCGCCGCGGGCGAACGTAGGCGGCGTCGGGCCCGCCGCGAACGTGAAGCGTGGACGGCGCACTGGTGTGTTTTTTTTGACTTTTGGCGTGGCGGGCGTATGTACGTGATGCATGTGGACGGGGACGGGAGGGATGGGATGACGCAGAAGCGGTGCAGGAGGGGATTTTTGGGAACCGCCCGAGGGGACGGATGAAACGAAACGGCGCGACGGGAGCGGGACGGGATCGTGGGCGGGCGCACCATGGGTCGTGCGCCACTCGCGATTTGGGTCGAGCGGGGCGCGGGCGTGCCGCCGCGTCGGGGGTGTGGTGAGCGGTGAGCGGTGCGGAGGTGGCCTGGACGGCGTCGTGCGATCGGCAGTGCGTAGGCCGCGGGCGGGCGGGCGCACCGAGGCGCGTGCGGTGGCGGTCAGTGGTGGTGGTGGTACCTGGGGCTCTTGCTGGGCGCGATGAGCAGAACGAGGAGCGGCCGGAGAGATGGCGGAGGGGCGCACTAGAGGGCGGTGGACGGCGCGCGCCTGGAGGGTTTGGCGCGGCGCGTGGACGAGGAGGAGGAGGACGAGGATCTGGGCAGTCTAACGGACACGGGCGTGATGTCGACGCGTGGGTACAAGCGCAGGCGGCGGATTGGCCGTCGACGAGCGGGCCCATGGCGAGGAAGCGTGGGGCCGCAATATCGCACGGATTCGGACGGGGACGAGCGAGCGCGGGCGAACAGCGCTGCAGACCGCACGCCTCGCTCGATAAGGCGTGGCCGGGCTCCCAGGGACGACCTCCGCGGACGAGGGCGGACGGGACGGGCCCGACCGTCCGGCCTGCGCACGGACGCGATGCCCACCGCGGCGCCACCCGCGCAATATGCGTCCTCCTCGCGCGCAGCGGGGCGGGGCGCGCGCGCTGCTCGGCCGCACGCCGTCCCCTGCGCTTGCGGTGAACAAGGGAGGGCGGGGGTCGCTTTCGCCGGTGTCGGTGTCCTAGCGTGGGCTCTGCGCGTGACCGCCAGGGTTTCCCCGGGCGCGCTGTGCACTCGCCGTCGCTGCTGGGGCTAGGAGGTGCGCAATCTTCGCTTGTCGTTGGCGTGGGCGGAGCTTGGGCTGTGGCACTGGTGCTTTGGCTTGCCGATTGCGTGTTTGGGCGGCGGCGGCGGGTGTCCGCGTAGGACACGAGCAGGAGCCGGGGCGGAGGGCCCCCAGAGGAGCGATACGGCGCAGGATCGGCACCACGCGGGCCATACGGGGAGGGCCCGAGGACGACGTGCCGGGGCGGCGCTGGGCCGTCGTTGTGGGGCAGGTCGCTGCTCGATGGGGACCGCGCGCCTCCCGTCCTCGTTGGGCCTCTCCGCGGGGGGAGGGAGGTCGACGGCCCGCTGCCGGGTGGGGCGCTGCTCGGGTCCCCCATCTCGCGCACGCGGGAGGGCTTCGCGCGGCCTCGGACGGAGGCCCCGGTGGAGAGAGGGCGGGCTGGGACTCGACGAAGAGGACGTGGCCGGGGATTGCCAGCAGCCCGGCCAGACGCCGGCATCCGGATTCGCATCCTGGTTTACGGGCGGGCGCTCGCTCGTTTATTAACATCAGGACGAGCCGCCACGCCGGGTCGATCCAATCTGGCGCGCCTATCTGGGGGACCAGCGAATCTCAAGGTCTTGACCGCTTGCCTCTCGCTCGCCCGTTGCGCATATATCGTATATAATCCGTCGTAATCGCTTCGTCCTTCCCCCGCCCTCCCGTCCACACATCCCGTCCCCCGCCCGCCGCCGTCCAGCCCCCGACGCGCCGCGCCCACCATGCCTGTCAACCACCGCGAGAACCTCGCCCAGCACATCCACATCTCCTCCGCCGACGACCTCTCCTACTCCGTCTCCGCCTCCTCCGGCATCAATGACACCATCCAGACCATTGTCACCGGCCGCAAATGCTGGAAGACCATGAAGGGCAAGGGTGAGGTCGTCTGGCCGCCGTACCTCGAGGCCGCGCTTGTCGAAGGTACGTACCACCCTCTCCGCCCCCGCCCTCCCACTCTCCACCCTCCGGCCCGCCTTCCCTTTGCTCCCCATTTGACCCCCTCGTCCCCCAACCAGGCCTCGAAAAATACCAGCCCGTCGAGAGCCGCACCTCCCGCTCGTTCGGCCGCTTTCCCATGCGCAACAAGTTCATCTCGGACTACATTTTCCAGGTCACCGGAAAGCGTCGCACTCCCAAGCAGGTCGGCTCCCGCCTGCAACAGCTCCGCGATACTACCGAGGGCAAGCGCAGTATGTTCCTTTCTCTCACCACCTCGCCTCTCGCTCATGTCCCTTCTTCCCCCAAGTCCTCCAGCAGCTCTCCAGCAGGCATCTCGCCATGATGCAGCCCAAGTCCGCCCTCTCCCAGGCGCGCACCGAGTCTGCGAGTCCCAGGCCGACTACGTCCAGCAGCTCTGCCTCCTCATCTGCCCCTTCCACCTCGGCCGGCTCCACCACGCACCCCCCGCGTGTAGTCCCCAGCGTTGTCTGCATCGACATCCTCCCCGACCCCGGCACGCCCCCTCCTCGCCTCCCGTCGCTCTCTCCCCACTCCTCCTCTCCCATGGCGCCTCCTTCATCCATCGCGAACTTCATTCCCACCCCCACGTCCCCCAACAGCCCATCGTCAGCGATGGGTCTTGGCCTCAACGCCTCGGGACCTCGCGTTCTCCGCCACATCGACCCCACCGTCACCTTCATGTCGCGATCCGCTCTGCAGGCCTTCTCGTGCTTCAAGGTCTCTCCTGTGGGCGCCCCCCTTGATCAGTCGCCTATTCACACGGAGCGCACCGAGCTCGAGTTGCTGTCCAGCAGTTGCATGCCGATGCCGCAGTGGTCGACCGAGATCGAGTGCACCTTCCTCTATCGCACCCAGTTCATTCCCCGCTTCTGGGATTCGCTGTGCAGGACGGCTGGTGAGTCCTCATGCCGCATTTTTGTGTACTGTCACCGACGTCGCTTCATCCAGACCCCGCGAAGTATGTCGTACTTCAAGAGGTCGTACGCATTGGGGCTCCGGAAAATGGCATGCACGCGCCCGAGGACGTGTTGTTGTCGATTGTCTACAAGTTCAACAACGTGTCCATGACGCCTCCTTTGTCTCCTGCGGGCACTACATACTCGCACGAAGCAAGTCGTCCGGGCACTGCGGGCAGTCAGTTCTCGGGCGGGAGCACGGTGAGCCCTCCCTCGGGAGCATGTTAGGGAGTGTGCTCAATCGCTGATCACGATTGCATCTAGCCTGAGCTCAGCTCTGAGCTTGACGAGATGATGATGTTCAACTACCCCCTCGACGTGCCGGTTCCCGCGGTCCACTCGCCTATGCACCCCTCGCCCATGCAACACGGCTCGCTTCATCACGGCCACTCTCTGCATCCCCTTTCGGACATCAAGCCACCGTCGCTTATTCACGCGGACGACGAGGCGTACGCCAGCCTGCCTCCCACGCCCACTTCGCCGTTCGATTTGTCGGCGCCCCATTGGCATCCTGGGCATGCGAACACCCTTGCGCCGCCGCCCCTCGGGTGCGGTAGGGGGATGTACGGCGGCTTCGGGCCCGACGTCGCGATTGCAGGTCAGGGTCAGTACATGAACGTGAGTGTGTTTCTCTTTGACTTGTGACAATGGATGGGGGGCTGACCTTGAGCGGCACTAGAACTTCATGGGACAGTACCCGATGTAAGGCGTCCGCGTCTGCGTCTAGGTTCGAGGCAAGGTCACGCCTCGGAATGCGCCGTGCTTGGCCCTGCCCATTCCAGTGGGCGGTTCGAAGACGGCGGACGCCCCGCTATCAGCGCGGCTGCAACCCGCGGGCCCATATACCCACTATCCGCGCACTTTTCCCGGAGTGGACGCACACTCTCCCTCGTCGATTGGACGGATTGGATGTGACCCGGATCTTGGACCGGGATACTCTAGGTCGGCTCACGAGCCGTAATCGACTCGCTTGCCTGGCCACGCTCGCTCCATATGCCGCTCTTTACCATACCCCTGCGCTATTACCCGACCTCGCCGCTCCTTGCCCCGCGCACCCCCCGTCGTTGTCCCAGGCCGCCTGTCTCTACCACCTTCGTCGCCGCCGGTGTCGGCCGGGACGCGCGCTGCGGCCGCGCGTCCTGGACTCGCCTTGTTGGAACCATGCTTTGGTACGTTACGTTGTCTCGGCATCGGACTGCAGACCCTCGAGACACCATTGCATCGCCAGTGCGCTGTTTTATTACTATCCCGTCCTATATATGGTTCCGGTGCGTTTAGTGTACGTTCACCACGTCTTCTGCTTCTCTCAGCCTCGCCGTTGTCGCTGCTTTCATTGTCGCTTCTTCGCACTGCGCATACTCATCCACATCACCCATCATTCCCATCGTCGTCATCATTGAACCGTCGTCCGTGATCTAGCTGACTACCATACGATTGTGTATACCACCAGACCCTCTCGGCTACCCTCACTGTTTTTAGCCCGCGTTTGTGGTTCTCGGTTCCATCGCGCTCCATGTCTTGCACACAGTTTCATATAGCCGTAACCCTGACATCCTGTAATCCTAAAACTGTCCTGCCCCCGCGTCGTCGTCCATACTCTACAGTACAATACCAATCGATCGCGTCTTCAGCGCCATATCCTGCAACTCTCTCCTCGTGCGATGTGCGAACTTTGATCGTATCCGAAGGGACACGGTGGCTGGAACGGGCGCGATCCCATGGGGGTGCGCACGGCGGGGCCGACGACGCCGCGCCTCGCGGACGGCCTTCGACGTCTACTCGGCCGCGGCGCCGCCCGCGCGCAGAGGCAGCTCCTGCTCTGGTTCCCACTTCCCCGTCCCGCGACCTTCGCCGCGCCCCCCCTCCCCCCGTCCTTACGCGATTCCGCACCCAAGCGCGAGGACGAGGCCGACGATCGACGCACGGCTCCGATCGCGATCGACCGGGCGTGCCACCTGCGCCCTGGCGTGTCGGAACGCGTGGCCTGCGCTCGAACGCCGCGCGATCGTGATCGTCCGCGGCGGGCGCGCTGGGCGAGGTCCCTCCCCGTCTTTTGCTTTCTTTCTCGAGCAGTGTGGGTGAGGCGCGAGCCGGCGGTGGTGGACAAGTCGGCCGGGCGCCGGCCGGGGTGCAACGTTGGGGCGCGCGCCGCCACCGTCCACGGCCTCTCTCGAGATCGCGAGCCAGGGCCAGGGCCCGGGCACCGCGCCGCCCTGGGCTGTACATTGCTCGGGGCGGAGGCAGTCGATTGTGATGGGGGAGCTCGAGGGCGCCGGGCGAGCGTCGGACTGGGCTCGGGCGGATCCGAGTGGGCGACCCCGCACCTCGGGCTGCTCGGTAGGTGGACGAGCCGGCCGACGCACAGGGCGGGGAGGGGGTCAGGTCGAACGAAGGCGGCCGAAGGCTGACGCGGACGTTGAGTCGGGAGCCGCTTCTGTGTTGAGAGCTGGGCCAAAGGTGGGGGGACGCGGCAGCGCAGTGTCGCGTGACCCTGTGGACTGCTTGCGGACGGGTCTGCGGAGTCGTGTCAGCTTGGGCCGGGGCCCGTGGTCTTGATTGGTGGGCCGGGGTGCGAGAGACGCAGTGCGAAGGCCGGGGCCGAGAGGCGATCGACCGTTCGACGCCGAGCGACCGAACGACCGAACGACAGACTCGAAGGACCGAGTCCGCGCGTCGACGGGCTCGTCCGTCGCCCCCGAGGTCCACGGGCCGCAGACCACGGACGGACCGCACAGGCTCGACCTCGAATCCCCGTCCACATACCGCCTATCCTCCATCCTGCGGTGCGGTGGGCGATCGGCGGGGACCGAGCCCGCCCGAGTGGGTGAGCCGTCACCGCGGGGTTCCCGGGATCCAGAATCGGCGCCATATTCCGGGGCACTGCAAGACAGACCGCCCTCGCCCGGTTTGTCCGTGAGGTGGGAGAGGGAAAACCAGAGTTCGTGTAGTAGAACCTCCAGGATAAGGTGCAGCTGCGCCACGTCGCGAGATGGCCCGGAGGTGAACCGTGACCGAGGTCGAGGCGGAGAACGGAGCGTTCGCTCTGGGGGCGCCTCGACTGTGTAGTTTAGAACGACGTCTCCCGGGAGTATTGGTCAGTTTGGATGCCGATTTGTACCTGCGTCGCAGGCCCGGCGGACGACGCAACTGTGACAATCGCGGGGGCGTGTGCGCATCCGGTATTAGCACAGGGCGAACAAAAAACGAACGAAAAGCTCTTGCGCACCCCTGAGGAGTCCGCGGAACGCACGGCTCGATCGCAGGCCGTCGTCCATCTTTCCAGCTCCCTGTTCACCTGTTCAGCTGGTACGCCGCCGTGCCGCTCGGTGCCGTGTGGGTGGCGCGACACCGCTTGCGCGCGAGCCTTGCGCCCTTAATGTGCGCGTCGCGCCACGGCACCGCGGGGGTAAGTATGGATCGAGGACGAGCCGCGGTCATCGAGGTGGATGTGGAGGCCACGTGGCGCGAGCCATCAGCGACTGTCGTCTGGTTTTTGCACAAGGGCTGAGCATTGGTGCCAACAAACTCGGATGTGCTCGGGTGAAGAATGTGGACGCACTACGACTTTGTTTAGCTGACGTGCAATGATCACGGGAAGACCAGGCTTGGGCAGCGCCGACTCATCTTGAGAGCTGGGAACGAGGCTGTGTAGACTTGTGCCGAGAGAGGCGCATGTGATGAGGAGATCGGCGGAGAATTGGCTGAAGCCTGAACCTGACTGGCGCAAAATCGAGAACAGGTGAGCTGGACGGACGGACTCGGCAAGCGCCGGGCATCGATCGCGCCCGGAGGCCGGCGACCCAACCGGCCCGCGCGTTGGGCCCGCCCGGTGGCGGTGGGCCGGTGGCTCAATCCGCGCAAGTCTACGGACAGCCGCCGTCGCGCGGGGTGGAGATAAACGGGCGGTGGCGCGACCAGTACGACCTACAGCGTCCCGCGCGCCGGCGTGTCAGCTCGCGGGAGCGCGCGCGCGCGCGCGTGCGGCGAACAATAGGCAGCGCATCCGGAGTGCGAAGAGCTGAGCGTCCAGTGGGCGCGCCGTGTGCGCATGCGTGCGCGCGAAGCGTTTGGTGATACGATCGTGCCGAGGTGCCCGCGCCAGCTCCATTTTCTCGAGGTTCGCCGAGGAGAGAGTGCTCTCGGGAGCTTCTAGACTACGCGGTGCGGGCGTAGAAGAGCGATGCACCAGTAGTGTACATAAAGATACGTACACAGAAGGAGGGCAGAGCACACCCAGAAATCGCCACGAAGGGGTCGCTGCGGCCTGGAGGGAGGAGGAGCTCGTGGCCGGATGCAGTGCGGGATGAGTGCGTCGTAGAACGCCGGTGTGGTGGCGTAGCCGCCTGAGTCGGTTCGTGAGCGAAGCCAAGTGGCAAGACGATCGTGTCTGCGCCTATCTCATGCAGCTGGAGATGCCAAAGTGACTCGGTGCAGCTACATGGATGTCAAGTGGAGCACCCGCTTTCGTTGGGTCAATTGGATTCACCCAGGGTTGCGATGGGTCATATGTACATGCGAGACTGGAAGAGAGAAGCGCGAAGAGAATGCGCCGGCGGCGGGTAGCCTCGAGGTATCGACGCGCAGCCTGGAAGCGCGAGAAGACGAGAGTCCCACGAAGCTGCTGTGGCCAGAGGGGAAGCGCGAGAACTGCTGGAAGAGGAAGACGCGAGGGCTGTTTGGCAAGTCTGCGGGTGGAGGTCGGGCACAACGACGGGAGAAGCTGCAGCGACGGGATCGCGGAGTGGAGGAACAAGCGTCGGGCGCGCTGTCGCCGTCGTCGTGTCCGCCGGTGAATGACCTTCCTTCCACGCATCCAGAGGTGCTCGAGTGGGTTCCGGACTAATCGGCCGCGAGCATTCGCGCGGTGCTCCCCCGAGGGTCTCCTCAGGGTCTGCCCCCAATATTGGCCTCGCTGGTAATCCGTTGTTAGAGATACCGCGTTGCGTGCGAGGAAGGGTAGGTCGAACCGTTACCGCAGCGCTGCCAGGATTTAGTATCTGGTATGGCTATTATTTGGGCAATTTGTACTAGGACAGGTTACTGTGACGGCGCAAGGATAGGCGACTGGTCTCTATCTTCAGAAAATCGGGACCCACGCATGAGGGCTGTTCTATCTGTGTTGGGACAGTGGAGCAGAAGATGTGAGCCAGAGTTCCAGAAAGGCGTTGACCTTCTAGTGGACGTGAGGCTTGGGCGGACTATCTGCGCGGAGAACATGAGTGCCGGTATCGCGCCTATTTTCTAGCTGGTCAGTATGTGCTCATTGTCGCCGAGACCGAGCCAGACCTACCGCGAGGAGACGAAGAATACAGCATAGAAAGCGGATAACCGGACCCGATAATGCTTCCCAGACCTTTGTTGTGCTTTTCTGTCGCATTGCGGGCTATAACAAATCACTACTAATCATTGTAAGAGCCCCGCTGCGCCCCACGAGGTTGCGTGTAAAATGAGCAAGAGTCTGCGCAAAAGGAAACCGAAGGAGAGGCACACTAGGCAATTGATTGCGGGCACGAGGCGTGATTCGCCCATCTGCACATGGCAACTCTATCAGTTTATGTATCCCGAACTGGATCTCGCCACGCACCTTTTCCCGACTAAAGCTCGCTTGAGATGTTCGGCGGGCGCAGAACTTTCCGTCGCGTCCAAATTTACGCGCGCAGCCCTATAGAGCATTGCGCATTGGGCTCAAGGGCGCCCGCCCACCAACGTCGCGAGGCGAAATGATCCGCGTACGAAACGCCGCACCCACGCGCACCCAAGTATGGATAGAGTTGATTTGGGGACCTGAAGAGAAGCCTATCCCCCCGCAAATATGGATAGATGGATCACGAGAGAGTGCAGGCGTCGTGCAGGCGTGCTTAGGAATACGAAAAGGAGAACAAAACGGTATGTCGGCGCGCGCAGTGCGTATGGGGAGCTCGCCTACACCCAGAGTTTCACCGGGTTCAGCCCCGAGGCCGCCCGAAGCCGCTCGTGCGCCGGGTGGGCGGCGAGAGCGGATGGCTGGAGCGGCTGATGCGGCGGATGGGGGGCGCGGGAGGCGTACTTGGCACTCTCGTGCACATAGGAAGCTATGAGGTGGAAGCAGCGGGACGGAACTTTCGCTGAACGAGCGACCGTAGGATTAACGGACATGTCAGTTCGGCGAGAGTGGGGCAAGAAGTGGGCACGTACCGGGAGTCAACCGGGTCTCAGCGGAGGCCAGAAGGTGACAGAGTTCGAGCTTGGTCACAGAGTTTGGCTTTTGGCTCATGTTCCCACAAATGCAGGACGCAGGCGATGTTCGAGGCTGCCGAATCCGGAATCACCGTTAGGCGCGTCCCGAGGGTCTTCTCCCGTGAAGACCGCGCCGGACTTCCGGAGCGTGCATACGCTCACGCGTCATACGAAGGTTTAGACCATCATCTGGAAAAGGCGCCAGCTGGAGCGTTCGTTCCCCATCACAGTTTCATCTGGAGGTAGGATACCAGGTCGGGAGCCAGTCGCGTTTTAAGCGTGTCGTGGCCTGGCCAGAGCCAGAGCCAAAGTGCGGGGTCAGCTGCGCTTCGAGTGCCGGTGCTTTGAATAGACCGATTGCCCCCGCGAACAAGCCCGTGCGTACAACGTTCATTCCGGGACACCAGTATGGCAGCCAGAAACCTTCAGCCGCACGCGCAGGGTGAGAGCGCGAGAAGCGAGCCTGGAAACGAACGTGATTCCGGGGGCCACGGGGAGGAAGGAGGTTTCTCAAAATGAAGGCGAGTACAAGGAATATTAATGATGGAACACTCACGAGGCAGAGCGCTCAGTCTGGTTAGCCAAGATTGTGTGCCATCCAGGAAAAGCCGGTGCGGGACCGACCCCGGTCCCAATAACCGCGCGTCCCGATATCCGATAAGGCAGGGCTGTAAGAAAGCACCGCGAGGAGCGCGGAGATGAGAGACGATCCCAGGAGATACGGAACGCCGGGCGGTCTTAGGATCGTGTTGTGAAGACCATGCCATTGGCGCCGCTAACAAGCGACAGGTGCACATTAAGGTTCGCAGCGGGCGTTGCGAGGGACCGGGGAGATCCACGTCCGGGGCTCAGTGTTACGCCTCCGAAGAGACAATCGAGCGACTGCTTTTAGATGCGCTCGCACCTGGGGACTTGTTGTCTCCCCGGGGACTTGATGATTGCGTGTGAATGATGGTGCTTGTGCATGAGGCTTGTGCCGTCACCGTTGTGCCTAGGAGTGGGAGGGAAAATAGAAACAGACGATAGTGGTGTGAGGACGAGGAGCGCAGGGGGAGAGCGCGAGTCGCGACGCGCGTCCCGCCTGCCTGGATTCGTCGCAAAACGCCACGTGGGTTCTGAACGACCGTCTTGGCGCCAACGCTCTCGCTTGCCCACGTCGACCATCACCTCCAATGTCTTTGAAGCAATGGGGTGCTAAAAAGCGTCCGTCATAGGGTCTCCAAAGTCGTAACAAGGTGATTTCCGAACTCTGCGCAGACACAGTCACAACGTATACCCCAGTTTGCGACCATTGTACAACCAATACCGGATACTGATAGCCACAGAAGAGATGAAGTACCTTCCTCGCACGGACTTGAGACTCTGTGATATTCTTCGGAAGCGTCTCTACTTCACATTCCACCCTCAGATCACGACAACCTCCTGTTTACTTTCGGTCCCGAAAAAGGCCACTTTGTAGCGGGGATCAAGTTCATCAACTCTTTCCGCTGTAGGAAGTAGTATCCTGTTGTTGCTTCCCTTGAGAGGGTTGATGCGAGTGTCCCAGAGACCCATGTCATTGTTGAATTAGCCATGGTAAAGGTTCCTGGGCCACTTCGAGTACAGCTCATCGAAATGAGCAGCCTTGATCATATAGCAAGGGATAATGCCATTTAGCCCCTTTAGCGCATTGTCATTGTTCACGCACGAGAGCCATTGGATTCGCATCTGACATCCAGACCAGTTTTGAGAGGCTGTCGCCATGCGCACCATCGAGACCGGGTTTCGGCGGAGCGTGGGACCCTGGGCTCAATGCCGCCCCAGTGGAACGGCGAGGATGGAGCACCATCTTGCGGAGGCGCCAGGCTAGGAACTGTTGAATTGTCAGAGGAGAGGGTGTGAGGTGCGCGAAGCGGCAGTGTGGCCCGTTGAACTGGGGAAGACGAGGATAAAGACCGGGAGATGATGCCGACGATGTAGGCGAGCACGGTGAACGATGTCGATGCAGCGATATGGCCCGGACTCGGTGCTGGTGTTATGGAGAACATGCGATGCACTGTGCAGGCCTTTTCCCGTGAGGTCTTTCGATGACTGTCGTGTCTTGGGTCTGGTAACGATCACAGCGTGTTGTCGAACATATCGCTCTCGCACTAGGGCAACAGCGGTGTTAAATAGCGCACGACCCCGATACGACACTCGAACTAACCCAGGTATTCAACATGATTCGAGGGAATAGATATACACCGTGCAATCCGCCGCTCAGCTCCCGTACGAAACTGCACTGTAGCCGCTGTGCCCAGGTACAACCCCAAACGCGGGTCCGCCCTTGCCGAACATCTTGCGCAGATCGCCTGCGAGTGCGTCAGGCTGCTCAAACGCGGCAAAGTGGCCACCTTTGGGCTGCCGAGACTCGAAGACGACTTTGCCGAGCAAGGACGTCCATCTGTTGAGAGGTATAGGGTTAGGGTCGGCAGTCGGGGGTAAAAGGACGGGGCGATAATGGATACGCACGATTCGGGGAGACGAAGGGGATCACGCGGGAAGTAGGAGGCACCGAGGGGAACAGTCGTGCGCTTCGTTCCCTTGAAGGGGTCCCCTTGGGCAAGGCCTCCATTGACTTCGTAGTAGATGCGACTGCAGCCAGCGGGACCTGCGCGCGAGAACCAGTACAGCGAAACCCACTCGCAGACTATAAAGAGACGCAATGAGCGTCTTGTCCTCTGGATGGGGAGAGTGCGGGCCGGGAGCAATGAGAGCACAAGACACACCTTCATCGTCGGTCCACGGGTAGTCGTCCACCGCCACCGCGAGCTTCTCATATATCCAGCCAAGGAGTCCGACCGGAGAGTCCGTGAGCGAGTAACCAATCGTCTGCGGTTTCGTGGACTGGATGGCCAAGTAACCAGTCCCACGCTTGCGGACGTCCATGAATGAATCAAGGGTTTGGCGCAGGGTCGAGTTAAACGGCATCGTAAGTAGCTCGAGGCAGAGAAGGGGGTTCCACAGGAGCGACGGGGGACGGTAGCTTCCGGAGGGTCTCAGTATGATGGAGATCGGTAGAAAAGGAGAACATACATGGGCATGTTGCTATGCCATGCCTTGACATGTTTATGGCCGTATTTGTTCACGACATACACACCGACCTAGGATGTATGAATGGGACGAGGGTAAACGTGCAGATGGAAATTCGACGTACAATATGTCCCCAGTCTCCTCCCTGGTAGACGTATTCGTTGTACCCAAGTCCAATCATGACCTTGTGGATGGCCTGCAAAAGGATCGGCACAGGAGTCACATAGACAGAGCTGGGCGAGACGTACCTCGGCATATTTCCACCCATTGAACCCGGGTTTGTGAGCCCCTTCAGAGAAGACGAAACCTGGGAGACTCGGCGCGACAACATGGAAACTTGGGTGATCCGGCGAGGCAGAAGTAAGGAGGGGGAGCATCTTGCGCACTTCAAGGAAGTTCCCTGGCCCTGTCCAGCAAAACCAGCATGATTAATCCCCATAGAAGTGCCGCCTCTATGGACGGTGTGGCCTGTCACCCCGTGTGGCGGCGGTACACCCGAAACCAGGCGGTGCGCACGAAGAGATGCGGAATGAGACTTACAGCCATGGCAGAACAACAGCGGTATCGCGCCCTCGACTTCGCTCCGCTGGTGGATGTAGTGCATGTTGAGTGCGCCAAAGCCATCAACCTCCACATCGCGCGTGAACATCGGCAGCTCGTTCATTTTGGCCTCGCAGGCCCGCCAGTCGAAGGTGTCGCGCCAGTGCGCCGCGATCCGCTTGACGTCTGCGAGGGGCGCGCCGTACGCAGTGCCTGCGCCCTCTAGCTCGTCGGGAAAGCGTGCGAGTTTGAGTTTGAGCCGGAGGTCGGCGAGGTCGGCGTCGGACACAGCGACTTTGAAGGGCTTCTCCGACATGGTGAGTTGGGGGGAGGTGGTAGTGGAGTTTTTCTGTCCGGGAGGGCTTTATGCGGCGACATCGAGCACAGGCGCGTCAAGAGCATTGAAAGGTGCGGAATATTACGAATTGGAGACAAGAGCATCAGAGCAGGAACTGACGGTGGTGATGGAAGGACGACGGGCAGTCCCTTCCCTGAGAGCACCCTATCACCACTCGGACGACGTCGGGCCGCCGGACCAATGTCGCCAGCGCGGTCAACCTGGACGCATCCGACCCGACCCTCTCTTTCTTTTGGACCTCAAGCACACGAGTGGTCAGGCAGGCTGCACTTGCCACCCAGCCGTGATTCCCCCGAGTCGACAGGTGCATGTGTTTCCTGCGTTTTGATCATCATTGCCTCGCGTGGGGGTACTGTTCAAACGTTCCGGCGGTGACTTCGAAGTCCCGCCAGTGAATATTTCCGAAGTCCTGCGACCCTCGTGAGCATCGTTGCTCTTGATATAACGGACATAACTCTGACTTCCGACGTGAGTGCTGGAAGAGCATCTTGAAGCCGTATTGGCTGGAGTCTCGATCGTTTATGTACTAACCTATGGATGCCTCCGCCGCACTTTCAGTTCTGACATTCAAGCTCCCACCCCGCCCTACTGATCCCACATCATGTCTAGCGAAATGGCGTCGACCTCTATGTCCAGATAAAGTCCTCCTCCGGTCGGGCCCCCCACTCACCCTTCGAGTAACACGATTCCCACCATGACCACTGGACTCACCCCAGTACTTTCTCGTCAAGCACATCAGAGCCGCCCAAATCGGGCTGGTGTACCGGGTGGTCTTCGCTCCGCTCACGAGTGTCACCGCGGACTCCCTACGGGCATGACGGTTGAGCACTACACCCAGCGCGCCAGCGTTCATACCGCGCTCCTTATCGCTGAAGCGGCGGGCATTGTCCCATACTACGTGACCGGGATGTCACACACCCGGCATATGCAGATCACCGCTTGGGAGAAGGCGCGTACACCCCTTCCCTCTGCGCGACTAGATCAGTGCATCCGTTCAAACCCGTTTGGGCCGAAGGATCCGTTGGTGAGTAATTCCGGACACCCGAGCGACACTGATTCGCGTCTATGTATTGTAGCAGCAGCCCGTAGTCTTCTGACAGCAAGAAGACTTTATCGCCAAGATATGGTATACACGTCCTGAATGGCGACTTCTAGCGTGAATCTGTTTTAAGAAGACCTGAAGAGACCCGTCACACCGTTAGCTTCGGCAGTCTCATTATGTCTAACGTGGGTGAACATGTCATAAACGCACAGACAATGCTTACTGATGCCGCAAGGCTCATCGTAGCCCGACCTCCCGTTCCGCCTGGGACATGACATCGCGCTAAACGCTATCCCCGATACCGCCGTATTTTACGCCGTTCTCAGTGACGATCGTTACAACGACTATTCTTTCTCGCAGGACTATCTGGGTATGGATCCCACACTCTCCGGATAATACATACCGTCTTCATTGAAGATGCTCTGGTGACGCAGGAACGCAATACTATTTTCGTGATTATGATCACAGTCGGATGATCTACACTTCTCGTAGCTTTGTCGCTTGCTTGCGTACTAGTGGATTCCCATCTGGCAAAGAAGCGCAGATCCCTTCACACCGTATGTCACCCACCGCGATATCGAAATTGCCTGCGTAATACTCTCAGCAGGATTTCTCACTGAACCCGCTCGTCTTTCTCAAGAATTCCATACTAACAGCCATCACGCAGTCATAACTTCACGTCAAGCCACTAACCAGCCGCTCCTCATGAACAGTCTTCCCCGAGTTGAAGAGCGTTTACGCCATCTCGTAGCTGAGGTGCACAGACTCCGGGGGGCCAAAGATGCTGCTCGCTAGTATCACTCGACTAATTCCGGGACGGAGATACGCGGTTCAAGTGGACCAGATAGTACGCAATGTTTCACACAATCTGTCGCTTGCTTACAAACCTCCTTGCGGAATTGCCGGTCCCGGGATTTCGCTTGGGTGCTGTGGGTGGGGTCGTCGGCTGGGTGCTGGTGAAGCTTTGACGCTTTGAAGCTTTCGGTGATATCACCAATTCATTCTGCTATAAAGCGTTTTCCTCATGTCATCGTGCGTAGGTAACGACAACGTTACTCGCCCGTATAAAGCTGACCACTATCATCAGCCACTGTACCAACCTGCCTCGATACAGCATCTGCAGCAATGTCCACTCCTGCCCTCTTCCAGCCTATCAGGATCGGCAACACTGAGCTCAAACACCGCGTCGCACTCGCGCCGCTCACTCGTCTCCGCAACGACGCCGCGCACGTCCCGACTGAACTCGTCATCGAGTACTACGCTCAGCGAGCCAGCGTTCCCGGGACGCTGCTCGTCAGCGAGGGGACCTACATCGCGCCACAAGCCTCCGGACAACCTCATGCGCCCGGCATCTGGAACGACGCGCAAATTGCGGCGTGGAAGAAGGTCTGTTGCCATCTACACCATCGAATGCTAACGCTCAACGGCTTGTCACATCATAGGTCGTCAACGTCGTCCACGCGAAGGGCTCCTTCATCTACTGCCAGCTGTGGGCTCTCGGCCGCGCCGCTCGCCCGGACCTGCTGCACGCCGAATACCCAGATTTCGACCCCGTGTCCGCCTCTGCGCTCGCCATCCCCACCAATCCGGATCACGTCCCGCGCGCTCTGACCAAGGAAGGTACGCCTCCAGGCTGCGCCTTCCGCTTTTTCCGAGATCGCAGCGGCCGCTGACGCCACGTGACTCGGGCCGCACCCACGCAGAGATCAAGGAGTGGGTGGGCTGGTACGCCCAAGCGGCCAAGAACGCGATCGCGGCCGGCTTCGACGGCATCGAGGTCCACGGCGCGAACGGCTACCTGCCCGACCAGTTCCTGCAGGACGTGACGAACATCCGGACGGACGAGTACGGAGGGTCGATCGAGAACCGCGCGCGGTTCATGCTCGAGATCGTGGACGCGATCGTCTCTGCGATCGGCGCGAAGAGGACGGCGCTCCGGATGAGCCCGTGGAACAAGTACCAGGGGATGGGGGACTCGGCCCCCGTCGCGACGTTTTCGTACGTCGTCGAGCAGCTCAAGGCGCGCCACCCCGATCTGGCGTACCTCCACACTGTGACGTCCGCAGCATTCGGCAGCGAGCCGCCCAGAGACCCGTCGGTGAGCCTTCGAGGGCATCCTGACGGGAGATACGGCGGGCTAACATGATAGTCTATGCTACAGACGGAGAACTTCATCGCCAAAATCTGGGACCCGCGCCCGCTGGTTATTACTGGAGGCTTCGTGCGTGAGACGGCGATCAAGCGTGCGGAGGAGGCTGGCCACATCATCGGCTTTGGAACGCTCTTCATTGCCAACGTGAGGATTGGTGCTTGTGCGTATTGTGCGTCTGCTAATGAAGAATCTTCTACTTCAGCCTGATCTTCCCTTCCGTCTGCAACACGATCTGCCGCTGAACGCTCCCAACGTTGACGGGTTCTATGTGCCGATGGTCGCTGAGGGGTACACCGACTACCCCTTCTCGAAGGAGTTCTTGGAATCGCAGAAGTAACGAGTTATACGGGCCCACTGTCAGGCCTGTATATACTATAGAGCGGGGCCCGGGAGGCGAATTGAGTACTTAGATGCGGTTCACGTGGGAAACTCAGATTTGAGCCAACGTCATTATCAGGCCGAGTGCGCTGCTTCTGTTCCAAGTTGTCCTTCTCCGATGCAGACATAAGACGGTAGCATCGACGGTGGGGTAAGAGGTATGGTTTAAGGCTCCCACAGACATGTATACCCCATTACAGGATCTCTCAGGGACGACCGCAGATCCAGAGGCTGGGCACAATGGCAGCACGGAAGCGGACAACAACTTTGAATGACCCCACATGATCATGGTCAACGATGGCAGCGGATCCGCTGGGAAATGGGTGGCAAGTGGCAATGACGTGGCATTGATCTTGAAAACCGTACCTTACTAGGAGCTTGCACTGTCTAGCCATGAAACTCATAACCTAATCCTCCGGCCGCGTAATCGTCACCTCAACGCAGGACTTCAACGCTCTGCTCCACAGCCCTCCCATCGTGGCACTACCAGTCTCCAGAGTTCTTCTGTCCCCGACAATGATGATACCGAGACGTGGTCGCGTCCAGGCGACGTTGAGACGCCGTGCGTCTTCGACGAACCCGATCTCGCCTTCGACATTGCACCGCACCGTCGAAAATACAACCACGTCTCCCTCGCGCCCCTGGAAGCCGTCGATGGTATGGACCGTCGCCTCATGTGCTGGAGGTAGTGTGTGCTTCAAGAGTTGTACTTGACGCGAATAAGGGGTGAGGACTGCGACAGAGGTCGCGCGCACCCGGGCCTTTAAGGCGTTGAGTTTTTCGGGTACATCTGCCTCTTCGCCAGTCGCTTGAGGAGAAGGTGTGCGGAGGAGTTTGACGATGTACTTGACGAGCGCAGCCTGACCCGCGTTGCTCTTCGACGCGCGTCCGAAGTCTTCTTCGGATGAACACGGTACGAAGACGACAGGCACGATGCGGCCGTTCGGGGTGCGCGGCCATGGGAAGGAAGTCACGCCAACGGTCTCCTCGATCTCTGAGTCCCGTGATGTCCCGGTCTGCAGGCGGCCTTGGTAGAACTCTTGTGAAGGGAAGTGCGCGACTGCTTCAGAGAAGCGGTATTGGACCTGCATTCAGGTAAGCACTGAGACACAAGGATGGTGTTGATTTGATTTACCTCGAGCATGGTACGCACGAACCCAGGGTACTCTGAATTGTTTGTGTAGAGTCGCTCAAAAAGAGACTTGTCAAATTCTAGGGCCTTTCCCATCGGTCTCACCGTAGGACGCAGTTGTACACTATTCATATCTGTAAGCAGGGTTCCACCGTGCAGCGCAGATGTACTCACTGATCGCCCACCAACACTGCACGATGGCATCCCTTCACGAGAGGTATGAGCGCGCACGGTTCCGTGATCTGCGAGGCCTCATCTATCAGGACCGTGTCGAAGTCGATGTTTCGCAGCACGCCAAGGCCGGCGCCTGAGCATGTAGTAAAAACCATCCTGGCCTCTTTCATGCGCTTGACTGCCTTTTGCACGAGTCGCGGGTTATCGGTGACACTTCCACCAAGCTTGGAATCCACGGTGAAACGTTGTAGAGCCTTTTGTACTTTCGAAAGATCGGTAGCCGCACGTATGATGCGATCTTCGTCGAGGATGCGGTGCGCGCTATTGAACAGGACGAAGCGCTCCAATACGTTGTCGACAGCTTTGAATGGTTCAGGTCAGAATATATCGTCAAGAAGCGTCCTAGGGCTCACCATTGTGGGTTGAAGCTGTCATCAATACCTTCGCATCCGGGAAACGTTGCAAGATCTGGGCCAGGATCTGTACTACAACCGTTGTCTTTCCGGTTCCTGTCACAGGGTGAGCTGAAGCAATCGGGAAATATCTGAATATTCAACCTACCAGGGGGACCCCAGATCAAGCACAAACCACTGCGCACAGCTAACCTGACGGCGTGCTCTTGACTGGCGTTCAGCCCAGCCTCTAGCCGGATGGAATCCTCGTCATCATCGTCATTACCCTCCTCGGGCTGTGACCCTGTGTCCTCATCACCGGCCGCCGCCCCACTCGCCACCGGGTCAAGTCCAATGAGCATATGGTTGATCCTGCAGCACTCGTACCCCTTCTCCGCGAGTTTAAGCACCGCGGCAAGCATCGCAGCAGACGTCGCCGTTCCACCTGCGTCGTACATGTCCCAATCGACCTCGCGCCACTCCGGCGGCAGCGGCTGCGCGACCTCCAGGTACATCTCCCCGCGCGTCGCGCGTGTAACGACTGCATCGACGACCGCGGCGCGAGGGCGCGGCTCCGCGGTGTGCTCCGCGATAGACGCGAGCTGCAGGCGCACGTGGCTGTGGATGCGGATCGCGGACGGCTGGTCGATGCGCGTGTGCGCGACGACGACGGTCTTGTCCGTCGCGACGGCGACGGCGGCGGCCTCGGCGCCCCCGCTGTCTTCTTGCGCTGGAGGCGCTTGCGGGGAGACCAGCGTGGCGCGGACGGGTCTGGTGCGTTGGCGGCGGGGACGACCGGTGGCGTCATCGCACGGACAGGCATCCGCGGCCTCCTCGACGCTATCGAAGACGATAGCGAGGGCGTGCGTGTGCGCGAACGTGAGAACGGGGTCGCGGGCGCGGGAGGATGAACGTGCTTCGTGGAGGACCAGTACGACTTCTTGGACGAGGGTAGGTGAACGGATGCAGAGGCCAGCAGACCAGAGGAGCGCGAAGTAGGTGGAGAGGTTGAGGGCGTCGATCTCATGGGATAGACGCTCGAGAGCAGCAAGTGCGGCAATGCTCATCTCGTTGGCAGAGCGGATGATGCTGCGGACAATGGCGGGAACAATAGGTGCGAGGTCGGATGGGAGATGCGTGCCTGCTTCCGGTATGTGCTTCTTGAGGACGACGTAGACGAGGGAAGGGTAAGCGTCCATGAAACCAATAGTATCTTCAATGGGAAGTCCGTCGTGGTCGAGGAGGATTGCGAAGATAGCAAAGACATGGCTTTCAACGCGATAGCGGAGAGCGGTGTCGAAGTATGCATGTAGCTGGACATTGTCAATAAGACGTAGCATCTCTTCCGCTTTTTGGAGGGGGATGCTGGGATCAAAAATGGTTTGTGCTGTGACGTCGGTTCCCCAATCTTGGTCTGCGATATTGTTGTAACTGAAGGTGCGCTTCGTGTAGTCAAAGCGACGCATCACTTCTTCAGTCTGCACACTGCGATGAACTTATGGTCAGTATAAATAGACGAAATGGCATCCACTGTTTTACTCACTACTCGAACCGCAGATCAAACAACTGGTGCGCGATGCGATCACGACATGACACAACGTGGATCTCAAGCGTCACAACTGGAGAGCGTCTCACTCTTCCACATTGCTGCATGGGCCGGTGTCACCGTGAAATCGACAGCGCTCAAGATCGATAGCACACATACCTGCTGCACGCGCTGTGAGATTTTCTGCAACGCTATGCTCGTGACGATATCGTGCCCGGATACCGCTGGAGGGCGTGTCATGAAGATAAAGCTGTTGCCGCGTTGTTGGTCGAAAAGCTGTAGGGTGTCTTCCCCACAATACAGCTTGTAGCCCTTCGTTCCCAGCCAATAAGTCGACATAACTCCGGATGCCTTAGGCATGAAAGAACACACGACCACGTTCTGAGATACATCCACCTGTTAAAGATTATGTTGGATCTATGGATCCCTGAAGAGCTTGGAGTGATGAATACCCACGTCATCGTCCCAGGCAATAGGTCCTCTCAGAAAGACGCCAACAGAGAACCTGTCATCTGTCTGGAATACTAGATTAAACACGGTTTATGCATGGAACATGACTTTCAGCTTACTTTGATCACCAGTAGTCTGCGTTGGAAGTTATCGAGAGCCTCGTGGAGATACTCGAAAAATGCAGCTCTTCCTTGTATCTCCGAACTGTAGAGTCTTTGCAAACGAAGCGGTCCCCCTAGGTTACGATCTTCGAGGTCCTGCCGAACAAGGATGCTAGAGCGCATCAAGCTGAGCCATTGTCCAGTAAGTTTTGTGACCAATCGTGGATGCACAGATGCGCACCTGTTCCAAATGTATGGATCGGAATGAGGGGTGAGGCCCAACTTGAAGCTAAAGGCATGCTTCTCGGCCGCGGAGAACGCGCTGAAGTCGATGTGGCCGACCTGGCGCCGAAGGTCAAGCCCGTGCTTCTCGGCGAACCTCCCAGCCATCATCGCGAGCTCATACTCCGAGACGGCCATCTTCTCCGACGTAAGGAGGTTTACGAGGAGGGCCTCCGCTTCAACTCGATCAGATGAATGGCTGTCTGTGGTAGCGGGGAGTTCTTTCATGAAATTATCGTGGAACTCCTTCGCGGCGTCGCGGAGCAGGTCAAGAATGAAAGGCACATCGGGATCCTCTGGCGGCTTCAGGAGGCGATCTGGAATCTTTACTGAGCCGCCGTCGACGACGAGAGAGTGTAGCGCGTTGAGGTCTTGACACTGGTCGCTCATAGCGCCTTTGGGACTATACCGGACCCATTTATTGTGGAGATTCACGATCCTAGCGAGAGCCATCCTGGTAGACGATGAGTGATGCTGAGTAAAAAGAGGACGCTTATACACGCACGTATTATAAGACGCAAAATGTCGCGCAAGATCTTCTCTCGTCACTTGGGAGACCGTATGTTCCTTGCCGGGTGGATAGGTGTACGACTACTACGACGTCAACTAAGAGATCACTAGGGGTAGCAGCTCTACTAACCTCCGCTACTTTATTGGGCACGAACTCAGGATCCCATATGACCGTATACTCGTCGCCATCTGTGTGATTATCCTTATCAATTCGATGTACAGGATCAACATATCGTGAAACTACTTGCCTAAGTCTCCTCCTGCGCTCATCGACGGTGCCGCGCGGCGCCCCTTTGACGCAAAGACGATGCAATCGACGAGGTGAGCTAGTTTCGGATGGGCGACGGCGCGAAGTTTCAGACAGTCACCGGGATGTAAGCACGGATTTCGCACGACGAGAACATCGATGTTCGTGAGCGTCGTCGCGCCCTTACGCGGAACGGACACTCGTACGTGCACTTCGCCCTCGTCTAGGATGCTGTACGGGTCGCAGACGCCGAAAAGAAAACGAGACCTGGGGATGATCATCCGAGCACGAAACTTCTCGTTCTTCTTGAAGGCGCCGATTTCGGTGTTTTGTACGCTTCTGATACTCTTCTGTATATGGGGCGCATCGAGTCCGTCGAGGAGCAGGCGCTCTGCTGTGTCGAACTGCTTGAGCGCACAGAGGATGTTGAAGGCGATCTCCCAGTTCGTAGAGGCTTCCTGGATCCAGGTGTGATACTCGGTTTGACGCTTGAGAAACGTCTCGGATGAGACGCCAAGGCTGGCAAGGAGGACGACGATCTCGTTGTTGAGCCGAGCATATGAATAAGGGACAGAATGCGCCACGACGGAGAACGTGTTCTCCGTCGTTGCCCGGAACTTCTTCTGGCTCCCGCGGAACTGAGTTACGATCCTCTTGTTAAGCTCTGGGTGGAGCATCAAGACGCCCTTGTAGCCTTTGTATCTATGATGATGAACCGCGTCAGCAAATCCAATGAACTACCGTCTCTGATACGTCACTGACCTGATTTGGAACACGCACGGCGTATAGGGCTTGCCATGGAATAATACTCTTTTCTTTCGGCTGAGCTGGCGGGCGAAGTTCGGACCTATGAGGCCGCATCCATCGGAGAAGTTTTCACCATCGACGATGATGTCGTCAATGTCTTCCGTAACGCTAGGATCTAGGTTCCAATCCAACTCTGACTTTGAGAAGAGCAGTCCAATACGTTTAGCACCTGTATAGGCGCATCAGACACCGACAGGAGCTCTGGAAATCTACAGTGTACAGCTCACACTTCGCGACGTTTTTGATCTTGCTGAACTCCCCATAACTGTTGATGCGTCGTTCCAGCTCGTTGTCGGTTCCTGCGCGTAAAAAGCAACTAGAGGACCGCTAGACCAGTCAATCAACACATATGCTAGAGGAGAGAGTGAATGCCATACCAACTGAGAGTTGCTGTGTCCGTAAAAGCGATATTCGATGCCGTTGAGTCGAAGGCCCTCTTTGAAGAACCGTAATTTGTAGTCGCGATTCGTGGACGGCGGCTTGTCCGGGAAACGCAGCCCACCAAAGGAGACGAGCACAAAGTTGACGATGTGGTCAGACTGTAAGATGCGGTTGTTCGGGAACAGCGCCCAGTCCAATTTGATTGCGTCCGGCGTGAAGGAAACAAGAAGACCCATCCCAGGCCTTTTTGCGGGCCCAAGCTGAGCAGTGAAGATCCATTCTGTGTCCTCTGGAGACGGATTCTGGCGTAGGATGATAGGAGGCATCTTGGATACGGTTCACAGATGAGAAGGCTGCTCGAGGGAAAGTGAGATCAGCCGTCGAAGAACTGGACAAATATCGACTGTCGCACACCTACCGCAGCACAAAGAACCTTGTTTGTGGGAACGGCGTAGGCGCCCTGCGAAAGCATGAGTTTACTTCCTGGCCTGGATGTATGCTCAGACCTCGTCCATGGCCATGCCGCATGTAAGTGCTCACCTGGCGGTTAGCGCGCTCGCTGAACGAAAGCCCAGTACAGATGGAGCGTGTGGAAGTTGAACATCGTCCCAAGGCGGTGTTCGTTCTTGGACCATCTTCTAGCGGAAAGACAACGCTCTGCGAAGCACTGTCGAAGAAACTTGGGGTTAGACCGCCCCTGTACATCAAGGAGGTTGCGCGTGAAGTCATGGCCACTCACGGGTTCACTCGTTCGGACGTGGACACCTTCGCGATGCAACATGCCATAATGCTCGCGCAACTTGTCGCAGAGGAGAAGGCCATGTCCGCAGCCACAGAGCATCAAGGCCCGCGGAAAACGATACTGAGTGATCGCTCCGCGATCGACCCGATCGTTTACGCGGCGACATCGCAATCGTCAGAGGCCAAAGAGCGCCATCAGCGCTTGCTCGCGGAGCAATCACTGCAGGAGATTCTTCCTTGGTATCAAGAATCGCTGTTCGGTGAGCCCACAGCGACATTGGAAAAAAGGGACAAATACATTGACAAGTTGATAGTTGTTTTGGAGCCAGTGGACGAATGGTTGGAGGACGACGGCGTGCGTTCCCTTGAAGATCCTTGGAAATATAGCGGGGCACTGAGGTCGACACTGGATAGCCTAGGAATTTCGAGGATGACGTTGGGGAAGGAGGTCAAAAGCTTGGAGGAGCGAGTGGAGTTGGTTTGTCGTAAATTGGAACAGGCCGAGGCCATTGAGGACGCGATAAGCGCCGAATATCAATGAATCCTGTGCCAGTACACGACACTCTCGTGCTTGGTTATTACATGAAGTCAGTTGATACCATGTACATATACACGAGAGGAGGAGGGTCTCGCAGTTGGCATGGACATTGGAGAAAAGATACATCCCGGGCCGTGACGCGTGCCACGTGTCCCATTCGCGATCGGGCGCTTCTGAGTCCACTCCGTTCGCGGCCTGAGCCGCCTTTACCTCCTTCTCGATAAGAGCATAGTTGCACTCTCCAATGTCTTCATTACGACCACAGATAAACACCCACAGCTACAAGTTGACCCAGTCGACTACCGCGTGATCGCAAGGCCAGGATCCTCCAGCGCGTAGAACTCCTTTGCAAATTCCTCGAGCGACTGTGCCGGCGCATCAGGGTACAACTCCTGCGCATCAAGGTACCCAAGCGCCTTCGCGTTCTCGAGCGTGTTCTCCCGCAGGAAGTGCATGCTGATCACGTACTCCGCCCACGACTGCGTGACATGGTTCGCGAAGACGGATGGGTCTGCTGCGATCGCCGCGGTGGCCTCAACATCCATCTTCTCAAACGTCTCGCGGTCCATCTGGCGGGCGGCGTAGTCAGTACGGGATCTGTGGGGGTCTTGGAGGCATGTACGAACCGAGGTCCTGGTCGCCTCGAACGCCACGCCTTCCCCAGAAATGGAACCTGCGATGGCGAGCGCCTCCATCTGCGTCACCTCGTCCTCCCACACCATCACGGACCGGTTCAGCGTGCGTGGGTCGTCGACGATCCGAGCGACCCAGTCGCCGATGTGGTGGAAGTTTGTGATGAGCACTTTGGTGTCCCCGGCGCCGCAGACGATGTTGGCGAGAGCCTTGAGCTGCGGAGACGCCGCGCTGCGTGCCGGGAGCATCAGGAAAAACCCAAATCCATAATGAGATGTTACTGAGGCTTGTGAGGGCTAATGAGCCAGATTATCGCGTTATTCGGAAGTATTATTTTTCGCTTACCCATCTGCTAATGAGAGACCATTACATGGAGAAGGAAGAGTTAGTCGTGAGAGCAGGCCCTCACCAGGCGCATTTAGTCTCATCCATGTCCGTAGATCACTGATTCAAGCTTGGATATCGAGTAGTCGCACTCATCACCCATACAATATAGCACAATCATGAACATTGGCTCAGTATCAGATGCATAGCAACAGCGACATAGATGTAGTACAGTACATATCAACGAGAAATGATGACACAATGTAAACGGTACCACAGCGTGATCTGCTAAGACGCGCACAGAAATTACGGAGGAACAGAAAGGGCGCGATACTCAAGCACTGGACCTCCTTTGCGGGGCGTGCGCGAATACGGAATGCACGCCGCAAGCACTCGCACCCGCTACCACCGCGACCAACGAGCACGCGCACGGGCAGCTCTTCGCGTACTTGCCCGTCCTCTCACAGATCGCACCCTCGACGGCGCACGAATGTACCCTACCCCCATGCATGAGGCCTGAGGCCTTGGAGACGTCCTCCCGCACGATTCTTCTCCGTCGCGCGGGCCTCTCTAGTCCGCTGACAACATACCCGTGGAAGACGCTGAGGAGGATGCTGGCACTCGTGCTGTCGCCGTCCGCTGGTAGGACGTGGATGTGGACGACGACAACGAGGCCGTCCCAGTGACAGACGCGGCTGTGGTGCGCATATCGCGCGGGGGTCTGTGCGTGTGTGTATGGGGGAGGGGAGGATAATGGGGGAAAATGAACAGAGGCAAGACAGCGATAGAAGAAGAGAGGTCAGGGCACGCACGGGGAGAAAACAAGTCAGCTAAGGAGAACAGACGGATGAAAGTACACATACAGTGACAAAGATGTTTGCGATTCCAAGGCACGTCCGGTCGATGTCGATGTCCGGGTCCGTCGAACTGGCCGCGCGCCAGTGCGTGTCGTCCGACTCGTGTTCTTCGTCGCACTCGCCGACGGAGATAGAAGAGCGGTAGTAGGTGAGCAGGGGCACGAGCGGGAGATCAAGACGGGGGTACTCACAGATTCCCAAGATGGAGGAATGGGAGGTGGGTGGACCACCACGGTCGAAGACGCGTTGACCTGTGGCGGAGGGGTGGGCTTTGGCGGTAGCGCGAACGAGACCGACCTAGCTGATAAGTGGCCCAAGGGGCGTGACTGGCCGGGTGCTAGGGTCCCTATCGCTCGCAGGGCGGGTCCATGCAGTCATAAGATTGAGACACTCACCACCTAGATGCCAAAGTTGTCCAGGCTGACACTGTCAGAAGTCTTGGGCTCCGTGAACATGTCCGTTGCCCGAACTAGCTCGCGCGCCCGAAACTCGGATGTCGGATGCGCGACCTTCGGGCGCGGTGCCATCGCGGAGAGATGAGGGGCTCTCAACGGAGGAGTCGAGGAACGTCTCGTCTATGTCCGCGGAGCCCGTACGAATCCAGGGAGGATCCGGCCAAGTGGTGGTGGTGGTGGTGGTGGTGGTGGTCGTCGTCGTCGTCGTCGTCGTCGTCGTCGTCGTCGTCGTCGTCGTCGTCACGTAGATCGTCGTGGTCGTGGTCGACGTCGTACGCAACCGAGACGAGTCCACGAAAGCGCTGGACCGGCCCGCGGGAGCGAAGAAAGACCTGGTGCGGCTGGTGAAGTGGCAGGTGGAGATCTGGAAGCTGGGCCGCGGAGAGCAACAAAACTGCTAGGTTGAAGGAGGAGGGGAGGAGGAGGAGGAGGAGGGGTGGTGGTGAGGGGTGGTGGTGGTGGCAGCTGGCACGGAGCGGGGACACCGTGACCATCACCAAGGGCCTTGCCAGGGGGACGCGCGTCGTCGCGTTGCGGATGGGCGCTACATACACATGTACCGGTCCCTCCACTGCTCTACATGCATCCCTCGTCGTTCACGAAGCGGCCCAAGCCTGCCATCCGGCGATCTGGCTTGAGCTCGCACCATGTTGTTATGAGTTCCCGTGCCTTCCCCGCGCTCTGTCCGTACCCCGAATCTCCCACCTTCCGCCAACCAGGTCCCGTACTACGGCCACAAACAAACCGCGAAGCTCTGCGCGCGCACGCATTTCTTTTCGTATCCAGACCCGCGTCCGTTGTCCAAATACACCCCTTCAGCCTCCTCAGCGCTTCAGCTCCCTTCGCCAACTTCATTGTGTATTTCCTTCATCGAACTTCACGACTGCACACCTCCGTCGTCTTCGCCGCCACTCTCGCTGTCCTCCAATGCTTACAAGCACGCTTCCCAGCCGCACGAGGGTCGTCAGGCCATCGACTAATCGCCGCCCTCAAGGGGTTCGAGTCTAACGATATCTCAAGTACGTTAGACCGTATCTTATGTATGTACGTCCTCCCATCAACTCACGCCTTCCATCCCATACACCGCCGTGTCTGCGCCAACATCCATGTGCACCAACATGACACAGCCACTTCACCGCAGAGGCATATCCCTTGTCCCATTCCTGGGCACGCGGGTGCGACGCCGTACAGCGCAGGGTCCTCGCACAATTCGCGCGGTCGTCGATGTCGACGTCACCATCCCCCGCATCGAGCACACCCCTTCAAATCCGTTTGGCCACGAGGCCCCTCGAAGTTCTCTACTACTGGGCGCTGGGCGCGAAGATCGGGCACGATGTGGTCATCGACTCGTGGGCGCGCCTGGGTGAGTGTGACCTTCTGACTCCAGTCGAAAATATCATTATTGGCTACCTACATGTACAGATATCCAACACACCCACTCAAACATGTCAAATTATACCTCATCCACCCAATAAGCGGCCAGAAGGAAGGAGATAGTGTCTGTAAACTGCGGTGAGTTGGAACAGTGGCAGTATTTTCGCATATATCGGCTTACCAATATTTTACCCCTCAATAGGGATTTGGGTTTTTCCTGATGAGCGGGATGTAGAGCTGCATCCACCAGCCGATGTCGATGTAGGTGTGAGGCACATCCAGGGCCTCGATAAGCTCACGTATCTTGAGTTTCTGCGGCGAAGGGTGAGCCCGAGGATGGAAAGCCGGGGACAGTGCTTATGTACGTACGTCGTCGAAGAGCACGCGGACGCCCTTGGCCCCAGGAGTGCCAAAGTCGCAGGGGATGAAGCGCTTGACGCCGACTTCTTTGGCGGCGCGAACGAGGTCCTTCTGGTCGAGGATGGAGAGAGCAGTGACGGCGCTGATGACGACGTCGATGCCCTCCAGCGCGGCCTTGAGCTTCTCGACGCCGTCTAGGAGGTCGGCGTGTCGTATCTCGACACCCCTGGCGCACATGGTTTCCACGTCGGGCTTTGGAGAGGACGAAGGGCGGGTGAACGCAACGACGCGCTGTGAAGTGACTGGTTAGATGAATTGGAGTAGGAAAGGGACGCGGCACATACGAATTTGGCGGATTTGAGGAGGTCGTCAACAATGTTCTTGCCCGTATTTCCAGTTGCGCCGACGACACAGATGAGAGGTTTGGTAGTAGCCATGGTGTGTACGAGTGAAAGGAAGTGGTCTTCAGGTATTGGCGATGAGGCAGTCGCTCTTCTTATACCTGCCGTTCGTGAGACGCGTCCCCCCGGTGGCATCCAAACGGCTGGAACAGAGACTATGGAACCCTGAGACTGCGGCTGCTGAGTAGCAATTAGTCCCGTAGTGCGGGACTCGGAGAATGACCGGTTTCTGTCGAGGGATCGGGAAATGCGTAAATTCCCGATGCTGCCGCTGTTCAGGGAACGGCGGCTTGCGAGTTGGTGTTAGTGAGCGCGTGCGTCCCCTCGATTTTTACTCATCCATTTGTCGTACTGGCGTACCACGTCCTCACTCATCGCGGAATAATGTCACAAACGTCGAAAAAACTCTCGTTCTCGTCGCCGAAGCCACGGATACCACAGGCGGAAGCACCCTGCTCGAGGACGGCACCTTCGTACGTGTTCATTCCGCCTCGGTTCAATGATAGCTAACCTTACGCGACTTGCAACCCGCCGCTGACGAGCGTCGACTGCCCGCGCTTCTCGAAGACCTCGGATGCGGCGATGACGCTGATGAGCGTGTGCATGCCAGCGAGTGTGGCCGTGAGCTGGTCGACGCCGTCAAGGACGTCCCCGAGCCATACCTCGGCTCCCGCATCGCGAGACTTCTGAGCCGCAAGCTTGGACGCAGGGCTGGGACGAACAACGGCGGCGCTGCGAAGGCGGTCGGGTGCAGCGCATCATACCCTCCGACTAAGCGACGCTCGCCGGGGCCCGCGGCGTGTGCAGGATGCACGACACAGTGGGTTCCCGAGAGTCGTTGCTCGAGGCCGTGACCCGAGATTGACGCTGTGCCCGTCCAGAAACTCGAGCTCCACGACTACATCCAGGAGCCCGGGGTCCCGTACACATTCGTCGACGTCGGCAACTGGATGGAGACGCTTTCGCCGCTGCCGAAGCGCACCGTCGTGCCCGCACCGCTGCAGGTGATCGCGCACACGATGTATAACAGCGAGCGGGGGCGGATGCTGCTTGTCGGCCCGACGCACGTCGGGAAATGGGTGGCGCGCATCGTGAAGGACCCGCGCACGGTCACCAAGATCGTGCTCGTCTGGGAAGGCGAAATGATGCACAACGATTTTTTGGAGATTGCGGACCGCGTGTCAGGGGAGGGCGGGATGTTCGAAACAGTGCATGAGGGCCTGATCGGCTGCGCATGGGATCAGTTGTGGGATCGGTTTCCGCGTCCCCAGAGGCGGGCGCGAGCCCATCCCGAGCCCACAGCTCATTCTGCCGTGGGATCGTTTTAACGGTAAACCGAGCCCATCCCACGCGCACCCGACCAGGGACTAAGGAGGTGGAGCTTTCGATCTACTTTTCCTGAGGCTGGTAGGATGTGAATGGTGTTTCTGATTCTGGCTTCCCATGCAGGCGACGCTCGAAGGGCTGCGGAAGGCCCAGAAATGAAATAGGTGATACTTCATAATTCGGCCTTGCTCAGAATCACACCATCGGGGTGGGCACATCTTTTGTAATGAGAAATCATTGATGAGGAGAACAGACCTTTTGTCACAAGCGTAACGAGGGCCTTCGGAACTCGTTGAGCGACCCATATGAGTCAGTCTCTGCCACAAAAACAGTTGCATATTAGTGCCGTTACTTGGAAAAAAAATGAGACTGATAATTGCACTGCCAAACGGAGGTGTTTTCTCGTACGCTACAGCTGCGGCGAAGCAGAAGGGAGCATGAAGAACGGACAAGTGATCAGTGAAGTGGTTGTCTGAGGACAAGCTGTAGAAGTTCAAGAGGCGTAGACGCCTGCCAGCCAACGTAATCGCCCTCAGATAAGATAACGCTGCTGTACGCGCGAAGGGAGAGATAGGCGCCAGACGACGTCATCTCTTTATCCCAAGCTTGATGTGGCCAGCGCAGCACCTCCTCCTGCTCCGGTGCCCTCCCTCTCTCTCAGCTAGGAGACGTCATTTCTCGAAAGCCTCCAATCCGTGAATATTATTATCCGGTATTCGTGAAAAAATACCTCAAAATTCATGCCAAACCTCAGAACGTGGATGCAGCGGCACAGTTGGAGTAAACTCCTGGAGTCCTAAGTCTCTGCTAGGAAGGCTACAGGCCGAGGGGCGGCGAGGGCGGATGCTCGATTAATCAAGTGCGTCTCCTTTACGGATTTTCAGGTATATCAATGGTTTGTTGTGAGAGCTCGCCGCGCTGTGCACCAGGCACTCTGATAGTATTCTCGGGACGTTTTCCATTTGTCTAGGACGAGAGACTAGAGAACTCATGTCTCTCATTGGCAATTAGATGAGTAATACGACGCGATTTTTCACACAGGAATCAGCGTGTATGTGTTCTGGACGCTTCTCGCTCCTCTGGTTCCACAGCAATTCAGCCGATTCATGTCATTGCTAGCCAGTCAATAGAGGGCTACGTTTCCCGACGACAAAAGTCCGATGTCGGCAAATTACTGTGCATCTCTCTATTGCAAAAAATGTACGTATACATGCCCTCCTTTCCAACGGCCTCCGCAACTCCTCAACCATGTCTTCTAAACCTCTCGTCCTCGTTCTTGGCGCTACCGGATTCACCGGTGGAAGCATCGTTCAAGGGCTCCTCCAAGCAGGAACATTTGTTCGTGTGTTCCGTCGATCCGTATCAACATTCTAACGATCTGGAAGAACGTTGCAGCCATGATTCGCTCTGAATCTCTCTCGAAACCGCAAACAGAAGCCTTGCGTACGGCCGGCGTGGAGATCCGTACCGGAGACATCTACGACGGCGTCGAAAAACTCAAGCAGACCCTCGAAGGTGTCGAAATTGTCATTAGCTCAGTCGTAGCGTATTGCATCTCGGACCAGAAAGACCTCATACGGGCCGCCAAAGAAGTGGGCGTCAAGCGGGTCATTCCTTGCGACTTTGCCTCCCCTGGCGCGAAAGGCGTGCGCGAAATCCACGACCGTGTGCGCGTGCCCTCTCTTCGAAAATATTCTCATGCATTTACTCTTGTGTTTTGATAGAAACTTGCAATCCGCGAGTACGTCCTTGAGCTCGGCGTCCCGCATACGTTCATCGACGTCGGCTGGTGGATGCAGCTCATCCTACCGCCCCCAGCGCGTTCCGCCGTCCCGGCCGCGCAGAAGCCGATGTACAACACCGAATACAACAAGGGGACGTCGCCGATGCTCCTCACCAACCTGCACCACATCGGCTGCTGGGTCGCGCGCATCGTCGCGGACCCGCGCAGGACCCCCGACATCTCCCTCAGATGCCTGATCCCAATTTTCGAAAAAGCGCCAAAAATGTCCTCGGGGATCAGGCCTCCCGGCGACCCCGTTTTGGTCGGACGGCCGCAGGCCTCGGCCGTCCAGAGGCTGATTTAGTCGGATTTTCGGAACAGGCCTCCGGAGGGCCTCAAAATGTCCGGATTCCGCTCGAACAGGCCTCTGGAAGGCGATTTTTTTGTCCAGGAGACCTCGGGGCTTCTCAGAGCACGAGGAGAGACATTTAAGAGTTGTAGCAACTTGTGAATACAGGAGATCATTGACGAGAACATAGGGGCATAGACTCGCAGTGGCTACTGTAGCCTAAGCGCCCTCGTCCTCCCCCCACGCACTTCTCCTCTCGCCTCTTTACAGGACCTCCCATGGTTCCTCTACGTTGACCCCTCGCCCTCGCCCTCGCCCTCGCCCTCGCCCTCGCCGACGCTCGCCCTCGCCGCGCTCATGACCGCGCTTCATGCACACCTGCACACGCCGATCGCCGCGGACGACTACAACGCCTCCGCGCGGGTGTGTGTCGCGAGCGCGTGCGGCGTGCGCGGCGGCGAGTGATGATGCAGATGGCGCGCGTGCCCAGGACCCGGAGGGCGTGCTCGACATCTGTCGGACCGACGACCTGACGGACCGCAGGATGCTGTGGGGGCTGTGGAAGGTCTCGAGCGGGGAGGGCGAGGAGGCAGGTGAGGGCGTTGGGGGGACGCGGGTTCTGGGAGGTCTTCGTTGATGGCCCTTAGGGCGCGCACGTCATCACATTGAATGCACAGGTCTTGACGGTTAGGTTACTCGATAGTCCAGCATGCGGGTGAGAGGGTTGGGAGAGCATGGCCCATGGCACCTGTACGCATCGAGAGACCCTTGCCCGCCGACCTGCCCGGGTCACCTGCGCCCGTGGCGATCCCTAATCGTCCTCTCGATCTACCCGCGCTTTCTGGGTCCTCGGCCAACTTTCGAGCCGTCGTCCGTGCCCTCGCGTTCTCGTTCTCGCCCCGGATCTGAGCCAGGGTGGACCAAACGAAATCTGTGGCATCTGCACCTGGCGCGCGGTCAAACGGACGGCCCGTCGATTCCCGGAAGCACACTGTGGGGAGATTAAACTGTATTAGGTCTTGAAGAAGTATGCTGCCTCTGGCGGAGTCTGAGTTCAGCTCGCTTTCTGTATTTACTTGCGGGCAGTAGAATATCATTATAAACAGTTCAGTCGATGCAGCGTTCTTACGCGCGCACCGGCGACTCACATAAGGTGGCTGCCATTGGTCGCGCAGTCAGTCGCCCACTCCAACTGCCCTCCGGGGACCGCCCAAAGCCGCCCGACCGTCCGTTGAGGATCAGGCATTTGAGGAGCCCCCGCCCTAATGGTCGGATGATGGCTCAGGCATCGGCCGGTCGATACCCTGGAAAATGTCCGACAAGGCCTAAGCGCCTACAGGCATCGAGCCCGCGAAATCGCCATCAATGTCCGGATTCGGCTCAGGCATTTAGGTGAGATGTCGGGGGTCCTACCCGCGCACGCTCAATCGGGCGGCGATCGTGTGGGAGGATATCAAGACGCAGAAGGAGATGTTCACGATCGCGGACCGCGTCGAGGGCGAGGGCGAGGCTTTCGCTTCTTCGCGTGTCTATGTGAGCTCCCGGGTCTGTTTCACGCAACGAGGTTGATTGATGACGGATGGACAGGCGACCGGGGACGAGATTCGAGCCAAGCGTGAAGATGCGATGGCAGCGGCCGCTGCCGCGCCGAAGGACTCCAATTTACAAAGGTCCGCTCTTGTGCTTTTCCATCGCGCCGGGTACAGGGTGAGCATGCACGTGCCGGAAGAGAACACTCTCGAAAACACGAAGCGCCTTGGGTACCTCGATGTACGCGAGTTGTACCCGGACATGCTCAAGTACACTCTCGAGGACTTCGCGAGGGAGTTCTACGCGATGGAGAACCCGGGGACGGTACGCGTACGTGATTGAGGCGATGGACCGCGGCCTGCAGGAGGCGTGTGGCGATGTGGTGCTGGTCATGTACGATCTGGGAGAGCAAAAGAGACGCGGACGCTATATATACAAGCCACAACTTATGCGAGATACAAACGATGAGATGGTACAGATGCGTTGAGTATATTACAGAATGATGCGGACTGCCGGATCTCAATGTCCAAGACTATAAACCGTGTCAAACCAGGTCTGCGCTGACATCGCGGGATCATGCGATGCGTAACATTTAGCAGTGCGCGGCGACGTTTGCACGCGTAACACTTAGTAGCGCGCGGTGACCTTGTTGTCGCGGCGCTCAACGTGCTCGACGTGAATGCCACCCTGAGCAGAAGAACGGTTAGTAAGCGACGTAAGCTTGACACAGTCGATGTCAATATACCTCGGGACCAGACAGGCGGACCGCGCCACGGCGGCGGACGACCTTGGTGGCGAAGAACATCGCGCACAGCACGACGAACGCCATTGCGACCCCGATGAGCGCGTCGGTGGCCTTGCTGCCCGTCGTCGCAGTGTCGGGCAGGCCGAACGCCTCGCGGGTGGTGTCGACGGCATCCTCGATCGAGGACACGGAGCATGCCTTGGCCCACTCGCGGTTCGAGTTGATGACCGAGTTCTCGAGGCGGTAGATGAACTCGGTGAGCGGAATGTCCTCGCGGTGCTTGAAGACGTGCACGGTCTGGAAGTCCTCGTTCGTGCCGTTGCGGAACTTGAAGCGCAGAAAGTCGCGCGCGTCGGGGGGTGGCGCACGGCGGAGCTCGATAGCGATCGCGGAGCCGAAGTCGGCTGAAGGACAGCACCGTCAACTATGATATGAGGAGGCAGGGAGGAGGCACTAACGCATTGCCTTGAGCTCAGGGTGTGTCTTGACTATTTCGGTCTGGTGGAAGAAGGAGATGAAGGGCTGGTAGGTGGTCTCGATGATCATAAGCTGGAGCGGGTCGCCGTTGAAGGCGATGCGCTGGAGGGCCTTGAGAACCGAGCTCAAAGCCGTGCGACTTGCGACTGTGAATTGGGGTTAAGTCTCGGCCCAAGAGCGTCTGATGACAGAGGGAGACATACTGTTGCCGATGCCACCCATGGAGGGATCAGAAAACACTGCGCTCTCACGGAAGTCCGCGAGGCCTCGCGCCTGCTCGATGAAAGTCGGCGGGAGACGGTGCGCGTACGTCTTGTTGTGGACGAGCTCCGACTGCACAATGTCCCAGACCTAACGACAAGCATATTGAGTATCAAACGTAAGTAGAAGGCAAGGGCCGACTTACATTGTACTGCAGAAACAGTGACGGTGAAGCTTTCATCAGCAATCAGAGAAGTAAATCACTAGCAAGGACATTACCATGTTCTCAAGCGAGAGCTCCTGGCCCAGGACGAAGTCCCTCAGGGAGTTGAAGAAGGGCTGCGCCTTCTTCGCGACGTCCTTAAACTCGGAGGAGCCCATGACCTTCTGCACGTGCTTCTCAAACGCCTGTGCCACGCTGCCATCAGTCTCCGGAGCTTCCAACGTCAGGGATGCCAACGCACCGGACAACCAGTCCATGGCTCGAGCGAGCGGTCGTTGCTCGCCTCAACAGTCTCGACGGGAACGTACTGGTACCCGTTCAGGGGAGCGACGATGGTCGTCTCGTTGGCGAGAGTGATGCGGTTCGCCGGGTTGGGCGGGAACAGGCCCTGAAGGAGCGCCGTCGCGGAGTCGAACACTGCAGCGCCTTCGCCGCCGACCTTGACGCGGACAGCGACCTCAGAGAGATCGACGAGGTCGGCGTGGATGCCGCGGATGTGCGACTCAGAGGACGGGCTGAGGTACATCCGGCGGAGGTACTGTCCGAGCTGGTAGGCTTGCATCTGCGTGCGCTGTGAGCAAGCCTTCGTCGTGCGAGGTGGTGAGGACAGAACATACCTCTCCGAGAGGCGTGCTCTGAGTCATGCCCGGCTTCTGGGTGACGGGGTGTTGGTAGCATTCCGTGCGGTCACCGTTGCGGGCGATGACGACAGTGCCGAGAACCTGGTGGTGAGACATGGCTAGTCGTGAGTAGAGGAGGATGGACAGAAAGAGAGGGCGGGGGGCTCTGTCGAAGAGTGGCTCGAAGGCTGGAGAACGCTGAGACGATGGAGCTTTAGAAGCGGGTACTTATACGGGCAGCCGCAAGGGAGCAGAGTGGCACGAAGCATGGCACCCATGCCCTACCCTTGAGGGCCAGACCCCACGGCGGCGCGCGGAGCATTGCGGGTGACGCAGTAATGGAATAGAAGGGCGGCGTGGGTGATCATTATCTGCGCCAGGCCGGCGAACATCAGCGGGATTCCTTGGGAGAATCTTCGTGGCGGAGATGATGTCCCGTCCTTACGACCGGGCTGGTGTTGCACAAATGACGGTCACTGCGAAGAACCTACACTGCGAGGTATCTCCTCGCTGGTATCGCGGATGGGGCAGAGTGAAGCAGCGAACGGGGTGACCTTTCTCCGTAAGATGCGATGTGAAGGGCCCACGATGGACTGGGTGGGGCAAGAACGAATGTTGCGCGTTTACCTGCCGGTCTCTTTCGCGTTGTCGGCCTCGCGCATACCACGCGGAGCCACGTGATCGTTCCCCAAGACACTTCGACGGCGTCCCGGGAGATATAGACGGAGATCTTACTAGCCGGGGCGTCTTGCACACAAAGGCGAGTCTGATAATGCTTCGTTATGTGCCGCCTTCTAGCCACGATGAGCAGGCACACGTAGTCTCGCGCGTTGTGATCAAGAGTGCTTCTTGAAAGACGGATGGCAGCGGGGGCACAAAACAGCGCGCGGGGCACGCGTTGGTGTCAGATCCATAGACTCATTTCGACAGGAAGGGTGCGTACCTCCATTGTGTCTACCCTGGAGCCGAGTCGCCGACCAGCTCCGCGCGCAGTACACGCTGGAGCGCTGGCTCTCCCAAGCCATCACTTTCTCCTCTTCCCCTTGCCCCCGCCTCCAGAGCCCTTTCCGCCAGAATTTCCCCCTGCAGGTTCCATCGCTCCTTGCGTCGCACCACCACCACCCCTTCTCCGGCGTCCCTGAGCAAAGGACGTACGCTCACTCCTCTTGAGCCAACGCTCAGGATCGGGCGGCGGAGTGACTCCAGGGACGACACCATTGGGCACGCGCTTCATGCGCACCTTCTTTGCCTTTTCCTTCGGGGCTGGAGCATTAGACGCGTCTGCTAGTGCGGACACAGAGGCCAGCTGTTGCTGCGTTTGTTGGGGTGGTGGCGCTGTTTGTAGAGCCGCGGCCGCAGTAGGTGGGAGCGCGGTGTCAAGGGCACGGAGGAAGCCAGACGTCTGAAAATCGAGGTGCTTCTGCGCGGCTTCGAGGTTGGTGAGGATGTCGGAGTGCTCTTCCGAGTTCTACACGGAGCGGCGTCAGCGAGGAGCGTGTTGAGCACGCGTAAAGTCAAGAATGTCCTGGGCCGCCCATCTCGCCACGTCCCCGCAACCCTCTGGGTGCCAAGTCGTGCCCCATGATTGCATGATATCGCCGGGGATTGGATGAGCGCGGCGATATCTCCCCGCGACACACGGCATAGAAGCAGCACACGTCAAAGGGGCGCACGGAGAGTGAGGAGACCGCACGGTCAATGGCGCATCGAGATCGCGCGGTGGATTCAACAGGCACCCACGGAGCAGCACAACTTCCATCTAGCACCCCCAACGTGGATACCATGCGACTTCAGTGAACCACTCCACGGAGGGGGCCGTGCAGAGCGATCTCACTGATTCACTCACAACTCCATGGTCGAATTGCAGAGATTCCACTCACAGGTTCAGCAGTGTCCAGAAGCTGGTTGTAAAGTTCCGCGGCCTCATCGTACTTGGCTTGACGATACGCCTTGAGATAAACAAAAGTTAGCCTCGGGATATGAGCACAAATGTCACTGCGACGCACCAATTGAGCCTCGAGATGCAGTACTCCTCTATCTGCCCCCTCATCCACGCCCTTCTCCTTGACTTTCTGCAACACCGTCGTGGCCTCGGCTTCGCGATGGAGTCTGTACAGAGAGTACGAGTGCTCGAATGCACGGTCATGAACGTCTTGTGTGTCCTCTTTCGGCAAAGTCATTGCTAGAGCGGCAGCATACTGGTCGGTTTGCAGAAGGAGGAAGAGCTTCGTCTGGAGGGCATCATGATCGCTCGGCTCCAGTCGCAGGACTATCGCAGATACATGAGCAAATCACAGTCATGGTTTGGCATGAATAAACCAACTCTTGTCGCAGGTCTTGATCGCATTCGCGAAGTGTCCGCCGTCGATCTGAGCGCAGAGGGAGGTGAAGAGTCGTTTTAGCCTATCTGCGACGGAGAGAGGTTGTTTCGGCGCGGCCTTCTGGCGAATTTTCCGCTGGGAAGACTCATGCTTTGCAGCGGCCCGATCTGTGGGTTTGGACTTTGGAGGCATTTGTGTGCGCGAGTGTCAGAGAAGGGTGCAGGAGGGAGATTGGACACTTGACGGAACTGCTGCCTAGGGGAGACTCAGATGGGACGAGGGATAGAACCGCGCACTTACGACCACTAATGCAGCTACTATTGTCAGAGATTAGATGGTCAATAGCAGCGATTGATTACTGCATAACTGGACTGAATCAACTAGTTGCCCATTATAGCGCCTTCGGGCGCCTCTGAATGTGAACGCGCCCGCAGGTGGATGAACATCAGCATCAGTCGACATCGACGTCTCGGCCGTGACCTTGTTCCGTCTCCCTGTTGATGTGCCGTTGCCCGCAACATTGGGACTGAGCGCTGAGCACGCTAACGTCTTGGCCGTACCTCGGTTCGTCTGGCTCAAGAGGCCCTTTAAAATCACTGAGCCCTCCCCCTCCCGGCGACCCTTCCGACCGGCCTCCTTGGGTCCACGGTTGTCTCTACACTCGTTTCAACGCTCCTTCCTTTGGTTTCCGGCGGGATTGCTAGGTGTGTGTTTATCTTCGCACTGTGTTCTGCGCCCACTGTTGTGGACGAGCGCATCTGTTCATGTTCAAGTCCTGACAGAAGGCCTGTGCCTCCAGATATCTCCAAGTCTTCAAGCCCGAGAGGTTCGGTCTGAGGGTCCTCATCGACTCTCTCCACCTCCCCCTCGTGTGGTCATGCCACCAGCCTCTCAAGCATCCAGCAGCAGCGCAGCTGTCCCCTCAGCACCTGCGGCGTCTTCGCAGTCAGACAGTTCCGGGACCACTCTTGCTCTCGGCATCTCACTTGCCGTTCTCGCATTCCTTGTGTTCGGTGGGCTTGCTCTCTACTTCCTGCGGAGAAGGACGCGGGCGAAGAAGCAGCATGGGCGCGTGGCGGACCTCTCCTCCCATAGACGAACGTACATGGTTGCGGTCGACCCCGACCACCTCGCCGCACGGGTGACACCGTTCGGAGTTGGTGTGAACGCGCCTCATGTTGAAGTCCCAAAGTTCGGTGAGTGTTTCTCTCTGCGTCCTGTTATCGTCATGCGTGGACGAGGGTCGTGCGCACTGCGCGGAGGCTGGCGTTGGATGTGTGCGCCCAACGTCCGGTGCGTTCGGGTTGTGTCTCAAGCATGCGGGGGCATCAAGGCGCCGAGTCTCGTTGAGCCCATGGAAGTGATCGCGTCGGTCAAGTGAGCAGCGAGAGCTGTGCATGCCGCGTGGACGGGCCACCCTGTAGCAGTCCAATTCGTCACCGTCGCACTCCGGCGCGCGTCTCATTCCCACATCCATCATTTCCACTGACCATGATGTCTCGCTGCAGTCCACAACCCCGGAGAAAACATGCGTGTGGCGTACCGCCGCTCTGATGGCGGGTGGAGCTTCCAAGCCCAGGAGACCCCTGGGCCTTCCTTCGACCTCAACCGTGAGTTGACAACGTCAACACGCCTCGGTCCCTCCAAGGAGAAGAAGCTTCACCCCGGTGAGCTCACGACGCGCGGCTACGTTGAGTCGGACGTCGAAGGCAACCCACCACCTGCATACGATCATGAAGGCGCGAGCGTCGTCAGCGACTGCACAGGTCACCGCCTGTAGTTGCATCCTCTCCCAGCACCTTCGCGGCCTTCACGCTTTATCTCATGCCCTCACTACTATACTTGCACGTCACAAGCTCTCGGATCGCACATGCTCTGCAGACGTCGTCTCTGTTTCCCACTGGGTTGTATCACTACACATACCTCACCCTTCTTTCCAAAGCCCCCTCCTTGTTCGCTCCTTCCGCCCTTGCTATTGTTATTTATTCTCTACTTTCGCTTTGGCGCTTGCGCCTGTTAATCTTCTTTTTCTAACATCGAGTAGCAATCGAATAAGTTCCCGTGGCTGGTCATTAACATTGAGCATCGGAAAGCGGGCTGGGCTTGTTTAGATACCACGCAGCCCGTAGTAGTTGATATGGATACCACACACATGCCTCACATGCTTCTTGATATTCCGAGAATACAACACAACTGTTGGTTCCGCATCGGTATGACGGTAACGCCGCCAGATGTGAAATCGTCTGAACAGGGAGCCGACCTAGCGGAAGAGTCTGTATTCATGGATGCACAGAGAGAGAAATTTACAACCCGCGCCTATGTTGTACAGCTACTTATGGTCACGGCGGTCAATCAAGTACTGATGCCGTCACCACTTCCGGGCCGCTCGGCCCGACGTCTGAGATTTGTTCAGACTCCCAGGGCATGCACTAGGCTTTGCGGTGACCTCAAGTTTATGCTCCGCGACCACACTTCAAGCTTCACCTCTGCCTACCCCGACGATCTATTCTCATGGAATCACATCCTGATGAACGGCCTGCGAAGCGTTTTAAGGTGCGTAAGGTGGTCCATCCTACTGTTTGTTGTTTGACATCTGTGCAGTACGAGTCCTACAAGAGCACCCTGAAGGGTGTCCATCTCCCTTCTGCCCTTGCCCAAACAAAATTCGACCGCGAACTCACAGCGAGTCTCCCATATTCATTGTTTTAATCCGTTTCTGAACTTCTACACTATAGGACCATGATTCGCATTTCCATGAAGCCTTGCTGCATTGGCAGGAGCTCAACCTCGCCCCCACTTTTCTCCAATTCGCTCGCGATGTCGACCCCCTCTCGCTCTCGATGCCCTTGCTTCTCCACAACTGGAAGGAGATTGTGGAGAGATGGATAGGTGCCCTGGACAAGAGTAACGACGAGGGCTTGCGGGCCATCTTAGAGTGCGTCCATCCCCCTTGCCCTTTTTCTCCCACCGTGAACATCCAGCTTCAGTCTCTTTCAAAAACTTGCGCATGACCTCCGGACGACACTTGCACCAGAATACCCTCGCGTTCTCAAGAGTCTTCTCAAGCTTCTCCCTCGTTCCCTCTCTGTCGAAGCTTTGACGGCTCTCCTCGCGACATTCTCCGCCCTCTTCAAATACGTTCTCATACCAGCCGTCGACATCGAACTTCTCGACCAGGCATGGAATGTCTTCCGAGATGTGCTTCCCAAATGCCATCCTGAAGTCCAACGTGCAACGGCGGAAGTATGGGGGGCGACGCTTCGCAGAGTCAAACCCTCTTTGCGGGAGCACGCGGTGCATATAGTCGCAGAGAGCGTGGGCGATGGACTAGGTGATACATGTGCATGGATTCTAGTGACTGCATGCAAAGTGCGTAGCCCGATGCCTGCTCGGTTGTAAAAGCCTGACCTGTTCTAGTCTGTTTCCCAAACCCTGCATACGGTCACCTCCACTGTCATTACACCCCTCATTCCCTTCTACCTTCAATGTCAAGATGAAGATGCGACGTTCACCCTCCTTCGGCGCGTCCTCACCGCGCTGATACATCACTGTAAAGGCCCGGAGCAGTTCTCGCCCGTTTCAGATGCGGTCATCAAGTTGTACACGGAGACGGTGAAGGGAGGAGAGGAAGAGAAGATACGTCGCATTTTGGAAGTTGCTAGCGTGGTTTGTTCTGTGCGGCAGGGATCACGCTTAACGAGTGAGTCGTTCGCACGCTGCTCTCCCGACTGAGCTCACAGTGTATGCAGCAAAACACTTCGATGCCCTCCTGGCGGAGTACCCCAAAATCCCCCTTTCCGAGACCCTGCATGCAGCGCTACTCAAGCTCTCCACCAGCTCGTTGCTGGCAAGTGACATGGTCGTATGGAGCTCTCAAGGGCGAAAAGTCTTGGACCACTCCTGGGAGCGTCCAACACTGGGCCTTGAGCTTACGGGTGCGCTGTCGGACCTATCCTGGGGAGGCTGGAAGATGCTGGCCCTGTCTTACGTTTCGTCAAACACCCACAAAGTGCTGGAAACCCACCCCCAAGCGACGTTGGAAACGCTCGCGGCCCTTGCGAAGGCGAAGAGACTGGGCGATATGGACGTTGTTTGGAAGCAGCGGTTGCAGTCGTGGGTGGAGAAGACATTAGCAACTTGGGAACCAACTGAGGAGAAAGTAAGCATCACTCAATGTACACTTTTGCGAACATGGCTAATAGGACGTGTCTGCTTCCAGATGCAGCTGCTCGAACACATCATCAAGCTGGCGAAGCTTCTTCCTCCACTAGTTCCCGCAATGGTACGCATTGTCAACCAGACAGTGGAGTCTTCAGATTGTCGAGCAGAATACGATTCCTCATATGCAAACTCGGCCTGGCTCGTGAGCGTCTGCTCCGCCTGCATTGCGAACCGACCACCAACAGAGTGGGCTGGTACCATCGACCTCAAAAGCTGGGTTGAGCAGACGGTAGAGAAGTGGAGCTGGTCTGGGCAGGTATTGGAAGCTATGGCGTCTTTGGTGGCATCCAGGTATGTGGCGTTCGATAATCTCAAAACGCAAACCCTTACCTTCCTGCAGCGACGCCAAGGTCGTGTCTATGCCTTTCGACGACTTGTATGAACACTTGAAGCCATCCTTGGTCTCCCACTCTCGCCAGCTACGTTTACAAACCCTCCGCCTCCTCATTCTCGCCGGTTCCGCCTCTCCGTGCATCGCCGAATTTATGCAGAAAGCGTTGCAAGCTGAGGAAGTTTCGATCGATGTTCAAGGAGCTCGTGAACGTGTTTTGCGTATCAGCAGGCTACCCGTAGCGGTGAAGGAAGGCGATGAAGTCACAGCGGGTATATGTGCACGCTGGCTGATAGGCATGTCCATATCTTATGTTTCCTGCGAATACCGAAACTGAAACCGCGTACAGCTCAGCTGAAGGTCAACCTGAAACCTCTATGGGCGCCCGCAGTCGCGGCACTTGCCACCTTGGCTAACCGGTTCGGGGATATTGTTTGGACACTATTGTTCAGCGAGCTGCAAGCGGCATCGTCGGCCTCTGCAGAGGCACCACCGGTTTGGTTGAAGGAGAGGACCGAAGAAGAGGACGACGTCTGGGAAACGGAACGGTCATGGCGAGATCCGAACGCACACAAAGTGCGAATCAGCATCACTCGTTGGCTCTGTCACGATGCAGCGAGTCGCGCCATGGTCAAAGTACGTGTCACAGTCGCCTTCGCAGAGCGCACATTACTGACTGTCCCTGTAGAGCCAGCTCACTGGAGATCGATTTGATGTGTCGATGTACGAGCAGCAGCTTCTTTCCGCACTGGAAGCCTGTTCTTCCCTTGCGGAGAAGCACAATCGGGACCTAGTTCCACACTTCCTCTCTCTCGTTGACCTCGACGCGCCATCTAAGCTCCACCGTCCCAAGCTGAGCGCGTGGCTCAAGCTCTTTAGCAAATTCGCCAACCCAAACGCCCTTCGCTCCACGGACACCCTCCGCGCGCTGTACGTGAAGTACCTGTCCCACCCCGACCGCGCGCTGCAACGCCTCGTGCTCTCATGTCTCTTCACATACAAATCTCCGCGTCTCGCACCACACGAAGACACCCTCCGAACGCTTCTCGACGACACGAAGTGGCGCGACGAGCTTGTACTACTCGACTTCACCAAGTTCGACCAGGAGGAGCGCGCGGAGTTCGTCGACACCGTCATTCGTCTGCTCTTCGGCATGATGATTGATCGGAGAGGCAAGAGAGGGGGTGCGGATCGTCGCGCAGCGATATTATCAACTCTCGCTGGGTGCTCGGACGAGGAGCTCGCGCTGCTCGTAGACCTCATGCTGGAGCCCTTCCACGGGGGGAGACCGGTGCACGAAGGCGGGTTTACGATGGTGCCCGTACCTGAAGACGTCTCGACGAAGCAACAGGCCGGGTTCCTGACTCTCCTTGGCGATGTTTTGAAACAGCTCGGTTCGCGCCTCGTCGGGTGCTGGCCTACCTTGTTGGAGACACTTTTGGACCTTACCGGTGGAGCCCAAACCAAGATATCCGCGCAGAAGGCCGACGACATTGAGGAAGAGGCCGAAGCCGAGGACGATGAGGAGGTCGAAGTCCTTGACTCGGCGAAAGCGCTCAGGAATATTCGCCAGCTCGGTCTCAAGCGTCTGGCGGGATTTTTCCGTTGTGCGGTCGTCTTCGATTTCTCGCCGTATATGCGAGAAGCCTTCCGGACGTTTATATCCCCTCGGCTTCATCTCCTCGACCAAGAGAACACCCAATCACCGTCGTCACTTCTAGACCTCTTTCACGCATGGTCCCAACGCCTGGAATACGCCGTTTACCTGACGCAGTATGACGACAACACCCTCCCGAAGGTGTACGACTGTCTTGTGGCCACGAATGTCAAGCCCGTTGTGATCTCCAAGGTATTCGACATCGTCGAACAACTTCAGTCCCTGTCCGGCGCCGATGACAACATTCATGAGCATGTTTTCAAGCCACATGTCTCGCACCTTCTCACCAACCTGTCGACCTTGGTGTCACGCTCTAAGGGCAACGTCGATGCAATGACAGACGTGCTTGGACGCCGACAGATTACCATCCTCTCGGAGCTCGCGCCCTATCTCTCCGACTCCTCCCAAGCGACGATGCTCATCGACCTCTTTGCGCCGCTGCTGCGCAAGCCTCACAAAACGCTCCCGGAAAAGATCAAGGTCGATATGACTAGGATCCTATGCAACCTCTTCCCTCTTATTCCGGATTTGGCGGATGCGAACAGTGTCGCATTTACCAAGGCTTACCGACTACTGGCACAGCTCTTCCAAACCCTCCGCTCGCGTCAGGCGCGCCTTGCGCTTGTCTCAGCCTTCCAAGTTATCGCGAAGATCCAGCCCTCCATCCAAACTCTCTCTGATCTAATGGCCAGCCTCAACGCTTATTCAACGAAGCGTCTAGAGGAACCTGACTTTGATCGTCGCATGGCCGCGTTTGCTGAACTCAACGACCATCTCCACAAGTCCCTGGTCCATCATGATTGGCTTCCGATCATCTACAACATGCTCAGCTTCATCCAGGACCCTGCCGAACTGGCGATCCGGAGCTCCGCGGCAACGTCCCTGAAGCATTTCGTTGACCTTGTCGCAGACGAGCACGACCCGTATGAGGAGACGTTCCTCAAGATTCTTCTTCCGGGGATCAAGAACGGTCTCCGCTCGAAGGCAGAGCTCGTTCGGTCAGAGCTGCTCATAGTCCTATCCCATGCCGTCGTCAGATGCACATCCATTTTGAGCCTGCAAGAGATGCGCGTCCTGCTCGCCGGCGGCGACGAAGAGGCCAACTTCTTCAACAACGTCCACCACATCCAGATACACCGTCGTACGCGCGCGGTCAGAAGGCTTGCTGAGTTCGCGGAGCAAGGACACCTCAAGAGCAGCACGCTAGCGGACTGGTTCGTACCCCTAATCGGCAACTATATTGTCTCGACCGACTCGCTCGACCACCACCTTGTCAACGAGGCGATCCTCACCATGGGCCATATGGCGAAGCAGCTGAACTGGAGCGCGTACTACGCGCTCGTGCAGCGCTACCTGAAGCTCGCCAAGCAGAAGGATGCGTCGGAGCGCGTGTATGTGCGGACAATCGTCGCTATTCTTGATGCTTTCCACTTCCCTATGGAGGAAGCGGTCCCCCGAGAAGTTGCTGTTTTCGCTCCGGAGGAAAATGTCGATGAAGAGGAAGGCGAGCAAGAGGAAGCACAGCCTGAGCCCCAACCCACCCACGACCTGGCTAAGCTCGCCCGGATTCAAGACGCAGTCAACGGCCGCCTCTTGCCTAGTCTTATCTCGTACCTGGAGAAGCGCGACGAGACGGAAGATAGCCTGCGCATCCCCGTCGCTACTGGGATCATTCAGATTGCGAAACATCTTCCTCAGGACCTGCGCGAAGCGCAAATCTCCCGCCTTCTCACTGTTCTCAGTCAAGTTCTCAAGAGCAAGTCCCAAGAGACGCGCGACCTCGCTCGAGAAACGCTCTGTCGGATAGCTCGTGTTTTAGGCCCTGACTACCTCTCACTCATGATCCGCGAGATGCGAGGGGCGCTTCTCCGAGGTCCTCATCTCCACGTTCTAGCCTACTCCGTGCACGCGCTTCTTGTTCATCTCACCTCTGGCGACCACGTTTCTACCTTCCATACCCTCGACAGCTGCGTCGCTGACGTCGCTGCGGTTTCGTCAGAGGTCATCTTCGGCGAATCAGGGAAGGACGTTCAAGCTGAAGGTTTCAAGACGAAGATGCGCGAGGTTCGCGGTTCGTCGTCCAGAGGCGTTGACTCGTTCGCCCTTGTCGCAAAGTACATCACGCCTACGAAGATTAGCGCGCTTCTTCATCCAATCCGCAATGTCATGTCCGAGACTGAGACGCTCAAGATTATGCAGCAAATCGAGGAGCTCCTCAAGCGCATCGCTGGCGGCCTCAACTCCAACGCACATCTCGTCCCGAGTGAGCTCCTCGTCCTCTGCCACACTCTCATCAACCAGAACGCGAAGTTCCTGAAGGAAGCACCGAAGCATCAACCGCGTGGCAAGGGAAAACGCAAGGATGACGCGCTGGTGCAGACCAAGCGCCAGGTAACGATGGATCAGGACCACTACGCGAACAACTCCTTCCGGTATGTCGTGGGTCCCGGCGTCTCACAATGTATACGCTAACCTGGACGCAGCTTCGTCGCTTTTGGCCTTGACCTCTTCAACACTGCACATCGTCGTGGGCGGTTCGACTTCAAAGATCCCGTCATCATCTCCCGCCTGGAGCCTATGGTTGCCGTGATCGGGAACACACTATACTCGTCGCATATGCAAGTCGTATCCCCTGGTCTGAGGGCAGCAGCCGCCATCGTCAAGTGTCCCGTGAAGTCGATCGATAAGTCGCTACCGGTGTTCATTCGTCAGATCATCGACGTCATCAAGCAAGCCGGTTCGACTGAGCCCGAGGCGGTTCAGACTGCATTCAAAGCTTTGGCCACTATCCTCCGTGACCATCCCAGCGCGCAAGTCAAAGAGAAGGACCTTGTCTACCTCCTCGAGCTCCTTGGGCCCGATCTCGAAGAGCCTGGACGGCAGGCTGCAGTTTTCACTATGCTCCGCGCCATCATCGCTCGTCGCTTCGTCGTCCCCGAAATCTACGACATCATGGACAAAGTTGCCGAAATCATGGTCACGAACCAGTCCCCTTCTGTGCAAGAACTATGTCGCGGCGCGCTCCTTCAGTTCCTCTTGGACTATCCTCAGGGAAAGGGTCGTCTGCGCAACCAGATGACATTCCTGGTGAAGAACCTCTCTTATGTCTACGAGAGCGGGAAGTTGTCCGTCATGGAGCTTCTCAGTGCCATGATCGCCAAATTCGAGACGAGTCTTGTACAGGAGTACGCCGATCTGCTCTTCCTTGGTCTCGTCATGGTCATCGCGAACGACGACTCAGCCAAGTGTCGAGAGGTGGCGACGGAACTTATCAAGGGTCTTCTCGCGCGAATGGAGGTAAAGCAACGGAACGTCGTCGTCTCGCACGTGCATACGTGGGCCGTCCAACACTCTCAAGCGCAACTCACCCGCGTTTCCGCTCAGATGTACAGCCTTATCGTCGACTTCCTGAAGACCGATGCCGTACCCTACATCCCGTCGATTTGCGCAGACATGAACGCAGTTCTACGTAGATGTGCCGATGCCCTGGAAGACGCCGCTGCAGGTGAAGACGACGACGAAGACAGCGATCTCAGCCAGCAGTGGCACACTCCCTATCACTCCCTCCTCGCGCTATCACGGGTGCTCCGCGAACAACCCGAGCTTGCGACTGGTGGCGACAACGTTGACTGGCCAGCGGTGACTACCCTCCTTCTCTTCCCCCACGCCTGGGTCCGTACGGCGTCTTCTCGACTTCTCGGAACTTTGTTCGCCAGCATGCCGGCAGCCCCTCCTCCTGATGACGAGTCCCTTCTCAGCGGGGAGACGCTTGAGGAGATCTCAGCGAAGCTGTCAATTCAGCTCAGGAGCGACAACCTCGACGACAACCTCAGCATACAGATCGTGAAGAACCTTTTCTACGTCGGGAAATGTTTCGCACTCTTGGAGTACCACCCCGATACAAAAGCTGCCGATGAGGCTGACGATGACTCGGACGGCGAAGACGACCAAGAGGATACTGCGGTAGAGAAGTCGCGGCATCCCCTCTCACGTCTGTTCTCCAAGCTGTCTTATCAAGCTCGATCATCCCTCATCCGGCGGCGAAGCAAGGCCAGGATTTCTGTGGGTCCGTCTCTCACCCCTCGTTCCACTGGTGCTCAATCGTTTGCTTTAGCCGAATTGGTCTCTGCAGCCAGCATCCATTCTGAAGTGGTTTGCCGCCATGATATCCCATCTTGACGCCACACTTGTCGAACGCTTTCTTGTGCACATATTGAACCCCGTGTATCGGATTGTTGAAGATGATACCATCCGCGATCCACAGATGGGTACGTCGCTCTGCTCTAACGCGTTGGGACAGCGCTGATCGATATATAGATGATCTCAAAGGGCTCGCTGTCGAGTTGCAAGATCTACTGCAGTTGAAAGTCGGGACGACGAAGTTCTCTACGGTGTACAGCAGTTTGCGTCAAAAGATCCTCGACGTCCAGAGAGATCGGAAAGCGGTCCGGGCTATTCAGGTGTGTGACGATCGTCTCCTCACGCTCCTCGGCATCAGTTGCTCATCTGGGTTATCTCTGTATAGACTGCCACAAACCCTGTCGCTGCGGCACAGAGGAAGCTCGTGCGGAATGTTGCGAAGAAGGAGAGTCGGAAGAGGAAGAGTGAGACGTTCTTGTAAGTCGTCACCGCATATCTTGGAATACCTGCTGATCAAATTTTGCAGACAACATAAAGGGAAGCCGAAGCGGAGACGAGAGAACTAGCGTGGTCTTGTATCCCTGCTGCGGGACGTATATGTGTATCCATACCTTCATTTACTGTCGATCTCACCATAGCGGAGCGTGCTGCGCGGACACACATGGTCATCTGATCGGTCCAGGCGCCTCCTGCCAGCGCAACGTCATTTGTGTGCACCGTCTACCATATGTGGATGGCAAGTCTCTCACACTGCCGCAGAGTCGCCCTCGGTAGCTGCGGTAAGGGTAGTGCAACAATGCTCCATATAAGACACGACTTCTGTTTTCAAATCTTCTCACCGTTCCACCTTCCCTTCCCTCGTTGCCGCCATGCTCCAGCGTCATGGCAGTAGTGTCATCGGCTTGTCCAACCCGGCTTTCGCCTCCCATCGCCGCAGAATGCTTGATTTGATCAACGGGCTGCACCTCACAGGGTACGTCGTGGAATCTGTCATTGAACAGCGCGCTGACACTTGTCCAGGATACAAGCAGACTTGCCGCTTCCCGTCATAGCCGTCGTCGGCTTTCAGAGCGCCGGAAAATCCTCGCTCATCGAGGCTATATCTGGGCTCACCCTTCCTCGGGCGCCCGGTCTTTGTACCCGGTGCGTCAAACTTTGTGTCGTCCATCTGCGCTTGAGTCGTCTCATCCCATTCGGTCGTCTTCAGGTGTCCCACGGACTGCCGTTTGACTCGATCCCCGGGAGAGTGGAGCTGTAAAGTTTCACTGCACCTGTCCACGTCGTCTGACGGAAAGCTGCTGGGGTACATCAAGGAAGTTCAGTTTGGTGACATCATCTATGACAAGAGCGAGGTCGAAGAGCGCATACGCCGGGCGCAGCGTGCCATCATCAACCCCAGCACCGATTACACTGAGATCCTCGAGGGTCTGATCCCCGATCAGGATGAACTCCGGTTTTCGAAGAACACGGTGTCCCTGCACGTCACAAGTGAGGAGGTCGAAGACCTCTCTTTCTGCGACCTTCCTGGTGAGTGCTTCTATATTAGGAGTTCTGAGTGCTTCGGGTTGACACAATGGTCAGGTGTGATCTCGAGCGTGAATCGAGGAGAGAACCGCAACGACATCCAGACCGTCAAAGACATGGTCTCTTCGTACATCTCTAACCCTAGTAGCATCATCCTGTTGACCATCAGTTGCGAAGGTGCGTGGGGTACAAGTTTGACCATGTTATACTCACTCACCTCTCGGTTCATTGTCTCCCCAGTTGATATCGCCAACCAGAGTGGTCTCAGTCTTGCACAAGAGCATGATCCCGCGGGAAAGAGGACCATCGGCAAGTATAGTGACGTCTCAACCATTGAGTGCTAATAGAAGTGCACACAGGCGTTCTCACGAAGCCAGATCGTATTGCTTCTGGTGACGAGGACCAATGGCTCCGATTCATTCGGAACGAGTCCGAGCCTTTGGACCATGGCTGGTATTGCGTCAAGCAGCCAGATTCCGTCCAGATCAAGCAAGGCATCACTTGGGAAGAGGCGCGGGAAAAGGAGGAAGAGTTCTTCGAGAAAACATCCCTGTGGTCCGGCCTCGACACCAGCTATCGCAGTCGTCTAGGGACGGCCGCCCTCATGCGGCGCTTAGGCGATGTGCTCTCGGATTCGATTTCCAAAGGGCACGTCTTGGTGGGCCGTACGCGAGTAACTTTCTGACCATTTGCGATGACAGACTTCCAACTATACAGGAGAGAGTGCAGGACCTCTTAGTCGAGTCCGAGGCCAAACTCATGAAGCTCCCCAAGCCGCCGTCCTCCGATGCTCTGTCCGAGGTTCTAAGCCTGCTGGCGACGTTTTCGAAGGCGCTCAGCCAGTACGTCGAGGGCACTCCCAACGCTGACGGCCTCCTCCAGTCGATCCGGCCATCCCGCAACACATTCCGAGATGCGATTCGTGCGACGGAGCCCGATTTCAGGCCGTACGACCGCCAGTTCGTCACGAAGAATGAGGCGGAACACACGTATCGGGCGCCGCCTTTCCTCGTGAACGAAGGGAGCTCTTACACGCCTCCGGACAATTCACGCGCGATCCTGATTGATGACGTCACATTGCGCACGCAGGAGTAGGTTGTCCTTTTCGTCGCCGGGTGCGAGACTAATGACCGATCTTCCAACACGCAGAGCAGTGACTCGCGAGCTCCCAGGCTTCTTCCCGTACGAAGTCGTCCGCAATTACGTCACGACCATCGTCGCCGACTGGCAGCGTCCAGCGGAGAACCTCTTCCACGATATCCAGCAGACCCTCATCAAACACGTCAAAGCGCTCATCGACGAGCACTTCTCTCAGTACCCATACCTCAAGGCATGCATCCTGTAAATCCCTTATCCCCCCCATGTTACAACATCTTACTGACAAAGTCGCTTCCCGCTCCCCAGGCAGCTCACAGTGGACTTCATCCTCACCGTTCACGAGAAGGCTTTCGATCGCATCCAGTGGTTTATCGCGCTCGAGAGATCGCCTGCGACACTTAACGAAGACTACTACAACGAATATCACGAGAAGTTCGAGGCGCATTTCAAGGGTTGGCGCCCACCCCGCGACGGCGACCCGCGCGGCGCGCTCGTGCGGCGTATTGGGAACGGGAACGCGAACTTCCGGAACGCGCTCGATGCAGTGATTGCGAACCTCGCGAATATAGGGCTTCACGGTACGGAGCCGTCTGACCTCGCGAAACTTCTCCCACCCGACCCGTACGACACCTCGATCGGGATTATGGCGAGTGTGCGGGCGTACTTTCATGGTGAGTTGGCCTGTTGGCTTGCCGCTGCGTCGGCCCTCTGCGACGTCCCTCTTTCTCACGCGACATTGGGATTGTAGTCGCGCACAAGCGGTTCATGGACAACATCCCGATGGCGATCGACTACGAGCTGGTTCGCGGGCTCGATCGCGACCAGGCGCTGGAGAAGGCGCTGCGGGAGGGGCTGAGGATCGGCGGCGTCGACGGCATCGAAATGTGCAAGAAGTACATAGAGGAACCGCCCCTCGTTGCCGAGCGTCGCGAGGAGCTCCGGAACAAGCTCGAGCGTCTGCAGGCGGCAAAAAAGCAGATTATGGCGGGTTGGCACTGACATTTGGACTCGACGGTGTCCGTCTCGTGTTGTACGCTATGATCGCATCCGTTTTCTCGTCCTGCATGTATGTTAGCAGAAGTTGTCCACAAAGTTCATTGAGCCATGTCAATCTTTAGCTTGAATCTATATGGCATCATTACTCGTTGACCAGAAGAAGAAGCTTTCCCGGCACAGTTGCGGCGCAAAACTCCTTCGCGAAGTCTTTACACCTTTGCTGCAGATTTTCCGGGCACATCTTATCTTATCGTGATTAGATTTGTGGCCGTCTACTTGGCGTCTACCCGCAACTCCAACTTGTCCTCAGACCACCACTTCATTGATCGCTTGTCCGCTTTTCATACCCTCTTCCAAGTAACAGCAACTGTTTTCGTCCCAGTGTCCTCAAGATTTCTTCGCCACAATGCAAGAGATTGACATCGGACCTCCAACAAGTCTCCCTCATCAATGATTGCTCGTTATACAAGACGTGCTCACTCCGATGCCGTCATTCCGAGAAAGGCCGAATCATGAAGTATCATCTATTTCACTCGATTGAAATACACATCCCAGTTACTCAGCATCCGAAATCCTGGAGTTCCCGACGTCGGGGTAGGAATAAAAGGAGCGACTGCCGTATCACCAATGCACATCCTACTCCCTTTGACTCATGCCCACCATGGCTACCGCCAAACCTCTCGTCTGTGTCGTCGGCGCAACTGGAGTCACGGGCAAGAGCATTGTCGATGGCCTCCTCAAATCCGCCAAATTTGTATGTACCCGCGCCCCTTTCCTACTCCAATTCATCTAACCAATCACTTCATAGAGCGTCGTTGCGTTCACCCGCTCTTCGTCCTCTCCAAAGCCCGACGTGGAAACCATGCGCGCCAAGGGTGTCGAGATACGACACGCCGACCTCCTAGACGGCGTCGAGAAGCTTAAGACCGCGCTCGAGGGTATCGACATTGTCATCAGCGCCGTCACTGCGCTCTCCATCCTCGACCAGAAGGACCTCGTTCGCGCCGCCAAAGAAGTCGGCGTCAAGCGCTTCATCCCCTGCGACTTTGGCACTCCTGGGGCCAAGGGCGTCCGCATGCTCCTCGACGACGTACGTAAGCACCTTCGCCTGCTTTCCGTCCTCGTGTTCACCCATCGCCGCAGAAACTCAAGATACATGAGCTGGTCGAGTCCCTCGATGTGCCTCACACCTACATCGACGTCGGATGGTGGATGCAAGTGTATATCCCACTCCCGGCACGCAGCGCGGCGTCTCCACAGCTCAAGGCTCTCGCCAACATCGTCTGCGGCGCCGGGGACGCCAAACTGCTCGTCACGAACCTCCACCACATCGGCGACTGGGTCGCTCGGATCGTCGACGACCCGCGCACGCTGAACCGGTCCGTGATGGTGTGGGAGGACGAGGTGACGCAGATGGAGGCGCTCGCCATCGCAGGTTCCATTTCTGGGGAAGGCGCGGCGTTCGAGGCGTCCAGGACCTCGGTTCGTGCACGCCTCCAACTCTCGCACCGATTCCGTGCTGACTACGCCGCCCGTCAGATCGACCGTGAGACGTTTGAGAAGATGGCTTTTGATGCCGCGGCGGCGATCGCGGCGGATCCGTCCGACTTTGCGAACCACATCACGCAATCGTGGGCGGAGTACGTGATCAGCACGCAGTTCCTGCGGGAGAACACGCTCGAGAACGCGAAGGCGCTTGGGTACCTCGATGCGCAGGAGTTGTACCCTGATGCGCCGTCACAGTCGCTCGAGGAATTTGCAAAGGAGTTCTACGCGCTGGAAGATCCTGGCCTTGCGATCGCGCGGTAATAGATGGGACCGTACATCAAATAGGACCTGGCGATGAGGTACTTTGGAGGTCAATTGAGTTGCAAGGCATTCATTTGATACGTGGATCTATCAACATAAACTCTTTAGTTTCATCCATACCATCGGCGATTCACAGCTGTAGGGGGATGGTCACATTATATACTCGCTGCCATTCAATGGTGTGATCTACTGCGTGTTTCTAATCTTCCACCCATAGCCCTCGAGCATGTCGATCAGGAAGTCCCCAGGCTCCTTCTGCGCATAAAACTCTGTCGCAAACTCCTCGAACTTCCGTTGTACGAGATCGGGGTAGAGCTCATGCGCATCGAGGTGTCCGAGCTTCTTCGCATTCTGAAGCGTGCTCTCCTGAGCGAAGTGAATGCTGTAGTTGTAGTCCATGAGGCTGTACGTGACCTTGTGCGCGGTCGCCGTCGGGTCTTCCTTCAGTGCCGCGTCGGCGTCCGTCTGGGCCTTCCGCAGCTCCTCGAGCGTCACCTGCATGAGAAGCCAGAATCAGAAAAACCCTGTACAATCTCCCAGCCTCACGAAAGAGTCGATTGAAAACCTCACCTTACGCATTGTCTTGAACATCTCGCCCTCCCCTGACACGCGGTCCGCAATCTCCAAAAATTCGTTGTGCGTAATTTCGTCTTCCCAAACGAGCACGCTCTTGTTGACCGTGCGCGGGTCCTTCACGATGCGCGCGACCCACTTCCCGACGTGCGTCGGGTTGACGAGCAGCATCCGCGCCCGCCCGCCGTTGTACACCGCGTGCGCGATCGCCTGCAGCGGCGCGGGCACGGCGGTGCGCTTCGGCAGCGGCGAAAGCGTCTCCATCCAACTGCCGACGTCGACGAAAGTGTACGGGACGCCGGACTCCTGGATGTAGTCGTGCAGTTCGATTTTCTGGACGATGGCCGCGTCAATTCCGGGCCACGGCCTCGAGCAAACGACTTTCGTGGACACACCATGTCGTGCAACCTGCGCACGCCGCAGGCCCCGGGCGTCGCCCAGTCGGAGGGGATGATGCGCTGCACCCCGACCGCCTTCGCGGCGTCGACGAGCGTCGACTGCCCGCGCTTCTCGAAGGCCTCGAATCCGGCGATGGCGCTGATGAGCGTGTGCACGCCGGCGAGCGCGGCCGTGAGCTGGTCGACGCCGTCGAGGACGTCCCCGAGCCGGACCTCGGCACCCGCATCGCGGAACTTCTGGACCGCAGGCTTGGACGCAGAGCTTGGGCGAACGAGGATGCCGACGCGCTGCGAGCCGCGTCAGATTAGCCGGCCGTGAACCGAAGCGGAGTGAGCACGTACGAAGGTGCCGTCCTCGAGCAGGGCTTCAACGATGCTTCCACCTGTGATTCCCGTGGCTCCGACGATGAGTGCGAGAGGCTTGTCGACGTTTCTTGACACAACTGTGTGATTAGTTAGGACATGATTCGCTCCGCACAGTATTTATAGTGTCCTTCAAACAGGTGTTGCTGGTGGCTAAGAACAACGCACGAAGACCATCAAAGTCTGACAAATGGATGAGTAAGAATCGAGGGGATGCGCGCGCTCACCCACAGGCTCGAAACGGCGTCATGTACGGGTGCCGTTCTCTGGCCTGGACAGCGGCCACATCGGGAATTTACGCATCTCCCGATCCCTCGACAGAAGCCGGTCATTCTCCGAGTCCCGTAGCAGTGGCGACTGACGAAGCCAGATGTTTCCACCCTTCCGCCAAGAAACCCTTGGACAGAACCAACCCGCAGATCCAGCATGAAGTCGATCCAGTGGTCTTCTTAGAAAAAAGGGGCATGGGAGTAAGAGTCAAGACGCGCGCAATGCTGGCCTCGATCACAAGGCAATCTAAGCGCCCAATCTCAAGCGCTATCACTCAATTTCAAGCTCACATCCGTCTTTCATTCAGACCACATTCATCCAAACGAAGGAGACCCCGAGACAGCGTCCGTCTGGGCGAGCCTTCCGGCGACCAGAGTGGAAGGCACTCCCACCTCACTCCGTTTCTACCGCACGGCGGCTAGACTCCTCTGGTTTCCCGTACGTAGCGCCTACCAGACAAACAAACAAACAAACATTCATCCAATGACTTCGGGAAACGTGCTACACATGGTGTTTGTAGTTCGGTGCTACTCAAGCCAGGCCATAGTTCGTCAGCGCCCGCATCGTCATCTCGCCCGGCTCCTCGCGCGCGTAGAACTCCTTCGCAAACTCCTCCAGACTCTGCTGCGGCATATCCGGGTAGAGTTCGTGCGCGTCCAGATACCCGTTCGCCTTCGTCCATCCGCGCGAGTTCTCCCCTAGGAAGTGCATGCTCAGCGCGTACTCCAACGGCGCGCGCATGAGACGGTGCGGGGCCTTCATCGAGTCGTCCGGCTTCGTCTTGGACTTACAGTCCTCTATCGTCAGCTTGATCGTTTCGAGGGCCATCTACCGCGTCAAACGGAAAGTCAAGCTTCACGCAAATCAAGAGAAACTGGAAAATATACCTTCGTGCGCGACGCTTCCAAGGCCTCCGCATCACCCGAGATGCGTCCGGCGATCGCGAACGCCTCCGTTTGCGTCACCTCGTCGTCCCAGACGACCACCTTCTGGTTGATCGTACGCGGGTCGGCGACAATGCGCGCAACCCAGAGCCCGATGTGCGCGGGGTTTGTCACCAGGTTCTTCCTCGAGCCGTCGCCATACATGACGTTAGAGTTCGCCTTGAGTGCCTCGGGGATTCCGCTCCGCGAGGGCACCGGGATGAAGAACTCCGCCCACCAGCCGACCTCGATGTAAGTGTGGGGCACGCCGAGCTCCTCGATGAAATCGTGGATCTCGTATTTCTGACGAGAGCGTCAACGAATATACGGACCACAGACGAATGACAGACCCACTATGTCGAGGAGCTCGCGAATGCCGCGTGCGCCGGGGGTGCCGAAGTCACAGGGCACGATGCGCTGCACACCGGCCTCCTTCGCGGCGCGGATGACGTTCTTCTGGTCGAGGAGGTGCCAGAAGGCGACGGCGCTGACGACGGTGTGGACGCCATGAAGCGCGTCCTTGAGCTCTTTGGCGTCGCAGGTGACGTCGCCGGCACGAATCTCTATGCCCTGCGCACGGAGGGCCTCGGTGGACGACTTCGCCATGGACGCAGGGCGAATGAGAGCGGCGAGACGCTAGCACGGGCACAGAGTAAGTGCGTGAGCGATCGTCGATACACGGCGACTCACGAAGTCGCCAGCCTTGAGCATGGCTCCGGTGATAGTTTCACCCGTCAGTCCGCTGGCGCCGATGATGAGAGCGAGAGGCTTGTTCGAAGTAGACATGGTTGTGTAGTGAGAGGGTCGAAGAAGTGTAGATGAGGGAGGTTGCCCTCCGTAGGATCATATATATGGCCTCAGCACCATTCTCCGAGATCGGGCGTAGACGAAAACTCTGTCAGCAGAGGTTCTGGGAGGCAGTAAACGGCGACCTCTGCTGCCGACTGTCGGGAAACGGCGCGCGTGTCTCCAGCTAGCGCTCCAGATCTGGAAACACCCCTTGTCTCCGGCTGGCTCTCTGACCCCGGCATCAACGACGCTTCTGCTCCTCCCGCCCAAACACCCAAGGACAGCCACGGGTCGCCACCGCCGCACGTCCCTCCTCCCCATCTGGCACGCTCGAAAGTGCACCATCTCCGACCAGACCCGTGCGCAGTATCCGGATCACGGAGGGCATCTTCATGCGCGTCCGAGTTCCGGGCACCAAACCCAAGGTGGAACCGCCGTCCGCACAAGCCCTGGCGGCGCTATAGTGGTGCACCGTGCACGCCGTCCTCCGGGATGCTCACACCGATTGGTGCCGCTGCCTCCTCATCGAAGGTCGCCGCCACGCTTGGCCACACAGGCCCTGGGCCCAGGGGCCCACCGCAACCGTACCAGCCTGGGCCTTCATCGCTGTGTAGCGCTCGCCTTGGATGGAGAACGCGCCTCCAACTGCTGTCGACTGCAGGCGCGTTCTCCATCCGCGTCGGGAGGGAAACGGCTGTCTCAGACCGGAGACGCTGTCGTCCTCCTCTCAAGCTGCCGCCACCAGCAGCTGGAGGCGCCCGTCTCCAGCCCGACGCTGATGGAGCGAGGGAGATCGTGGAAGGACATTCATAAGCATTCACGGACATTGTTGAGCTCCGACGCCCCAAGCGCCTCCGTAGTTTCCCAGCAGCTCGAGAATCTCCCCCTTCGTTGATCTTCAAATTGTGAAACAGGAGCTGCGCTTCGGCAGACGCCGTGCCTGCATTTCCTCCTCCCCCCAGCACATGCCCCCGAACGCCATCGCGTGTGTCGCGCTCATGGACGAGGGGATTGCGGCGCATGCGCGCGAGCTGTTGCTGCCGTCACCTCGTCGTCGCCCTCGTCCTCGTCCTTGGCCCCGTCGCTGATGTGATGGATCATGGATGTCGATCGCCCGCGGCGAGCGAAGAAGTGTCCCGCGCGGCGTAGGCGCAGGACTACATTTCCCGCGCCATGTAATCCCCTTTAGCTCGCGTGAAGGCCGATGGAAGCAGGCTCGCACTGAGAAACGGCGGCACTCGAAGTGCGCGGGCGCCAGCAGACGCGCGGGTGTCGGATGGGCCGCAACAGAATTTGCGGAATTTCAAATTGAATTTGAATGTCCGCAAATCCTGATGCATGTCCTTCCTTTGTCAAGTTGTCTCCCCCTCGAGGTCCCTGATGACGTACAAGTTGTGTTTCTAAGACTCATGGTCAGGAGCGAGGACCGTGGAAGCTGTGGGAAGACTGAGCGACATTTGTGAGAAGGGGTTGCCGGATAAGGGTAAGAGACAAGGGAAAGGGTTGGGCACAGATCTTGAAAGGCGAACGATTGTCCAGTGTTTCATTGTTGAGTGAGTCAGATTTCACTTGGGGCGCGACTGCGACGCTTGGCAAGGTCTGTGATGTTGAAGTCGGACTCCGGGCTGCGTTATTGACGAACAAAGTGTTGGGTTTACAAATGTGCGCGATTTCAGTACACCTTCTTGACACCTTCAATTCGCCATTACTGTTGTTGGGGTAAGCGCCAGTTACGGATGAGTAGCTCTGTGACTGACTTACCATGGCACACAACCCGCCCGGATTTCGTCTGACCGCTTCCATCACCAACCGTCTTCGTTATCATCCTGGAAAAAGTCCGCAAACTCGCTCAGGAGCCCCTCGGGCTCTTCCCATTGAAGTTTATCCGAGTCGTTCTCATTTTCATCCCAGGGTAACTCAACGGTGTGGGTGGACAGCCGAACGGAGACGTCGTCCAACGTTGGGATTGCGGATGCGAGTTCTTGGGCACAGAAGTCAAGGTCTAAGTTGTCCAAATACGCCGCAGCAGGAGACTCCTTGATGTTGCCATAGTTGAACGTGAGTCCGAGACGTTGAAGAGGTAGGGGCCTTAGTATCGCGAAGACGTGTTCCTGTCGGAGGCAAGAACATATCAGCACATCTATCAAGTGTTCACAAGCTGGCCCCGCAGAACCAAGATTACTCACCAGTGCTTGATCGACTATGTCGGTCCGGGTCTCCTCGCACCCGAAGACGACCTCCAAATCAAGCGCTCGCAAATACTCCATCGTCCGAGGGCGAAGAGGGAACGTATCGAGGGCCCCGCCCGTCATCATCGTAACCGTGTGCGGCGTCGTATCCGCCAATATACGGTCCAGTAGCTGGGCGTTGTACGGGGCTACAACGCCCTTGACTCGCATCACTGGTACGTGGCACGAAAGAGCGAGCGCGTAAATGTCGAATAGCGTCCCCTGCACCTCCTCCAACTGCAACCACCGCACCTCCTGAGAGAGTGCAAGTTGAGCTTGACGATTTCGGTCCGCTAGATGTTCGATAAATGGGGCGAACCGAAAGTCCTCGTGCTGGTTTTCCCAGTCTCCTTGGATTGAGACGTGGGTAGCGTTTGGAAAGGCTTGCATGTACTCTGCGGTTGCGTGTGCGGTGAAGTTGTCGCCAGAATGCTTGATGTCGAGAACGCGTACGAGGGGATATATCGTACCACCGCGACCCGAAGGGGCTGGGGTTTCGTGGACACTGTGCATGACACCGTTGACGTGGAGTACTTCCAGTGATGGAGCGAAGTTTCGAAGGAAGAGGATAGGGTCTTTCAATTTGTCCTCGACATCACTCATGGCGTCCCAATCGCGATCGATGTATGCGTGCAGGTCGATCTTCACCAAGGGAGAGTGTAAGCGGTTAAGCCAGGCGGTAGTGGAAATGCCATAGTCATAGACGGTGAGATGGCGCAAGGAGGTGAGCGAGGAAAGCGCATCGGAGAGGAGACGGGGGTGCGATGAGAGTGATTTTTTGGTGCGGTGTCTTGTGGGGCCTTGTGTGACTTCTACGCCTGAGTTGGCAAACAGCATTTCCGCGGAATGGAGAACGAAGGTATGAAAGGAGCAGAGCGGATGTTCGAACAGTTCTACCAGTGCGCGGATGGCGGTTGGGGAGTGCGAATAGGGAACAGATTGTATTATAAGAGTCTTGAGATGAAGAAAGCGGGCGTGGGGATCGGATAGCATGAAGCGCAACAAAGAAGGGGCCAGAACAGCAGACGAGAGTGTCGCCCCGTGGTCGAGGAGGATTTTGACGCCCCGCTGATTGAGAACGCGGCATGTGCGCATCATCTTCGAGACCCCGTCAGGTTGCGCGAAGTTCATGATGACGAGGAGAATATCCACAGGAAGCACCTACATTGGCATGAGTGATGGGCATCAGTACAGGTAGATATCGCACTGACCATCTTCTCCGTGTGCTGCAGCGAGGGTGTCTTGGGACAAGAAGCGAGGGTCCCCACGAGAACGCCTTATACTTCTCCAATTAAGGTTCAAGCGCCGCCTTCGTCTGTGCTTGAATGTTACTTCGATCGCCAACGGTCATCATAGATGTGTCGGCGACAACAAGACGGCTTCTACAGCGAACTAATGCTGGGAGCAAAGCCTGCGATCGTCCAATGAAGTGTATATACTCGATCTAGCGTAGTCAAGGCGAAAAGACACGCGGTCTTTCACAGTTCATTATGTCGAACTTGTCGCTTGAGAATGGCACCGGATATGTTTGCGAACCATGCGCGCTGGTCTTTGGGTGAAGCCCAGTCGGGTGAATGACCTGGAAGTGATGCATATAGCCCCCAGCATAGGTGGTCTCAGGGGGGTACGTACCGCCGAAGAATGTCTGCATGTGCAAGCCCTGCACACGACCGTCCGCTCCTTCCTCCGTCCGGATTACGAGGCCGTTCGCATGCATGACCGAGCGTCCATCAACGAAGACCTCGATCTCGCCTATGACCGGGGGCATTCGTCTGAGGCGCATAAGAACGTAAATTCACGTACTTACCATCCTCCTTGCCTACGTCGTTGACTTTCACTCTCTCTGCAATCCGCATCCACCGCCCAGACTCGAACTTCAAGGCGCCGCGTCCTACGGAGAAGCCGTAGTCCGGATGCCTGATAGACTTTGGTGGGACGGCCATGAGGCGCTCTGTGTTCTTGTCGTGGTGGGGAAGGTATGCATACAACTCGCCAACTGCATTCTCCCTACGTGGTCGAAGGGAAATCAGCACATGCACACAGAACCCCATGCTCGACATGGCTCACAACCTACCTCCACATCAACCGGAGGTCGAAACACCTGCATCTGTCTTCCTGTCGACCCCCAGTGCAGCCGTACGCAGAGTCGCCAGCCCCACCGTCTGCGCCAGAATAAGAATCTCCTTGTTAGGGGGCAAAACAAGAGCACTCACAAATGCCAGGCAGCTTCCCTCCTTTGACCCATTCAAACCCTTCGTCGAAGAGCACATCGTAGCTAAAAATGACCTCTTCCTCGTCCCCCAACTCCTTGAGTGCTTTCGCAAATGGCAGAGGTCCATGTAAGTAGAAACCAAAACCGCCAGGAGGAGCCGTCTTGTTTCCAGGGTTGATACTACCGTTTGAAAAACATGCCTCCCATGCTGGCGACAATTCGCTCCCGCCAGGAACGGGGATGGGAGGGACGACAAGGTGATGGGGGGTCTTGGAAGTGGCTTTGTGCACGCCGAGGGGCTTGTCGAGGAGGTCGACGGGGTGGACATTAGGGATATTGGCGGTGGGGCATGTTGTGAAGCCTGTCAATATGCGTGAAAAAGGGATGGGAAATAGTGACATGTCCATTGAGGAAGAAGAGGAGGAGGAGGAGCTCGATGAAATGATCCGTCCATGCGTGTCTGCAAGTCGGACTCCGGCAATCGCGGAACCAGGAAACACCGGCTTCTGCCATCGCTTGCTCTCTCACTTCCACCACGGTTCAAACGTTCATGACCACTTGGCTCGACGCTCTCTCGCATCTTCGTTTTTCAAACAGTCTTCTTGAGGTTTCAAATCATGATTACTCCGCACCTCTCTCGCTCTACCGCGTCTCTGCTATCAATGCAGAGTATGCCCACTTCACCATGGCGATTTGACGCCCCTCGATGGGGATAGCGCATGGATAATCCGTTGTGCTTGAGCGTGGTGTTAAGTGCGGGTTAGGCTGGTATGTGGACGATGCATTGCACCTCTTCGGCACCTTCTTCTCACGAGAGTTCACATTGCAGTATGTGGTTTCCGCGAGCAACGGCAGTATCTCAAACCAGATGCACCTCCAGCTCCAGTGCTCGCGCGGCAACGCTCACGCCGGTGTGCGTTCTCAGACGTTTCCGCTTCCGGTGCAGACCAAGTACGATTCGGCGGATGTCTCCCGCCTTGGCACTTCTAGCCTTCTAGGAGAAATGCTCTCAGGACAAGAGTGGCACCATCGAATCGGAGGAGGCTTGCGGACTTGGTCATCTTCGACGCGGCGAGATATATCCTGTTCAGCATGCACGGTCTGCGCGAGACCGGAGAACACGAAAAAGCTCGGATACCTGGACGTCCGGGAGCTGTACCTACTAGATGCGCCGCGCCTCACGTCGGAGGAGTTCGCGACGGAGTGAAGAGCCCGGGGACAAGGGGTGGATCGGTCGTATTATGGGTCCAGCTAATGTACACGCATATAACAGCAATGCTATTGCTCGTGGAGAATACATACTGCGCCCCACGACTGAGCCAGCTTAGCGCCCCTCTTGATCTCCCCGTTCGCGACGAGTATCACGAAGTCCTTGCTCGTCGCATGCAAAACGACAATACCAACGGGGACCACCACGCCCCGGCGGTTGATCATCGCCATGTACAACCCTTTCTTAGGCCCTTGCCCCCTGGCCACATTGGCCGCTACATTGTTAGCCTTGAGATCATCAGACGTCGTCTGCCCCACTCACCTTGCCTCGAGGCTCTCCTTCACCAGACGCCCGCGCGACGATTTCGTGCATCTCCCCCTGCGACTTCTCGTCGTCCCACACGATCACCGCCTGATCGAGCGTGCACGGATCCGCGACGACGCGTGCGACCCACGACCTGATATTGCACAGGTCCGTGACGAGCATTGGCGCCGCCTCGCCGGTGTACTCCGTGCTGGAGAGCTGCTTCGCCGCGTCGGGCGGTCGAGCAAGAGTCAAAACAGTGGTATCTGATTAACGTCATTGCCGGGTTCTCGCCATGCGGCACACCAAGCCGCCTCCAAGAACCGTACAAACAGAACACGAGAGTCCAGGTCATCAGACCCCACGCGGACGCGGGCGGTATCGTTACAACTCGCACCTCCAGATCCAGAACGTACATGTCTCACCCCCTGGCGCCTCACGCGACGGTGAAGTTGCCCGAGTGCCCGACGAAGGGCGTGATGGTACCCCCGAGCGACTTGGAGTCGCCAAAGTAAGTGAAGCGGTACGTGCCCGCAGGGGTACCAGATTCGATCGTCCAGGTGAGGTTGGCGGTGCTCGTACCAAGGATCTACGGCCAGTGTAAGCGCCGAGGAAAACAAAGCGTCACACGAAACTAGGACGTACGGTGCTCGTTCGCAGCCACTGGTAGGTCGTCGACGGATGGGAGTCGGAGCGGACGGCAGTCCAGGCGCCGTTGACAAGTCGGTCGACGGTGAGGAAGGTGCCCTCAAGGCGGAGGTTGTTTCGCGGGTTCGCGCTGCATCGTGACTGTCAGCGCGGGCTCAGATGACGAAGAGAAGGGGTACTTGCCCAACAAAGACCGCCGAGACGGACTGGCCGGCAGAGTATGGCGTTGAGGCGACGTCGGTCGAGACATCGCCAAAGTTGTGACCAATACCCGCACCGTCGAAGACAACACCAGTCTACGTGATAACATGCTTTCAGCGCCGAGGAGTAAAACCGGGAGACCATGACTTACGCGCAGGGAGATGGCGCTGCCACTGAGATCAGGCGACGCGGGATCCGAGGCGGGTTGCGAAGTGTTGCCGTCCGCGAGGTACCCGACGAGACTTCCATACTTGTCCATGTACGACTCAAGGGTGTCTGCACGAGTCGCGTGGTCAGAATCGACGTCATGCGGCACGAGGAAGGGAAGACGTACATTGCCCGAAGATAGTGGACGCGCCTTCGTACCGCTGAACGGCATACTCCTCCCGCGTGGCGACGTAGTGCGCGTAGGTGTTCGCGGGGCCCGCGATGACGACGTACGCATCTTCACCAATGACGCCCTCAGAGATGAGCTTTGTGCGAATAGCATCCCTACGCACGGCGTCAGAACGCAGATCACATCGCACTGGAACGTGACGTTACCTCATACGACGGCCGGCCATGGTGGTCAGCTCTCCAGGCATGATGAGCATGACCAAATTGCCGACACGGAGCATTTGAATATCGACAGTGTTGGGCGACCACGAGTACGGGAAGGTAGCGTATCCCGTGTCGAGAAGGATCGGCTTCGGAGCCTGGCAGTCAATCTGCACCTGAGGTGGGTTTGGCGTCACCGCACCCTTCACAATCTCCCAGAAGGGGTTCCTGCCGATGAACATGTATTCAGATCATATGTTGCCATGAAGAGAAAGTGATTGGAACGCACTGAGGGGTCGATGTGTTGTCACCCTGGATGAAGTCGAAAGCTCCCGGGCCATCGCTGTTGATCGAGGTCGTCGTGGTCGGTTACAATATGTTAAGGGGAACGGGGGTGGACACTCACGTAGTTCCGCCGGCGAAAGAGTAGCCCATTGCCGGAGGGCAGGTCATCGCAGTCGAGCCGTTGGCAAGCGTGAACTCGCGGAACGACATGTTCATGTAGGCATGCACGTAGTTGATTGCGCCGGTGACCTGAGGAAGCGCCATGCCCATGAGGGTCTTGGCGCCGTTCGCCTGGCGCTGCCCGATAATCCTGTTCGACTCGAAATCCGAGATCGTGAAGCCAGGGCCGCGACCGTGACAGTCCTCGGTCTTGTTACCGCAAGTAGAGTGATCGAATTCGCAAGGCTGGCCATCCCACTCTTCGCCGGGGCTTTCACAAAAGGCGCCGAGACTGTAGTCGAGTTAGATGAAGATATCGACGAGAAATAAGTTCCGCTCACGTGTTGGGACTAGTGTCGCCGACGTTGGCTAGGTCCACTGTCAAGATCTATGATGTATCGAGACGTGTCGAGAGCACATACATTGCGTGAAACCGGCAACGAACGTGTTGTTCCCGGGCATGGCGTTGGGTTCGACCATGGCTAGAAGATTATCAGACAGGCGTCGCAAAAATGCAGTAAACGATGCTACCTTCGTAGAGATAGGCAGCCATGCCCTTGTTGTCACTGCTGACCAATGTATTGTTCTAGAGTGTCCATTTAGCACGGTTTTGTCGGAGTAAGTGTATGATATGCGCCTACCTCGTACAGACTGGTACCATGGACGGCGAAGAAGCTCAAGAATCCGCGTGCGTTACCGCTGACGTCATCAAAACGGAGCAACGAGAGCTCCTTGTCCTGGTCGTACTGGTACTTCGCGCGCTCCTCAGCAGGGTTGGCGAGGTACGCGCTCGGTGAGCGGTTGATGTTGCCGTCGACGATGGTCGTGTTGCCGAGGCTCAGCGACCCAGGCGCGAGGCTGTCGTGCGCGCGCTGGACAGCGAGCACCGTTCCTTGGACGATCGCAGCAGCCGTCTCCTTGACGTATCCGAGCGCCGTGAGCTGCGGGAGGAGGTTCTCGAGGTAGCCCCCAACCCCGGAGTGCTGGTGGGTAGACACGAGGGCGATGTTGTCGTTGTTGTACAAGTCCGGGTATTTGGTCGAAAGAGCGTTGACGATAGAGCGCCGGATGCCAGTGTCGCCCATGGCGATGTCCGCGTTGATGAACACAACGCGATTCGATGGATTCGCAGAGTCGGCGACAATCCACGCGCGGCTGCGTTGCCGAAGGTGGAGGCCGGTGTCCGTCTGGGCCAGACTGGCATAACCCTGTGGAGTGAATTAGCAGCAGTTCTTTGCACATGGAGTACCAACGAGAAGGACAAGGCGAGTGCACCCGCGAGCTCGGGATAACGGGGGCATTCCCATACACATCCGCTCCAAGGTCTTCCCCTCGGGATGCAGAAGTTGCGCGATAACACATGCGGTTGCTAGTGGAGGCACAAGTGCCGCATAACAAAACACATGCGCCAGGCAAGGCACAGACGTCTTCCATGGAGCTGTCTGTGGGAGCGCGAGGAACAAGGAGGGCGCGCAGCACGGACAATCACTTCTCGCATGCGAGCAGACGGCTGAGGACGCCGGCGCCGTTGTGATGCCGACCCTGGCTGCAAGCTCTAGCGTCCGACGAGACCGAGGTTCTCGCGCGCTCTCCTTCCCAAAGTCCCGGCACCTGCGCGCAAGGATCCCGACATTGTTGAGGGAGGACAAGAGTGCTCACCATCATGTTCGTCTCAACCACCGGGCTACCCATGATGTCTCAGCTTCGACTGAAAGCAGCGCATAGAAGAAGCATATAGCTACCCAGTGATATCTCCGATGCCTGTGGCGCGTTAGACGAGTGAGTGTGTGAGCACGATGCACAGAACTCACCGAGACCGAGGAGATATTCCGCCGCGACACCCTGGACGGCAGCATTGCCCACGACGCTGGAGGACGCGAGGAAGGCGGTGAGGCAGAGGAAGCCGCGGTGGGCAATGTTGAGGGAGGCCCGCATGATGTTCCAGACGTCAGGTGTAAGCCCGGCGGGGTCGACGAGGAGCATCTTGGGCGGGAGAGGGCGGAGGATATATGGGCGGTGGGGCCGGGCTCTAAGCGTTACCTTTGATGTGGCTCGAGGGACGAGCACGCGGTCGTCGCGGTCGTCGACATCGCGCGCGCCGAATTCGTCCCCCTGCGCCCTGCCGCTGAACCCGTCGGCGGAACCCGTCGGCTGAGGGCTCTGCCGGCCTGCTCCGGCACCACTGAGGCCGGCGCTCCCGTTGCCTTTCTTGTTCCTCCCTCCTCTGCACTACACAGGCCTGGGTGGCCGCGGCTGGCTCTCTGCCTCATTCCACTCCACGATGACTCGCCTTCGAGCTGGTCTGCGCGAACGACGGGCGACTGCCGGCCGTATTCATTTGAACAAATCACACGACGACCAACTTCCATACGTTGCCAGTCACGTTCCCCATTGTCGACCCATACGGCAGCCTTCTCTCGTTCGGAAGTTCCCTCGGGGCTTGCTTCCTGGCCCAATCTCTGTTCATGTGGAGACGGATCCTCAAGGCCTCATGGGTTCAGCTTCGCCCATGCGCCGTTCAATGTCGCTTAGCTAATTTTGGAACCACGCCCACGCCGTGCCCGTTTGTCGTTATCTGACCATGTCGCCATCAGCTGGTCTTGTCGCTTTCGAGGCGTGAAGACAAGCCAAGAGCATCGTCATACTTTGTAGTCAACGACGACCCCGCTCTCCCAGGACTCAGTGCCAGTTGAAACTGGCGAGCATCGCCGACTTCTCCGGCGATTATCTTGCCGGTCGAGCCCGTGCGCGTGTCCACCCACGTACGGCCGCTTCCCTGCTTTGCATCCTTTCCGAAGTCACCTTCTACCGCCACGGCGCTTACTTTCGCTAGCACGTCGAGGCCAGCGGCTAGCCCTTGGCGGGGGCGCCGTGCCTTGAGATGCCCGTGATTTGACCCGGTTTAGCCACCTCAGCAGGGCTGTCTTCGTAGCCTAGCTTCGGAGGGCGAAGATGCACAGGAAATAGCAGCCAATCAAAGGCGGCAAGATTCATTTCTGCCCGTGCTTTTCCTATTCATTTTTGTCCCCCCGAAGCTCGGCCTTTGCCCGTCTGTCTGCCGCGACTCCAAAGTATTTCGGAGCCCCATGTGGCGGCCACGCGAGCGGGATGAGCCGGACCGCCCTCTCACACTCGTCATCTCACGTTCGTACTAGTCTGCTTCGGTCATGCAGCCGCCTCTCGCTCGTCGATGCACTTGACACCTGTGCGTCTGTGTGGCGGTGTTTCAACGGTCGTGGGAGCGGCTCTCCGTCAAGTCGCCGGTGTCAGAGCCCCTTTTCGACACTCGCTAACTAGCGCGGTGCCGCCCGCGTCCGACCTCACAGACGGGAGCGGGTTCGGGCTCGGGTGTCGGGTTATCCACAAGCGTCCACCGATGCGAGCGACGAAATGGCCCGGTGTGTTCTCACACTTATGAGGGTTGGCGATACTCGGCGCTTTCACCACGCGCTCGTGCCAGAGCACTCAGGGCTCTGTCCGAATTGGCTCGACGCTCGATGTAACAGCCGACAGCCAACCTTTCTCGACTTGCGGGAGATGTCGCGGTTGAGAAAACTCCTTGATTGTTTCATCCCCCACGAGTGCCTTGCCCCAACGTACGTGACTTGGGATCGTCCCTGGGATATCCGACCGCATCCAATTATGGATTATACAGGGGGTATCCTGTCCTCGACGAGCTGCGCACAAATACAGTGTTCTAGTTCTCTTCTCGGCCCATCCAGTCCGCCCTCGTCCGGGCCATCCCAGTCACATCCACCCGCCCTCGCTCGGGTCCTTCATCCGATAGAACCGCCCGGCGAACTCCTCGAGCATGCTCGCGCGTATGTCCGGGTACAGCGCCCGCGCGTCGACGTACCCGAGCCGTCGCGCGTTCTCGAGCGTGTTCTCGCGGAGGACGCACACCGAGCGCGCGAACCCGCACCACCAGATCTGCAGCTCCAGCTGCTCGGCGTCGGGGTGCGCGCCGCCGCCCGCCGCGAGCAGCGCGTGCGCCTCTTTTTCGAGCCGGGTGAGGTCTTGTTCTGTGATCTGGGTGCGAAAATGCGTGTCAGAGAGGCGTACACAGAGAGAGCAGGGAGCGTGTCATTTAAGAGCCGGCGCGAGCGGGCCGCCCGTGGAAGGGGAGATTGATTGACACCGATCACGCCGGCGCAGCGGAAATGAAGACACGGAAGATTGCAAGCTAGCCTGGCGAAAGTAGTGTGCGTCGAGAAGGTTCGAGGCTGCTTTCCACAACGCCACCAATGACAGCTTAAATGAACGGCGTGGGGGGAAAGCCTGCACGAGGCTGACCTCCTTCTCGTCTTCCATGTCTGTCTCCATGGCGTACAGGGATAATCCCGCTGCGAACGTGCAAAAAAAAGGAAAGAAAAAAGGACAGAAAACGGCGCACTCACCGTCGCTCGCTGTGAACGCATCGCCGGACCCTCCCCGCTGAACCGCTCCCCCGCGGCCGCGGCCGCGCTCACCGGCCGCTCGTCCTCCCAGACGATCACCATGCGGTCCGAGGTGCGCGGGTCGGCGAGCACGCGCGCGACGTACGCCCCGACCGCGTTGAGGTCCGTCAGGAGCGTGTGCGCGGGGTCCGCGGAGGCCGCGAACGCGAACGCGCGGTGCGTGAGCGCGCGGATGCGGGGGTCCACCCGGGATCGCGGCGGGAGCGGGAGGAACGTCTGCATCCTCCAGCCGATGTCGATGACCGTGCACGGCAGCCTGAGGGCGGCGAGGAAGCTCCGGATCGCGATTTTCTGTACAAGGGAGCGAGAGGAAGAGGAGCGAGGGGGTGGAGGAGGAGGTCAGCGGGCACGCGGGCGGCCACGGGTGCGGCTAGAAGCGGCTGGGTACGTACGGCGTCGCGTACGGGGATTACTCCCTCTGCGCCGGGGGTGCCCCACTCGGAGGGGACGACCCGCTGGACTCCGACCGCTCTCGCGGCACGGAAGAGGTCTTTCTGGTCTGCTATTGCGTCGGGGCCGACGGCGCTGACGAGGATGCTGACCCCGCGGAGGACGGTCTTGAGGCGGTCGACACCGTCGTGGAGGTCGCCGGGACGGATGTCGACGCCTGCCTTGCGCAGTTGTTCTGTCAAAGGTTTGTTCATGGATACGGGTCGGACCATCGCTGCAACGCGCTAATTATTCATAGGCAGGAAAAGGGTGGGGTTCAAATTGATTATTAGTCTACGGAAGGCGATGCAAGAAATAACTCACGAATTTTCCGGAGTAGAGCATCCCGCGGGTGATACTCCTCCCCGTCGAGCCCAATGCTCCGACGACGAGGACCAACGGCAGGGAAGTATCCGCTCGTTGCGGTCCTGGCCTTGCGGCGAGTGAGCTGTAGTAAGCGCCGGCGGAGGCAGGTATCATGAGTGTATGAAGCGACCGGTGTCGTGGAGGACTTCTGTAGGGTCGTCGGAGTCAATGTCATTGCACCCACAGGCCGCCGGCTATATACCCACTCACCGAGGCTGACGAGGAGACCCCCACAGAGAGATCTGGCGGCACGCGTGCTCGGTCCCCCGCCCCGGACGCGGCCTCGGTGCCGTGCGACGGTGCACCGTGGGCGCTTCCTATCGCAAGACAAACCAAGCCGGCCATAGATCGCGTGTATAGCTAGTACGTGTGGGGCGGGGTCGGGGGCCGTACATAGGTGCTGACAGTGCGCGCGTGCGCCCACAATGTCCTTGGGACCGCCCCCGCGCCGCTGGAGGATGTGGTTGCCCGCGAGGCGCGTGGCGCTAGCGGGAGCGAGACCGCGCGGGGTGGTGCGGAGATCCGAGATGGGCCTGCGGCCATGACCGAAACTCGGACGACACCGTGGGTTTTGCCATTGGCAGTACCGCGGGTTTGCGGGACGCCGACCCGCCCCGCCGCGTGCCGGCCGGGATGCTGGCTAGACACCAGCCGGGGTTTTGGAGCGCGCTACCACCGATCGGGGCTGCAATCAGCGTCTGCCTGCGACAAGGAGGAGGGCTCGGGAAGGAGATCGATCGCCTAAACGTACACGGCGCGCCCCTCGCACTTGCACACACCTGAGCCTGCATTCGGCGAAGCGGGCGGGGGTGTCGGTTATGCTTGCGGTCGAGAAGGTGGAACCCAGAACGTCTGCGCACAGGAAGCCTTCTCACGTACGTGCCCCGGGCGGGGGAGGTCGAGCAGTGGGATGTGTATTGGACATGGCTCCCGCGCGATCGATGCCGAGGCGGAGTTCGTGTGATCGAATGGGGAAGACGGTGAGCCCTAGGCCCCGAGGCCGCCTCGATGCGACGTCCATCAGCGCGTTCGGTCGCATGCGGATGACGGTCGTCAAAACTACGAGCAGTTGAGCTCAAAAACGTAAGGTCGGCAGAAAATGCGGACTTACTGAGAGCAGGATGTCTGATGATCTAGTTCACACCTCACACCTGCCAATGACAAGTGCTCAAGATATCTGAAAACTGGTAAGAAACCATTGAATTACATCAATACCTGTGCCAATCTTCATTCTGCACCGCATAGACTCATCGTCTCACGAGGGATTGAGACATAGAATAGGGATTTCACAACCGCCGCCCTAGAGCACTTACTCATGTTCGGAATACGTACGTCAACGTGAGCCCCAGAAGCTTCTTATCTGCTGCGCAAATTCATCGCTTTGTCGGCCTCGGGAGTCTGACTATGCTTCTTGGGGAGTACTATGTCGCACTTGCCACTAAGGGAGCTTGAGCGTTCGCCGCCTTGATTCGTCATGGCAACGCCGTGTGTCTACACATGAGCTGTGATGCGTACACAGACGGTGTGGTATGGATGGAATAAACCTACAGGGACTTGTCCAGGGGTGATCTTACCCCACTGGGCCTACGGCGTGAACTCACTGTGTTGCGGCACATAGATTTGGTGTTTCTACTGCGGGAGGTGACATTTGGACTCACTTCACGGCAATTGAGGAGACTAAAACAGTACCTCAACTTGTCTGCGGTAGCGTAGATGGTCACTACTACTCACTAGTCTGCTATATGACCGACATATAGGTCAAGAGCAAGGTGTGATGGGCGGTAATTCGAGTGGCAGCTGCCAAATTAGGCCTCGGATTTATCTTTATCATATAGACGCCGCTTCGCCGATGTCATTAGCGCCAAAACTTCGCCGTGTAGTCACCTCCGGCAGGAACTCTACTCTCTTACATTCACTGACGCATACCGCCCCGTTAGAGCCCGATACCAGAATGGAGACAGCAAAGCCCTAATTGGACTGCTCAATAAACTTACTCCAAGTGTTTGCCTAGAATGTCCAACAGCTGACGAACGGGGCCAGTCGCTCTTACCGCAGCAACCCGTCAACTCCACCGGCGGTTCCGAGCAGTATCTTCCAGGAAAATTGCTGGTGCAGGAAATGGAACGTTTCTGTCCACAGGACGCACGAGGGTGAACGCATGGTACGTCATCGCATTCCCTTGAGAGTCCTACCGCAGTTAAACGCGCGCAGGTGTTTCCCCAGTTCCGGCTGGCCGTACAAAAAGGTCTTCGCAAGGGCGCAAAGTGTCCCAGCACCCTTCCAATCTTCTCCCCCACTTTTCATCTCGCATGATGCCTCACAGAGACAAATCCTCGGATGGCGTCAATCGTCTCCCGGGGCTCTCAGACTCTCAAGTGGCTTCCCGACGCCGCCAGATGCTCGACGTCGTAAACGCACTACATCTTACTGGGTGAGTCAGCCCGCTTCAACCCTTTCGCTACGCGCTCACGTTTGTGCTCCAGTGTGCAAGTGGATGTCGATATTCCACTCATTGCAGTGATCGGTTCTCAGAGTGCTGGCAAGTCGTCTTTAATCGAGGCGATCTCCGGAATCACGCTTCCGCGAGCGAGTGGCACTTGCACCCGGTACGTTCTTCCGCTTGCTTGCTTGCTTGCGCACCCATGTACCATCTCATAGCGTTTGAGTGAAGCTGTCCGACGGAGTGCCGCTTGGCAAACTCCACAGAACCATGGAAGTGTACTGTGTCTTTGCACTTCATCACGGACAGCGACGGTCAGGCCCTTGGTCATCCTCGAAACGACCAGTTCGGAGACGTGGTTTATGACAAGGGTCAAGTAGAAGACCGGATTCGGCGCGCTCAAAAAGCAATATTGAACCCGGGCACCGATGCACAGAAGTTCCTAGGCGATGACTTTGACAACGCCGGAGACACGTCTCGCCAGGAGCTAACATTCTCGACCAATAATGTTTCCCTGCAGATCAGCGGTCCGGAAGTCGAAGACCTTTCGTTCGTCGACCTCCCCGGTACGTTTCTAGCTTGGGAGCAAGCGTCTCGTCTGATTCATCTATCCAGGTCTCATCGCGAGCGTCGGCTCCAATGAAAATGAAAACGACATTGAGCTCGTGAAGTCTCTCGTCACAACGTACATCGAGCGTGACAGCTGCATCATATTGCTCACAGTCGCGTGTGAAAGTAAGCCAGTCATTCACATTTTGTGACTACCTACTGAATCGTGGCATAGCGGACTTTCAAAACCAAGGTGCTCACCGAGTCACGAAGCAGCACGACCCCGACGGTTGGCGTACCATTGGTACCCTTTTTGGCATATGCGCTACTATCGTCAAAAGTAACACATACACTACAGGAGTCTTAACGAAACCAGACCGCATCCCCTCCGGGGAAGAAGATGATTGGTTGAAGTACATCCGAAACCAAGCTGAACCCCTTCAGCACGGCTGGTTTAGCGTCAAGCAGCCGGACTCGCGTGCTATCGCGGGCGGAATCACTTGGGAAGACGCGCGCGAGAAGGAGCGAGAGTATTTTTCAACGGTCTCCCCCTGGAACGCGCTTGACCTAGAATACAAGAACCGTCTGGGGACGCACAAGCTGGTCGACCGGCTTAGCGACGTTTTGTCAGATCGTATATCCCAACGGTAAATGCTCCTGCTTCTCGCATGTCTCTGTGTTGCTGATCTGTTGCAGACTCCCGATGATTCAGGATGAGCTGCAGAAGCTGCTCGCGGACACCCACACGAAACTTTTGCAACTGCCAAAGCCGCCGTCTGCGGATCCTCTCTCTGAGGTCCTTTTTATGCTGTCAACGTTCACCAAGGCGCTCGGAAAATACATCGAGGGTACCCCTTCCGCGGACGGGCTGCTGCAGTCCATTAGGCCCGCTTGCGACACCTTCTGTCAAGCGATTCGCGCGACAGAGCCGGACTTTCGCCCCTACGACCGGGCCTTTGCCTCCAGTCACGAAGACGACCACAAGTTTGTCGTGGCCGAGTTCATCTCCAACGAGGGATCCCCTTTCTCTCCTCCGGACAACTCGAGGGCGATCTTCCTGGATGATGTCATGAAGCGCGCAAACGAGTAAGTGGCTTAAATGGGAGGTTCCGTATACACCTCTGAAGCTCGTTCACAGGGCCAGGACCCGCGAGCTCCCGGCACACTACCCCTTCGTTGTGACTCAGCAATACATCGTCTCGATTGTCGGCGGTTGGCTGAACCCCGCCGAAGTGCTGTTCCGCGAGGTGCACAAGATCCTCCTCAAGCACGTCAAACAGCTCGTAAAGACCCAGTTCGCGCAGTTCCCTCTCCTCGAGAGCCGCGTCTCGTGAGTCCCCACGCGGCCTATTCCCTTTATGTCACCTCACGCGCACCCGTAGGGCCATCGCCTCCGATTTCGTGCAGAAGTCCGCCGAGGAGACCCTCGCCCGCATTCATTGGTTCCTTGCCCTGGAGCGCCGCCCACGAACGATGAACGAGGTTCACTACGCCGACTACCGCCAGCGGTTCCTCGGGCACTACAAAGCCTGGCGCCCGCGCGACACGCAGCCCCCGCTCGCACAGCGCATCGCGGAGGCCGCCGCCGCGAACGACGGGGACGACAAGGCCGCGCTGAACGACGTCCTCTCCGGCCTCGCCCGTCTGGGGCACGGCGGCGCGCAGGCCGTCGACATCGCGAAGATCGGGGCCGCGGACGAGTACGACGCCGCGCTCGAGATCATGGCGAGCGTCCGGGGGTACTTCCAGGGTGAGCCGCCGATCCGCCCGCTCATCTGTCGTCTTCTCCGGCATGCTCATGCTGTGCAACGCGGATCCTCCCTTCCGAACAGTTGCGTACAAGCGCTTTTCCGACTGCATCCCGATGGCGCTCGACCACGAGCTCGTGCTCGCACTCGACCGCGACCAGGCCCTCGAGAAGGCGCTGCACGCGGGCCTCGGCATCGGCGGCGACGGCGGCCGAGCGCAGTGCGCCGAGTATATCAGGGAGCCCCGACACGTCGCGGAGCGCCGCGAAGAGCTCATGAAGAAGCGCGAGCGGCTCGAGACGGCCCGCAAGCAACTCGCGGATGTGTGGCTTTGAGCCAGAATGTGGTATTTTTTTGAGTTCGGACAAGGACTGTGAATAGTGTAAGACGTACGCTTTTTGTGTGTAGCCTCTGCGGCGAGCGCGCGGTGTTGTGATGAAATAGTACGTTCGGAGAGAGAGAGAGAGAGAGAGAGGGCAGTTCAATCACCTCCTCTACCGGAGGCGATCCCGGAACGCTACTTAGATAAGCACGGCAGCACGCCGACTCCCGCGCTGTCCTGTAGACGCCCCGCCGTCCGACAAGTGGCCGCACGAGCACATATAGTGTGTACTGTAGTATAGTATGTACGAAAGACACAGGTCTATTGAAGCAGTGAGCAGTCACCGCACAGATGGAAAGTATGAATGACAAGATCTGCCAGCAACGCAACAGCACCCTCATGTCTGATCCATGCCGCGAGGAACACCATGTCCCCCCTCCAGTTCGTCGACCGCGCAAAGAAACTAAAACCCTTGGGGAACCGCACCTCAAGCTCTCCCAAAATCTCCTCTCTTCACTGTGCCATTTCCTGTCCCGTGCATCTAAGGACGAGATGCCGCTCAGTCTCCACTCGGCCCACTTCGCAGAATCGACATAAGCGCCAGCTGCGCCTCGCGTACGGGATGATACCGTGTTGCTTGGTCTTATGCCTCGCCTTCTCCACCAAATACGGATGACAGGCAGAGAGGAGACGCAAGATGGCTGATCGTTGTGGCCTGGGGAGGGACAGATACGCACGCGGCGCACAGAGCGAGGCCAGGGACGGTTTGTCCCCGTAGGATGGGAGGAGTGCGAGTTTCCACAGCGTGAGACGATGTGTTGCGACGGTCTTGTTATAGAGGTAGGTCCGAAGGGCGTCATGAACTACGGCAATGACGTTGTCACACCACTTCGGTGTGGGGACATCCGCGACAGCGTAAACCTGCGCAGTAGGCAGCCTCCGCAGCGCCCAAAGAAAGTCCGACCACCACGCGGAATGTCCTGCAATGGCTAGATTCCATGCCACTTGAAGGGCCCTCTTCGGGAGGACTGCTGGGCCAGCAGCTACAGCTCTGAGGAAACGCGCAGCAACGAGCGTTCGTCTGAACTACAGTGGCCATATGCCCGTCATAGTGAAGAGGGGAACTAGCGGCGACACGCTGGAGAGGACAAGTACACGACGAAGGAAGGTGTGGAGGAAGGAGTTGAGCGCGGAGAGGTCACTAGGCCGGACGACAGGGTCAAGCGCGGCTCCCGCAATGAGGTGCTGATCGATATGCACGTAGTAGAGGGTTCGTGCAATAACTGGGGGCAGATCTCCGAGGGTGGACGCCAGAGAGAGGCGCGCGTTTGCCTTGCGTCGAGCCGCGCATGGTGGTCGCGATTGCTCTGCATTATATCTCTTTTTGTGCAGCAGATACGCACACCAGTCACACGTACGTGACGTCTTCAACGACTGCGATCTCGCAGCCATCCAGGCAGAGTGGAACCAACGTGGCGGGCACCAGCGTCGTTGGCGCACTCGTCCTTCGCGCGCAGAACAGCGTGCTGAGCCTCGCGAAAGGCGACCTGCAGGGCATCAACAGCCGGGTAGAGCTCGCGCTGGAACGTATCCGACGCGCGCTTCGGACGCTGGCGACCCGACTTTCGAGTGCGACGAGGCGCTGCCACTGTGGAACAGCTGGCTCCTCAACGGAGTCAAGATCGAGCTTAGCCATTACTTCATCAAGGTCGTTGCCGGTCGCAGGGTGGGAGGGCGCGGGCGGGAGCAGAGCAGACATTGGAGGGAGGGCTGCATGATCTTCAGCAGGCAAGCAGTATGGAATATATGTAAACGGCAGTGTCACCATATTCTAGAGACGCGGACGTCGCTGACACCCGTCCCCGCCGGAGCCTCCAGGGGGTGCTCCTGTCGCGAGTCACCAAACATAGGGGTAATGCCCCGGAAATAGGAGCACCCACACAGCAGACGAGACGGGGGCAGGGCAGCAGGGCAGCGAGCAGTAGCAGAAGGACGATGAGATATGGAAAACGACACCGTCGCGACATAATACCCGCCATACTTGAGGGAATAGCATCGAGCCGTATAATCCAACGGACCTTGAGAGGGCCGGCGAGCGCGCCCCGTTGTCCAATAACGCAGACGGACCAGCCGCACGACGCGGATGAGCCGTGGCATCACTGACGTTGGCGACGACCTCAGCAGTGATGGTGTCTCGCGACACACCAGAGAATGTGCATGGAGCACACAGAAAGCGACGGGGCGAAGCGAGTCAGCAGAGGACGCGATACGAAGCCCTCTGCAGCTGAACAACTGAACAGAATCACAAGGGGCGCGATACGAAGCCCCAAGAGAATGCGGAAGAGAGCACAGGAGAGAGAGAGAGAGAGAGTCAGCAGAGGGCGCGATACGAAGCCCTCTGCAGCTAGAGAAGGTACGCACAGAGGTAGCGAGAGGGACAGAGGTTGGGGCACAGTTGCGCAAAGGCCCCAGCAATGAGCAGGCGATAACTTAGAGCAAGGTGGCGGAGAGGGCGCCACTGCCACAAGCGGGACCTCGACGCGGGTAATAACGACGAGGCCATCCGAGGGATGGACGTGGCCATGGTGCGCGTACGCGCTCTAGGCTTGCGCGTATTGCCCGAGGGTCTTCTATGCGTGCTCGCGGAGGTCGACGAAGAGGGCGTAGGCCGCTGCCGAGAACGTCTCGTTTCGACTACATACGAGGGTACAGCGAGCACGTGTTTGTCTACGTCTGGGCCAAGGTGATGGCTCACCCAGAGCCCAGGAGACATTCCTGGCGGTGGAACGATCTGCGACCAAGTCCTTCGAGCCCCCGATCACCCTCAACGCCTTCCCCCGCTCATCTCGCGGCCTGCGCATACATGCGCCCACAGGCCGTGCCCGCGGCGACAGAACCGCTTCATCTCGCGGAAACCACGGCAGCTGCGCCAACCACTATCTCCTATGGATCAGACGCCCATCTCCAACGCCAAGTATGCACTATTTGTTCCCTATTCAATCGAAGCACGTAGGCCGCACAAGACGAGGCAGCACACGACAACGTAAGGCCTTCCACGAATGCACGAGTGCGAGTGTATTCCAAACGGCAACGGAGCGGATATTACAAATACAAACGAGGAGCGAGGATACAGGACATTGGCGGGACGCGGGCCGTCATTTCACTACGAGGGGGCTGGTTAAACTATCTACACAATCGCAATGTACACGCAGCCCGACGCTCCGTGCGTCTCCGTGTCGACGGGGGAGCGACGGCGCGGTTCTTATGGGGGTTGAGGGGGAACGAAGTGTCGGGGTGGGAGCGGAGCAGGGAGATCTTCAAAGCGTGGTTCGAAAGCGTGGCGAGACAAGAATGAGAAGGGGAATGGGGTTTGGAGATGGGTGAGTACAACGAAGATCCAGGCGACCGACGAATACCTGCACAAGGGACTTGACACCAGGGAGCACCGCCGGGGCTGGGGAGCAGGGGGGAAGGGAAGACAACGCCGAATAAGTAAGGAGGGAGAAAAGCAAAACAGATCCGTGAATCCTTTGAGCAGAATGTGCAAGGCGGAGGTGGGGTGGGGTGGGATAAAGCGGAGGCAGTACGTCCTGCACGAGGGCGCTAGTATACAAGAGGAAAGAGAAAGGTGGTGCATAGTGCAGGCACGAGGCGCAATCTCGCCCAATGGTGAAGGCAAAGCCTAACGGAGAAACCACGGCCAACGTGCAATGAGGCGAGGGAGAAAGGAGACGGCGGAAGAGTTGGCGGTGAGGCGGCAGTCAACTCCTTCAGTCCAGCACGGCGTCGAACTGTCCATGTCGAGTCGGCTCTGCATGGTCCCGGAAGTCGAGTTCTTGCGGACGCCCATGAAAGTGCAGCGACCGCGAGGCGCAGGGAAGATGTTGCGGGGCCTGTGCGCGCGCCAGGAACATCCAAGCGGGTTCGGAGTGATTGAGCTTGCCGCCGGCGTGAGACGCGAGATCTGCGTCCTCGGAGCGGAGATCGTGCATCGATCGCAGTGCGTGAGCCGCGAAGCCTTGACGCGTCCGGTCACGCCGCGTCATGGACCCGCCTAACGCGCGCGCGTCGAGCGTCGAACCGCGGTTGCTGTTCGAGGCACATTGTGTCGACGCGACGCGCGGCGTCCACGAGGGGCGCCTCGCAGCGGTATATCAACCAGCCGACCCGCTGGCGTCCAGTCGCCTCTTCTTCGCCCAAACCCCCATCCTGACCACGATCCTGCTCCCCGCTTCCATCTCCTGACCACGCACTGCTACTGGCCAGCCTAGTTCGAAGACACGGTTCCTGCAACCGCAAGCCTCTCCACAGCGGCAGGCGTTGACATCGGTGACATTGAGAGCACGTCGGTGACCTCTGGACGTAACCTCTTGCCTGACGTTGGAAAAATTTCGTCACCTCCTTCGAGTTCTTCGCTCGACCTCTTCCTTTGTCGTGACGGAGAGCTGGACAACGGAGGCACGGTTGCGGCGGGGGAGAGGGAGTACTCGTAAGAGTCTTCGCGGCGAGCACGTTTTGGAGGGGTCCTCGACCGGTCGTCGGGGTCGGCGCACGTGGTGAGCACATGCGATTGTGCGTCGAGCTCCAGGTCTGAGCATGATCGCTTCCTCGATATCACCTGAAGAGTAGGAACAGGGACGGGGGATTCGGGGATTGACACCGATACGTCTTCGCTGCGTTCCGACTCGCCATCGTAGAAGTCCTCAATCTCGGAGTCGTTGAAATCTTCGACATCCGCGTCCGGGGAGATAGCGAGGATGGGGGACTCCTGGATCTTGATCTCAAGCGGCGCTTGGGTGGTTTGTTGGGGCTGTTGGACCTCGGTGGTGGGTTGAGTCTGAACTGGAACGCCGCCGGCCATGTTGGCATTCAACATGGCGCGTTCGCAGATGGAACATTGACAGTGGTATAATGGAGCGCAAACTTCGCGCCAAATCTGACCAGAAGTGAGTACAACTCTGCACAGAACTCCGCAACAGAACTCACCATGCCGATCGTTTCCTGGCTATTGGTAGGGAGATGGTCGGTTCTTGTAGGAACGTAGGGGATGGGGTGAAGCAGTCGAGGGATGGCCGTGACGACGGAAGGGGGAGGAGCGCCTGCTAGGGGAGACGATACGGTATGTTCATCACCCTTCGCGGACGGTGGCGGAGACGGGGTCGTTTGCAGAGTGGTGGTGGAGAGCACAGGGCTTGTGGTGTGCGATCCTTCGGAGCGAGAAGACGTGGATGACTCATCTTCGTCCTTCACTCTTCGGCGGTGCGCTTCCTCAATGCGCATGTTGGCCCGACGCTCTCGCCAATCGATCCCATTATACCACACAGACTCGTCTCGTAGCTCGTGAACGATGTCGCTGGGTGTCATCTTCGCGGCGCGGGTCGCAGGATCCACACCATCGGCGGCGCAATCGACCATAAGCTTGGCGACGATGTTCATCATTGCGGGTCGAAGGACTTCGCCCATCTGCTTCTGGAAAGCACGGAAAGCGTGCTCGCAGAGTGTAAATGAGGGGGGATGGGGGATAACGGTCTTTGGGCGGGGATGTTCCAGCTCTTGAGCCTCGTCGTCCTGTCCTTCGTCGAGGGCACCCTCATAGACGGCTCCTCGGTTCCATGGGCAAGGATGAAGAGCTGCTGCGAAGCGGGGGCGACCGTTGTTGTAGGAGCCGAACCACTCATCCGCAGGGCTGATCCAGTGGCCGTCCAGTACACGATTGCGGGCCCAGTTGTTGAGAGCGAGCTCGCGGATATTGTGAGTCTCTTCGGTGAAGCTGAGCATTTCTACGTCTTCTTCGTCGCTTGCATCGTCTTCACCGTACGGATCGTTGCTGTCTGCTCTTGAAGCGTACCTCTGCGCCGCTACAGCTTGCTGAAGCATATCCGCAAGCTTGGTGTGTCGACGAAGCCAGAGCTTGTCCTCGGCGATGACGAGCACGTCCCGTATTGACCCTTCCGAGAGGTCAAGGAAAGACTCGACGGCTTGACGAGTCTCCCAATCGAGGGACGCGTATTTTGAGATGTCGATGGCTTCACGCCACTGGTCGCGCATGTTGACGCGACGCCAAAGCGCTTCACTTCGACATGCGCGACACGTTGTCTCGATCCTGGGCCACGTTTCGTCGTCCTCGTTGTCGAGGCAGTAGACGGGAGCGGTGTGGGCGTATTCTTCCTCGACTTCGTTCTGGGGCGCCTCTCGCAGGCAGACGCCGCAATAAGCGCCACCTTTCCGGTGATCTTTGCAGACGTTGATGGGCCCGAGAGAAGGATTCATGGGACCTTTCTTGATACCGGAGACGCAGAGGCCTTGGTTATTGTGAGGAAAGTTGATGCGACACACAGTGCATGAAGTGTCAAGCATGTTCCGATAGTGGCGATACATGGTGATGCGAGGAATGGGGGCGGCGGTGTTGGAGCCCACGGCGGGATGGAAGGCGCTGACACGAAGGTGGTGGTTGTACACTCCGCAGGGGTCGAGCAGGGCACATGCCTTGTTCCAAAACAGATGGCTCTCGACTAGGACCGGCAAGTCAGCATGGGGTACACGGTATGGCATGGTAAGATTAGAAGGAACGAGCGTCGTACGACCGCGGCATAACGGAAGGAGCGGGAACTGGCGTAGATGGCAGGCACAACATCGACGCGAACGCAGTACCCGGCAGAAGGAATAACGACGATGGACTGCTGCCGAAGAATGATCGAAGAGGCGCGGGTGGCAGTGAATACGGCCGACGCACGAGACGCGACGCGACTGAACGCGTGCAGAGGAACGCATATACGCTACGCATGGCACGTCCCGGCACCACCATCGGATGCCAGACCATCGCAGAGAGAGTAGGAGAGGCAGGAAGGAGATGACGAAAGTGGAGACTCACGATGGGGCCTCCACGCGGGGAAGAGGGACATGACCCGCTCGACTTCCAAAGCCTCCCCGAGTGTTGTGAAGGCAAAACGTTGCGGCCAGGCATCGCGAGACTCCCAGGTGGTGGGGCAGTACGACGTTGAGGAGACATCGAGGAGGTAGAAGGTGGCGATCAGCCTGTCCACGATGTTGAGCGGGACGGTGGCGTCAGGACAGGCGGAACAATAGCGGTAACATACCTGACGATCTCTGGGGGGAGGTTCTGCCAGGAGCGTGCGTGCTTGCCCTTGTAAGGCGCGGTCATGACCGAAAGGGGGGTGGTGGGGACGACGAGGCCGCTGTGGGGGACGACAAGAGCGCTGCCGGAGGAGGAGGACGGCATTGCGCAGGCGTCACGGGAATGAGGGAGGTGACAGATCGCGACTGGGCCGTCACAGCGTAATTGACCCCAACAGCAGCCGCACGCATATTCCCGCGCACGGACCATCTACAAAGGCGCCCATAACGCGGGCGGCTTCCGAATTCGAAGCACAGGCGTCTCTCGCCTTGGCGCTAGCCGCGATCTCGATCCGGTATCTCGTGCTCTCAAGTCAGTGTGCGATCGCAAAGCCGTCGTGCCACTCTCGCGCTGCATTCTGCGAATTCGTCACGAGGCAGAGCGTTCGTGCTTTTGCGTTCACCCTTTGTGTTTCCCGCGAGTGCGATTCCCGAATTCGCGAGCTTTGGCTCGGATCGTACATATATCCAAGTTAAACCTTTCTCGGATCTCTCTCCGTCTGATGCAGTCGTAGGGCGATGAGAAAGCCCGAAGGGTGTGTATTTGCACCCCAGCTTCGAGCATTTCTTTGACTCCGGGAATGGCGGGAATGCCAAGATCGTAACAGACGAGCGACAAGCTCGCGATCTCCTCGGAGCGGCAGAAGCGCATCGCGTGGATTACAACGTCCAGAGGTAAAAAGAGGTGGAGTGCTTATGCACATGGCGCTGCCGGACGATACCGCGCGTTTGTCAACGGCAGCGCTCGCGTTATGTGTCTGTTAAATGTGGAAGGATCGTCGCAATGGGAGGGAGGAACGGCAAATAGGGGTATCGAGGCAGACACCTCGTCACGTCTCGGCGGGTCTAGCCAGCTATCTGAGTCGCTGCAGACTGGCCGAGCCGGCACTGAGCCTAAGAGGTAAGCGCATGGTAAGCGTATTATTCTTCATTGCATGGACGGACAAACCGAGGGGGCAACTTCAAGCGGAAGATATCGTAGATACCCGTTAGAACGTCTGTAAGCGTCAGTGCCGTAAAATAGAGAGCGAGAACGAAGGGGCGCCGGGGTGGAGCAGGTTGGGGGGAAGTGGGGAGGAAGAGGGCGATAAGGATATTCCAAGGTTCCAAGATGCGGAGAGCAGAGGGAGGACGGAGAGATGTCGAGAATATCCAGGTAAACGCAATGTCCATAGTCCGAGAACCAGAGCGAAGAGCCATATCATGTCGTAATTACCGTACTACGAACTATGACGAGGAAGGAAAGTATGCCGTGCCTAACCTACGGCACGACGGGTATTATGTAGCGTCCGATCAAACGCGTAGCTCACGGCGCGGGCGTGCACCCTGCCGCGGGGATCGTCGCTGACTCGGCGTCCCACGCGAAGGGGTACGCACAGCCTGAGATGGGAGTGATCCCACCAACAGTGTCCTGCGCGTCCGCCCAGCCGTCCCCGAGGCTCACCGTCGCGCTCGGGTAGAACGTGGGCGCGGTGAGGGTCGCGACTGTGCCCGTGGGGGTATACTGCGGAATGCGGGTCATGTCCGCCGCCGCGACGTCGGTGAACTGGGCCGGAGGCCACGCCAGTGACGCGGTGTTGTAGGTGATCGTGCCAGCGCCGGAGCCGCCGGTAGCAGCGGCAGCATAGTTGCCGTCGAACGGGTTGCTGTCCGCGCCGCTGAGGGATCCGCAAACGCCCACGGCCTCACGAGGGTCCGTGGGCATGAAGCCCTGTTGAAGGCCGAGTTGGTACGACCAAAGTGGGGCAGCGACGTTGCCACTGGCGGACGAGTTCCCGATCTTCCAGGTCCAGAAGAAGTAATCACCGAGGGCATCCATCGAAGCGAGCGCGAACGCCTTGACGCCCGCCTTGTCCGCGTCCGACCAGTTCGCAGTGTTGGACCAGTAGTCACAGCCGTCACCGTACATGGCGGGATTGCCGGCACCGGTGGAGGTGATACCGCGCACGAAAAGGCCACAGTCGTTGAACGCGTTCGAAAACTCACCCGCGACGGTGATTCCAAACGCAGAGCGAGAGGTGTTCATGCCTGAGCCCCAAGCGTTGCAAGCCTGGAGCGGCCACTGACCACCCATAATGGCCGAGTTGCCCGTCGCGGAGACGTTCACCGGTTGACGGTTCGCGTTACCGTTGAACGCGAAGTAGGGGTGCGTATCTATAGGTAGGGATCAGCAGCGAGCGGGACAAAGGAGCACAGTGCATACCGAGGGCGAGACGATCGGCACCGGCAAGGAACCCGGCCCACGAAGAAGTGCCCGCGAAACCATCGTGCATGGCAATGAGGGGACCGTTGCCTGCACCAGTGCCTGTAATCCCACGAATGGTTTCGTACGCTTTGAGGTAGCTGGCGGAGTATCAGGACCGCAGAGTTTACCAATGACAAAACGTGCTCACAAAGTCTCAACCTCCTGGGTGCCAACCTTGTTCAGATATGGTTCGTTGAGCATGCCGAACATCGGGACAACATCGCGCCACTCAGGTTGGGAGATAAACTCGGTGATGATACGGATGTAGTCGAGCGTTCGCTCCGCGTTGGCGAGGCCCATAACAGACTTCATCCAGTTAATTGCGCCGATCTTGCCTGAATGGTTGTACCCATTCTGCGAACCGGGCGCAGTGTGAAGGTCAAGGTTAACCCGGATTCCGTATTTGCGGGCCCAGCCAAGGACGCGAAGAATGTATCTGTGTGCGAAGTGAGACTTGGAATGCAGGCAAGCAAAGATCGAACTCACTGCCAGCAGACCTTGGCGAGGAACGGCTCCGCAACTGTTTGGCCGGTAGTGGGGTCAGCGCCCACATTATCCCAAGCCTCGATCGCCCAGAAGGGAATGGGGAGACGAATCCAGTTGAGACCGGCGCCGGCGATTTGAGCGATGTCCTCTTCGGTGATGAACGTTTCGTAGTGGTTGGTAAGTGTCGCGTTGAGCGAATCCCCGAGGAGTTGAGAGAGGGTCCACTCATCAACGGCGCCAACGTGCTGCTCGTATAGCGCAGGAACGATGAACGGCTCGAGGACGAAGAGACCACCGAGGTTGACACCCCAGATGCGGTCCTCGCCCCACTTCCAGGTCTCGCTGAGCGCGGGCGTCCAGGAATTTGCCTTGGCTGAGTTGTTGAAAGGATTCTTGGGATCGGAAACCCCTGGGGGCGTGGTTGATCAGTTCTTGAGCAGACTAAAGGCCGCATCGCCGGAAGCGATATCCACACGGACTCCATTCGCGGCAAAATTAACAAGCGCGTGCCGGGCCGGGCTGGATCCTCTGCAGCGCGCGCCGCCCACCAGAGTTTGGGGTGAAACCCTGCGCGAACTAGACAGAGTTTCCGCAGTGTCCCATTCAGGGGATGCAGGAGCGCAAGGCCTACGCGTGTGCTAGGGCCATGCACCTTCTCGCCGGTCATAGGGACCGTTCATCGCGCGACCCGCGCAACTGCGTACGGAACTGGGCAGCAGCACCGTTCGACAGCACCTCACAGCCCCAAGCCACACTTCCAAAGGGGAGGCGAAGTCTTTAAGCCACAACGCTCTACTTGACGCTGCATATACGCGGGTCAAGCGTGAGCGGAGAGGGCGACGAAGTGGGACCAGCCATTCCGATGGAACGAAGCGCGAGCCACGACGCACAAACGTAGGAGAGTGCGGAGAGCGCAAGACAAGGGACTCACAGTAGCCACCGAACGGGTTCACATACGTGAACGTCGTCCCGTCCTCCTTCGTCACCGTGCTTCCGTCACCCCCGGTGGTGATCGCACGAGTCGGGTTCGAGCTCGAGTCAGGGTTCGAGTTGTTTCCCGACGCGCCGTTGTCACTGCTGCTGTTTGGGCCGCTAGAGGATGAGGAGGTTGAGTCGTGAGGCTTGATGACCACAAAGTAGACCGGGAGCACGACGGCGAGGGCGATGGCCGCGATGGTGGCACCGGCAGCCAACCACACCAACGGGCGACGAAGGAGGGGGCGCGCTGGCTCGGCCGAAGACGCAGCATACGTGTTGTAGACCTCCTTGGTCGCCGGATTGAGGAAGGGCGAAGAGTCGGCGGGGGTCGAGGCGGATGAGCGCGAGTCGAGGCTGCTGCTCACAGGCGCGAGGTATCCTGGCCGGGGTTGTTCCATTCTCTGCGTCGGGGAGGGAGGAGGGGGGAGGGGAGGGCAAGGAGTGGTGAGGTGGAGGGAGAAAAGGGGAGGCCGGCAGAAGGGGAGGGAGAAAGAGAGAGGGAGCCAAGTGCCGGCGAGCGAGAGCGGGGGAGAAGAGGACGAGATCTTAGCGCGACTGGGAAGACGCGGCCGGCGCCATTGCCAGCGCCACGAGTCCGATGTCGCTCGATCCCGCGCCGTCGCACCCCCGCGCCGTCACCCGCCATCGCTTCAGCCCCGGCGTCAGCCCCAAGCACTAGCGCGTGCCGACCGCGTCGGAAGTCGGGACGTGCGCGTGCTCCGAGAGCGTGCTCCGAGAGTCGAGACCGCATCCGCGCGTGCCCCCAAGGCTCAAGCTCGCTCGGCGCTCAGCGTTCAGCCGTCGTTTCGCCAGCCCGTCTCAACCGCGACAGGACGGAATGAGTCGAGCAAGCTGAGCATTGTTTCCCAAGAACCAGCATTCGCGATGTGTGGCAATAGCGGCAGAGCGTCAACAGGCTCGGCCGGTACATGTCTTCGCACTTCGCACCCGGGCAGAAGAGCCCGCTCGTGGCCAAAGTGGAGGCACAGCTTCTGGTCTTGAAGTGGGCTGCTGTGCGATCGGGCTGGTCAGACAGCCGCACAACGTGTACTACGCAGGCGGCGCTCAAAAGGGGCGAAAGCACGATGGCCTCATCACAAGGGCTGAGGAGAGCGCGCTGCGGCGGATCGTGACATTGCGATCGCACATCCCTATGCTATGGAACTCGGGTGTCGCGTGTAGAACCCTCTGCGACTGGTAGGTCGTCTTGGCGACATCAGCGGTATGAGATATGCGTTCTCGACGTGCTTGTGACCTTGGGGTTAAAGCGCTAAACGGATAACCAACCGTTTGGATGGATATCGCACCCGCTGCCTCCTGTGCCCAACGACCCGGCCCGGCTGAAGCGAAGGCTTTACCCTAGATCTGACGGACGCGACTCCTGTTTTCTGTCACTTTGCTGCAGTTCAAGAGTGGCGTAGTGAGCATGACGCTGCCAAGGTGACCGGAGCATGTTCGACTATGTATTGCGGCTTCGGCTTCCTCGCGCGGCCCGAGCGGTACATGGACGCCGCCGGGCAGCTCATCCCGTGAGCCGCCAGCGCGCTGCCACCCGCGATGGCGAGTATGTCAGCGATGGTGTTGTCGAGGTCGCCCCCCCATTGACCTCCCACGTACATGTGCCTTCGAACACGAAGAGAGTCTGCCTCCGCGTGGAGCGCCGCCTCGACTGCGCGCGCCGTGTCGCGTGGTTGCGGCGGTGGAACCTCACGGAGCAGGGGCGAGTCGCGATCGCTCTTCGACGCAGCAGTGATGCGCGGCCGAACCTGCACCTCGACAGATTTGTGGGCGCTCAAAAATGGGAGATTTTCTGACAGGTGCTTACGGAAACGCAACCGAGGAAGCTCGTGCTGACGATATCGGAGCCAGTAACGGATGTGTTGGGCGTCCGGGGCGAAGAAGGAGGCGCCCTACATCCGCGACTTGGAGTTTTCTTAAACCGCGAGGCTAATCTAAACATGGCATGGGTCTTGGTAGACCCGTTCAATATGTAACGTTATAAGGACGGAGACCGACCTTCTCAAAACAAGCGACGTCAAGGTCGTGGCCGGCACTGAGCTGGCACTGGGCCGACGCAGCGGCTTCGTCGGCCGATCCAGGGCTGAAGCTCGAATAAGACTCACTGAGTGCGACAAGTACACCGTGACCCGAGCAGCACTGGTGCCGGAAGAAGCGCCGTTCGTCATCTCTTACACGTGGCTCCCAGAGCCGGAATAAACATTTCAAGAGACACGCTGTCCTACGGCCACATCGTCCAGAAAAACGGGGCATTGGCAGAGCTCGGGGCGGAATACTCGGATGGAGACCACGATCCGAATATATTCGTGAGGCCGTGTTATGAGCCCGAAGACCCCACCGAGATGGTGGACGAAGACGACGTGATCATCAAAGAGAACGATGGCATCAAGGGGGAGTACGACGACGGAGAAAACAAGGGAGACGAAGTCGAAGAGGAGAAACACGGGGTGGAGGATGAGGGGGGCAACTCTCAGGGTGATGTGGATTACGGGGATGAATATGCGAACGACGAGGCGGGGCCGGAGTAGTATGAGGAAGGGCAAGTGACGAGACGATTGGCAGAGACCGGAACGACTTCAGTGTCAATGTGCCCGTGTGGGCTTGACGGGTATTATGCACCGCTAGTAAAAACTAAGATATTCACGTCAACAAGCCTTGGTCGTGAGTCGAAATCCGCGTCCTCACTCACCATGGCGTGCCTAGTGGCAGTTCTTGCCCTTCACCGGGTTCACGTACCCCGCCACTCCCTCGTACGTGTACCCCAGCGATCCCACCGCCTTGTTCTTCTCGTTCACGTTCGTCGTGTAGAAGTGGTCCACCGCCGAATTCGAGTACATCCGGTACAGCGGGACGCTCCCGCACTTCGCGCTCGGATACACGTACGCGGCGATGCCCTCGCCCGCGTACCCGAGCCTCGACACCGCGTTGCTGCGCTCCGACGCGCTCGTCGTGTAGAAGTGGTCCGTGCCCCCCGAGCTGTAGAGGCGGTAGAGCGGAACCGCGCCGGCGACCTTGGCGTGGAAGACTTGAGCCGCGGTCCCCTCGTTGGAGTACCCGAGCGAGGCGACGGCGTGGTCGTGCTCGGCTTTGTCGGCGGTGTAGAAGTGGTCGGTGGCGGATGGGCTGTAGGCGCGGTAGAGCGGCACGGTGCTGTCGCAGCACTCGGGGTGCGCGGGAGCAGTGGACTGGAGGGGGTCATGTCAGCCGGAGCGATCGGAGAGGAGAGAGAAAGGTGATGAACGCACGTGAGGCGGAGCGCTGCTGGAATGAGCGCGAGTGGAAGTGTGGTGCACGCTGCTGAGGTGGGTGGAAGTGTGATGCACACTGCTGGGGTGGGTGGAAGTGTGATGCACACTACTCGAATGAGTGGAAGTGTGATGAACACTGCTGGAATGCGTGGACGAGGGGTGCGCGCTGCTGGAATGCGTAGAAGAAGGGTGCACGCTGCTGGAATGCGTAGAAGAAGGGTGCACGCTGCTGGAATGCGTGGACGAGGAGAGCGCACTGCTGGAGTACGGGGAGGAGTACGGGTACGAAGTACTCTCCGGGTACTCGGAGGAGGGGAGCTCGCTGCTCGAGTACGGGTAAGAGGGAATTGCACTGCTGGGGTAGGGCTCGGAAGAGGGGGGTGCGCTGGTGGGGTACTCGGAGGACGGGGGAGCACTGTCAGAGTACGGGGAAGAGGGAAGTGCGTGCACGGAGAAAGCAAGGGCGGACAGAACGAGAGCGGCAAAAGAAGACTTCATGGCGACGTGACGGAGATGCTGGAGGACTCTGGAGAGGCTGGAGAGGACACTGCAAGTTGGTGGCTGAGTGAGGTTTCTGCGACTTGACGAGCCTTTTAACCTGTGGGGAGACGCGAGAAGGCATATGTACGTACCATTGTCCATGTCCTGGGTCGAAACCATTATTGATGCCTGTCGTACATTGCTAGAAGTGTGTCGGAGTGGCAAGTGGCACAGAAGATATTGGAGCTTCGACTAGCGAGACGGCAGGAATGACTGTCTGGGGGTAAGCATTGAATTGACACCAAGAACCACACGATGAACTGAGCACAAGTTGGCAGCCGATACAAAGTTACGAGAGGCTTACTTCCGGATCCATGGGACCTTGCCGGAGTGGTGCAGAATACGCTGCTGGTGGCACTCCGGGCCTGAGCGACTCACACGAAGAGGCTTACCTAATCAAACCATGTGAGTTGGTCGTGAGAATGCGCGAGCGCCTTTGAACGTTGAAACGTTGAAGTGCCCACCTGAAGGCCTGAAGATCGCAGATGACGCTTCATTTGCTATCAAGGTCAACATGTATCTCCAAATGATCACTCCTCGGACAGCGATTCGGAATCCGGATACCACCGTCACCTCTGGCGATCACGAGATCAACTTGGACAACGGTGCCGGTAAAGTGGCAAGAGCGGCAGCCCTATTTAGAGCGGAGAATTGGGCCGTATTGAGGAACGCGGAATACAGAGTAACTGAACGTGAAAAAGTAGTCGGAGCTTACGCTATCCCAACATGGCCGCTGGCTCCTTGCTTGGTTATATGCTGCCACCACGTTTTCCGTCCTTTTTGCCTTGCCGCTTCATGATTGTACATCCGGTTCATACTGCTATCGCTCCGACTGCTCAGTCAACATCCACCGGGTTCCAACTGATCGCGCCATCCTTGCCGCGATCCAGGGCGTCGATCAACTTCATGTCCTCTGCACTGATTTCGAAGTCGTATAGAGCCGCATTCGTGACCACCCGGTCGGGATCCGACGACTTAGGGAGCGGAACAAATCTGAGAGTTTCTCAGCGCTGTGAGTTTGGTATTTGACGGTATAACGTACCCACGCTGTAGAGACCAGCGAACGAGTACTTGAGCAGGAGTCTTCCCGAGCTGTGATACTTACGATCAAGAGACCGTGAGTAGTCAGTAAGCTGAGAAGCGTACCTTCTCTGTGACCTTTAGGAGCGCGGGGATGTTCCATTGGGCGCGAATTAGCGGACAGTAATCCTCGACGACGATGCCATTCGCGATGCAGTAATCGACGATGTGTTTCTGCTGACAGAGAGGGTGGAGCTGGAAGGACGATTGGTTGTCTGCTCGAAGCACGGAAGAAGCGAAACATACCTCAACCTGATTGACATCAGGCATCTCATACCCAGCTTCGCGTATCTCTTCGATGTGTTTCACGCCGCTGTGAAGAAGGGACGTCAACCGCGTGACCAGCAATTGTAAAGCACTGACTGGGACGTACTAGTTTGACACTCCAATTGCGCGTACCGTGCCAGCTGCCTTGGCTTCCACGAGAGCGCGCCAAGACTCGAGGCGGCGCTCTTTGTCTGACATCGCGCTGTGCATGAGCATCAGGTCGATGTACTCAAAGTTGAAGTTTCGGAGCGAGGATTCAATCGCCGCCTTCGTTTTCTGGTAGCCATGTTCAGGATTATTGACTTTCGAGGCTAAAAAAACAGAGAAGTCAGGCCAGTTGCAGAGCGTGAGAGCACTTGGACACACTGATGAAGACCTGTTCGCGTGGAACTCCGCTTTCTCGTAGAGCATCGCCCACTTCGGCTTCGTTGCGGTACATGCGGGCGGAATCTATGTGCCTGCAAAGAGAGAGAGAGAATGTCCAGTTATATGAAGGTATAGGGCTGAATCTATGAATTCATTTACTTGTATCCATGCTTCAGAGCAGCGAGACATGCTGGCTTGCAGTCATCGTTGCGATAAACACCGAGTCCAAGAAGCGGGAGCTCAATCCCTGTGGATCCGTTAGCGTGAAAAGTGAACTCTTCAGATAACTTGGAAGCGAACCTGAGCCCCGGAGCTGGACGGTGGACTTGAGAGTGAAGTTCGTCATGGTGCGCGAGACGGTGTGAGAGCAAGCCTGATTGTCTGGGGTCCGAGTCAGGCGCGCCTGTGTACGTCTGGGAAAATGTTGCCCGTGATATCGATATGATCAATGAAAGTCAGTCGGTCTTCATCAGCCATGCACAGAAGCGTTGAATCGTCTGTCACTTGCAGTGTAAGCATTCCTCGACTCGGAGAGGAGGAAGGAGAGGAGGAATCAAGAGGGGACAAGTGTTGCTTGCTGGCAGTTTCAAACCACTGCGCTCTTCGTGGGCGTTTCACGTCCCTGCACACCCCCGAAAACTCCGGAGCCCCAGTGCTTTCTCGATCCCAATTTCTGAACTGGCTCTTATACTGTTTAGCGACAGACCACCTAGTCATACACGTTGACATATTTACACTATCTCATGTTGTGTCCATGCCAAGAACTTTGCAATGCCGACGTACACATCATAACGCCTTCATGCGAGATATGAAAGGCATGCGTGGGTGGAGCACGTTAAACCCCCTGCGTACATTGATGAGCATAGGCCGGACCCTTGGGCGCATAACACTCACCTGTCCGTACGACTAGCAAAGCGCAGAGCGCTTCGAGTTCACGTACCCGGCGACGCCCTCATTGTTGTAACCCAAGTTGTTGATAGCGTTGTTGCGCTCGGACAGGCTCGTCGTGTAGAAGTGGTCGACGATAGTCGGGTTGTAGAGTCGATAGAACGGCACCGACTTGCACAACGCGCTCGGGTAAATGTACGAGCTCACGCCCTCGTACGTGTACCCGATCTGCACCGCGTTGTCCCGCTCCGACGCGCTGGTCGTATAGAAATGGTCCGTGCCCGAGGCGCTGTAGAGACGGTAGAAGGGTACGGCGCCCACGCCGTGCGTCCCGGTCGCCGGGTAGACCCGTGCGGCGATGCCCTCCTTTTGGTAGCCCAGGCTGGACGTCGCTGTGTTGTACTCGGAGACCGAGGTCGTATAGAAGTGGTCGGTCGCCGAAGGGCTGTACGCGCGATAGAAGGGAGTGGTGGCCCCGCAGCAGCGAAGAGCCTAGAAGTGAGGATGGGTTAGCGCATTGGGTGGGAAGCCCAGATCTCGAACGTGATCTTACATCTTCGGCGTTGTCGGTGGGGATAGCCTGCACCGACAGGGCGAGGGCGGAGAGGATGAGCGCAGTGAAGAAGGTCTTCATGGTGATGGCTATAGCAGGTAGTGAAAGAGTGGGGAGACGAGTGTATGACTCTGTATGACTCAAGACTGCGTCTGATCCCTTATGTAGCACGCGGAGGTTAGACAGGAGGCACTGGCCACAATTTTGGCCAACTTAGAATCAAAAGACGCTTGGCGATGAGCGGTGATGGTAATGCCGAAGGGTGCGCATCGTGACGTGCATATGTATGTATGGCATGGTGATTAATCGAGCTGCGAGCTAGAAGCGAACAAACACTCTCCCAAGAAAAAACGATGACTCCGCTTGCGGCGACCCCCGAATGACGCCTATGGATTAGTACGCTGTTATCAGGATGCAAGCCTTGACCCGCTCACAGGGGTAAAGGTTGAGGTTCGTGTTGGTAATTCTCGCTAAGCAATTATGATGGATCGGTAGAGAACGTACGTAGGCGACAAAATTTGAGCGCGATGGTCGAGTTTAAGTGCTCTCCACATCCAATGAACGACGGGATCAGGTCAAGTGACGACGAAGAACATGCTGACGGTAGCGCCGGGGTGATCGCGGCTTCGCACCGACTATGTCGCCTGTGCATCACTCGCCGGAGGAGGTTCAGATGGGCCGTCCATACGTCCTGTTGTATTACTTCATGGTCAAGAGGCATCACCGAAAGTGCGTATCGTATGATTCGTGAGAGTCACCATTCCGTTTTCGTCATGTCATCCTCCTTCCGCCCTACATCGCAGCCGACGCCGCGGCCAGAGCCAGATCTAGCCGGCGGCGAAGCCCTTCCCCGTCCCGCGTCCGTGCCCGCGCAGTCCCCACGTCAAGCGCGACGTCGAGCGGCAGCTGACACAGGGCCGTGATCTCCTGACGCACGACAGCACCTTCCGCTTCGCGTACGAGCACGCTCTGCAGGTCGCGAAGTAGAAGGTCCTCCATCAGACCCTCAAGCGCGAGCGAGGTGTTTGTTGCAGTGGAATCCAGCGCCATGGGCTGGGGAGAGACTAGCCCAGAGGCAGAGATCGGGAGGCTTGAGCTCGAGGAAGACAGGGCTTGCACGCCGTTGAGTGCACCGAATTTTGGTGTGGGCACCGGGGCTGCCGGATCAACAAAGGTGGGGCATGTCCAGGGAAGCACGACGCGTGTGCGCGCGCGGAAGTCCGCATCTGGGCGTCCGCGGAGAATGAAACCGGAGCCGCCGACGTCTCCGAGCGTGCGCGCGAGCGCGGTGCACGCGTAACATGCTGGCGTCCAATCGTCGTCGTCTTCTTCAAGCTCCACGTCCTCGAGTACGGAGGGGGTCGTGCAGGTCAAGGGAGGGGCGGGGTGTATCCCAGCGACGCTGATGTACGCGTGAGACACGGCATGGGAGTTGTGTAGGTGCGCAAGGAGCAGGGTCTCGCAGTGCAGCGCGACGCTCCCGTGCGTGTGGCCGTGGGTGGAGGTGAAGTCTTGCGCCTTGGGACATGGTTCCATGACGTACCGCGAGAATCGCACGCCGTTGCCGCTCCGGCCCTCCTCGCGAACGAGGCCGGCAACGGCGACTTTGCCTAGAGGGCGCACGATCTCGCTCCATGGCCAGCGCGTGACGTCTGGTGGACAGCTTGGGAGGACACCGAGGTCGGAGCCCTTCCAGCCGTCGATTCCTGCGACCCAGTCCGCGAGCATGCCGGAGTCGAGCGTTGCCTGGAATGCCGGCGCGGGCGCTGAGTACGAGGAGGTGGCACCATTCGTATCCAGCCACACGACGTGCCAGGGCACCGCAAGGGCACCGACCATGGTATGGGAGCGGGTGAGGGCGATGAGGTTGTTCACGAGGCGGGATAATGTGCATGCTTCGTCAATAGCAGGGATGGCGTCATGATCTGCGTGCGTGATATGAGCATGTGCGCGCATAAAACGTGACTCGGGGCACGCAAAGTACGTACAGATGCTGCCCAAGAACGTTCGGAAGTCGGGCACGCGCATCTGGGCCGCGACGCGTCGACAGGCCTGGTGGATCGCAAGAAGTTGATACGGTTCTCTTATCTCATGCTCCTTGGTGAGCTTGAGGAGGATCCGGATGTCGCGGCAGAGGCGCGTAAGCGCGTCCGAGTGCGGTGACGGCAGCTGCGAGCCCTCCTCGCGGCCAGCACTCGCCCAGTCCATGCCGTCCGAAGGCCCTTCAGATGTGGGGGAGGAAGGCGGGAGTGTCGCGATAACGGCTTCCTCTTGACGCCATTCCTCCAGCCGCCGCAGCACGCCCCACACCCTGAGCTCTCCACGGATGCGGTCGCGCAAAACGGGGTAACATGCCTTGTAGACCGCGATGACCAGCTGTGAGTCGGGGAGGTCGGTGACGCCGTCGAAGCCCGCCTGACGAGGTGCGCGGGCGAGGAGCCATACGCGGTCTACCCAGCTCTCGAAGTCGGGGATGAAGCGCGAGTTGAGGGAGCCGACGCATGCCGAGCATGAACCTGAGTATGCACCGTTGGTGATAGCGTCTGAAGGAGATTGGGGCGACGCGGCGACGAAGAGGGTTATTTGTGTCGAAGTCGCCTCGAGCGCGGTGGCGGCTCGCGCGCATGCGGGGTGGAAGGTGCAGAGGTCGGCGACGGTGTCGAGCAGACGCGTGTGGGGGAGGGAAGGGTATGGTGTTTGCCACGCGATGTGCGAGCCAGCACGGGCCTCGAGGAGCGGATGGAGAGCGACGAGGAGGGCGTTCACGCGCGCGAATGGACGGGTATCTTCGGGAGCGTGCATGGCGGAATTGTCGGGGTATGGGTAGCTTGCGTCGGATCCATGGCTCGAGCTTGACGCGGACCTTGACGCAGCGGCCATGGGGATATGGGTATGAAGGTAGCGCAGGGAAGACGAGGCAGCGAGATGGCGGCCAGGCGGGGAGGAGGAAGAGGGACAAGCTTGTACCGAGATTTGGATGTGGCCGCGGTGGCTGAGGCCCAAGGCTTTCGGACGGGGCCCTCGTGTCAGCCACCACGGCCCACCGTACCATATGCGGGACTCGCCTCAGGCCTCAGCAGTGATCCCACTCGTTCCGGTACCAGTCGCCTTGTGAAAGCGCAAACGCCGCAAGACCAAAGGGTCAGATAATCATCGGCGGGTGTCGAGGGTTTCGGGCTGACGCGAGCGCGTCGGATGAGACCAAGGGCTTGAAATGTGCATGTCGGTGATGTTCAACCGCGAGCAAAAAGGATCTTTGGCTGCTCGAAAGCTCCGTCCATGGTCCTCGAGTAATTGGGCCTTGAGGCAGCTATGGATGCGGTCGTTGTTTCATAGACTGGGGAAGCCAGTGTTCACGGCAGTGGAAAATAGGTGGCGGTGAGATGATCGCGCGGCGCGGTGAAGGCCTGGATGAAAGGCGGAGGGTGTGAGAGTGCACGGAGGCTGGAGGCAAGCGGCGAAATTTGACTAGAAGCGATCTGGACTTACTCTCGTAAGCGACGATCATTAGAGGAAGGGCGCTTGTTGCGGCTTGTTATCTTATCTGCCTCTCGGATTCAGATGCAGGTGCAGACGATACAGCGGATGACTGCAGGCGGAAGCACACATCAAAAATAAGACAGGATTCAGAACAAGCTTCGAACTCGTATTGAGCCACCTATTCCAATCTGCGAGAGCTCAGAGTTTATCATGTAGGGCCTCGTCTGGCCTCACGTACATCCAACCCCCTTCATCGTCGCACACGGGCACCCAATAGCAAGCGCGCCTGCCAGCCTCTAGAAACAGGTGTGGTGCATATGCATAATTACTGCAAATTACCTACAAGTACACTACTACCACCGCAACTAAAGCAGTCCCTAAGGCCTTAGGAACGAGCGCACATAAGCCTATGAGATCCACGGTAAAAGGAAGACGAGACGAGAGTGAAGCGGCAGAAGACAAGTGGACGGATTCCAGACCAGACCGGGACGAGGGGAAGGAAGGAGGCAGCGGACATAATAAATACGAGATAAATGGTGGCTGAGACCCGGGCCGTCGTGAGGATGGTGAAGCAATAATAAATAGAGATGAGGGGGAACGAGCTGAGGAGGGGGCGTACCACACTGGCACACGCCAATTTATGGCGGAGATGAGGCGGTGTTGGATCCGTTCATGAGATATCGTGACGTCTAGAGACTAAAGAGTGGTGACCGCGAACCCAGAGTAGAACGTGGGACTGTGAGAGTATGTTATATGCTTGCTAACGAGTGTGTGGAGCGCGCCGCCGCAAGCGGCGAGCATGTAGAGATTACCAGGTCTTGTTGAGTGCAAAGACGGAGGATGGTGAAGACGAAAATGTGGCCGAATGGGTGACTAGAATCTACAGGATTAGAAGCCGCCTCCCGTTCTCGACGCTGCCTGTGCGCGAGTCGGAGAGAATGCAGAGAAAATAACAGGGGGAGGGGGGAGGTCGATGGCCCGTGATTGCATCTAGAGCGGGGACGGACAGACTATCGATTCTGCCGACGATGGACGCCTGAATGCTCATGCCCGAGCCGCCCGGAATTTGCCTCGAGCTTGGCGTGGTGCTCCTCCTGTTGCTGCTGTGATGCGAAGAACCGGCCGCGCGAGTACGCGTCCTCCTCTGTCAGAAAGGGGTCCGATCTGTGTCAGCGTCGCCGAACTCCTGAGCAGCGCGCATCGTGACTTACCGAAGCCAAAGCCACCTGAGGCGCGGACGCCTTCGTACGGCGGGAATGCGTACGCCTCTGGAGAGCCTTGAGGCGTGTAGTGGTGCGGGGACTGAACGTGATACGCCGGGAGAGAGCAGCAGTCCGCGCTGAAGGGCGTACGAAGCTCGTGCGAGGTGCCCTCACTATCTCCGGTCGACGCGGAGCCGTCCGAGGAGGTCGAGACCGAGTCGGAGTGCGCGCGCGGGAAGACATACTGCGCGTGCGAGTCCTCCTCGCAGAACGTGAGGATGCTCGACCCATGTACGTCCCCGCGCGGCGTCGAGTCGTGATGCACCAACGAGGCGCGTGGCGAAGTAGTGGAGGAGGGCGAACGGATAGACGCGTCCACCGGGATGGGCGATGCCGTGAACGCGCGCGAGATGGGCTCGCTGCGCGTGCCCTCGGGAGTGGTGTTGAAACCCTGCTGCACGCCGAGGTCGAGGTCGGGGTGCGGCTCATCTTCACCTGCGTCCTCGCCGAACGTTATGTCGAATAGTCCATCCGAGACGCGAGCCCAGCGCTCGAGAATCCACATGAGTACCGCGCTGCGCACACCGAGAGGACCCCCGGCAAGCGAGCGTCCGAACATGCGAGCGACATCGTCAAGGGTGAGCCCGTTGTCGGGCGAGAGCGGGAGCTGAGTGAAGAATGCGAGCAAGTACGCGAAGAGGACGCATTGGGGTGGAGGCGCGAGACGGAGGAGGTGTTGGGCAGCAGCGACTTGGGTGGACTCGGCGGAGAGAGCCGCACGCTGGCGTTCAGAGGGAGTCATGAGCATGTGTGAGGAGAGCGCAAAAGGCGGCGCGGAGTGCGCTCGATGAGCCTCAGAGGAAGATCCGGACGGGACCGAGAAGTAGTCTTTGCAGACCGTACGTGCGTCGACCATTTGCATGTCACCGTCACCGTCTGTGGTCGCTGCTGATGACTCTTGTTGGCGGAGGGTCGGCACGACGCAGACCTCATGTAGGGCAGAAACGAGGTTCTCGTCCAGAAGGGGCTCCGGCATCTCGTCGAGATACTTTTTGAGGAGTGCCCCAATATCGGCCGTGCTCTCCTTGCGCAGGGACGTACGTGAAGAGCAGGAGGACGTCGGGGTGAGGGGCGGCGGGCAGAGGCGGGCAGAGTCACCGGCGGGAGAGGTCTGCCCGCTCGGTGGCGACGATGAGGCGGGTGACGCAGGGCTATCGAACTCGGCGATGAGCTTGGCCAGCCGGCCCCGATGTGGCGCGGAGCGGAACAAGCCTGGCTGGTAGATACCTGTGTGATGAATGGTAAGACGCCAACATAGCCGTCATCAGCTCTCTGGCGTGCAAATGTCGTGCGCGGGCTGGACTCACCGGTGCGGTTCAACTCTTCAACGCAAGCATAGACCACCCAAGGGATGGGGTGCTGGTACCCTCCGAGCACCGTGACCATCGAACTTCTCCGGATGGCGACGCTGACCGGGGCTCCGAAGATCCCTGTGTGAAGATCCCCGGTCAGAGCATGTCCGGGATGTCATTAACGCGGCCGCAAGGCCCCTTCACCGCCGGACGCTTTTTCCAAAGACGCGCCATGCGCAGGGCCGAGACCGCGAGCCGACTCAGTGGGCAGGATCGGTACGTACTCGTATCAACGTCCGAACGCGGGTCCAGGCCGGCCTCAGCGCCCGTGCCCCGCCAAGCCCACAGCGTTTGCTTCTGGTGCGCGGCCCACTTGTCGAGCACGCGTTGCACGTCCAGGCACTCGTCCAGCGGGCGCTCGTCGCCGCCTTGCTCGAGAACCTCCCGGAGGCTCCAGAGCACCGACCGGGGGTTGCTCGGCGCGGAGACTGGCACCACGGCCGGTTGGCTCGACGCCCGCGGGCGTGGAGGGCACGGCGACGGCGATTTGCGCGGGCCTGCGCGCACGGAGCGGGCGCGTATCCGCCCTGTCCATGGTCCACCGATGGATGCGGACTCGGGGTGCTCCCATGGCTTCGAACTCCTCAGTGCTGGTGAGGGCTCCGGGGCGGGCACCTTCGACGCGGGGGCCAGGATGAGGTGGCTGGGGAAGGTCGGCTCGGGGGCGGGGATCGTGCGCGCGGCTTGGAGTGGTGAGCTCGATGCGGAGTGTGAGGCAAGGACAGGGCCTTGACCGCAGGCGCGCGCGAGGCGGTCCGACTCCATGTCAATAGCGGGGAGCGAGTTGAGACGCCAATGGGAGAAGGAGGATGAGGAGCGGGAGTGAACGGCCATCGTTCTGGTTTCTACTCTGGCTTTGTAGGAGGCGGCGACAGGGTGGTTCGGGGAGACGGCGGTGGAAGAAGAGCAGAAGGAAAAAGTGGAGGAAGAAGCGGCAGAGACAGGAAGCTCAGAATCCACACTAGTAAGATTGCGGAAGGAATGTGAAGCCGCCGGCGAGGTCACAACAGAGGCCCCGGAGAGGTCGAGCTCCAGCGGGGCGAGAGGCTGGCGACGTGCGGAGAGGGAGGAGGCAGAAGGGGAGGATGCAAGGGGAGGACTGGCGGAGGTGAAAGAAACAGTGTGATGCAGGGGCATATGCGCCACTGGGGGAATGCGAAAGACGGCTGCAGTGAATTGCGGAGTCGCGCTCTGTCGCGGGTCGGCGGATGACGGCGACGAGTCGATCTGGTTGTGATGAGGATAGACGTTTGCGTCCGCCGTAGCGTCTAACAACGGTGGCGGTAGAGTGTGCGAGTGGTCGGGCCAAGCCATCGCAGGGTCTTGGGATTCTCCAGAGTACCGAGAGTCGAAAAATCGCAGAGCCGAAACGGTTGGGAGAGGCGAGTGTTTAGGGCTCGAAGGTGGGAGGAGCAGAGGAGCGAGAGGCAGCAATCGGTGTCAAGGTGGGGATACAAGTCGGAACGGAGAGGGGTTCCATGTGTGTCCGAGAGAAGAGGCGCGGCTCGAGGCGGCAGGCTCGGCAGCGCTCAGTACGCAGAGGGGTCCCACCCGCCAATGGGTCCAACACTGGGTGCGATCGAGATCCGACACCACCCTCGAATGGCGATCATTGCGTCCTCGCGGGCGGGACGAGCGGCCGGCGCGCTCGCCAGGGGCCTCGAGACGTCGTGCTCGATCGAGCGCGTGCGACCTCCTTGCAATCGTGGCCCAGACCTAGGAGGTTGTTTGTGGCGACTACTGGATCCGCAAATGCGGGGTGTGTGCTCTAGACCTGACTGCGTAGCGTCTCCGGGGGCCGTGGCTTTGCTAGCAGGCGTACAGCCACCCACAGAGCAGTGGGAATGGAGCGACCCGGCCCAGCTCCTGTGTCTAAAACCGGAATAGGTCTGGCCAGCGCAGCCTCGAGCCTGTCCGAACCGCGCCTTTGTCGCGTGCTTTTGCCGGCGTCCGGAAAGTTTGGTAGCACCGCTCTGCAACGAGGGCCCACGCCTGCGATGATGACGACGCGTACGTCGATGGATCGTCGGACGCGTGGTGCGCAAGGTCGAACACGAGGACGTGGGCCGAAAGTTCTAATGAGAAAGACTGGAGGCAGCATGTAAGTATGGGATTGCCCAGGAAGGATGGTGCATATTGCCCAAGACGGTTACCGTCACCAAGTCGATCGTCCCCTTCATTTGTCGTACAGACGGACAGAGATGTACCACGAGCCGCGCTCAGCGCCTCCAATGTTTGGAGGGGCAACTTGAAACGCGGTTTGGTGGGTGTCGCCTTCGCAAAGCTTTGCGTATGGGCCCCGGTTTCAGACGAGGCACTAACTGCGCGACGAAGGAGACGTTGCTAATTGTGCCTACAAGGGGACGCGGGTGTAAGTACATGCTCGACGAAGGAAACAAAAATTTCAAAGATGTGTACATGAAAGTGATGCAAGCACAGCGTTTTCGCTCCTCTTGAGGACCCTCGCACTGTTGTAGACTGATCGTTAGTCCAGGCTCTGTGCGCATATTGGTACACTGGTCATGGTATGTGCGCCACGGCATTCTGGCCCACAGCTGAGTGATAAACTGTGATCGAGGATTGATCGACTTACCACGAGACTTGACTTAGCCTCCGAGGACTCGTAAAAAAATTGGACGTGACCCTCACCAAGACGCATCCAACCTGTGTTGATGGCAAGAGAGAACTGTACATGCACGCTGGCCAACGTCGTCACCAGCTCGGGGATCAACCGATCAAACCCCAGTCACGTGCCTATGTGCTATTCGTGAGAAATTCACATTTGAAGCATCCGCCGCCAATGAAGTAGGAGCGCGACCACTTCATGCGATTACGTAAATCCTAGCGTGAAGCTCGGGAATACATCAATACATCATGGGCTCATTGCAGACGAGCACCACCAATAGCGCGCGTTACAACCGGATGCGGAAGTCCATGGGCGACGTGCAGGTCGTAACGATGTTTTACATACTACTACGGTTCGTGAGTGGCTCCGAGGCGACTACCCTCGCAGGCCGACGCCCGCCTCAGAGCGCGAGCACGCCCCCAGCGAGCGCCCCGAGGAGCGTCACGCCCGCCGCCGCGCCAGCGGCCCCGAGCGCGGGCACTTGTCCCCCGCGCGCGGCGTTCGACTTGCTCCCCGACGAGCCTGACCCCTTGGAGCCGGACGCCCCAGACGCCCCCGCGGCCTGCGAGGTCTTCAGGGTGGTCGCCGCGCCGGAGCCGGACTTGACGGCGGAGCCGGACGCGGAGGCGACCCCGGTGGCGGTCTCGACGGAGCTGCCGCCGCCCTTGACGGCGGTGTCCGTCGCGGCGGAGGACAGAGTGTCGCTGCCGACGGGAGTGCTGGCCGCGCCGGAGCCGGTGGCCGCGGTGCCGTTCGCCGCGGAGCTGCTGGCCAAGGTGTCTGGAGGGTGGGTGAGATTGGCTGCGTGCATGGTCAGGCAGTGAGGGCAGACGTACCGGTACCGGCGCCGGTGGTGTCGGCTGCGCCCTGCGCATGAATGCCCGCAAAGAGGAGCGCGAGGGAGAAGAGCGCGAGCTTGGTGTGGGCGAACATCGTGATCGTGTGGTGTGCAGACGAGATGAAGGACAAGGTCGATCGACGACAAACTGGGAAGGAAATAGCGACAGAGGGCGCGACGAGTGTACAATGAGAGGATGGAGGTCGTAAACGGGGAAGTGCTGGATGAAGAGCCGCAGGAGCAGCAATGGGACCATATATACGGCTCGCATGTATTTTAAACCCATCGCCTTGCAGGCCTGGAGGATACGGGGTGGTCACCTGTGGTGGAGGCACAGCAACCTCGAAGTTTGAGTGCCAATTTCCATGGTCGTTGAGACAACCTGAAATCCGCGTTGCGCAGCACTGAGACGGCCCCACATCTGCTGGGCCGACTTCCTTGTGATAATGTCGTGCCAGCATTATCGTGCCGATGCTCTGTGGGCAACAACTTACATTGTGAGCTCGCAAGTCATCGCCGGACAGGGCTCACCCACGAGCCAACAAGAACCATGAGGACGTGATGCCACATGTCACCGCGACACCTCGTGCATGACCGTGGTTGGGTTTGAGGGACATCATCGATGCATCGGGTGTAGGCAAAATCGCGTTTTAAATTTGGGCGGCTCCTTGCCAACGCAGATTTGGACAGGCGCCTATCAAATACCCGCCGTGACGTCAGCGAGATGTGACGTGTACTTGGGATGCACTGTTGTACATACACTGCTACTCCTACAGATCCCCCTTGTAAATCGACTACTGCAATACACGATCCGCTCACAAGCCTCCAGATCACACCGGAACAGCGGTGGTGTACGCCCACAACGCGCCGGGCGTGCTCCGCCGCACCTCGGCCACCTTCCACCCCGCCGAAAGCAGCAGCGCCGCCATCTCCCCCACCGCCTTCTCCCTCGCGTCGAACATGCCCATCATCTGCAGAAAGCGGATCAGACGCAGCTCTTCTTGCGCGCGCTCCGGAAGCCCCCAGACGAAACGCACCATGATGTCGATGAGGTATCCGGGGATGCTCGCCCGGCCCAGGTTCGGCAGCAGCGGCGAGTCCGCGTCCACGAAGGGCTTGCTCACGGAGAACAGCGCGTCGTCCTCGCCGCTCTGCGAGCCCGGGGCGTGGCACGCGTACGGGAGGAGCATGTCGCCGACGAGCAGCTTGGTGTCCGGGCCGGCGGCCTCGCGCAGGTGGCGCAAGATCCTGTCTGGGGCGTGAGCGTGTGCAGAAAAAACGGGGGAGGGGGCGCGGAGCGAGAGGGGATAAACGGTGACGCACTTCACGGCCTCTTGGTCCTGCCAGTCGTGCAGCACGAGCCGGAGGAGGAACACGGCGGGCGCCGCAGCGCCCTCGAGCGGCGGCGCGAACGGCGCGAGGAAGTCGCGCGCGCGATACGCCATCCGTCCCGACTCGAACAGCGGCGCTTTGTCCGGGCCCCACGCCTGATCGGAGGCATGCGTGAGTGGACACAGTCAGCGCGCGACGCCCCCAGCTGGAACAACAAGAAATCGCGACGCACGGAGACGGCGGCCGACGTGACCTGGATGCGGTCTTCGACGAGCACGCGCACGTGGGGGTGCGCCTCCGCGACCTGGATCGATTGCGCGCCTATCCCCCCGCCGACGTCGACGAGCACCGCGCCTTCGGGGAGCTCGTCCCACGAGAACCCTGCGCGATCGGCTCAGCACGCTGGTCTCCAAGTCCGGCGCGAGCGAGGACGTACCGCGCAGGATGCCCCCTTGGACGTCCCACTGGCGCGTGCCGGTCATCGCGTGGCCGAAGCGGTTCAGCCGGTCTTTGTTCTCCGGCAGCTCGAGCCAGGGGAAGTATCCGAGCTTGGTTTCGAATGCGAGGTTGAAGGGCGCCCACGAATGCGCGACCTCGAGGTTGTCGGAGTCGGGCGCAGGGGCGTCGGGAGCTGCAGGGACGTTGGTGATCGTTTGGGTAAATTTGGTGTCAAAGGTGTTCGTCGCGGCAGGGATAGCCCAGTCGGTGAGCACAGAGATGAACTTGATTGCTTCATCGCCGCTGCAGGGGATGTTGAGTAAGCTACAGGTCCGACCAAAACAGAAGACTCGGGGGACGTGCCAGAGTGCTACGAAAGCGGCAACACCGTCCGTGTCAGTGTACTTGGTGTGCGGCCTGGAGGGTCATCATGAGCGTCGTGGAAGACGCGTCGATGGACGATACGCACGCGTCGCGCAGCTGAGCGACAGTCTTGCCGCTGTCGATATACGAGGAACGTCGGTTGTTGGTGAACACATCCGGCTTGACTTCACGTAGATAATGGGCCGTCGCGAGCAGCCTGAGGATGTGCGCTTCAAGCGGGGATCAGTGGCCATGCGCGCGCGAAGGACTGAACATCACTGACAGAGACCGACCGGGTTGAGGCCGTTGGGATGCTTGGGCTCCACGTTCTTAGGAAGCAAGTCCAGAATGGCATCGTAGATGTCCTTGACGTGCATCCCCTCCGGGCCGGCCTCCTTCAAGATCTCCACCACGTTCGCCGTCTCCATGAATCTGATCGCCGCCGCCAGCTGGCCCTAGGTCGCACAAATCAGCACCGCATGCACATCCCGTCGGACCCCTCGAGCTCACCGCCTGGGCGTCCGCCATCAGCCCGAACCAGGGCTTGTGCACGAGCGCGCTCATCTGCCCGCACGCGGCGACGATGTGCTTCGTCGCGCGGTCCACCTCCGGGTCGCCGCGGAGCGCCTCCGCGCCGTCCTCCTCGGGCGTGTGCGGGGCGGTGGCGTAGAACGCGGCGTCGAGGGAGGGGAAGTCGAGCGCCTGCGCGCTGTAGACGCGCTCGATGTCGTCGAGCGCGGTGCCGATGGCGGCGTGCAGCGCGCGCAGGGTCGCGATGGTCATCGGGCGCGTGGACAAGGAGTGCGGGGGCGAGTGTGAAGGGTGGGGCGCTCCTTGAGGCCTGGAGGGAGCTGGGCCTATATGTTATGTGCGCTTTGTGTGCGGCTCCGATGTGTGTGGTAAACTGCGGCGGCGGACGGCAGAGGCTCCCAGCGAACGTCCGCTACGCTGATCCCGGATATGATCTGTCGATAGCGTTATCGTCGGCGCACCGAGCGCGCTCTGGTTGGAGCATGCGAGCGCTGCGGGTGGCGAGAAGCTCGGGGGTGGTAGGCGACCTGACCTGTGTTGGTGAACACGGGCCTTCATCAGGGTTCTGGTTCGGATTCGACGGGTTGATGGGCGCGCGCGGTTGCTTCCGCGTTCTGTAGGTACCAGAGATAAGTTCACGAGTCTTGCAACACAGGCCGGAGGCTACACCTCGATATGTGCCGAAAAGCATCGATCAGAGTTCAACTTTATGCCAGTCGCCGACTAGTATGTTCAGACTCCAGTCAGAGTGAGAGGCCGCCAAGACAGGGGGAAAGAAGTTTGGATGCCGACGCACCTATGGTGATCCACAATTGCAAAGGGAGCTTTACATAGACGTCTGACGGACCCAAGGGAGCGCTGGGTGTCTTCTCGCGCGCCGAACGCGCGGGTGAAAAGGTCACGAGAGAAGAGGAGATACCGCATGTCGGGAACTTACGTGTGCTGCGCATGCTGCCTTTGCGGAGTATTCATGAACGGTTCAGGGGCCTTGACGGCTCAGTGGAGACTCTTTGACAACATGAATTGAGCCTAGACTCATGACAGCTGCAGGGATGATCGAGAGATGCAGCGTAAGTCTGTAAGAGCACCTACTTGAGTCGTGACAAAGACATCAGCTAGAACCTGGCTTCCGTATCAACAGCAAGAGAGGGGTTGATACAGGCTTGAATGGGCGGCGCTGAGCTTCGATCAAGCGATGATGATGGTCGAATTCAAGACGCGACGCTGGTTGCGTCGTCGATTTGGGCGCCTGTTGAGAAGCGCCTTTGAGGGTGAGACATCGAAATCGCGCATTTCCGCCAGTTTCCGCGCGAGGGTGTTCTGGAGTGCGCGCCTTGAACGTTGAACGTTTGAACGTTGAACCGCGTGGGTGCGGAGACAGAGCCCCACGTCGATCCAAAGGTGGTTTGCTTTCCGTTTAGGGGCCACCGTAGTCCGATGGTCCAAGGGAAGTTGGTGTGCGCAGCAAGCACTCCGATCGACTCAGCTGGCCAAAGGGGCTCGGTTCTTCCAATTAAAAGACCGGTAGGTACGCGATTATGGTGTTGGTATAACTCGCGGAGATGTATACATGAACTAGAACTGGAGAATCACAAAGTCGAAATATCATCCCGCCTGGATTGTCATGGCCGTCTACTGAGACGGACGGCACCGTGCGAGCGCCCCACGAATCCTGGTGCATGCTCTCATTTTCAGAACACCATCGCCGCGCCCGCGACGACACCGACGACGGCCACCGCGAGAGCCGCCGCGCCGCCGCGCGCGAGCCCCCACTCGGCACGGAGCGCGCCCGCCGCGCTGGACGTCCGGGCGGCCCCGGTGTTCGATCCCGATGCGGACGTGCCTGATGTGAGGGAGGCCGCGGCGGAGCTGAGGGAAGAGCCGGCGGAGGAAAGCTTGGAGCTGATGGCGGAGGACGCGGAGGAGGTAATAGACGAGGCGACAGAGGAAACGGCGCTCGAGACTGGAAGGCAGTGGGTCAGCGCGGTGCTCTAAATTTCCGCCTGTGCTGTCAACCTCGCTCGAGCAAGCAGCGCGTTCATATACATGGGAACGCTGCGAGGTGCGACACGCACATGACCGCCTGCTCTGACTGCAGCGCGGGCACCTTGCGGAAGCGCGCGACCACATGGGGCGTGCGCGGGACGTCTTTGGCACAAGCGGGGCGTTGTGACGTCATGGGGCAGCGCGCGGGCGTTCTCCGAGGTGATGGGGCGAAGAAGACTGACCTGCGAGGCACTCGGAGCTCTGGAGGGCCTGTGCGGCGGCGACCTCGGCGGGGGTGCAGGAGCTCTCGAGGCAGCTTTGGGCCTGCTGCTGGAACTGGGTGTTGGTGCACACGCACGCGAGGTCCGAGCTGCGAGGCATGACGTCAGTACGGGGCAGTGTGGGGGACGCGGCGAGCGTGGACCAGGAAAGTGCATGAGGAGACGTACAAGCCACTGCAGCCGGCGGCGGAGGCGGCCTGGGAGACGCAGTTGAGGATGCAGGGAGTGACGCCCGACGGGATTGAGGTGCTCGCGGAGCTCGTCGTGCTCTGAGCATGCACAGCGGAGGCGGCGAGAAGAATGGCGGAGAGGGCGGTGAACTTCATTGTGCAGGGGGCGAGCGACTGGTGGGAGGGAGGATGGGAGTGGGGAAGAACTCTCAGCGGCGGGGAACCCACTTGGGCGTGTTTATATAGCGGGAACGTGGACAGCGGAACGGAAGGGGAACGAGCAGGGGCGTAGACCAAGACTGGGCCCGCGCTCACGCGCACGGTCCCGGCGGCGACGCTCGAATTTGACCTGACGCGCCAAGATCCCGCGCGCGACATGGGCGCCTCCGCGTCCCAACCGAGCCTGCACCAGTCCCTGCTCCGCGCACCGGCTCCGCTCACACTGACAGTCGCCGCCCTGCTGCAACGCTCCCTGCCCGTCCCGCCCTCTTGTCGTGGCCGTGCTCGGCTCGAACGATGCCACGGCAGCAGCTTCGCCGTTCGCCGCCTATTTTCGCCGCCTTCGATGCGAGATGCCTCTCACCCCTCATTCACCGCCGTGATGGAGAACGACGGGACCTCTCACCATTCTCGCTCCGGCCTCCCATGCTCCAGACCACGCGTAGCCCGGTCCCGTGGACGGTACGCAACCCACACCCCACCCCGCTCTACCGCCAAACTCTGCTCAAGCTTGGGGCGAAGCTCCGCGGCCCGGCGCATTGTCTGCATTTCAACGTGGAGAACCTTCGTTTCCCGTCGTTTGCGCGCCCTCCTCCCAGCTCCTCCCCCGGCCCGTCATCTCTTCCGCCAGATGTTGAAATGGATCTGTCTGGGTCATCTCTTGGCCCATAGGCACCGCCTTCTCTACGAATAGAGCCTCTGCACTTGTCAAAATCCACAACCGTTTCAGGACGATGCGCGTGCGTTCCTCTGTCGTCTGCCGGCGCGCTCGCGGGGGTCAGGAGCATGTCAAATACACCCAACTGGAAATTCGTGGCCCTAGCGCCCCGGGACGCGCGCCCAGAATCTGCGACGGCGCATCTCGTCAACTTTGCCCAATGCCCACACAGCTCCAGGGGCGGACGGAGTGTGCGTATGAGAAGGACGTGCTCATCCGGATGGTCTGGGCGGAGGCGGAGAGAGGAGGGTGGCCGGTTGGACCTGTAGCGCAACGTGGCCACATTGAACAGCGGGCGCGGTGGGAGAACCATGTTCAACCATCCCATCAATCTTCCTTGTGAAATTCAAAGTGAGCCCATGGACGGGTCTGGCTGTAAGTATGCGATCGCGTGCTCAAGGCATCCTAGTGCCGCCCGAACGGTCTCTAATGCTCGCGATGCAGTGCACCCATATGAAAAAGTTGGTTCTGCGGACAACTTTCGCCCCTATGGTGTGTGGGCGAACGCCAATTTCCTCTCCAACGTGATCACGGACCGCTCGGTGGTCGTCCCAGCGCAATGCCCGCCCATGATTCCCGCTTGCGACCTACGGGCAGGTTATGTGACGTCCCGGCCGCCGACCGTCACATGTACATCTTCGTGTCCTCCGGGTTCACCTTGATCTCGCCACGTCTCGCGGGCTCGAATCCTTAAGCTGGGGATATCATATGCCGTGAACGAAATTGGAGTCCGTTGCGGTGTGGAGTCCCGTCAACTGCGAGCTCGGATGGGTGGCAAAAGGTTTCAGGTTCACGCTACCATGTAGCAATCGTTTTTGAAAACGAATCAGCGCGCTTTCACGCCGGGCAAGTACAGATCCCCTTGAGCAACGGATTATGCCATAGGTCCCCATCCGGCAGGCCGTGACAGAAGCCCGGCATCGCGAGCGACTTCTTCATCATCCCAAGAGTCCTCGTCTTCGTCGTTCTCCATGAAGTCGGTTTCTCCGGGCTCGGAGTCCTCGTCCACGTAGCTCTCTCCCGACTCGTCCTCGGTCTCGCCATCGCTGCGCAACACCGTCAGCCCACTGGGACGATGACATCACTGCCGCCACCTACTGACCTCTCCAACTGTACACCCTCCGCGTAAGAGTCCCGGTTGATCCCAGACACGTCCGCTATGCTGTTCAAAACCGCCTGCGGGACCAAATCATTGAATTGCGCCACCTTACTGTCCCGCACTAACGCGACCTCCGTCTGGACCAACATGTAGTCAGGGAGCCGATGCGCGACCGCTTTCGCCCCAATTTCGCCCTCCCCGCCGGGCCGAAGGAGTGTGCGGGGGTGGAAGCGCCTCGGCCACCCCGCCTTCGCGGAGGACGCCGGCTGCGAACTGTACGTCTCGTCGGAGCCGTCGAGGAGGCGGACGGAGGCGAGCGCGGGCACGGCGCTGTCCGTGGGGGACACCACAACACGCCGGAGCCCGGTCCTCCACGAAAGAGGGGGGTAGTACGAGAACGCGGTGGAGTGGACGATCCATATGTCGAGCCACTTGAGCGACGGGGAGCGGATGGGATGCTGGGCGATGGCGGCAGGTTTGAGGGCGGGGAGGACGAGGTGTTCGAGAAGAGGGCAACGCGACTCTAATGTGCTGGTGAGGCGGTCCTGCTGCTCTGGAGTGAAGGATGCATTCACGGAGCTGGGGAAGAATTGGAGGAAACGGAGCCCGACGCCGAATCGTTCGACTGTCTCCATCGGATCCATGGGATTGGCGCCGATCCCGACGGTGAGCCGCTGGAGCCTCGGGAGTGTCCAGTAGTTGGCGATGAAACGTGGGAGGAAGGGCATGACACTACAGTCCACATGAAGCTCGAGCAGGGAAGGGAGAATGAGTGTAGGAGAGTCATGGTGCTGTTCAACAACACCGTCGTCTCGCAGGCGAGCCCTTTCCCAAGGTGAGAAGGGTCCCGAGTCCCATCGCCACGCCACTAGGAAACGAAGGCAGTGTGTGTGTTGCAAAACCGCGTGCAGCGCATGCATACCTGCCGCGTTTGACAGGTCGGCATGGACGTCCAGGTGTGTCAACTGCGATCCAACTACAGACAGCAGTACATTTCCGGTGGAACTAGGGGAGGCGAACCAGGTTGGGTTGAGCATGCCGTCCATCGATGCGACCGAGTCCTGAAATGTGTCGGCAAAGGCAAAGGCTAGATGCGAGCGGTACGTGATCGAGGTAAGATTGGGACATCGAGAGAGGATAGTGGCGAGCGCGGCTCGGCATTCATCGACGGCCGCGTGCCAGACGATGCACGTGTCCATGCGGAGGCTGTTGATCATGAAGCGCAGGTCTGAGCTTGGTGGTGCTTCGGAAGACATAGTCCTTGCAAGAGAGGATATCTGGCCCATACGTCGGATAACAACATCCTCGTAGAGCACCTTCGACGCGGCCCACCATGTGGATCTGCAGATGAGAGGCAGCGAAAGTTTCGCCCGAAAGGCGCGCATCCATGGGCTGTCGCCAGACTGAGCGACGGAGGGATCCATTTCGTGCCATGGCTTTGGAGAAACCTCGGAGAATATCTTGAGTTGAAGCTCTGATGGAATGTCACCAATGGCTGTCAATGCTGCAGTGTAGCGCGGTGATAACTGCGACAAGACCGCGACTCAGCGACATCATGAAATCGGAGGGACGCAAAACAAAAGCATACTCCAAGAGATTCTAGAAGCGTGGCAACAGTGGACTGCAAGCAGAGCAAGTTCTGTGTGCGCAACATGTGGGTATGAGCGGTTCTTCGTTGGCACAAAAGCGACTCGAACCTGGCGCAAATCCGAGTTTTCTCGTCTCAGAAGTGCGTTCTCTGTGACCGCAGTTCTATAATCGTCGGTGGATATGCCTTTGCACGACACTTCAGCGTCATCCATATCGAGCGCGATCGTTAGTTGTGATCTTAGTGGTAGGCGAAGGCGGCCTCCTGAGCGTTCAAACGTTCAAACTCCAAAGCGGCGCTCGTGTTCTCACGACGGAATCACATGGGCTGATGAGGTAAGCCCCTCCGGGTCGCTCCGGCCGCCAGCGCAGTCTGCACCGCTCCGCCGCGGCCATGGATGCGAAAGTAAGCATCTCGCCGTTTCACGTTGGTTGCTCGTTTCTGTTTGGACTGTGGTGCTCGGTGTGTCGGTTCAATGGTCACTCCCGGTCATTCCTGCCGCCTCGCTAGCTGAAGCCCCAATATCTGTGCCACTTGCTACTCCGACACACTTCTAGCAATGTACGACAGGCATCAATAATGGTTTCGACCCAGGGCACGGATAATGGAACGTATGCCTTCTCGCGTCTCCCTGCAGGTTAAAAGGCTCGTCAATTTGCAGAGACCTCACTCAGCCACCAGCTACTGTAGTGTCCTCTCCAGCCTCTCCAGTTTCCTCCAGTATCTCCGTCACGTCACCATGAAGTCTTCTTTTGCTGCTCTCGTTCTGTCTGCCCTTGCTTTCTCCGTGCATGCCCTTCCCTCTTCCCCGTACTCTGACAGTGCTCCCCCGTCTGAGTACCCCACCAGCGCACTCCCCTCTTCCGAGCCCTACCCCAGCAGTGCAATTCCCTCTTCCCCGTACTCGAGCAGCGAGCTCCCCTCCTCCGAGTACCCCGAGAGTACTTCTTACCCGTACTCCTCCCCGTACTCCAGCAGCGTGCACCCCTCGTCCACGCATTCCAGCAGCGTACACCCCTCGTCTACGCATTCCAGCAGTGTTCATCGCACGTCCACGCATTCCAGCAGTGTTCATCACACTTCCACCCACCCGAGCAGTGTGCATCACACTTCCACCCACCCCAGCAGCGTGCACCACACTTCCACTCGCGCTCATTCCAGCAGTGCTCCGCCTCACGTGCGTTCATCTCCTTTCTCTCTCCTCTCCGATCGCTCCGGCTGACATGGCCCTCTCCAGTCCACTGCTCCCGCGCACCCCGAGTGCTGCGACAGCACCGTGCCGCTCTACCGCGCCTACAGCCCCTCCGCCACCGACCACTTCTACACCGCCGACAAAGCCGAGCACGACCACGCCGTCACCTCGCTCGGGTACTCCAACGAGGGGACCGCGGCTCAAGTCTTCCACGCCAAGGTCGCCGGCGCGGTTCCGCTCTATCGCCTGTACAGCTCGGGGGGCACGGACCACTTCTACACGACGAGCACGTCGGAGCGCAGCAACGCGATGTCGAAGCTCGGGTACGCGGGCGAGGGCGTCGCCGCGTACGTGTATCCGAGCGCGAAGTGCGGGAGCGTCCCGCTGTACCGGATGTACTCGAATTCGGCGGTGGACCACTTCTACACGACGAACGTGAACGAGAAGAACAATGCGGTGGGATCGCTGGGGTACACGTACGAGGGAGTGGCGGGGTACGTGAACCCGGTCAAGGGGAAGAACTGCCACTAGGCACGCCATGGTGAGTGAGAACGACGCGGATTTCGACTCACAACCAAGGCTTGTTAACTTGGATATCGTAGCCTTCACCAGCGGTGCATCATATCCGTCAAGCCCACACGGGCACGTCGTTTCGGTCTCGTGCTCATCGCCCCGTTAGTTACTCTTCTCCTCTGTCTTGCTCTGGCTGCGCAACACCGTTAGCCTATTGGAATGGATCCTGTCACTCGTGGAGCACACTGTCATGTGTTCGTCGTGCAATACAGTATCATGGAGTATTTGCTCTAAGGAGCTTGTGACTACGGATCCCCTGGAGCAACTGATTATCTCATTAGCTCCCCATTCAAGCCCCGCAGAAGCTCAGCATCGTGAGCAACTTCTTCATCATCCCAAGTGTCGCCGGAGTCGTCGGAGTTGTCGTCGGAGTCATTGGAGTCGTCGGAGTCGTCTTCCTCGTAGTCGAAGTCGTCGGAGTCGTAGTCTTCAGAGTCGTAGTCGTTGGAGTCGTCGTTCCGGGAGTCGTACTCTGTACAGTGGATTCCCCCCGGATTGTCGTCGTCCTCGTCCACTGCGTAGCTCTCTCCTGAGAGCTCTGTATCGCCCTCGCTGCGGAACACGGTTGACGCATTAGAATGGATGTTGTTACCGCCACCTACTCACCTCTCCAACTGCACACCGTCCACGTAATCCCAGTCGATTCCAGAGACGTACGCTATCTTGTCCAGCGCCGCCTGCGTGACCAGATCGTCGCGGACCCTGAGTCTGAAGTGCGTCGCCGTATTGTCCCGCACCAACGCGACCTCCGTCTGGACCAACACGCAGTTGGGGAGCCGATGCGTGACGGCCTTCTGCGCGCGCCTTTTGCCCTCCCTGCCGAGCTCAAGGAGGGTGCGGGGGTGGAAGCGCCTCGGCCACCCCGCCTTCGCGGAGGACGCCGGTTGTGAACTGTACGCCTCGTCGGAGCCGTCGAGGAGGCGGACGGAGGCGAGCGCGGGCACGGCGCTGTCCGTGGGGGACACCACAACACGCCGGAGCCCGGTCCTCCACGAAAGAGGGGGGTAGTACGAGAACGCGGTGGAGTGGACGATCCATATGTCTAGCCACTTGAGCGACGGGGAGCGGATGGGATGCTGGGCGATGGCGGCAGGTTTGAGGGCGGGGAGGACGAGATGTTCAAGGCGAGGACAGCACGACTCTAATGTGCTGGTGAGGCGGTCCTGCTGCTCTGGAGTGAAGGATGCATTCCCAGAGCTGGGGAAGAATTGGAGGAAACGGAGCCCGACGCCGAATCGTTCGACTACCTCCATCGGATCCATGGGATTGGCGCCTATCCTGATGGTGAGCTGTTGGAGGCTCGGGAGCATCCAGTAGTTGATGATGAAACGTGGGAGGAAGGGCATGGCACTACAGTCCACACGAAGTTCGAGCAGGGAAGGGAGAATGAGTGTAGGAAAGTCATGATGCTGCTTAATAACAGCGTCGTCTCGCAGGCTACCGTTACCCGGTACAGCGAAGGTTCCCGAGTCCCATCGCCACGCCACTAGGAAACGAAGGCAGGGCGCGTGTTTCAAAACCGCGTGCAGATCATGCACACCTACTGAGTTGGAGAGGTCGGCATGGACGTCCAGGCGCGTCAACTGAGATGCGACAATGGACAAAATCACATCCGACCCTGTACAGCTCGGCGCGACCAACCAAGTTGGGTTAAACATGTCACCCGTAACAGCGTGCGCGTACACCAGGGTGTCTGGGACGAACCCAAAGCCCGGGTGCGAGCGGTGCGTGATCGAGGTGAGGTTGGAGCACCGAGAGAGGATGGAAGCGAGTGAGGTTCGGCAATCGGCGAAGGCCTCGTGCCAGACGACACACGTGTCCATGCGGAGACTGTTGACCATGAGGCGGAGTTGGGAGGTGGGATAGGCGTCAGAAGACATGGTCTTGGCGAGGGGAGCAATCTGGTCCATGCGTCGGATGACGATATCTTCGTAGAGTACCTTGGACGCTGCCCACCATGTCGATTTGCATATCAGAGGAAGCTCGAGTTTCGTTTTGAGGGCGCGCAGCCATGGACTGTCTCCAGATTGAGAGACGGACGGATCCAAGTGGTGCCATGGCTTAGGGAATACTTCTGAGAAGATCCTGAGCTGAAGCTCTTGAGGGGTATTATCGAAGGATTTCGAAGGCTTGATGCATGGCGAAGCCTGTAATGGTACATGCAACGCATTTTTAGGATGTGTACATGAATGTTTTTGAAGGACCCACTTACCCCAAGATAATGCAGCAGCGTGGCCGCGGTGAGCTGTAAGGAATGAAGCGTCTGTAGACAAACCAGGATGTCAAGTGGTGCCTCAATAAAGCGAACAAAAATATACATGTTTCAGCTCTGAGACCTCTTTTCTCAGGAATACGTTTTCTGAGATGATGTGGTCATGGCAGTCGCCATTGCATAACGTCAGGGCATCACGAGCCATGCGGAACGTATCAGATGGTAGCAGCGATCCCTTCGACTGCACTGGAAGATTTAGCAGATGCTTAAGCCCAGTTGTTGGCTCTTGAATGACTTGATGGATCGCGCGTCGAGAGGTGCACTCGTTCGAACAATGAGCTAGTGGCTTTGCTGCCAGCAGTGACCAGAGATTATATAAGCTCTACTTGATCAAGCGCCCATTACACAGTCACACATCGATGCCGCGTTCGCGCTCTATTCACGCCCAGCTGATAGCTTCGCCTGGCGCGCCTTGCGGCGCCGGTAGATGAAGCCGACCTTGATCGCCTCGATGCGCGCGTTGATGAAGCGCATCGCGAATATCGTGACCAAGACGGTGGCGGTAATGACGACGATCTTGACGACCTTGGTGTGCTTGGAGTTGGCGTCGTCCTTCGAGACGTTTTCGGAGTAGCCGAGGTAGACGGCAGCGAACTGTTTGGGGAGAGAGATGAAGGTGGCGAGGAAGAAGGTCCACACGGACATGCCGCAAGTCGCAAACATCGCGGTCGCCACTGCGTCAGCGTAAGGGGTGAGGAAGAGGTGGTGGGCGCGAAGCATGGGTGTATGGACGTACTGTGGCCGGGGAGGGCGCTATAGCGGACTATGATGGCGATGAGCAGGCCGCCTTCCCTGATAACTTCGGCGGTGAGCGCATATTTGAGGTTCTTCTCCTCCTGCTTTTGTGCACGCTTTGAGCAGCAGTACTTGAAGGCGCTGGAACAAGTTCAATGCGCACAATCTACTACGGGGAGGTTGGAGCGGCGTACAAGTAGGTGCAGAGCTCGCCCAAGATGGTTCCTGCCGCGACGATGCCGAAACCTACCCAAGGACCCCAAACGACGCCCGTGAAGAGCGCAACAAGCTCATGGCCGAAGAGCTGGCGAGGGAGATATCAGCACGTGCGAAGCGGGAACGCACGGGGGATGCGCACCGGAGGGAAAGAGAGTATGATCATAATCCCGATGGGAACGGTCCACGCGCCAGGCGTACTGTGTTGGACGTCAGGATCGACGGTGCGCGCGACGCGCAGAGGGAATACGCACTTGAGCAGCCAATTCGTCGCGGGCTTCATCGCGTTGATGATCGTGCTTTGCAGCGCGACGAACGCAATCACCGCGCCGATTAGGACGAGGGTGACGACTGCGGTGACTGCGCGTGGCCGCGTTCATCCTTCGCGCTCGGTGCTCGGGAATAAGGAGGACTCACAGAGGTTGCGGGGTTCCTTCAACCACTCTGCGTTGAGATACTGCCTCAGGCCTTTGGATTTCCGCTGCTTGTCCGTGAGTGCGTCTGCCTCGCTCGGAGTCGGACTGGGGGTGCGCGCAGCAGCAACGCGATAGTCGACGGGTATCTGGTTCCCCTTGTAACCGCCGTGGGGCGGGTTGAGGGGTGCGACGACATCCGAGGACGGGCGCACGTAGGATTGTGCTGTCGGCTCGAGGTACGGGTCGTATCCCGCATGTACTGGCGGTGGGTAACCGTATTGGGGAGCAAATCCGCCCCTGGCCGGCTGGGGTACGAATAATGGAGGCGGGCTATATTATGGGTGCGTGAAGATGCAGGGCGGAAGAGCAGAGCGCGCGTACGGACCTCATGAAGCAATCAAGACGAAGAAAATGCCTGGAGAAAGCCGGAGTGGAGGTGGAAAACGAGAGTGCCTCTGAAGACGAATGAGCTATGTCGCAGGGTACGAACAGCCTACTTATATTTCGCCCCCGGCGCGTAGAGAGCGGGGTGGGGAGGACACTCCCGCACTGCATCGCGCTGTCGGAAAGGCCATGGGTGCAACGCAGCTTCCTCGCGAGGTCCGGTAGCAGACACCGAGAGAATACTTCCGTTCCAGGACCCGGCTATGTTACCTCTTTGGCGTCTATCGCAAGCACAAATCTGGAACCGCTGCTCGAGTCCGATCAATAAAGTTTACGCCCGCACGTTAACCATACGCACCTGTGTCGTGACTGCCTTGCGCCTCAGTGAGGCTGGCCCAAGACTCTGTAAAATTTGGTAGGCCATGTCTCTGCTCGCAGGTTGCTTGGGCGTTGTTCGCAGTTTTGCGGGTATGTGTTCCGGATCCTCTGAATGGGAGCGCAGTAGTATCGCAGCTGGGACACCGCCACCGAAACTTGCGGCCCGACGTTTGCTTCCGGGACCCGATTCCTCAGCGACCGTAATATTGCTCTTCAGCTCCCGTGGTCTGCAACGACGCGAGCAGATTCAGTAGAAAGGGGAAGCCAGTGTTCTCTCTTCGCAGGCGGCCTACCGCATTTTTGCGTCCATAGTAAAAAGTCAAATCGTGTGTCTATAGGCAAGGTCTACGATAGCGAGAAAAGACAACGTCAAGCCCTAAATGTGAACGTCCTAACTGTCATTCTTCACTAGTGTTTGTGCGCCGCCTGGAAGGTGGACGGGCTGCGGCGTGCCTTCTGGCGAGATCTCCTTTTTCGTCTTGGGAGGCTCGCCCAGCATCGACCGCACAGCCGTCGAGTTCAGCAGCTTGGCGTACCGCGGCTGCACGAACAGAGCACTGGGACGCGGTCGGCATGAGCGACGAGAGCGTTCTCGGGGGGAGAGGATACGCACTTGGATTCCACGAGGACATTGCCCGACATGTCCTCGACCGTGCCCTCCACCCGGGACTTCCGCCCCTGGGCCTCGATCAGCCGCACCTTGATGACGATGAACTGGTCGGCGCGGGTCGGCGCCTTGTAGTTAATCGTCAGGTTGGCCGTTACGCCGACCTTCTCGGGGAGGTTCAGGAGCGCCTGTACGCAAGTACATCAGCACCTCCCTCTTCCACTCTCGAAGCGAGCACGGGTCGCGGAACGCGCAGGAGCATCGCCAGAACAGAGAAGCACTCACCACTCGCGCCAGGCTCTCGTCCAACAGCGTCGCGAGCAGCCCCCCGTGGATGACCCCCTCGTGCCCGCAGAGCGCGCGTCCGACGTGGATGAAGATCCAGTTCTCACGCGCGTCGTGGCGCGCGCGCACGAGCGGCGCGACCGCCAGCTTGCCGGGGCCCTTGAGGGTGCCCGCGGTGAGGCTGTTGACGCGGCGCTCCTCGGGGATGTTGAGGTACGGGCGCGCCTCGTACCAGTCGTCCTCGCCCGTCTGGGCGCGGTGCGCCAGGAGCACGGGCAGCTTGTGGAGCTCCTCCTCGAGCGCGGCGACGTGCGCGAGCGCGGCGGGGTCGTCTGGGCACAGCGGGGGCGGGGCGCTGCGCGGGGAGAGGAGGTGGGCGAACTCGGGCGGGTAGAGCGCGCCGAGGTAGTAGGAGGTCGCGGCGAGCGCGGTCGCGCCGGCGGTGAGGCGAACGCGTCGCCAGAGGGGAGAGGAGGACGAGGAGGACGAGGCGGTGGAGGATGAGGTGGATGCGCGACGAGCTGAGGAGCGGGTCGCGGCCGCGAGCTGGCGGCGGACGGAGTTGGCGAACATCGTTGAGGGAGAAGGCGAGGAGGGCGAGGAGGGCTGGTTTACTGTGTCATGACGAGGAGAGCGCAAAAGGTGGCGCAAGACCGGCAAGCGGCCCACGATCGCGACCCGGCCCCGGGGTCTTGCACGGCCCGGGTGGCGGTTGTTTGGCCGTGTTGACATCGGAGGCCGCCGTCCTCTTCGACGCCCACGGGGCTGGCTACGACGACAACTTCACCACAGTCTGCCCAGCGGATGGCAGTCGCTCCCCGGTGTGACCGTGCTCTGACCATGCCTTGACTCGGTGCGGAACTAGTGAAATACGAGCAAGAGCAAGGGTCCAAGACGAATGTATGCGACATGTTCACTCCTGGCGAGTTTGGGTCATTCTTCAGGAAGACATCGTATGTCTTGCCATTACGTATACGGAACTCTACTTTTGACTCCTACGTAAGTATGTCGTCTACTTTTCCGGGCTCAGCAACATTGCCTTCGCATCAAGGAATAAAACGACGGCACCGCATCTGTCAAAACCGGTACTTCTTTTGTTGACTCCAGTGATGCACTCAAATCCCGGGCGAGCAGGCGTGGAGCGGGAAAGTATGGGGCAGTATTAGAGCCCGTGCGGTGGCCGCGTCGCGAAACCCGATCCTGCGTCGCCCTTCTCTCTTCCCCATGGACACCTCCTCGCCAGACATCTCGGCGCTCATTGCCGACTTGAACAATGGGTGCGTAGACCATCCTATCTCATGTTATATATTCCGTGTTCATCTACCTACAGAATAATAAGCAGCTACTGTGGCATAGCGTCAATTGGTAGGCACCAGCACTCCGATTCGCTATACCGGACTCTCATCGTGATTCAATATTCAGCACTCGTGTTATTCGAGTACCTCCTTCTCCTGAGGGAAGAAGTGACCTACTTCTGGATCAGAAAACTCACCGGGGCCACATCTCTCTTCCTCGCCAACCGCTACATCACACTCCTCTTCACGTTGTACTTCCTAATATCTGGCTTCTTCCCTCTGACCACTGTCGAGGTGAGTGCTTTCCGACTGCGACCCGTCGCCCTCGTTACTTACACTATTTTCAGAGGCATGTGCACCTAATCTCCATCCCTATCCCACCCGCTCACGCTCCACTCGAACTTTAGTTGCATGGCCGTGCCGAGGACGGGGCAGGCGCTAGACCTCTCCCAGTACGCAGTCTGGGCGGGTGAGTCGCTGTCGTCCGTTGTTCACAGCTTTCAGGTAGCTAACGCGGCCCGCGGATAGCGTTCTCCGCGCTGCGCGCGCTCGCGCTGTGCAGGCTGCGCGATGTACAGGTCTGGAAGGCGCGGGCGGTGGCGCTTGTGATTTTCTTGCTGGCGATTGTCCCAGTGCCGATCAACATTGTGCGTCTACTTTTACTTTGATCTTTCGTGATGAAGTGGCGCTCATGTTCTACCCACAGCTGCAGATCGTACAGATGGTCCCAGTGGAGGATGCGTCAAGCGGTACATGCATAGCACAGAGCATACAAACACCCGAGTTCGCGAGGAAGTGAGTGGGTTGATCTTGACGCGGTATTGGTGCTGACGTCCGTATAGTAGTACGTACCAGAAACGACCTTCACGGAGAGCATCCGATAACTGAGTGGCTTCAGTGACAGTCGTTTCTCGGGCATCCCTCATCTCTGCCGACGTCCTGGTTATCCTCGTTACTTGGTACACGCTCGTCCGGTCAGGTGCAAGTACACAGACGAAGATAGGTCGAGCATCTTTCGCGGACGTGCTCCTGCGCGATGGTGAGTCCTCCCATGTATACAGCCTCAGATGGTCCTAGCTCACGCATGAGTAGGATCGCTGTACTTTCTGTAAGCACCTTGACTAGAATATCTTAGGGACAGCCGTCTCACACCGTTCAGCGCTATGTCTGTGTTGAACGCCCTTCACATTGCTCTGACGGTGTTGGAGGTGCGTTCCTCGGCCTTCGGTCACTCAGCGATTCATTCAAGTGCTCAACTTACAAACACAGTTCGGCGGACCCGTCACGCCTGTCAGCTTCGTAACGACGTTCACAGACCCGTACGTCGGCATCGAGTCTTGACTCAGGCGGTGCTAATCAGCTTTGTAGGCTTACCTCACTCCTTGTGTCCCGCTTCCTCGTCCACCTCCAGTCTGTCAACAGAGACACGCACTCCGACAGCCCTTCAACACTGACCGGGACCGGTTTGGGCGCAGAAACCATCCGTTTTGAACGGATGGTGGGCTCCCTTGGCGCGTCCATCAACGCGGTCGAGGGCGAAGATGGCGAGGACGAGGACTGGTATGACGACACGAGGGCGGGGACCGAGGCCGACGTCGAGCTGGAGGACAATTGAAGCCATGAGCAATCAGCGTAATTGTCCCCCTGTCAAAGAGCGCTTGTGTGCGGGCCAGGTACGGACCACACTGGCATGTTGCTGCGAATTAGCAGTACTGATGTCTGCGTCGCGGGCGCAGTAGTCAGGTCATAAGGCTCGTCATGTGCGATAAAGTATTTGAAGATTCAAGATACTTACGTCTGGATGTTTCGATGACTTGAGGACGAGACCGCTGGGGCAGGAAGATTCGCGGATCAACCCGTGGCACTTATCTGAGCACATCGACGTGCGTGATAGACCTCCAACGCATCATGGTCGACAAATGCTGACAGTAGCGAGTGTCATAAGATTTAGCCAATTTGTGCGGGTGCTGAATCACTGCTGCCTTCTGGAGGCGTATGGTACAACAATGCCAGGGTGCCGATATCGATCGTTGCATCGAGGTGCCTGGATGGCCCGCCGCGCCTGAGAACAAGGATCCGCTTGCAGCAGGCGCGACTGGACGGAGAAGAGAGTGAGCGCAGGCAGAGCCATCTGCCGCGCGCAGACCACGCCGTGCGCTCTCTGTGCTGGGGAGACAACGCTCTGGTATGTCCAGCCACGGGCGGCGGCGGGCGCGCAGTGTCTGGGCTGGATCGCGATCGTGGGAAACGCGTGCCAATCCGGGCGGGCCGTCACGCGGCGCCCGGCGGTGGTGGTGGGCGTCTGTCCTTATTTGGGCCGAAACCTCTCGCAGGCGTTGCGGGGACGAGGGAGAACGCTTCTCGCCCGCCTGTCTGCGCGGCTGATTCAGCCCGGGATGCGCGCGAACGCGCGAGCGGAGGCGTCGCCCGCGCATTTCAACGCGCGATCGCGCCGCGAGCTCAGCCGACGCCCCCACTCACCATGTCCTCTGCGTATAAATTCCTGCGCTCGTCCCTCACCCTCCCTCGTCGTCTCTCCCAGCAGCTCTCCAAGCCCGCCTCTACCTCTGCCAAGCCCGCCGACGCCCCCGTGCCCGACGCCAAACCCGCTCCCACCCCCGCACCCGCCGCCGCCGTCGCCACTACTCCCAGCATGTCCGCCGCTTTCATCGAGGCCATCAAGGAGCGCCGCTCCATCTACACCCTCACCTCCGAGTCCACCATCCCCGACGACAAGATCGTCGAGATTGTCTCCGAGGCCGTCAAGCACACCCCCTCCTCCTTCAACGCGCAGTCCTCCCGCGTACGCCTCCTCCCTTGTTGCCTTTCGTGCGCCCGCGCTGATCCCCGTCTCCCCTCAGGCCGTCGTCCTCTTCGGCGACGAGCACAAGAAGGTCTGGCAGCTCGTCCTCGACACCCTCAAGCCCATCGTCCCCGCCGACCAATGGGGCGCCACTGAGGGCAAGGTCAACGGCTGTTTCGCCGCCGGCCACGGCACCGTCCTCTTCTTCGAGGACTCCGTGCCCGTGAAGAAGCTCCAGGACGCCTTCCCCATCTACGCCGACAACTTCCCCGGCTGGTCGCAGCACTCCTCCGTGCGTGTCTCTTTCCTGTCGCGCGCTCTCCTCCCGTCCCTCCGCATCCTCTCGCGACCGCGCACTGACCGTCGCGCGCACCACAGGCCATCCTCCAGTTCATCATCTGGACCGCGCTCGCCAAGGAGGGCCTCGGCGCCACCCTCCAGCACTACAACCCGCTCATCACCCAGCAGGTGCTCTCCACCTGGGGCCTCCCCGACACCTGGAGCCTGGTCGCGCAGATGCCATTCGGCAAGCCGTCCGCGCCCGCGGGTGCCAAGGAGTTCTCGCCCGTCGAGGAGCGCGTCAAGGTCTTCGGCAAGTAGACCTGCGCACCGTCGTCGCTCGCGCGTTGCAGTAGAGGCATCCTGACCAAATACGCTCTGTAATACCATTCGTTAATCGGGTTGTTCAGATTCCCTCAGGCCGCGCACGCGCGGTGTGACAAGTTATCGCCTCGTTTCTGCTTCGCGTTGCGACATGCGTGGTAACGTGTGACGCAGTAGCGTGTTTGAATAGATGAGAGTGTGGGGTTTGGGAGCGGCGGCGGCCGTTCGCTTGTCGCCATTGTCATGGCCTGAGACACCGTTGCCCCGGGGCGTGCTGGTACCGGCCTCATCTGGGATTTCAAGGAGGCGTTTTGCATCGTTGCGCTGCTTTCGCGTCACGGCCTCACACGAGCTACGTTCTGGAAGCGGTCGTTATAAGCTTCCAAGCCTCCTTCTCCGATACATACGCTCTTAAGTGCTTCTGAGCCGTGATACTGCGAGGCGTGGCCGTATCGTATAGCGTGCGAGGTTCCCAGCTGAGACCGTGGATCTGATCTTATCTAATCGGTGCGACTCGGCCTGCACGTCAGCACGGCATCGCCACCAGAGTACAGCCTGAAGACGACGATGATGTCCGAATCTTGGCCACCTGGGCAGTCGACCTGATAGAAGATTGTGCAGTCTGTGTCCATATTTTGTTTCCGTCACCTCCTCTAACCCAGCACTTGTGTCTCGCAGAATCTCCCGACTTTCCCAATTTATGTCAGAAGATCCCCACAACGTTATTGCGCTCGAGATAGCTCGTGCTGGCCGGCAAAGGGTTGCCAGTGCTGTAACATCATGTAAAGATTGCAGACCAGTAAGCTTCACTGCGAGCTCACTGTAGCGGTGTCACTTATACAGCATGCACAGCGCCCAGAAGCGGCGAAGATCTCGCAGCTTCCACACGAACTTCTGCTGCATATATTCAGGGCTACAGGTTCTCCTCATCATCATTACTATGACCAGCTGAACAATCAAGAGATACCAAATTCGTGGTCTACGGGTCTCAAAACACGCAAGACCCTGACCCTTGTCTGCAAGACTCTCCTCGGGCCCGCGTCTGAGGTACTATACGAAGATATCGTACTTCGACGAATGGGACAAATAGTTGCTCTCGCTCGTACATTGGATCCATGCTCTCTGGCTTCACGCACGCACCGATCTCTGTCTGGAGATCCTGCTAGGCTTGTGAAGTGGCTGCGATTGGACTCGTGCGTAGTCTGGACTCCTTGCGCTGATGTCATCCAAGAAGCCTTTTGTCTTATCCTCACCCGTTGCACATCCTTGCGTGCTCTCTCCTTCCATCCGCACCCAGAATTCCCGCTAGGCAATCCCAAGGCTACAAACGCAGCACTAGATCCAGTCCTCGATGCATTCAATCCGAAATGGTTCCTCCCTACTTACCCCGACGTAGGCCCAGCGAACGCGGCAATCCGCCATCACCTCGCTTCCCGCCTTCAAACGCTCGACCTTTCCCTCAGCCTTGACGGGCCCCACCTCGTCTCTCTCCACACACTCCTCTCGTCCGCGCCGCACATAGTCTCTTTGCACCTCGAAACACCCTCCACCTCCTCACATGTGCCTGCCGCGCTCGACCTCCCCGACGCGACCCTCGGAGCCCTCGAGCCCATCACGCTCCCCGCGCTGGAAACCCTCCATCTCCGCGCCACGCACCCTCTCCTCCTCCACTTCGTCGTCGACACGCTCATCCTTCCCCGCCTCCGCGTCCTCGCCGCGCACCAGTGCCCCGCATCCCCCCACGCGCTCCTCGCCGCGCACCAGTGCCCCGCATCCCCCCACGCGCTCCTCGCCGCCCACGGCGCGCGCCTCGCGCACCTCGACCTCCGCCTCTCCGAGCCGGGGGCACCGTCGCCGGCGCTCGCGCGCCTCGACGAGCTGTGCCCCGCGCTCACCCTCCTCACGTTCTCCTTCACCCTGCGCCTGGACCCCCACCCCGACGACGGCGACGACACGGGATACGGACACACGTCCCACGGGGCGGACCCGCCACCGCTGCTCCTGCGCGCGGGGATGCTGCGCGCGCTGGACCTCTGCCCGTGCGCGGACGGCGATCCGCAGGGGATCGAAGCGGCGTCGGCGCGCGGCGCCGCGGCGCGCTGGCTGGACGCGCGCAGCGAGGTGCCGCGCCTCGAGCGCGTGCGCGTGTGGCGCGACGGGGGCGCGGGGGCGTACGGAGGGCTGGGGCGGGTGCGGGAGGAGGACGGGGGCGCGTTGCCGGGCTTCCCGCACGTGCGGGTCGTGGAGGTGCGGGCGGTCGTGGGCGGATGGGAGGGCGAGGCGCTGTGGGAGGAGGTCGAGAGCGGCAGTGGATCGGCGAACGGGTCATCGGAGCGGGCGGGGATGGACGAGCAGGACTGTCCGGTGGGACAACGGGGGCTTTGTCACAGGCTAGTACGGGTAAAGTGACGCGCTGGGAGAAGAGGACCGGAATATTGGAGTGCATGCTGGGAGGTAGAGATACATAGATCCATCCTCCCTGAGCGATCCTCCCGGTCGCGAAGCATCTCCGGAATATTATATTCACATCGTTCCGACTCGCTGCCGAGTCGCAATCGCCGACGGGCTGTCGGCACTCCTGTGAGTCCGCGTTTGAGCTTGGGAGGGAAAGGGCCCGGGAGGCTCGCAAGGCGGCATTTGTTCGCTCAAAGACGACGCGCCCGTGACAATATCCAGTAATGGCGAACAAATGGGAGATCGCGAGGGTCGTTACCCCGCCGCGCCGGGAACATGAACGTTCTCGCTCTTGTGCATCTTCATTAATCTCCCCCTCAGGCTGTCGATCCCGTCAAGTACGAGTTGTACCATTTGCACCAAAGGTTTGACGACCGTCTATCCGCACTATGTGTCTATCCCCGCGCCGCACCGCTGTGTAACAACTATCAAGTCGGCGAACATGTTCTCCAAACAAAAAAAAACGTCAAGAAAACGTTAACATGGTATATCGTGAAAAGTCGTACAGAATATAGTACACGAATGAAAAGACATCATCATAGTTGCACTCGTTACGCATGATACATCGTACCCTCCAGCACGTGGTCTCACGCTCACGCCGCAGACTGGGCAATGGGAGCCTTGCCTTCGGTTGAGTCAGAGTCCTTGAGCTCGAGCGCACGACGCTCCTGCCGGACCTGGCGCGGGAGGAGTGCGAGGCCGATGATGTAGAAGCCCCATGTGATCTGAGGGATGGCTGTCAGCAAGAGTCCGTCAACAGAGAAAAAGGCGAAGCAATGGGGAATGAGAAGAGCAGATGGCATGAGGTAGGAGGGCAGATGATGGCAAGGCGAGACAAACAGCCAAGTGCTCACCACAACGAACGCAAGCCAGAACCGCCGGCATCCAATCGAGGTCGGATGTACGTTGCCGGTGATGAGACCCCACTCTGTGAAGAGGCCGTAGTGCGTCTGCCCGGCGTCCCAATCAACACAGGGACGCACCAAGAAGTCGGGCGAGACGCACCTGGTAAGAGGCGAGCGCGAGAATGGAGAGCCCGAGCGCGATGTGCACGAAGTTTTGCGGGCGGTGACCGAGCATCGGCTTCCAGTACGCGGGAATTTTGACCCAATGGATGAACACTCCGAGAAGAACCTGAATTAGGTACATCACGAAGAGTGCAAGGCCGATTTTCTGTGCGGGGAGTGGGTGTATGCGTCGGCAAAGCGCGTTTAACGGTGGGTAGCAGCAGAAAGACACGTACTTGGTGTGGGTCCGTGAAGTGTGGTAACCCCGCGGCGGTCGTAGTTTGGAAGCCAAGTGCGTAGCCTGCGATCACCAGCGGCCCGACGAAGAGCCCGTTCACGAGGGCATGCGGAAGCAACCATCTGGGGGATGCAAGAGGGTCAATTTGAAAAAGGGTGTAGATACACAGCGACAACCCGAGACACACCCGTGCATGAAAGTGCGCAGGTACCGCGCGAGGCAGACGCCAAGCGGCAGGCCTACAAGGTACGCAAAGAACATGATATGGGCATGGTTGCGCGCCTTGACCTCAAAAGGTGTGAGAGGAAAGGGTGCCGGGGTGGGTAGCGACTGGCTGAGGCCCATGATTGCGTCGTGGGGGAAGGAGCAGCGACGACTGGGGGGAGGAGACGCACAGAGGATGCCGAGGAGAGTAGCAGAGGATGCTCACAACAGTCTTGGCGAGGGGGTAGGGCCGTATATAAACGCCAGCTGGAGAGCGTGGCGGCTGACGGGGGTGGGGAAGTGGATGTCGAAGGTGTGTCTTCCCATGACGCTGCGCAACGGGGGGCGAGAAACGGAGACGGAGGGGGCCTGGGAGTCCCGCCGCCGGATATAGCCCCGGATTCACTCGAGGTGGACCACGGCCTCCCCGGACGCGATGGGATCTTGGTGAGCACCGGTGTGGGCAGGAGGCCGGATGGAATGGCGCAGGGTGCGCGAGCCTGGCTTCGAAGATGGGCGTGGACAACGACGATCAGACTCGCGGCGTCGAGGTGAGCATGTCGAGGCGAGCAGACTCGGGCTTGACATGGTGAACGGTTGAGAGGTCCTTCAAGCCTTCAGGCCAAAGGAAGACGACATCCTGGCGTCTAGACGTTGTCGTTGAGGAAATACCCCTGCGGCGTGTTCGTGCGTTCAGTTACAAGTGGTGATGAGCATGCCAGCTCGACGAAGCAGACAGTGGACTGGGAAGTAGGGCTGAGAAAGGACTAGCGGGAGAGCGAGGAGAGGATGAGACGGAGCTCGCACTCAAAACGCAGAGAGTGTGGTCGTCATCTTCTCACGCTCCAATCATAGAAAGCCGGCGACTGGTCCTTCACACACGTCCAGATGTCATCGAGACTGTTTATTCTGCCTCAGAGAAGTGGAGACCCATTGACTCGCTTTTTCCGCATCCCGGCACGAGGAGGACGGCTTCCCCACGAACACTTCAGAAGTACTGCGGACGGGGCCAGAGAACGATTCCAGCACGCGCAGCGCCCCAAGTTCGCTGTGATCGGCTGGGAATTAGCAAGCCGGCTGGCCTCCACCGAGATGACCCGAGAAGATGTGTTCCGAAGGCTTAGTTATCTCTACACAAAGACGTAGAGCAACGAGTCGACAGCTGAGGAGCCGACTACAGCGCCCAACGCCATGAGCGAAAAGCGCTACGCTCGGGACTCGGGAGGTATCTGACATCAGATCTCAGGCCCAATCGTCGTACTCTGGTAGTCTGTTCAGCAGCTGTACATGTCATGCTGAATTCTCAGGTACTCACCTGTTTCATACTCAAGCATATGTCACCCATGCATAATCCACGCCCGCCGTAAGAGGTACATTTGCATCGGCTCATCCTCTTCCGTCCGCGGCGGTGTAGGTGTGAGCCGCACGTCGACCGCAGTATCGTCCAGATCTGCAAGCCCACATCATCACAAATGCCCCATCAACAGCCTCAGCACGTAGAAGAGTGCAATCGCCAGGCCCCAGGCCTAGTTCGCACTTACCACTGGCTCCTCGCCGCGCTTTTCGGTGCTGCCTGCACCAGCTTCGGGGGTCGCGCGACGGACCACTTCTCAAGCGTCGCCTGGAGGACGACGATGACGTCGTCAATCTGCCGGAGCCGAAGGACATCCCAATTCAGGTCAACCTCGAGCTTGCGGAGCGAAGAAAAACGGCCGAGGGAAAGACCGTCGTTCATGCCTGCGACCACACGATGAGGACGCGCGTCGACGAAAAAGTGGACAAGAGATGAATCTTCGACGTCCACGAGCTCCTGGAATCCCCAGATGTGGAGGTAGTCGAGCACATCAGGAAGGAGCATCTGCAGCAGACTTGGAATGAACCCTGCATGTCCGGGCGCGGGGACACACTGCATGGCCATCAGCGCTGTCCTGGCTTCGCATGACCTTGTGGACACGTACCACGACCGTGCGCGAGCAATTCGCCTCTCGCAAGCCTGCGGGGAACCCACCCCGGTGCACGCCCGAGCTGTGAGCAGCGTACGTTGCGGCACGCGAGGTATTTAAGAAGCGGGAAGCCGCCGAGGACGTTGGCAAAGTCGGTGAAGTTGCAAAGTCGGACGCCGGCGATGGTGAGTCGAGTAAGAGAGGGGAGGGAACGGCTGAGGGTTCTGCAGACAACCTGCGGGAAACACATATCGTGAACCGTCTTCGGATGGACCGACACTGGCGCAGGCTGAGGGACTGTGGATGGATTTTCCTGTCTGTTGTCCGAGCTTTGTGCGTCTTCGGGCTCGTAAAACTTGGGTGGCTCCGAGCACGAGATCCGCAAGGACACGACGCCTTTGAGGCACTGGTTCACAATCGAGGAGAAGCATTTGGGGGCAGCCCACATGGGGACGTTCGAACGCGAGAAACCCGCTACACCCACCATCGGATGATCTTCCCATTTGACGCGAGCCGATCCGTGGAAGCGGGTTTCCGGAAGGTACGCCAGATGCAAAGCGCGCACGTGAGCAATTCACCTCAATCTGCCAGATGATCGAAGCATGCGAATACGGATGAACATGCGGAGATGTGGACTTGGCGACGGATTCGGGGTCGCTGGGTAGCGAGGATGTGCAGTCGGGAAAGGGATACATAGAAAGAGGACATCCTTCGAGCAAAGAGTCCATCTCGAGGTCGCATGGGGGAGTGAGAGAGGGCAAAGCTTTGGCGTCGGAGCACGTTTACAGTGATATACTGTGAGGCATCGCCCTTCTGGCAGAAGCCTATACACACCGCCCGGTCATTTTTGGCAGCGCAAGGTTGGAATAAGGTGGACGTGGAGGGCAAGACATGGATACAAGGAGGATGTGGATGACAGCAAGCAGTCGCTGCCGCCGTGCATCATACACCTGACTCCCACGCTCCTGCTTTGGTTTATTTCCACGACATTCACGACCGTCTCGCCCATGCGAGCTGCCATGGTCCAGGAAGGGATCCTACATGGCGTCGACTGTTAACAAGTGGCATGTACAAATACTGCACGCCCATCAACCAGGCCCCTGGCTGGAGCTCATCTCCGGCACGCTACTGTCAAATAGCCATCCATCTCCGCGTAGGGCGAGCACAGCGTCGCCCACTTTTTCCTTGGGCACGAGGACGTAGTCCGTGTTCCTGTCGAGTTCGAAGGCGGCATGAGCACCGAGTCAAACGCCTCAGAAAGGACGCACCATGTTGAGATGGCGAAGATCGGTACTCCAGCACGCTTCAACGGCGTGCTCAAGTCGCACATAATGCCCGTCAGCCCTGCGCCCAAGGTTCAGACGGGTTCACGACACCCTAGCGATCTCCCGCACAGCAGGGCCCGCACGGCGGAGCCGCACGCACCAAAGTCCATCGGTCCCGCAACCTTGATGCACATCCATTTCCCGTCGAGGTCGCCGTCCGCGCACTCCCCGACGAGCGACCACTCGTCCGCAGTGCGGGTGATGGAGAGGAACGCTCGCGGATCCGCGCAGAGCCTGGCAAGGGCGTCGTTGGGGACTTCGGTGGTCTGACGAACGAAGAACGTTTGCGGGAGGACTGAGAGGCGCAGAGAGGGGTGTTCCCGTGTGATGCTCATCGTATGGGAGATGTCTAAAGTTCGCACCTAGCTTTGCCAAAGCACGGCGTAAGAAACGCGCGCGCCTCGTGGGGACATGGACGCTGAGCGCTGAGTACCGAGTACTACAGTACTCGGTGATATTCCTTTTTTTCCCATTGCCTATACACGCGGGGACACATGTCTTCCAAGAATATCGATACAGGCAGGCTACAGATTGGGCCAGAGTCCTGGTACTGCATTTAACGAGTTCCCAAGAACACCTTCAGTATCTTCTCCGGTACCACCCAATGCGCCTGTAAGATTTTTGAGCCGTGTCCCACCGAAACAAGCCAGTGAGCACTCACGAAGTGGTTCACGCGGTCCACGCGCAGGAAGGTGACCTCTCTCGCGGGCTTCCCTGCCCGCCTCGCCTCCGTGAGCTCCCGCTCGAGCTGGTGCGCGCCCCAGACGGGCTCCCAGTACGACTGCGCGCAGAACACGCACTCCACCCGCAGCGCGCTCCACTTCGAGTCCGCCGGGGCGGAGAACATCGCGCGCGCCTTGAGCGTCCGGGGCGTGCCCTGCTTCAGCGACGCCCCGATGAGCAGCCAGTCCTGCGGGTGGAAGTCCTCCGGGGGCGCGTGGCGCGCAGACGCACGGTCGCCCTCCGCGGGCGCGGGGTCCGCGAGCGGCGCGGCGGTCGACTGCACGAGCGCCTCGGCGGTGGGCGGGTAGGTGTGCGGGTAGTAGCTGCAGAGCCACCGGTCGAACACGGGCACGAGCGCGCTGCGTTCCGTTAACGCGGGGTCGGACGCGGGAGAGTATGGGGAGGGGGTGGGCGGTGCGGTGCCGAGGAAGAACCAGCCGCCGTCTGCGCGATTCGTCAGCGACGTATCTCAAGATGCGCCCTCGGCCGGAAGGGGAAGCGCGTACCGTACAAGACGACCCGGCGGAGGTACTTGTTGAGCTCTACGCCTTTGGGGTCGTCGAACTCGGAGAGGAACGCGAGGAATGCGGACATCCAGAGTGTGCCGAACGACCAGCCGACGAGGACGATGCCCCCCTTATCTCCCTGCATAGGCGGGATACCCTTCTCGCGCACGAGCGCAACGAGGTAGTCGAAGACGTCGCGGGCGCGGGCGCGCCAGTACGCGAGCATCTCCGCCGCGGCTTCGCCGTCATCGGGGGTGGCGGCGACGGCGCGCTGGAGTACAGCGAGCTCTTCAGGCGAGTGCGTCGCCGATCCGGGGTAGTCGAGTTGATTCACTGCGATGACCCGCGCGTTATGCTGGCCGGCGAGAGGGAGCATCTTCGCGAAGGACGCTGCGGCGGGAGCGTGTCAGTATTCATTGCCAACGAGACTGCAGTGGGCTGGCGCACCTCCATGCCACATGAACCCGTGTAAGCAGACGAGGGTAGTGTAGCCTGTACTGACATTTGGAGGTACGCCTGAGTCTGAGAACGTGCTGAGCGGAGGAAGAGCGGATTGAGTCGTCATGGTGTGAGCAGATGACGGTAATGGGAAGAGATGTGATGACACCCCCTGACCCCTTTATCGCTGGGATGATATGGTCCCTGACCGTTCGACTTCACATAGCATCCGGCACCTCTGTCTAAGAACTGTTCTACCAGTTACGTCAAATGCTCATCCACGTCATCCACATCTGCCAGGCATCGGCACAGCAATGATTCACGAGGGGACTCCGCACAGTACTCACGACTGCGCTACGCAACTAGTCCCCGTCGCCCAGCAGCGTTTTCACAGCTAGATGACCGCGTCAGATCGCCAGAAGCATGGGAAGCAGGCGCTCACAAACCCGGCAATTGCACAAGCCCCACACATCCCTCCGCGCCTCCGCGACGACCGTACGTGCGACTCACACCGAGGGCCCCATCAACCGCTCGTGTATCACGAAGCGCACCTCGACCGCGCCCCACCCGCCCAGAACCCTGTCTCTGCGGGAGAGCACGGTCGTCCGCAGTGCGCCGCCGATGCCCGGCTGCGATGTCGACCAGCGTGTCCTCCGGATGGGAGTTGTCCTGGATGAACGGGCGTCGCCATGTCCTACTGGTCGGTGGGAGACCAAAAAGGGGAGTATGTGCGCGGCGGCAGAGAGTACGGACGGGCCTGCTGGGTCCGCGGGTGGTGAGTGGCTGGCGAGCCAAGGCAGGAACGTGCGTGCCAGGATGGTTCACCGGGGTCGCACAGCGGGTGGTATATCTCCGTTGGGAAGTTTGAGAATCCAAGAACACATGCGGAGATTCTGGAGGGCCGAGTGAGCAATATATAGATGGCGAACACGGAGACTCACCGAGGTGGACGACGCGCCAAACGGGGGGCAAGCAGGGGTCATAGTGGGTGAATATCCGTCCACCGGCCGTAACAATCGTATTCTAAGAATGTTTCAGTCGCGACAGCTCTGGATCGAGTGGTGACTTCCAACCCACCTATGTCCATGTGTAAACGCCCTTGGGCGTGCATTCTTGGGCAGCACTGACGTATCTCCCACAATAAAGCGTTGGTGCTGTTAACACTTTCAATCTCGGGAACATCGCACAACTTCACTTTGACCGGTGTCCGTGTACCTTGTGCACACAGGTCAAAGATCATTAAACGTAAGTGAAGCGTAGGTAAGCGCAGTTAGCCACTCACCGTAACAGTACTCCTCGATCATGCGAACGACAGAACATGCGAGGTGCATGTACTCAGCTCGTGGCCGAGGCGCGCGATGTGGGAGCGACGAAATTTGAATCTCAAGCGTGCGAAGCTCTATTGGAGTGCTCCAGGAGCTCAAGATGCTTTCTAAAAGGGAGAGTTGCGAACTTGCAGCGACAAGTGGATTGCCCATATTCGTCACATGGATTTCACGAAGTGCCGTGAATCGTTTGAGATCGAGTCCCAGCGGTTGCCCAGTCGCTGCATCTACTGCAGTGGGATCTCAATTGGTAGCCGTGTCTGTACGGAACGAGCAGTCACTCACCAGCAGAGTGCGGTGCAGAGATCGCGTACGGCAAGTCGAGATCGAGACACGCAAGTGCCTCCGACGTGAGCGCGCGCACGATGCGTTCGAGCCCGTGCGCTCCAATGGCATCTAGCTGACAAACGGCAGTCAGCATCTCTCCGCGCACGCGCACGCACGCACTCACACGCAAGACCTCCAGCCGTCCCAAGAACGGTCCACCTGCCCGCGACTGTGGCCGACACGGGCCGCACATGAAGCCCGGAACGACCCCGAGCACGTCCCAGCGCACGCCCCAGATCCGGAGCTCGCGCACGGTGCCAACCGCGGCGAGCAGCCGCGCGAGGTCGGCGAAGTTCTGGAAGACGATCGAGTCGAGGCAGAGCAGGTCGAGCGCCGCGAACGCGCGGTACGCGTCCCACCCACGCGGGTGCACGGGGAGGTGGACCAGGAAACCCGCGGGCGAGTACCTCTCCCGCCATCGCCGGTTCGCGCCCGCGTGGAGCTCCAGCACGCGAAGGCCAGAGAGCGAGCGCGCGAGCACTGGGGGCACGAGCGCGACGAGGTTCGCGGGGGGGTACTGTTTCCGGGTGCCCGTGGCGACGGTGCAGTGGACGAGGAGCGTGTGGACGTGGGCGCGGAGCGAGGGCGCGCGGCGGAGGGTGGCGGCGAGGTGGGCGAGCGCGGGGCGGTCGTTGAGCTCGAGGGTGTGGAAGAGCCAGGCTTGGGCGCGGGGGCGCCAGGCGCGGCAGACGAGTGCGCAGCGGCGGAGGGCGGCGTGCGCTGGGGACTTGTGGGCGGCGTAGTCGGCGATGGCGGCGGCGTGGAGTTGTTCGCCGAGCGCGTCGATGAGGTGGAGGCCGACCTTGATGGGAAGACGTGGGAGGTCGGGAATGCTGAAGAAGAGACTCGAGCTGGGGCTGGGGGACGCGGGGGAGGAGGGAAGGCTGAAGAAGTCGGTGCTGGAGTCGACGCTCGAGGAGGGCGTCGGACTCGGGTCGCGTGGGGGTGCAAGGAGCATGGCGAGGAGCGGGGCACGGAATCCACCTTCCCGGGTCGTATTTCAAGCCTGCAGCGTGTGGGTAAGTCGCCGTTCCCTTTTGAGGGCGTGCGACATACCACGGCGACTCGCCTTGACTCCCAATCGCATCATATCCTTCAGACAGCCTTTCTTAGCAGTTCTTAGCTCAGAGCTCGTTGATCTCCCTGGGTCAGCCAGGGTCAGTCAGACCGCTCAGGCACATGGCGGCCAGGCTGCGTGGAAACAGCAGCTCCGAGTGTTTGAAATGACGCTAGAAGCTCATTCATGTTGAATTTATGAAAGCATGTCGCGTAGTCACTGCTCCCACCAGCAGGATTAAAATGCCCCACATCAGGAAAGAACAGGCTTTAAGTGCATTAGACGTGTTGCAGCTGGGAGCGTTTGTTTGAGTAGTGGACGAGAAGAAAAGAAGAGATTTGTGCCGGGGTACGCGTAGCATATGCAGGGGCCAGCTCTCCCCGTTGACCCTCAGCATCAACGTTCATTGAGTGACAATGGCTCTGAGTGACATTCGACGGCTGGGACTGAGAGGAGTTGAGTAGGCGTATGTCGATATGCCGAGATGCTTTCTTGGGTGAGCATGAGGAAGTTGCGTAGGCGGAAGGCGGGGAGCAAGACCGAGTTCGTTCGTGCATTCGGGGCACTCTCTCGGTGGGTATCACAATGAGACATAACCAAAATGGTCGGTAGAGATACACACGTACAACGTACAGATCCAGGCTACAGCACAACGTACATTTTCCGCGCGTAAGATGTTACAAAGGGCGCGGCCGCCCGCGCCCCGCGCTGCAGGTCGCTCCCTGCCTCTGCCTCTGCTCATGCCTGCCTCGGCTCCTTCCTGGCCTCCGGCCTCACTCACAACACGAGCACTCCTCCAACGACCGCAACTACGACCGCCCACATCGCACCCCATGCACCGAAAGAGGCGGCGTCGCCGGTGTTTGTAGCTCCGGTGCTAGTGCCCGTGGAGGGGGCGGGCGGAGCGGTGACGGTCTGTGAGACGGTCTCGGTGCTGCGCGCGCTCGTGGAGGAGCGGGTGGACGTCGCGGGGGGCTGGGTTGTAACCGTCGTTACAACTGTAATGGGAACTGTGGGCGGCGACGGGTCAGTCAGAGGATCGGAGGAAAGGCACAGGATAGGACGCGAGTTGTTCCCAAGGCGCTGAGGGAAGAGGGTCGACGAGAGAACACACACCTGAAGTCGAGGTCGAGGAGACGGTGGTTGTCGAAATGGACGCGGTGACGGTGGTGGTGGTTGAGACCGAGGCTGACGTGCTGGACGATGCAGAGGACGACGGGCCGGAGACAGGGGGTATACCTTCGGATTCCGAATGTGTCAAAAACGTTCTCACAACTCTAAAGTCAGAAAAAAGGCTCACCGGAGCTAATGGAGGTGGTGCTCGTTGAAGTCGCGCTTGTGGGCACGGAGACCGAGGTTCCTGAGCGCGACGTCAGCTCCCCTGAGCTAGGCACAGAGGAGCTACGAGAGGAGAAACGTACCAGCGAGCACGCACTCGGTCATAAGCGTGGCCTGGCCCGTCGCCTTGTCATTCGCGGAGCAGGCAGTGGTCATGCAGTTGACGGCGTCTGGCATGAAGTCGGGATTGTGGCATGCACAGTCGAAGTTCCTGCATGATGGTGTCAGGATTCACGTGATGCCTGGATCCAGGCGGAGAGGGGGGGGGTGTGGTGGACGCGAGGATCAAGTGGGGAAAGTGTGTGGAATTGTCACTCGAGAACCGCGATGGCTCATCTTAGCAGCACTTTTAGAGCGTCCCACCAAGTCCAAAGGGTGGGATGCCCAGCAGAGGGAGCGCGGAGAGAGAATACTCACAGTCCGTTGCCGCAACCTACAGCCTGCACTGCCTGGTCGGCGCACTGCTCGGCGCACTCGGGGAGGCCAAACACCCGCCTGTAGAGACGCGAGTCGGGGAACGCGCGTGCGTCGACGCCTAGACCAAACGCAGCCTGGGCGGTCTTGGGGGTGGAGGAGCGGCGGAAGCCAGAGGACCAGGACCAGAGGATGAGGAAGATGGAGAGGAGGAGCCAACGGGGCTGGGAGGTGAGGAGGGAGATCGTGAGCCTTCGTGGTTTGGTCATTAGGTTGTTGGGAGGGGGAGAGCGCGGCCTAGGGCGGCGGAGAGAGCGGGGGCGGCGGGGGCGGAAAAAGGGAGGAGGGACGGGCCCGGAAGGTTATAAGTATGAGGGCGAAGAAGCACAGGTGTCGCGAATCGCGATCAAAGAAAGACTCGACAGCCCGCCCGCCAGCCTCTGACCGCGCGGTCTCCGCCTGGGCCTGCGCCGCGCCAAGCACTGGCCACCCTTCGCCGTCTGTGCTCGCGGTGGCCGAGCGCGGTGCCCCGCGGCGGCAGCGGGGGCGAGTCCGGCGAGCCCAGATTGAGCCCAGGCGGGCGCGAACGGCGCGGCGGAACAGGATCAGATGACCGGCTCTGTCGAACACTGTCGCCGCCGTTCTCTGCCATCTGGTGACTGGTCAGCCTCGCTGGTGAAGACGGACGCGGTGTGCGCGCACATGGCTCGACGATCACGCGCACTGGGCGGGTGAGATGGAGACGGAAAGCGTCCGTTCCGGGGACAGTCGGCATTCTCCGCTAGCCTTCTCGACAACCCAATCTCTGCTGAGTCGTCTGCCGACTCCTGCCAAAGGCCCTCGCCTCCCGTCATAGCCAACAAGCCACATTTATGCCGGCAGCAACCCCCGCCTCACACAGCCTCGACCTCTCGCGCATCGCCGCCCCGATGGTCGGCCAGAGCGACCTGCCCTTCCGCCTCCTCGTCCGCCGTTACGGCGCCTCGCTCGCCTACACCCAGATGCTCCTCCCAGACCGCCTCCTCTCCGATCCGGACTACCTCGCCTTCCACACACGCGGCCTGCGCGAAGGCGACGACCGCCCCGTCGTGGTCCAGCTCTGCGGGAACGACCCGGAGACGGTCGTCCGTGCTGCTCGCACCGTCGTTCACCGTGCAGACGCCATAGGTGCGCCTCCGCGAGCGGATCGAACGATCTGAGCGAAGGCCGATCGGAGTTGACGGGGGAAGACGTGCAGATTTGAACTTGGGCTGTCCGCAGGACGCGGCAAGGGAGGCTCACTACGGCGGGTACCTGCTTGGCCAGAAGGACTGGCCGCTGGTGGAGAGCATAGGTGCGTTGTTTTTTACGTCCTTGGTTTGGACTCCGTGCCCTCGTCGCTTGCGAGGACTCTCTGAGTGATGGATTGAAGGGATATGAGGTACTGTGCGCCCTTCTTTCGCTCGCCAATCACGCGAACGTATGCAGGGCTCAGGTGCCTTCTCCTGCCTTGTTCTGCGCTCAGAACAAGTGCATGCGTGTTTCCTTGATGACATCGATGACGGATCTCTGTAAGGCTTGCCGAGCTTTGACGCTGGGTGGTCACATCGCTGAGCATCTGGGGTCCACTAAGCAGGCCCGGGAACGCAGTCCAGTCACACGTTCGTGTGAGGCCAATCAATTGGGCATGCGTAACGTTTATAGTGCACAGCGCGGAGTACCTCCGGATATAGGTGCTTGGTAAGGCACACATGTTTGTTCATACCCCGGGTCACGTAGTACTTATGAGCATACATGCATTAAAACGAGTTTATCTACCAAGCTTTCGAGCCGCAGCGCCTCATCCAAGCCGGAGTGAGAGCTGCGTGCATAAGCCCGTCAATTTCCCGGTGCATTTGAGCCCAATTCGCGCTTCATATGCCTCTCACCCTACCATAAACCCACGCTGACGTCTTCCTCTATAGTCTCGGCGCTCTCCCATTCCCTCCCGGTCCCGGTCTCCTGTAAAGTGCGGCTCACGCCCGACCCCGCACATACACCCATGCTCGGTGCACGTCTCGAGGCCGCCGGCGCGTCCTGGCTCACCTTGCACGCGCGTCAGGTATCCGCGCGGCGGCGCAGGCAAGGAGCCGCGGACCTAGCCTATGTCGGAGCCCTGAGGAGTGCCGTGCATGTGCCAGTAGTCAGCAACGGGAACGTGCGGACCTGGGAGGACATTGGGAGGAATTTGGAGGAGACGAAAGCGGATGGAGTCATGGTGGGGGAGGAGTTGCTCGCAAATCCATGGTGCGCACCGTGGACCTCGGTTTACTTGAGCGTGGGAGGTTAATACCAGCTGATCAGAGTCGTTCTACCGGGCAGTTTGTTCGCGGACAAAGTCCCGGATCCGGTCAAGATCTCGCTCGAATATCTGGCGCTAGTCGAAGAGCACCCCGAGACGGCCACGATGCAGACGGTGCAGATGCATGTCCGACACTTTATCGAAAAAAAATGGTGCGTTCATTTCCGACACGCCATCCATACCAAGACTGACGGGCGGAGGATAGTGGGCGCCGCCCGTGGTTCACCAAGTTCCGCATGGCACTCGCGCGCACTGAGACCCCGGCGGACATCGTGCGGCTCCTCCGCGTACGCGTGCAACGTTGGCGCGGGCTCCCGCCGCTCGAGCACGATCGTTGGTCGAGCGACAGCAAGGACGATGATGACGAGCACGAGGACGGGCCACGGGAGGAAGCCGAGGATCTGTCGGGTTTGGGATTGTGGGACCTCTAAGGGGCGAGGATGAAATATACAGTGAGCTGGCGCTGGCTGCGCGGGACGATCGGGGATCGGGCGAACGCCAACGGGTGGGCAGCGCCACAGTGCTAGAGCAGAGGATGAGTTGGACAAAAGGGGCGTGACACCTCCTGCGGTCCGATCGTATGCGTGAGCTGCAAGTCCACAGGCTGTGCGAGTCGTATGCGCACGCCACAGTTCACCGCGGCCGGGGAGCGTGACCGTGAGGCCGGAGCTAGGAACGAGCGGCGAGCGCCGAGGGGTCCCCAGGAGGCCATATTGCTCGGCCGCCGGCGCGCGGTGAAGCGAGACGGATCAGGGCCCGACGAGGCGGGTTATATTGCGGTGGAGCGCTACGCTAATGAAGGCGGGAGGAGACGACGGCGAGGACGTCGGACCGCGACGGGCTCCTGGACACGGGCCCCTGGAATCTGGACAGAGTGGTGCGTGCGGACGAGTGCAGGCGGCGAGGGTACGCGCGGTCGTCGTTGGCAGACTGCACCGCGACAGATGGTTTAATCTGCCAGGCAATGAGCGTCTATCCACCGGCAAACCCGTCACGTCACGCCCCGGTGCGCCCATCACGGGCCGGGCGGACGGCGGGCGACCGCTGCGCTGCCTTCTCTTCCCCCACCGACGTCGTCCGTCGCCCTTCGCTCTCCTTCGCCTTTTCCCTCTGCTCCCCTCCGACCCCTCCGACCCCTTCCTCCCCTCCCTATCTTCCCCCGCCGCCCCGCCGCCCTCCTCTCGCGCCAGGGACCGCCTCCCCTGTTCCCCCGCTCTCCTTGCTTTCTCCCCCCGCGTCCCAATCACCGACAAAGGCCGTTGCGCCCACCTCCCCCGTGCCCCTCCCCACACTCACGCGCGCCGCCCTGTGCCCCCGTCCCCGCCGCGATGGGAAACTGCGTGTCGGCGCAGGACCGCGAGGCCCAGCTACGCTCCCAGGAGATAGACAAACGGATCGAGGAGGACTCGCGCAAGCTCAAGAAGGAGTGCAAGATCCTCCTCCTCGGCTCGGGCGAGTCTGGCAAGTCCACGATCGTCAAGCAGATGAAGATCATCCACCAGAATGGCTACACCCCCGAGGAGCGCATGACCTACCGCCCTACGATATACAAGAACCTCCTCGACTCCGCCAACCATATCATCGGTGCCATGCGCAAGCTCTCCCTCGACTGCGAGGACCCTAACAACCGCGCGCAGCTCGACAGGATCACCGGCTACCAGCTTGACCCAGAGCCCACGTCCGTCTTTGCCGAGGATATTGCACAGGCGATCTACGACCTCTGGAAGGACCCGGTCATCACCAAGGTCATGGACCACAGTAGCGAGTTCTATCTCATGGACAGCGCGAGCTAGTGAGTCCCATTCTCCTGTTCATCTCCCTCCCACCCCACCAGTCCTCGTCCCTCCGTTCGCACCCCCCGAGTACCAGCTGACTCAGTCTGCCCCCTGCAGTTTCTTCACCGAGGCCCTCCGAATAGGGACCGCGAGCTACGTGCCGACAGAGACGGACGTGCTCCGCGCTCGAGCGACAAGTAGGGGCATCACCGAGACACGATTTACATTAGGGCCGTTATCGTAAGTTCCCCCTTCCATATCACCTTGCCCACCGTCCGCTCCCTGAATCCGTCCGCTGACCGGCTGTGTGCAGAATACACATGTTCGACGTTGGGGGCCAGCGGTCAGAACGAAAGAAGTGGATCCACTGCTTCGAGAGTGTCACGAGCATCATCTTTTGCACTGCGTTGAGCGAGTACGACCAGGTCCTGCTCGAGGACAAGACCCAGGTGCGTCTGAGCATGAGGTTTGAGAGTGCGGGCCAGAACTGACTGCGAACTGCAGAAACGGATGGCAGAGTCGTTGATCCTCTTCGAGTCGGTCATCAACTCAAGATGGTTCCTCCGGACATCCATTATCCTCTTCCTGAACAAGATCGACGTCTTCAAGAGCAAGCTGCCGAAAGTGCCACTAGAGCGCTACTTCCCCGAGTACACGGGCGGCCCCGACATCAACAAGGCGGCCAAGTACATCCTCTGGAGATTCATGCAGGCAAACCGGGCACGACTAAGCGTGTACCCACAGTACGTTCGCCGTCGGTGCGGTTGCCTGCGTCTCTGTGTGCTAACGTGAGCATCAGCTTGACACAAGCGACTGATACGTCAAATATCCGGCTCGTCTTTGCGGCCGTGAAGGAGACGATCCTCCAAAACGCGCTCAAGGACTCAGGCATCCTCTAATCTCGCCTCCCCTGTTCGATGTTTCGCACTGTCATTGTTGCATGTCGGGGAGGTTAGTGTCATGTCTAGTTTTGTCAGGTGCGTCTTCGCCTTCCCTCCTCTGCCTGCCCAGGGGCAGTGCGCGTGCACGGTGCTTATCAGAGGTCACCGTTCGCACAGGGTCCCACCACGCATTTACGCATTCGCTCGTTGCCTCACGTCTGTCTGTACACGCACGCATGTTCCATCTTCATGTTCCATCGTCCCGTCCGCCCGTTCATGATCTCTCGTCGCTTTTGTATGTTGTCGCTCCATCTGGTATCCCTTCCCCTCCCACATTCTCCCAGTCCGGCCTATTCTGGCTCGCCTACCCGCCTCTCCATCCCTCCGCGCTTGCTCTCGGCCTATCCTCCACCTCCGGTTTGTCCGGGATTTCCTTATCGTCCTACGGCTATATTTGTCCGCCCTTCGCGCCCGCCCGGAAGGAACGTCGACTGGCCCGCGTTGTTCCACCGCTGAAGGGGGCGGTGCACCACTGCGTCACCCATCGCTCGCATCATCCTCCGCCATCCATCCTTGCCGACCTTGTTCTCTGCCGCCCAAGCCGTAAGCGGCCCGTTCCGCTCTTCGTGTCCCTCGCCCACCGACGGTTACGGTCACCAAGTGCCCTACGGTCCTTCCGTTGTTCTCTCGACGGACCCCGGCGATTGCAGCCAAGCCATGCTCGAACGAGTTGGAACAGGGCTCGCGGGGCGTACAAGGCACACCACATGGCGCACGGCCCATCGCGTATCGAACCTCCCGGCCAACTCGGACGCACTCTACCAGTCGCGCCGAGGCTGGTGCCAGCGGCCTCCCACACCCGCTGCGTGGCGCTTGTTCACTGACCACAGCTGGCAGAGACCGGCCGACGATGACGACGAATGTCGACGAAGGACGGTGGTTTCCCACACTGACAACGTCGGACTTCCCATCCTGGACGACTCCTCTCATCCATCCATCCATCCATCCATCCATCCATCCACCCCATCCGCCTCCTGCCTCTCGCCTGGGACATTGCGCATCCCCACTCTGCGCACGAGCTCGGCCTCTAATTCTGTCCTGGTGCGGCGCGCGCCCCTGCTCAGCCCTGCTCTTGGTTTGTCCGTTTGTGCGGGATGTCATTGATAGACTTGCGCGTCCTCCTGCTGCCTCTGCCCCATCCTTCGCCCCGCACGCTTCTCCACCCTCCCCTCACGTCCCCGCGTGTGACCCTTTATGCTGTTGCCGCTTCAGCCTGCCCTCAACTCACGCCCCGCCCGCGTTCGCATTCGTATAATACTTACTCAGCATGGACGGCCTTTTCCTTACTACGTAGCTCCCATCTACCCGTATCCACCCCCACGTAACGGCCCCCGTCCTACTCCCGCCGCCCGTTCCCCGCCCGCCCGTCGTCACCCGTATTCGTACCTTATATTATTCTGCGCCCTGGTGTTTTCCTCCCCCGTTCCCGTCATCACCCGCGTCACTCGCCCGGTTGCGGCTGTCCAGTCTGGTTGTAAAGGAAGAGAGGGAGAAGTCGAAGAAGACGAGAGCGAGCGAGCCCGTGCGGCGCACTCTGTACATATATACTTACCCCGCAGTCGGCAGTGCTGCCTCCTTCTCCCGCTGTCTCCCGTACGCACGTACCGGTTTCCCGATGATATATTGTCTGGCGGTCTGACTCTGGTCGGCCTAGTTCCGCGCTCGCCCTCGGTGGGAGGATTGCCTTGAGTGATTGATCAAGGGTGGGGGCCACTACCTGTGCATAGAATGAGCCCAGTTGCTCGTGCGCCCGGCGCGCCACATATTGGATAAGCTAACACATTGGAAAAATCCGTATGGTACATGCGCGAGACCGTGTCGCGCTGGGAAGACTTCCAAGACTTTATACTGCGACTTCTCGGGAACTGCTCGTTCAGGACCACTTTCCGAACATCGACGTTATGCTCGTCCACCAACTGCTCTTCGTCTTGTCTTGACCCTGTGCCTGCGCACGCTGCGCGGCTTCCGCGCGCGCAACAGTGTCCTTTATGGCGTTGCTCCACAAAGTTTGGGTACGGTCTGGGGCTCGCGGCTGAGCGTTCGACGAGGTAGGAACACGGTGGGCGGTGGGATACCGTGACGAGGCGGGTGCGATCGTCGAATGTGTGGCAGCGAGGGTGGAGGCCTTGTCGGTGGGGACGAAAGAGAAAGTGGGCGCACTGCTGCGGTACGTCATGGTGATCGCGGCGGTCGTGGTCGTGTTGGTAGATTGCGGCTGTCTTGTTTCGCGGGATGGAGCGGGAGTCGTCTTCAGCGTCGAGAGGGGCGCGTAGGGGACCTCCTGCGCTCCGAGATAAGAGGACGGGTATGCTCTGGGGGACGAAGGCGGCGCGGACGGGTATGCTTTGGGGGGCAAGGGCGGCGCGGGCAGGTGGGACGTCACCCCGTCGGCGCGATGGTGCTCGGGACGCGCTGGCGCAACGACGGGGGGCTTCGAGGCAGGTGCAGCCTGTGCGGAGTTCGTGTTGGTCCCAGGGCGAGTGGGCGCGGTTTCAGAGGCGAGACCTCGTGTCGTCTTCCATCGATTCTCGCCTTCATCCTCGCATTGCACGACCTTTGTAGCGCGTGGGGGAGTGGAGCATTGAACCTTCAAGGCAACGCTTCTACAGTTCTCGTGGTTCGAAGTTGGCGCGGTTGTGGTCTGAGGGGGGGTCGGAGGAGGTGCTTTGGTCAGCGAGCGAGCGGCACTCTGCGGCAAAGCGGCTTCAGCGGAGAAGGTAGCAGGGGGTGCGGGGCGCGGGGGAGAGGGTGTGTCGAGGCCAATGGCGGAAATTGACTTTCTAGCAGGGATAGCCGTTGTGACGGTGGTCGTGGGCTTTCCATGCGAGACGCCTCTGCCGCTCGGAAGCCGTGTCATGGGCTGCGAAACATCCCTTTGTGGTGACACAGTGTATTCATTCTTTTTAGCCGCGCTCCAACCGGATGGGAGTAGAGAAGTGCTGGACGCCGGAGTAATCGGAGTGGTAGTCGGAGCGGACGACGACGACGACGACGACGACAAGGGAGACAAGGTGGCAGCAATAGTAGGGGCAAATGAAGGGACGGTACTAGTGCTCGTGGCCTGGGCTTTATCGACCACTGCGCGCACCACCCGAGTGTCAACCCGAGGTGGCTGCTGCTTCGTACGGCTAGCCTTCCGCTGTTCACGCTTCCCTTGATCGAGGCCCGAGGGAAGGACGGCGGTTACGTTAGAGACCGCGATAGGGTCTATCCACGCTCGGTCACTCCACTGAGCGGAAAGCTTGCCAAGGAGCGTGTGCGCGGCGACGTTATGGAGGAAGGCGCGATTGGTAACGAAAACCATTCCAGCAGAGCAGCGCGACAGCATTACGTTCATCCGGCGGAATGAATTGAGAAACCCCGGGGCCGACGTGCGGACGGTCGAGATGAGGACGAAGGGAGATTCGTGGCCTTTGGTCAGGCAGGACGTTAGAGGGATCCGACGGGATATAGATTGAAGATAGTGCACACCTTGAAAGCTATCGACGTTGTACACATGCTGCCACGGGAGATTCTCCGCTTTAAGTCGCGCGACAATCAGACTTCGTTGAGCGTCATACGGGGTGATGATGCAAAATTCACGGGCACTATAGTAGTGCTTGACGAGGTTGACGATCGTATACACCTCTTCGACGTTCTGCGGGTGCATAGAGTCAGCTCGGTGAAAAGGGGCAAAAACAAAGGCGTCTCACCTGCCAACTTGAACCTTCAAAAGCTTCCTCTCCTTTGTGTACATCGACCAATCGGATACAGGAAAGGTTAGTGATAGGGTGTATGGACTTGAGCTTTCCACGATAAACCCTTTTCGAAATGAAATTTCCGAGCGGGACAGGCATACGGTACTGCGTGTCAAGGAAATGCCTCGAGCGCTTGAGGTGGGCAAAGTCGAAGATAGTAGCCATTTCTGGCGCATGCTCTCTTCCGTATGGAGGCACTGTGTGAATAGTCGAAACTCAGCATTGGGATAATCTCTCATCAAAGAACTCACGTTGATCCGGATCGCCAAACATGCAGACTTTCCTAAGCTTATCAAACTTGACGAAGAGATGCTATCCAAAGTTCAGCGCCAATACTGGCATATAAGAAACCAACGCGTACCAAAAACTCAGATGAGTCGATCTGTGAAGCTTCGTCAACCACAAGGCGCTCAACGGGAACAAGTCGTAGGAGCCCGCAGTCGATTAGGGCGGGGTTGGAGAGCATTCCAAGAGTACACAAGATGACTTTTGATCCCTTCAACATGCGCTCAGTGTCAGCATGAAGTCGTAGGTCGTCCGACCTGATCAGGTGCTCCTCGACACCCTGCTTATACAGATGTTCATGCCTGTAGATGTTATTGCCAACTCGATACATCAGAGCATGAGGCTTACCATTCAAAATGGAACTCCTTAGATACGATGATTTTGAAATCAACAGCATACCCAGGTTCCACGAGCTTTTCGGCAATGTTCTTGACTCCGACGTTGGACTGAGCAATGACCCACACGGGCTCGTTCTGGGTGCACCATTTCTTGAGAGCAATAGCGATAGTCGACGTTTTGCCCGTCCCGGGTGGGCCTGAATGATGTACGTCAGAAAACGACTGTATGTGAATGCCCGACTACGCACCTTGAACCACCACCATCGGCTCTGCCGTATCCAACATCGCAGCAACTACCTTCTTCTGTGATGGATTGAGAGGCTTCTTCCCATCCTCGTCAAGGAGCACCCCGACATGGGGTTGTCTGCCCATCTGCCCGTTGGACAAGACATGTTGGTCTGGGAACCACAGCAATTTCACAAACAGTGCGTCTGCGATAGACAAGTCCTGGTCCTGGAGCGCACGACGCACAAGTGTATCCCTGGCTCGGTCAGCAGTGGTGGGATCCTCGCGACCCTCGACGCGCACGCTCCGGATGGCGCCGCGGACACGGCCTTCCATTAATTTGACGTTGGTCGTGCGTCCATCGGCGCCCATGGCCTTTCCAGTGACTTTGCCTTCGTCGGTCTCGAAGACGACTTGGGTCTAGAGCACACAAACGGGGATGTTGGAATGAGTGCTTGAGCGGATGGATTCGGGGCGTACCTGTTCGCCCTTGCGAATTCGGGTCTTGTACCGTGCGTTCTGGACGAGGAGGCGCCCGTCCGCGTCTGTCTCTGCGTGGTCCAGCTCGCCCTCTAAGACCGTCGGCTTCGCGACCTCGAGGCGCTCGACATTGGCAACGAGCTTCGCGAGCACCAAGAGCTCCGGCGGGGAAAGATTACGGGTGTCGATCTTGGGGGTGCCCGCGACGCGATCGTGGACCTTGGGGGCGTGGGCTACCCTGAGAAAATCCAGTCAGCGACGCTGGGGGCACAATAGAGAGAGGAGGATATACTTTGCGGCGAGCCATGCGCGTAGACATACACACTCGACGTTTTCGGTGTACCAGAGCTCGTGGACCCGAGGCTTCAACACCTGGCTTGGTAGAACTTCGGCCGCCCACTGGGCTGGGCTCCGGGGCTTGCCGTTCATGGTGACCAAGTCGACACCGACTGTGCGCGTCTGAAAACGACGGTGGATGTGGAGTGCAATCCGCTCCATGCCGAAAGCGACGAGTGGGCGAGCAGGATCTCCAACGAGGCTGGCGATGTCGGAGGCGGCGTAGGTGGTGGCATCGCTCTCGAAGAGCAGGGCGAGGCTAAAGATGGCGTAAGGGGTGGCGAGGGCGATGAGGTTCAGTTTTCCGCGCTTTGAGAGCCTGCAGGCGACGCCGATGGAGGACACATCGTTGGTGTGCTCAGCGACATGTTGGGCGAACCAGGCGGGGCCGTGGGTGGGCGAGGTGTAGAGCGGGATGCTGGAGGGAAGAGAGGGAAGGAAGTGTTGCTCGACGGAGTCGGGCATGGCGGCGGCCTCATGGAACGCGTTCTCAGCGAGAAGAGACCATGGCCTGTGCTGCGGTAGTGGGCCCACCCGGCGGCTCCCCAGCGTTCACTGGACGTCAAACAGGGCATTGAACCTTGGGGTTGACATCGGCATCACTCGTCGCCTGGTCATGCCGGCAAAGGATCGAGCCAGTTGCAGGGAAACCCTGTCCAGCGGAAATGGGTCAGTTCGAACTTGATGATGTCGAAGAGGAATACTACGCGATGCGAGGCCGTTTTCGCAACGAAAGGCTCCTTGGGCGTACGTAGCATCTCCGATCAAATATTTGTCTCACAAGCGCCGTCGGAGATTCGGAACAGTACTCAACTTTTACCACGCCTTTCAAGGGGTTGTATGCAGCGCTAACACCATCGTTCCCACGTGCGCGCAGGAAAGTCAATTTGCAGCGACGGCCCGCTCAGCACAGATGGCGTCCTCTTCCTCCTCCCTCCCCTCCTCCGCCCTCAACCCACGGCGACATGTCGGTGTCCACGCAGAGCGCGTATCCGACGTCGCAAGCACAGAGTTCCCCGGCCATTACCCCGGTGAGGATCACAGTTGGAACCTGGATGACTTCAAAAAGGTGCGTCTTCGCCGCTGGTGCTCGCCGGAACTAGACGGTCCAACACGGCTGCACATAGGAAATGAGCGTATCAGTCAAGAGACTGTCCCAACGATCGGTCGAGTTCGACTTGGTTGGGGTGGACGCATCAATAGCGAACGCCTTCCGACGAGTATTGATCGCGGAGGTCAGTCCTTCCTTCACTGGTCACCCCCGTCCCCTCATGCGTAGGCCGCGTCCTACGCCCGCGGATATGCGCATCTGTGTTGACAAATACCTCAGGTTCCCACCATCGCAATAGAGGATGTATACGTCCATAACAACACCTCCGTGATTCAAGACGAAGTCCTCGCCCAACGCATCGGCCTCATACCCCTCAATGTTGACCCTCGCTACTTTGAGTATCGTCCAACGGGAGGTGTCCCCACCGACAGGAATACTCTGGTCTTCCAGTACGCCCCCTCGCCCCTTCCACAGTCCCATCCCTCACCTTCCTTCCGCAGGTTGAACGTCCAATGCGAACGGGCGCGCAAATCCACAAAAGATGCATCTCCTTACATCCACGAACATGTCACGAGTGGTGACCTTGTATGGGTCCCCCAAGGCGAGCAGGAGTCCGTGTTTGCGGACAAGCCTGCCGCGGCTACCAACAAGGATATCGTACTCGCGAAGTTGCGGCCTGGGCAAGTGGTGGATATGGAACTCCATGCGATCAAAGGGGTTGGGAAAGAGCACGCGAAGTGGAGCCCTGTCGGTGAGTGCCGGATTTTTACACATTTGTTTTGCGCGAAGGAGGGTGTCACGTTGACGCTTGCGCTACACGCACAGCTACCGCTACGTACCGTTTGCACCCGCTCATCGTCCTCAACCCGTCAAAACCTGTGCCGCCGGAGCACGCTGACAAGTTTGCCAAATGCTTCAGCCCGGGAGTGATCAAGGTCGGCGCGAATAGGACCGTCACGGTCGATGAGCGGTACTTGCGCACGGATACGGTTTCGCGCGAGGCACTCCGACACAAGGAGTTTGAGGGCTGTGTCGAGCTCAAGCGTATTCGTGATTGGTTCATCTGTGCGTCCCTTGTTCTCTGCTCCTCCCCTTACCCGCCCCACACCTCGCTCTCTGCCCTTCGCGCTGTGCCCAGCTGACCTCGATGCCCAGTCAGCGTTGAATCCGAAGGCCCATACACGCCACAGGAGCTTTTTCCGGAGTCGGTCAAGGTCATGCGCGCCAAGATCGCGGCGATTCGTGTGGCGGCGGAGGCGCTCCTGCGAGACACCCGAGACGTGAACGGGGCAGAGCCGGACGCAGACGGCGACGTCGAGATGGAGAGCGCGTGACATGTGGGTCATTTCCGATGTGCGGGAGAGACGCGTTAGCTGAGATTGTACCTTCTGTATGCAGTATTGCACGCTACGCTGAATGCTGGCGTTTGTACTTGCTATCACGCCGCAGCACTCACGGGATGTGCGGGGACGTTTGTTTCTGTTCAGACAACCCATCAACATGCGCAGCTTGGTATGAGAATGCTTGGCGGTACAATGTACTCTCATTTGTCGTGTCGGCGGCCTTGCGTGACGGCCTGGGACGAGTGCCTGAGCGTGAATGAAGGTGAATGTATGGCCGTAAGAGGCAGCGCAGCTATTTCCAGCGGACTATAAACAGCATCAAGCCGTGTATTGGCTAGATGCCAGCTATTTATTCCTACTAGAGTCCATTTGTAGTGCCTAAGTACTGCTCCCACTTACCTCCTACTTACCCGCTATTAATTGATCCAAGATCATCCGCATCCGCTGCTGCGCATGGCGCTCGGCAGCGACAACTCGCAAGCGCGTCATGAATTCACGTACCTAACTTAATCGTGCCCAGCATGCACCGGCACCCACAGCTCGAGCCGTAGCCCTTATCCCCTCTCCTCCCACCTCCACCCGTCCCAGCACCTCCGACTTCTCTCCCACCCGCTCTCGGGACAGCGTTCGCGTCGAGCCATCAGTCCTCTGGCTTCAGCCTCGCTCCCCGCTCAGCGATGGCCCACCGCTCAGCCGCAGCAGCGGGCGCGCGCCCGCTCGAGGACGACGTCGCCGCGCTGCACGCGCACCTCCCCGCGTTCGTGAAGCCAGCGGACGTCGTCGCCGCGCTCGAGGCCCTCGTCGCGCGCTCCGAGACGGAGGCGGACGTCTGCGCGTCCGCACTCGCGCCGTTCGACGAGTCCGCGCACCTCGAGGGCTTCCTCGGCCTGCCCGGGCTCGAGGAGCTCGCGAACCGCTGGCACTACGGCAACTACGTCGCGGTCAGGGGGAAGGATCCTGAGGAGGAGGGCGGGAAGGTGTTCGAGAGCATGCCGTTGTATACGCGGTGAGTTTCGCGGTTCACGTTGTTGTGCATGTTTGGAGGGAGGGTGGGGCCGGCGATATGAAAAGCTCAGAGTGCGTAGCGTCGGTCAACGCGTCGGCCTGTGCATTATGAGCATATACATATGCACCATGAGACGGTTGCTGGGTAGCGAATGGCGATTTCTCCACAGCCCTGGCTATGCATTACGAGCATATATACATTATGAGCACAGAGTGCATGCATGGCTCGCGGGTGTGCGATGTTATTGATGTGATCCGTACCTTCGTGGGTGGACATGATTTTATGTGCGGAGTAGGCGGGGTCTCTTCAGAGAACCCTTTCCCGCTTTGTACTATCCTCCACGAGAAAGCGCACACAGGCAGTCAGAATACTGATGCCTACGTCCGCAGGCTGGGAATGCACCTCATGTTCTACGGCGCGCTTCAAATAGAGCTCCTTCGAACCTCCGTCATTATCAAGCTTCTCAAGGAACTCTCGGAACGCGTATGTCTTCTCATTTTTTTTGGTTCCATGCGGTGCCAAGAACTCATCGCGCTTGCTCGCAGGAGGGGCGAATATATGATTCACCACAGTCCATCCAGTCAATACCGTCGTTCATCAAGACATACTCCCTGAGCCTGGACGAGTTGCTTCAGCCTGATATTGCAAAGTACTCGAATTTCAACGACTTCTTCCACCGGTGCGTGTATGTGATGTCGTGCCGGAATTCGAGTATTGATCGCAGCGTTGTTGCACACAGCAAGCTGAAGCCCGGTTCGCGACCAGTTAAGGATCCCGAAAACACTGCGCTGTTCTGCAGCGCGGCGGATAGTAGATTGACTGTGTACCCGTCGGTCGGAGCAGCTCAGCAGTTCTGGTAGGCTTGCCAACGTTTCTCATCCAAAATCTTTGCACTTACACCATCGAACCAGGATCAAGGGATGCCACTTTTCCATCCCGTCTCTCATCGGTGAAATTCCACGGTCTGTGCGGGCGCGGATGTTCCTTGGCGGGAGTATTGCTATCTTCAGGTTCGTCCGGCCCCTTCTCGTTTGTCCGACATTGTAATTGTAACGACACGACTGCAGACTGGCGCCACAGGACTACCACCGCTTCCACTGTCCCATCGACGGCGTGATTGGTGACATCACCGAGATCCCAGGGCAGTACTACACTGTCAATCCTATGGCGGTGAACGAGAGCTGCTTTGACGTCTTCACCGAGAACCGACGCTCAGTCATGTACATGACGCACAAACAGTCCTCCGCTCCTGTCGCAATTGTCGCCATCGGGGCGATGCTGGTCGGAAGCATTGTCTGGACGGTCACAAAGGGGTCTGTGGTCAATCGCGGCGATGAGCTCGGGTACTTTGCGTACGGAGGCAGCACCGTGGTTGTCATCTTCCCTCCTGGGGTCTGCCAGTACGTTCTCGACGCCGTGTTCGTACATGCACCATTTTGACGTGTCTTCTTGCCCATAGGTTCGACGAGGACTTGCTCGAGAATTCTGTTAGGCCTATCGAAACGCTAGTCAAGGTCGGAGAATCGCTCGGAAAGAGTGTTCTCTCACAGGCTGCGTTCGACGAAGAAGCGGTGCTCGCAGCCGCGGACAAGAAGCTTGATGCGAGCGAGGATTCATCCTCATCGCCATTCGTTCGGTTGAAGGGAGTCATGCGGAAGCTGTGCTGCATTTGATAGCGTTTGCTTCCGGAACTGTTGTGCGTCTTGGATATTCCTGCTGTACTTCTGAACTGTCCGAATATGATACCCGTGTCTATCGCTTCTTTCCCGGCGGCGTTGCGTGACTGTCAACTGTCGGGCGAGGAAGAAGGTATGTGGTCACCGCGTCCACGCAATCTTCAGCTAATCTCCTTGTTTACCTTTGCGGGTCGGCTACCGCAGCATCGAGCGCCAAAGCCCTTTGTGTGTTCACCGAAGGGATGTCTGTCGTGTTGTCGCACAAACACCCCTGCTACCGTCGAACCCTCTCATCCACATCGCAATGTCTACATCGCTCTCTCAAGACTTCTTGCCCCCACCTGTTGCCCGAAGCAGCATCCCTCTGCACACCCATCCCACCACCGACCCCGCCTGGTTCGCGCGCCATGCCACAACGCACACCACTCCCGCCATCGGCGTCTCTTACCGCATCTCGGAGGAAGGACACGTTGACCTCCTCGCCCTCGCCACCCCTCATGCCGTGTTCTCCATCGCTCTCCGGCAGGATCTCCCCCGCGCTACGCAAATTGCTCTTGCGCGCCTGCTGGACGACCGCACGCGTCCACTGGCGGGATTCAGCATGGGGCGGGTTGCCCTGCACCTCCACCGCCGCCTTGGGGCACACGTCGTTGGTGTCGACCTCGGGGTGCTGTTGGGAAGAGGGGACAAACCGGCGAGCGCGGCGGAGTGCACGAGGGATGCGGTGTCGCGGGGGGTGCCCATGGGCGAGGTGCACCAGCTGTGGTGCGAAGCCGGCGAGCGGAGCGTGTGCCTGCGGGCGTGGCTGTCGGCTATGTGGGTCTTTGCGTCTTGCTGCTGTTGGCCGTTGACTGACTCGGCTCGTCCCGCGCAGGATCGCGCACACGTCCTGTGAACTTATCCGAGACGCGCTTAAAGTCGACACGCGAAACCTTCCCGCCGCGGCCCTTACGTGTCTCGCCGTGCAGTACGCGAGCGTCGAACGTGTCGAGGCCTTGCGGCCCACTCAGACGGAGGGCGAGGTCGAAGAAGCGCAGTTTGACGAAGAGGGACGCCTCGTGGTCCGCAACAAACGCTTCAAGACGCGCGTCCGGGCAAGCGAGCAGGTGCGGTCCCCCAACCTTTCTTTGACGAGGGCCGTGGTGCTCACCTACACTGCGCAGACCCAGGTGGTAGTGGAGACAGAGACGCAGACTTTCACTGGGCGCGCGGTAACGTCGTCCGGGCGCGCCACGGGCTTGTTCCTGAAGGGAGGGCCGAAGGTGCTCGATGGCTCCATCGTGAGCGTGCGGGTTGTGGGCCGGGAGGAGGCGACGAACGCGGAACGGGCGAGAGATGGCTTTATCTTTCGAGCGCTGCGGGGGGAGACGAGGCCGCTTGCGTCCGCTCACTTCGTGAACGCGTTGTGGTTCACCGAGGGACAAGCGAAAGTGCAGAAGAGACAGCGAGACGGAGCGAGCGTCTTTCACCCGCGGTTGAACGGGTCACAGAAAGAGGTCGTGGAGGCGATGTTAGACCCGGAAGAAATGCTGGTGGTTGCTCACGGTACGTTTGGGCGTTTCCTAGGACGAAAAAAATGGGGTGCTGAGGAGACCACAGGACCTCCGGGGACGGGGAAAACGTCAACAATCGCGGTCGCGCTCGGGGTCTGGAGCTCTGCGCGCAAGCCGGTATGGGTCGTTGCGCAATCGAACGTTGGAGCGAAGAATATAGCGCGGACGCTCATCAAACCGGAATACGCGATTAACTTCAAGCTTATTGTCTCGAAGGATTTTCATTTCGAATGGTGCGTCGACCGTTTGCACGTGCTCACGCTTACATCTCATTATGAGGTCGCAGGCATGAGCATCTGTACGGGGGAGTCGAAGATCACTTGATAGTATCCGACGATCTCACCAAGCTGGCGGACACTGTGCGCATGCTGGATGACTCCCAAGTCGTTGTGTGCACGCTGTCGATGCTCTCGAACCCGGCGTTGGACGGGTGTGGGTTGACGGACCTGGTGCCTGTTGAGCGGCTTGTGATCGACGAGGCTTCCCAGATCGACTCTTTCGAATTGATGGTCAGTGCAAACAGTTCAGTGTTCGCATGGGATATACTGAAGTGCCATCATAGCATCTCTTCTACAAGTTCAACAACTTGCAAAAGGTGTGCATGTTTGGGGACCCAAAGCAGCGTGAGCGCCGTGATCTGTTCCTAGCGTTTGACAAAGTCTGACACTTCAAGGAATAGTCCCCCCTTATGGAAAGGAAAACACCACGGACATGAAAACCATCTTTGACTTCAAACATCTGAAGCCTGCGGCCTACTTCCTCAACACGCAGTATCGCATGCCGGTACTTTTGGGCGAATTCATCTCCAAAGAAGTGTACAACTCAAAACTACGGTCGGAGCACAGCAACCAAGACAGTTTATGTATTCGATTCGTGGACGTGCGGAAGGGCGAGGAGGGGTACATGGGTGGGAGTTGGCAGGTAGGTACTCTGTCGTTCGATCTCTCCGCGCCTATGATCCATTCTTACTGGGACGCATAGAACTTAGAGGAAGCTCGTGCTATTGTCAACCTGGTGAAGAACTATTACAGACCCCGGGACTTTTGCATCATCACCCCGTACGACGCGCAACGCAATTTGATTGAGAACCAGCTGAAGGCTGCGAGCCTACCGTGGGACTATGTGTACAATGTTGACAGCTTCCAAGGTACGCGCTATGGTGTTGATTGAGTGTCGTTTTCTAATCAGAAACCGCATGCACAGGTCATGAGGCGAAATACGTCCTAGTTTCGACCGTCCGCACGTCCTCACCCGGGTTCCTCAAGTCCCTCAACCGGCTGAACGTCATGCTTACCCGCTGCACTGCGGGCATGGTCATTGTGACCAAGCGCAGCTTCCTCAAAGGTCCCGGCTGGGACACGCTCCTCGGCCGGCTCGCGCAGCATTGGGAGGAGCACGACCGCGGGACATGGGTTGACGCGCTGGAGGTCTCCGCTGGGCGCATCTCGCTCCCAGGCGTACGTCGGGTCGGGCAAAGCGCGAACACTGCGCTTGCTTCGCCTCTTGGTAGGCTTGCGGAGCGTCCGAGGGGGGCCGTATCGTCGATGGGAGGGTTCTCGCCTGCTTTCGTGCCTCGATGGGGCGCAGCGGCCAATGTGCGCCCTTCGCCCAGTGTGGAGGGGATCAAGGCGCAGGCGAGCCCAGTGCAATCGTACGTTGGGGCGCCACTGACAGAGGATACGTTTCCATCGCTGCCGGTGGACGATACTCGCAGTCGTCCTGTCTTGCAAGGGAGATGGAAAAGGGGGTCCGACGCGTGCAAGCTCTAGGCTGGTGTTTTTGCTTGTGTTTCCACGAGGAAACGACGGGCGATCTGCGCATGTACATAGAATATAGACACACAGTTCTCTGAACTCGATCCTCTGCAAGTGATGTTTCTCATCCCCGCGGAGCCAGGGAAGGTGCACGTGGAGGAAGTTGCTTCGAACACCCTCGTCGGCCGCCTCGCGCGCGGGCGTGGCAGTGGGGCGTGGGTTGACGCACGGAGAGTCTCTGCTGAGCCCGCGGGACGAGGGACCAAGTCTCCCGGTGACTGAACGCGTGGAAACGAGTTCAGGTTCCAGCGCGAGCCCCACTTATTAGGGGCTGCACATAGTAGAAAGGGACTAAGCTGGGTAGGATGGCCAGTGGGCGCTCGGTGGGCAGTCAGCCCGAACCTCCACCGAAGGCTAGCGCTCGGCCTTAGGGCCCGCTACCACTGTACAGAAGCTTGCTCCCAACGTCATCATGCCTCCGATTCGCGTGGAGTCTCCTGCCCCCGCTGAAGACAGCCTCCCGTTCCCCGCCTTCGCCGGGCGAATGCCAGCCTCCGACCGAGTTCAGCTCGTCGGGCTTTCCGGAAACGAGGTCCAGGGGAGGGCTCTTGCCCGCTCTGATGAATATTGCAACCTCGCGTTCGACCTCCTTTCCCTTTATAACGCTCTCACTCCCATCCACCGCGCTCTTCCTGCCGAGGTGCTCGCAGAAATCTTCGTGCAGTACGCCATCGCCGAGTACCCAACTCCGCTCGCTATCATCCACGTCAGCCGCAGCTGGCGGGCAATCGCGCTCGACACCCCGCGCTTTTGGGCTGCACTTGCTGGCTCTCGCGTGGGGCCGCTTCGTTCCTTCCTCGATTGGAGCGCTCTGCAAGAGACGGAGAGAGAAAGCCGTCTCGCATACATCACCTCCGTCCTCCGATGGTCCAAGGCCACTCCTCTCTTCCTCAGATTCAACCGCGGCTTTCCCGATCCACCCACCCGCGTGTTGCATTCCCACCGAGGCCGCATCGTCCACCTCGACGTGTACATCGATAGCTTCCACACGTTCAACGTGCTTTTCATCTTCTTGTCTTCTCACCGAAAGGGTTCAAGTATCAAGACGCTGTCAATCAGGCCGCCAAAGCACACAAAGTTCATCTTCACGTATGGTTCGATCCGTTCTATCTTCCCAGAATATGACTTGCGTGGCGACAACTTTCCTGTACTGCGCACCTTAGACCCCATCCCTCTTGATCTCCTCCCATACTTCCCGCACCCCACGCTACGGGAAGTAAACATCGTCCATCCCCTCGCTCCACTGTCGACGGCAGAGAGAGTCGCAAGCCTTCCACCCCCGAATACTCACCTCAACCAGGGCGAACTCCTTGTGTTCGCGTTGCGGAGATGTCCACGACTCGAGAAACTCACTTTCTCCCTGCCGCCATCACTGCGGAATATGCACCTTCATTCGCTGCAGCAACCTCAGAGCGAATGGGATGCTGCGCAAGCCTGGCAGACTGCTGAAAAGGCCACTCTCCCATCGTTGCGTCAACTAGAGTTCTACGCCGAACGCGGCCCAGCCGTCTGCTTCCCATTCCTAGCGCTCCTTTCGATCCCGTCCCACGTCAACAAGGTGCTGTCCTTCGACGCCTTGGACAACGGGGCGGACACCCTGTGGGCCGGCCTCTCCAAGGACGAAAACCTCGCACAGACCCTCTTTCGGTCTGTCCCGGAGTGCGACCTATGGGTGGCGTCGAGCGTGGACTCGAGCGGACTTTCCGTCCTGATGGTCGCGCTGATGAGCGAGGACGCGGGGCAGGAGCTGAAGATCGAGTTCGTGGGGAGCCGCGAGGACGAGGGTGCACCGCTCGAACGACTCCGGCCGCTCCTCGAAGTCATCTGCGCACGGGGAACCCCCAGCCTCCTCACCATCGCCCTCAAGCTCCATAGGTGGGAGGCGGCAAGTCAGGCAACCGAGCTCCTCCTCCAGTTCCCCTCGCTCACAAGACTCGCGCTGCACGGCCCCTGGGCGCACTTGCTCTTGTCGGCCCTCGCGGCGGAGCAGCCGTGCTGTCCGTTCCTCCGCGAGCTCGAGGTGCGGTTCTCAGTGAATTCTCGGATCGGGCACGATGGGCACGCGCTGTGGGAGGCGCTGAACGGGCGACCGGAGGGCTGGGAGGAGGTGATACGGGCGACGCTGGCGACGCATCGGGCTTCGCTCGCGTCCGTGCTCTCACGGCGCGCGGCGTGCGGCGCAGTGCGTCTGGAGCGGCTGTGTTGGGGCGAGAACGCGTGGCGGGGAGAGGGCAAGGCATATGGGTGGGAGTGGGACCAACGGTGCAGTGGGCGGATCGAGGCATACGACCCGGGTCGGAACGCGTATGGTGTGAAGGAGCTCGAGAGACTGGTAGACGGGGTGGTTGACGTGCTCAACTTCACGTATGAGAGCACTTCGGTTTAGAGTACGTGAACAAGTTGAAATGCAGAGACCATTGAAAGTCGGAATATAATGGGCAGCGCCCGCTTATTCAGCACGATTGAGCAGACCGGCTGGCGTCTGTCTCGCTTTGTTCGCTCCGTCCACCTCCTCTCTCAGCCCGCGACGCGAATCTGCACGCATGGTCAAATTTTTGAGCGGTGGCGTTTTGAGGACGAGGGAATCTACGGCGAGGTGGAGGCGCAAGTGGATGAACAGGTATTCCGTTCGAACTTCTCGCCACCCAAAAGCGCATACTTAATCTAACCTATTTCTGCTGTCTAGCATGCGCCTGACTCGCTCGCATACGCAAAATGACACCGCAGGAAGTGGATGGCCCCTGTTTGACCAGCTGCCCGCCTCTGAACGCGCACCACTGGCCGGGCTTACCGTCAGCGAGGTCCAAGCGTGGGTCCGTGCTCGCATCGACAAGTACCGTCAGCTCGTCGACATCCTCGTCGCGTTCCACAATGCCATAGCCCCCATTCATCGAGCGTTTCCACCGGAAGTGCTCGCAGAGGTCTTTATTCAGCGCGTTGCCTTGGAGCAGTCCGATCCGATGATCGTTGCGCACATCTGCCGTAGATGGCGAGCGGTCGCGCTCGACTGTCCGCGTTTGTGGGCGGCCGTCGTTGGGTCCCGAGCCGGGCCTCTACATCATCTGTCCCGCTGGGACTGGAAAGCAATGTCAGAAACTCAGAGAGACAACCGCATCGCCTACATCCAGTTGGTTCTACGACGGTCCAAAGCCGTTCCTCTCCATCTCACGTTCTTCCACGGCATACCTGCGAAAACCATCAACTCAACATTGGGTTCCCATGCAGGTCGAATAACACACCTCGACGTATGCATACGGGACGGCGAAACGATGACACTGCTCGGTGCCTTTATCACGGCTTACAACGTGTCAAATATTCAAACTTTGTCGATCAGGTCACCGGACTCCACGCAGTTACTTTACGGCCACACCAGGTGTGCAAGATTCGAGAAGGTCACTTTTCCTGCCCTTCGCACTTTGGATCCCGTCCCTCTCGACATTTTTCCATTCCTGTCCCGCCCAACGTTACGGAGCGTGCACATCCACGAACCCCTCTTCAATGAACTCGCCACTGCACCCATCAGCGCGAGCAACAAGGGCGAGCGTTTTGTAATCGCGTTGGAACGATGTCCAGGACTCAAGAAACTTGCCTTCACGCTCCGTATGTCTCTGCAGGACATACGTTTTTCACGCACAGGGCTAGACGGTGATTCTGGGGACGACCCGTGGGCGACGAGCAAGCACGCCGCTCTTTCATCCTTGTGCTCTTTGACAGTGCACACCGGTCACGATCCAAGCATATGCATCCCGCTTTTGAGGCTCCTGTCGATCCCCCCTCATGTCGACAAGGTTTTGTCCTTCGGCATTGTGCCCAACGACAGCCTTTGGGTCGGTCTCGCTAAGGAAGAGGACGTCGCACGATGTCTTCTCCGGCCCATTTCCGATTCCAAACTCCGGTTGAACTCGAACACGCGCCCGGATGGAAACACCGAGTTCACGCTCACGCTGAATAGCAAGGACACCACCCAGCAAGAGCTCCGCATGGAGTTCGCCGTGATACCCGGCGACGAGGGCGCAACATTCAAACGACTCCGGCCGCTGCTTGCTATCATCTGCCTCCCTGGGAGATCCAGCGTCGATCTCCGCGTCGTCCTCGAGCACCAGGCGAAGGACGCGACCAGCCAGATCTTCCAGGCCGTCGAAATCCTCCGCGCTTTTCCATACGTCCAGACCCTTGCGCTCGAGGGACTGTGGACGCAGACGCTACTGCTGGCCCTCGCGGCGGAGAAGCCGTGTTGCCCCTCCCTCCGTGTGCTCGATGTGAGGTTCCCAGTGACCTCTACGCCCGGACTCGACGGGCACGCGCTGTGGGAGGCGCTGAATGAGCAGCCGCGCGGCTGGGAAGAAGCCGTGAGGGAGATGCTCGCGGCGCGTCGGACGACGCTCGTGGAGGTGCTGTCGCAGCGCGCGTCGAGCGGTGCAGCGCGTCTGGAGCAGTTGCATTGGGGCGGGAGGGCGTGGTGCGGGACGGTCGGTACGGACAAGAGTCGACGAGGTGGATGGATTGTGTCGTATGATCCGGGTTGGGATGCGTACGGCGTGGCGGCGCTGGGAGAGCTAGTCGATGGAGCGGTCGAGTTACTGAAGGTTACATTTGAGAGTACTTACTAGTACTCACATTACGTTTGAGATGAGCGTTGTGGTCAAAAGAGCAGCAAAGACGCGGACGTGCACCTCCCCACCCGGTGCTGGTGTATGCATGTATAAAAGGAAGGGATTGTGCTCGTGTTCTACAACGAGACAGGTAAACTGAGAGCGCGAACACTGAGTAGAGCTCTATAAACTCCAATGACTGTGTCGGCTTTCGTCGTCATCCTTCAATGGCCGGCAGTCGCGTAGGATCGCTATCTCGACCCCCGGCCCGCCGCTGTGAGCACGTGGCGCGCCTGATCCGCAAAAGGCTCTCATCCTCCGCCCGTCTTAATCAGCCCGACGACGCCATGCCTCCCTCGGAAATATAGCCGACGCGTGCGCGCGCATGCTCGGCCGAGCGCGTTGCTCCTTGTTGACTTGTCCCTCCCTACTTCGCGCATCTCGCTGGAGAGCGCTCAGCACCTCTGGACCCGCAGTTCCTTCCACCTCGCCATCTACACCAACACACAGCAACAAGCAGACGAGGAAGATGACCGACCTTCCACAATACGCCCACGCGGTGAAGCCGCAGTACACGGTGGCGCACAATCCGAGTTTTACGGTGGGCCAGCGTGTGGACGCGACGGAAGACGGGAAGACGTGGATTGAGGGCGAGAAGGCGGGGTGGAAAGTGGTGGACACCGCTGCTGTAGAGCCTCTGTGAGTCTTCCTATCTCCGTATACTACGCAAGGAAGAGGGCGCCGTGAGAAGTAGGTGCTGACGGTGTGTTGCTTTTGAATCATTTCAGGGCGCTGGTGAGTCTCTGCGGGTCGTCCTGAGAAACGCTGAGGCGAACAGAGTGCAGTATCAGCTCATGATTAGCGGCATCGTCCCGCGTCCCGTCGCGTTTGTGTCAAGCATTGGTGAAGATGGCGTGGAGAACCTGGCGCCTTTCAGGTGAGCACCTTATCTTCAGGTCTTGCATATGTGCTCATTTTGTCATGCACCATAGCTGGTTTAACATGGTATGTTTCCCGTTTCCCGTGAACGACCTCCCGCTTTGACGCTATATTGCACGGCAGGTCACCCACAATCCTCCTGTGATTTCTATCTCAGTAGCGTCGAACCCGACGACAAAGACGGGTCTGAAGGACACCGCAGCGAACATCAAGGCGACGAAAGGCTTCGTCGTCAACATCATCAGCGAGACGTTCGTCGAGAACGCAAACTTCTCATGCATCGACGCGCCGACGGAAGTGAGCGAGTGGCCCCTGACGGGCTTGACGAAGGTGCCCAGTGTATGTACTCCCGCGCTCACGTACGCGCGATACCTGGTGCTTACGCCTGAGTTTTAGGACGTCGTCAAGCCTCCGCGTGTGAAGGAGAGCGCGTTCAGCATGGAATGCGAGGTACGTTCACATGTTCCCGCTCGAGTGCTCCGATCCTGATTACGCGCTCTTGTAGCTCTTCCAAACCGTGGACATCATCCATCCCGAGACGAAGAAGCACACGACGACGCTCGTGCTGGGTCTTGTGAAGCGTATCCACGTCCGCAACGACACGCTGAACGAGCGCGGGAACGTGGACATCACGAAGCTGCGACCCATCTCGCGCAACGGAGACATCTCGTACGCGCGTGTCGGCGACTCGTTCCGCATTCCGCGCCCGGCGTGGTCGGTCGAGGGCGAGAAGATTGGGGAGTTCTTGAAGGGGGTCGCCGAGTCGGGCAAGCTTTAAACGAATTGGGAGGTGCGCAGAAACAGTGTATGGTAAAGGCGTCTAGATAAAGGATATTTCTTGCCCGCTTTTCTCTCGCAACGATCGTCTTATTCTCCACTTTCGATCGCGGCTACGGCAAGGAGGCATTCGTGCACCCCGACGGAGCTCCAACGGGTCCCATCGTCGACATCGTCGGCCTCGCGCGGCACCAGCGCTGCCGCGAGGCGGCGCCAGCGACAGCCTCTATCGTGCGCCCGTGTCTTCCTTCCCTGTCTCGCGCACTCACGTCCTCTTCCAGCGCCCACAACGTTCTCCTTTCTCCGTCCCGACAATGTCTCGCCCCCCGAACACAGGCCAGCTCTCCAACTCCTTCCACCACCCACCTCTCGCCCGCCCCCGTCCCCCGATCGTCCAGCAACGCCCCCAGCTGCATCCGCCACACACCAACCTATCCCCATTCCGACACAGGCACCGAAGCCCACACCTCCTGAGACCACGTCACCACCACCACCTTTGGCGCCATCAATGCCCTCGCGCAAGGCCCGTGGTCCAGCTCCGCCTCCGCCTCCGCCTCTGGTAGAGACATACAACCAGACCTTCATAACCACCCTTCCCAAGGACGTCCCCACGACACACCTGAACACGGCGCACTGCCGCCCCCTCCTCGACCTCGTCGCCCAGTCCGCGGGTCCTGTCGTCCTCGGTGCCTCGTTCCGATTGTCGAAAGGCGGGGAGCTTCAAGCCCTCGCGCTCAGCTCATCTACTCGCACCTTCCTCGTCAAGTTCGACTCGTCGAAGGGAAGGCCCAACGAACTCGAGGAGGTCTTGGCGCACCCGTCAGTCGTCCTCGCCGACTTCAACGCGCCCCGTGTTGCCCTCGTCCTATGGCGCCGGCTCAGGGTACACGTACGAGCGGTAGACCTGGATGAGGACCCGGCGTCACTCGCAAAAAAAGTCGGGTTCGCGAAGGTGTGGCACAACGGCGTAGATCGCCTGTGGGAGCGCGTGAAGGATAAAGATATCGCATTGCGGGCGTGGTTGACTGCGAAGTGAGTCCTTGTCTCCTCTTTGCGGGTGATCAGCGCTCTGAACGTGGACGGTGTCGACGTCTGTCCCTGCTAGTATCGTCTCCACGGCGAAAGGGGCGCGGCTCGTCGCGCAAGAGGCCAAGGTAGACACACGGAAGCTCCAGGTCAACCAGCTCGAATGCCTTGCGCGCCTCGTCACCAACGTCGAGCTCCTCGACATGGAAAAGCCGACTAGGTCCGAGAACGAGTTTGGCGCCGTGAAACATGGAAAGGGCGATGAGGGAATTTTGCTGTCCAATTCGCGATACAAGTCGCGCGTTCGCCGGAGCAAAAAGGCGAGTGGTTGTCCCCTAGTTCCTCTTGTCGCGCATGTTTAACGGGGTTAAAAACAGACGATCGTAGAAGTAAACGGGAAGTTCCACTTCCGGGCGGTGGGGACGAACGGGAAGACGACATCTCTCGTGCCGTTGGGTAAAAACGCGCTCCAGGGCGCAGTGAAGTCGGTATGCGTAAGAGGCCGCGAAGAAGCGACGAACGAAGAAACGTGCATGGACGCATACGTTCTCGCGCTGCTGGAAGGCGAAGCAGACCTCCTCTTGTCACAATTTGTCAAGAGTATATGGTTTCCCCAGACGGGTAATTTCAGGTCAAAACCGTCTTCGAAGGCGAGGAGAGAGCAGCGAGAGGCGATGATGGTGTACCCAGCCCAGTTCGCAAAGCTCAACCCCTCGCAAAGGGAAGTGGCCGCTGCAATGGTAGGAGATGCGCAGAAGCTCGTTGTTGCTCATGGTGCGTGCTTCTGAGTATCCGCGCGGAGAGGGGCTCAAATGAAGCCTCTTCAGGTCCCCCGGGCACCGGAAAGACCACAACGATCGCGGCCGCCCTTACGTACTGGGAGAAAAACCGATCGTCGGCGTGGGTGATCGCGCATTCGAACGTTGGTGTGAAGAACATTGCCGAGACACTGTGCAGGCGTGGGGTTGACTTCAAGCTCATCGTTTCGCACGAGTTCCACTTCGACTGGTACGTCTCATAAACTCACTCAAGCATCGCTCATCTCCGATGCCGAGCGAACGCAGGCACGAACATTTATATCTTCGCCTCTCTAAACATTTCATCGAGTCTAACAAATTATTCAACGACAAGGACAACGTGCGACTGCTCATTGGTGATACGAAGATTTTACTCTGCACGGTCTCGATGCTGTCTAATCCATTCATGGACTCATTTGGAGTCTTCAAGCACGTCTCGGTGCAGCGCTTGATTGTGGATGAAGCGTCACAGATTGATGCATTTCAATTCATGGTATATATATCTTCTTTTTGACTTAGCGCAGGATCTGCCGATCATAAACGTTCATACAGCATTTGTTCCATAAGTTCAAGGCACTCGAGAAAGTATGCTTGTTCGGTGACCCGAAGCAATGTAAGCGGACTTCTCTCTGTGAATGTAGTGTTTACAATCCACTAATGCTGCTCAGTGCCGCCCTTCGGGAAGGATACCGCTCCGGAGATGCAGACTATATTTGACTTTGAACACCTTCAACTTGGGTCTTATTTCCTCGACACGCAATGTAAGTCGGACTCTCTTTCAGTCGCGCCTTCGTGCACTCAATTAGAGGCTGCAAGACCGAATGCCCATCCAGCTCGGGCGTTTCATCTCGAAGCACGTGTACGATGCAAAGCTGAAGTCGGTGCACGGAATTCTCACTCGCAACTGCGTCCGGTTTGTCGACGTTCGCATCGGTCGGGAGGAGCGCGTGGGGTCCAGCTGGAAGGTGTGTATACATCCACGTGCGTCTCTTGTGTCGGCTGACCGTGGCCACGTAAAGAACAAGGATGAAGTGCAGGTCGTGGTTCGCATCGCGGGCGCGTACAAAGCCGCTGGAAAAAGCTTCTGCGTAATCACTCCCTACGACCCGCAACGCAAGGCGATCACGGATGCGCTCAAGGCCGCGGCGCTCCCGTGTGAGGACGTGTACAACGTCGATAGTTATCAGGGTACGTCTCGCTGTCGTGGATACACCCACTGCCACTAAGCCTGTTTGATTACTGTGTAGGACATGAGTCAGACCATATCATCATCTCTGTCGTGCGCACGGCGAAGCCCGGATTTCTGAGCTTTCAAAATCGCATGAACGTGATGCTCACGCGATGCAAGGTCGGTATGGTGCTTGTGACCAACCGAGCGTTCCTCGAGGGCAAGGGTAGGGAGACGTTGTTGTGAAAGCTGGCCAGCCACTGGGTCGCTGAGAATGGGAAAGGCATAGGGGGTGAACCGAAGGCGTGGTCGGACGTGGGGGATGTGGTCAATGCGCGAGTGAGCTTTCCGGGGCTGTAGAACTGGATTCGCTGGTTCTTGGATGGGCTGTCGAGAATGTATATATTTCCGAGCTAAGAAACCCGGTATCCAACATTCGCAGATCCGTTGGGGGAAACGTCGAGACCTTGCACATTGGCTGAGGTTGGATGGTGCCTTGGTCGGCGGCTGGAGACGGACCGGTTAGCGCCTGTAATTGTCGCTCAGCCCAGACCATTGACACACGCCCGTCGCCGGCATGCTCTTTGTGTATACAACCGCTCTCAGAACACGGGTCGCATGACTGCCCTGTTGCACTGTTACACACAGGGGCGACTGCTGCATACTGCTGTCGTCATCGTGTCCGGCTTGGCAGCGCTGCATTGCTCGCGTCTCCTCGACTCACCTGAATTGTATCATTCGAAGTTCCCGCGAAAATGGCCAAAACTGTGCAACATGGGATAGAGAGATTGAAGGAGTATAAGAGGAGATGGATGCAGAAGTGGAGGAGCAGGTACGCTTTCAGGCATTCATATCTCCAGCGTGCAGCAATAAATCTGATGGTCGATGCTAGTTCCCCCACCGCTCCCAAATGCTCGCCAACCGAGACCGCACCAAGCACATGGCCATTGGTCGACGGAATACCGCCCTCTGATCTCAATCAACTCGCCGGGCTACCCGCCAACGAGGCTCAAGCGTGGGCGCACAGTCGCATCGACGAGTACCGTCAGCTTGTCGACATCCTCATCACATTCCATAACGCCATGGCTCTCATCCACCGCACCCTCCCTACCGAGCTTCTTGCCGAAATATTCATCCAACGTGTGCTCGCTGACCACCCAAACGCGCTTGTCGTTGCTCACGTCTGCCGCAAATGGCGGGCAGTCGCGCTCGACACCCCGTGCTTATGGGCCGCCATCGCTGGGTCCTCCATCGGGCCCCTATCCAACCTCGGCTTATACCTGGACAAGAACCTCGAAGCGCGGCACGCCAGTCGTCTCGCGTACACCACCTCTGTTCTCCACTGGTCTCAGGCCGCTCCGCTACATCTCACCCTGCGTCATGGCTTCCCCAGTGCGCCCATAAGCTCCGCCTTAGGACCGCACTCCAGCCGAATCGTCAACCTCTCTGTCACCATTAGCAACGTTGAGAGCATAGTTGTGCTGTGCGGCTTCCTCAGAGCCTACAGCGTGTCAAGTCTCGAGACGTTGGGTATAACACCGCCGGATCCCCTCGAGTTTCTCTACGACCACTACCCAGCTGATGCCATGTTCCACGCGCTCGGGCGGGTTCATTTTCCTGCCCTGCACACCTTGCTCCCCGTCCCTCTCGACCTCTTCCCGTACCTAACCCGCCCCACCCTGTTCCAAGTATGTCTTAAAAAACCGCTATTCAAGGTACCGGTTATGGTCGACGTTGGCTCAGGAGATCGGGGCAACTTACGCCTGGTGGCGGCATTGGAAAAGTGCCCAAAACTCCAGACGCTTATCTTGACGCTGCCAGTACCCCTTTGGGAAATGCAAGATCCAATCCGTCCGCAGGCGGACTGGGACGAAGACTGGAAGACTGGAAGAAAGGCCTCCCTCCCGTGCTTGCGGATGGTGCGGCTATGCGCCGGGACAACAGTTTGCATCGCATTCTTGAGGTTGCTGTCAACCGGGACTTCGCCCGTCATGCGCTTCTTGTCCTTTCCATACGCCGTCCCCCGGACAGGTAGCGCGTGGTACGACCTTTTCAAGGACCTGGAGATAGAACAAGGTATCCCTCGGCCGCTCTCCACGTGCGTGCTCACCGTATCAACATGTACGGATCCAAACAAACCTCCCACCCTGAGGTTCTCGCTGGGGTCGGAGCTCCAAGTTGACTTTGAGTTCTTCTCGGTCGCGTTCGCAGCGCCCGCCGGCGAAGAGCGCTCGCCCCTCAACTGTCTTCGGCCAGTGTTCTCCAATATTTGTGCCCTCGGCACCCCAGCGCAGCTCGTCCTGTACCTCGGCCACGAAAAGTGCTTCTCCGCCGTCAGACAGGCCGCCGCCATTCTCCACGACTTTCCGACCATCATGAAGCTCGCTATACAAGGACCCTGGTCCGACGACCTCTTGCAGGCCCTCGGGGACTCGTCGTGCTGTACCGAGCTGCACGAGCTGTCGGTCGCTTTCCCGATCGTTTCGCAGCAAGGGCAGCAGGGGCACGCGCTTTGGCGGGCGCTGACGATGCGTCCCGACGGCTGGGAGGACGAGACATGGGGGGCGCTGGCGGTGCACCGCGAGGTGCTTCAAGACGCTCTCAGGCGGCGCGCGACGTGCGGCCTGCGTCTGGGCGTGCTGAACTGGGGCGCGATGGTGTGGAACGGGATGGCAGGTAGGTTTGGATGGGAGGAGCCTGACGGGCGGTCAAGCATCAGTAACCTCCACCCGGACAAAGTGGGCATGGTGAATGACGAGAATCTATTGGGGCTTGTCGATGGACCGATCGGCAGGTTCCATCTTAGGTATTAGAGGGTGCCGGGGAACGTTGGCGGTAGGAAATGTGGATGGCCTGTGTCGAGGATGATTCACGGGCAGTAAAGCCGGGAGGTCGTTACAGATTTAATCTTCGGCGGGCCCTGGATGTTTCGAATTTCTGTAGCATATTTTGAATGACCGGCTCACAAAGAACGCAAACAACTTATACTTTCATCTCCGTTTTCCATGGATGAGTCGGAGTGAAAAGAGCAGCAGGAACGCAATTGGGATGAGCGACATTGCGATTGCACTCCCCATCCACACGTTAACCCGTGGTTGTGGGCTTTCAGAATCAGCCCAAAGACCCATGAGCACAAGTTGATACCGCAGGTGTCATTACGGCAGATCGGAGTCGTTGCAAGTGACGAAAAATAACGTACACAGTGAACAAACATTACTCGTACTTTTCTCGTGCCCACTCACGCACTCGGCGCCCACTCCGCGATCCAGCCCTTCATGATCTCCACTGCTTGGTCTTGCACCGCCTTCACCTTCGCGCTCGCCGCGCCCTCGCGCACAAGCAGGTCGGAGCAGTGGAACCCGTCCGAGAGCAGGTGCGGCTGTGCGGTGGAGCCGGCGTTGGTCGCACCGTCCGCGGCGACGGTGGCCTCGCGCCACGGGTCGCGCTGACCGTTCGCGAAGATGAGGCGGGAGGTGGTGGTGTTCCACCCGGAGTAGGCGGCGAGGAGGGCACCGGCGTTGGGCGCGGCGACATCGGCTGAGGATCCCCAGGCGCCGGGGAAGCGGTAGCCACATTGACGCTGCGAAGGAGAGGGTCAGGGGTGAGCAGGGGAGGGAGGAAAGAGAAGAGAAGAGCAGACCTCGGTCCAGGCGGGGGTCACGACGCGGGAGGCAATGGTAGGTTGGTTGATGGGGGCGCCGGTGAAGTCAAAACCAAATTGGGTGCATCTGCGGAGGAGCGTCAAGTGACGTGCAAGAGGACTGGGAGGATGGGACGCACGTGAGCCAGTCCCAGGAGCGAGCGGCGTTGGGGGTGTAGTCCTCCGTCCAAAAGATACTTGAGGTGTCGTAAGTACCAAGGCATGTTCTGCGTAGCAGGGTCAGTGTCGGCTTCGGGGTGCTTGAAGGTATAAAACATACTCGTCATCATCGTGTCCACAAACTGTCGGAATCAACAGTCAGCCCAAGGAAGCGCAACAATGAAAAGGACGCACTTTGCGCAAAGTAGGTGTTCACCCAGTATGCTCCCCACGTTGCGAGCGCGTAATCAAGTCCCCATCCTTCCGCTGGCGCACCCACACCATTCTTAACCTCCAGTGCGTCGCAAAACTTGTAGAATGCCTGACCGGGGCCACTGTCCGGCTGGAGACTCTGCCACGAGTACAGAGGCTGTTGCACTACTCACAATGGTCAATACAGGGAAGTGTGGTGTAGGAGAAAGAGACGTACAGGCAGCGGCAAAGTCGTCGTTGTGCGCGAGGCCGTCGAGGCCGAAGGTTTTCTTGAGCGCGAGCACGTCTGCGGAGACATTTGCGGTCAAGACGGTGTCCACATGCGCGATCACGGCGGCGATGTCGGCAGAGCAGTTCGCAGGCATTGACTGTCGGATAGGCTCGAAGTATCCCCAGAAGTTGCTGAGAGTGCACACCTGTCAGTTGAGAATAGGATGGGTAGAGCGGCGGAGAGTACAGACACGATGGGCTGGACGACGGCGGACGACGCGTACGCCGCGTAGAACACATCTGTTGCACTGAGGATGTGACATCAGTGGAATTCCGAACTCAGACTGAGAACCGACTTACTTGGCCATTGTGTAGCTCGTCAGTGCCCCTGCGTAGCTTCCACCCATGAGGACCCACGGTGCGTTGCCCGGTTGAACAGCGTCGCCCCCAGGCATGGGCAGCTGCACATGCTGCGCGAAGTACGCGAGGTCGTTGATTGCTTGCTGCACGGTGTGCACTCGCAGCGACGACACCGAAAGGTCGTCGTATGGGTTGGACGATCCAAAGAATCGGTGCTCAAGTACAATCGTGGAGCCGTTGAGCTCTTGCGCGATCCGCCCGTTCAGGGTCGAGTTTGTGAGGTAGGAGGTGTAGCCTACAACGTCCGAAGATAGCACGGATGCCGAGCGGAGAATGCGGAAGGGCGAGAAAGCGGCCGTAGGGGAGTTGAATATGGCGGAAGAAGAGGAAGTCAGGTCACGGGGCGTCGGAGGATTCGCGGACTTACCGGATGCGTCGACCTCGCCGGGCGTTGAAAGGATGATCGGGCCACCTGGGCAGGGGTCAACATGATTCTTAGTTCTAGCGTCCAGTAGAACGCCAGGGATCGGAGGCAGGCCCGCGGAGTTATCGACGCTAGAACGGCGGACGGACCTGGTTCTGCGATGCAGTGGCGTTTGCCTCGCGCGCACGACCACACATTCGGCGCGACAGAGTCGAGCGGCCGCCGCAACATCGCCAGAACGGCATGCCAAGAGATGAAGTGAATTAAAAGACGCACCTGGCTCGTAGAACTCGTACGTGTGCCAGTACCGTTGCGAGAAAGTGCCGAGGCTCGGGTTCGTGTGGTCAATGAGCTGTTTGAAGTAGTAGGTCTTCGTGTAGGCTGGCAGTTGTGTCCCGTTCCGGCTCACGACTGGCCGTTCGAGGTCCTCGTCTGCCATCTCCAACCTGGGCATCTCCGGGCGCGGGTGCGAAACGACTGGCGATGGGGCCCGCGCGTGTGGCCGCGGAGCAGCGTGCGCGAATAGCGCAAGGGAGAGGACGGAAAGCAGGGGGAGGGTGGACAATGCGGAGGAGAACATGGCTGACGCGAGCCAGGTGAAAGCGGGAGTGAAGGCGGAGACGCGAGGTCATCGCGAAGGAGGACGAGATCGTTTTATATTTGCGCGCACGAGGGGCGAGGTACGCCCGTCTATCTTCCTGGTGCTGCCCTCGCCGTTCGGTATCGCCGGCGGCAAAGCTAGGATGCGGACGTCATGAGCATGCTGCCTGTCCGCATGCACGTAGGGCGGCTATGGGCTGTCCAAAGATACAGGCCGGCGGGAGGTCGGGTGACAGCCTTCACCGTGACGTTTCCGCTGCCCTAGGAGGGGAGGATCAATGCCCGCGTGGTTGCATTCAGGCAGGGGAGTGGTACATCCGCTAGAAACGCCGCGATACCATCCAACGAACTTCAAACGCGAGCGTATCGTCGTTCGTGCCGGGGTCCCGCGTCGAAGATTCCTCCGTCGTCCGCTGCGAAGGTTTGCTCAAGCAAATGCAACATGCGAGTGGGGCCCCGCAGAAGCGCAATGCATGTGGCTCCTCTCCGACGCTCTGCCGAGCCGGCGGAGGAGATGCTGCTAGCGAGGAGTTAGAACTCTTTAGAAGACGCAGTGGATTTGGGCGGCGTTGGGCGCCTTGGTGGAGTACGTACCGTGTGGTCAACGACCGCCCGCGATTTCGGGCAGCGTTCGTCAGGCGGGGGCTCGGTCACGCCGGGGAGAGGAAGTACGAGGTAGGGGCGTCCTAGCAGTGGATGTGCAGCGTCGAGAACGGGGTTCAATCCGACTAGGACGTCTTGAAACGGTGGAGTTGCAGCATGCCAGCATCAGAAGACGGTCTGATCTATGCCCAAAACTCGTCATATTGCCTGAAAACAACAGCATTGAGTGTCCACAATCAATGAGAAGAGCACTAACGATAACACAACTCGAATCGTAGACGTTGAGTTGTGCAAAGATTCACGGCGATCACGCATCTCTGTCAATCACCAAAGCCCCTCGCGGAAATTGTGGCCACAGGACAACCGCAGCAATGACAGCATCTATGCACGCACCCGTTCAAACGCCGGTATCATGGCAGGCATCATGTTATAGAAGCGTTGGAGAGAAATGCAGAGGAACGTATGTCGTCAAAGAGCATATCCTAGATCCTGGATTCTAATAAGAAACTGCCGCACGTAGAGGAACGAGGCACACACCTGAGTACCTCACGATATGTCCATCTCCTCTCCGTGACCCTCATACCATCCACCTCCCCCTCTCGATATCCTCGGAAAACAGAGATCGTTCTCCTCCGCAACCGCCTCAATGTCGTCCTCGTTCCAATCGCTGGTCGCCTCCCATTCGTTGTCAAACTCGACGTCCAACGCCCCCGCGCCCTCCTTCTCCTTCTCTTTGTCTTCTGGGCTCGCATCGTCCGGGGGGAGCGGCAGGAAGCTCGCGAGCGGCGCTGAAGCCGCGGTGGGGGCCCCGACCACCTGCACCCACCTCCGTTCCCGCAGCCGCTTATGCCGCTCCCGGTCCTCCTCCATCCTCCGCTTGATCTCGTGCGGGTCGAGCGCGAGCGCCGAGCCCGGTGCGTTGGGGATCGGGGTCCCGTCCACCGACGCGGCAGAGGCCGCCGCCGCCGCCGCCGCAAGCGCGTCGGCGCGGCGTTCCTCGAATGTCGCGAGGACGGCGTCGAGGGCGGGGGCGGGCACGACGCGTTTTGTGCGCCAGGACTCGAGCACTTTAACCGCGGAGAGGTAGTTGGGCGTGCCTTGTGCGCCTGGAGGGACGACGTAGTCCGCGAGGGTGCGGAGGTCGCGCGCGACGTAGTCGACGTAGGAAGGGGTGTGTGTTGAGCTCGTGCTGGTGCTGGCCGGCAGCTGGCCGGGGACGGGTGGGAGTGGGGGTCGGGAAAGCGCGAGGAGGCATGTCTCGCAGAGGGTATCGAGGAGGTAGAGGATGTTAATTCGCACGTTGAGAGAGCCCTGCATGCGGGGAATCAAAGAGGGATGTACGTGCAAATGAGCGGAACGCACCTTCTGGCATTCCTCCATAATGCAGTCCCAGAGATCTTCTCCGCATGAGGGGAAGTATTTCAAGGCGTAGCCCACTATCTTCTTGATGGACGTCTGGGAGCTGCAGGTCGTTCAGGAGGCCGGGTGCTCGCAGTGAAGATCGGACGTACGCGTCGAGCCGGCGGAGCAGCGTGAGGAACTGCATGCGGACTTCGAAGGGATCCATCTGGCGCGTTTATGCGGCAAGTACGCGGTTTCGAGCGCACTCCGGGTGTCCTGCTTGGCGAAGAGCGGAGCAAATGGGAGGATGGAACGACGAGGAGGGGGCGCTTCAGAGGTAGTCTGTGGACTATAGTCTCCCTATAGTCGCTTTTGATGAGCGACTTGTTACTCTTTAGTTCAGCGCTGAAGTCAGTAAGTAAGCAATCCATGCGCGCTCTGACGCTGGTCTCCCCCCTCCCCTCACTCCCTTCCCTGGTCCTGGTCCTAGCAATGGCGACGACTGAAGAGTGCGTCCCTTCGTCTTGTGCTGCTACTCTGCCTTCATTGACACGACCTTTTGCTCTCGCCGCCTCTCGCAGACCGATGCAAGCTACGCCCGAGCCTGAACATGCGCAAGACTCCCCGATGGCCCTTGCGCCAACGGAGACGGAACCTCAGCCCCCCTCCACGGAGGAGCAGCCGCAGACTGGGCGAAAGCGGCCACGACTCGATATGGCCGTCGCGCCGCGAGAGCGCAAACGCGGCAAGACGATGTTCGGGCTCGTGCTGGGGACGCTGAACAAGGCGAAGAACGAGGACAAGGAGCGGAATGCGAGCGAGGCGGTGCGTCTTTGCCTCTATCTGAGGGTATTGTTTGAGCTGAACAGTTGTATGTTTGTTTTGTCTGTGCTCGCGGTGGTTGGGACGGTGCGGGTACTGTTGCTGGGTGTGGATGCGTGGTGGGACAGGCGAAGAAAAGGCAACTGATCGAGCAAAGGTTACAGTCTAAGCTCCAGAAAGAGACTGACACTGTCAGACGCGCAGAGGAAGCAAAGAAGGACAAGACGAGTGCGAACCGCAAGGAGGAGGAGCTCCAGCTGAGAGACTCCATCGTGCGTGGCTCTGCTGTCATCTCTCCTCTCGTCACCGTGTGCTAATGCGCTGAATACCCTGTATGTAGCATAAACTACGGCGAACACGTTTCCCAGTGCTGGCGAACTTCCTGCTCACGTCAGACGTTGTCCTGGCCAAACCTGACCCGGATGCACCGGCAGCAGCTCGACCGCCACCCCGGTCGCGACCTCCACCTATCTACTACCTACCTGCGAAACTGCTTCCCTCACAAGAGACATTCCTGCTGAAGCGCAAGGAAGAGGTACGTTTTGTGTTATTTCAATTTCGCGGTTCGTCACAGAGCTGACATGTTCACCGGCAGATACAAGCTGCGGCGGAACTGGAATGGTCGGTATTCAAAGAGGAGCGCACGGCGGGCATTGAGGATATCAATCGTTTGCGTGAACGCGTGGCAGAGGAGGAGACACGGCAGAAGGCCAGCAAAGGGGATGATGGCACGCATGAAGACACTGCGATGGCGGTCGAGGATGAAGGCGAAGATAAGAAGCCTTCGGCGGACGACAATCAAAAGCAAAATGGAAACTCGGAGGTGAAGATGGATACGGATGAGGGGATGGCGAAGGAGGAGAAGACGGCGAAGACAGAGGACACGCCTGCTCCAGAAGCTGGAGACGGCGACGACGCGCTCGAGTTCTGAGAGTACTTACTCATGTTCTCCGGTACGTTTCTCCTGTTCTGAGCGAAGTAATTTAGCTCATGATGGTTACTCAGATTGAGAGTTTGGTATGTTGTCTTGTACTGCTCACGTTTGCTGTTAGGCCGTCGCTGCTCGTACCTCGTCTATGCTTAGTAGTCCCTTCATGTACCTAGTGTCCCTATGATGATGATGGTGGTGGTGATATGGGTTCCTGCTGCTTCACCACCTTCGCCCGCTCTCTTCTCTCCCGGTCCTTCTAGTGCGTTGTGCGCAGCCAGCGAAGTGCCAGCCAGGACAGGGTGCTCGGGGTCCGGCGCTGTGCCGTTCATGGCGCAGGCCCTTGGCGCAAGTCCGCCCAGCCGCTCTGCAGTCGGTCTTCACCACACCCACTCCTCTCCACCGCACCGTCCCGCACATCTACGATGCTGTTTATGCTCCCGATTCCGTTGCTCGCCCTCGCCTTTTGCTCCCTCGTCGCGGCTCAGACCTCCACATCCGGGACACACGCCGCTTCCAGTTCATCCGTCTCGGGCACATCGACTGGAACCGCGACATCGGGATCCTCAACAGGATCATCGACAGCCTCCTCTACCTCCTCTGCGAACCTTCCTTCCTTGAGCGGCTTGTCGGAATGTGGTGCGTAGTTCTGAGTCGCTCTGCTGCACACGGCCAAATGTACCCGACTCGCACAGCAAACAATTGCTTCGGACTCGCGGTTTCGAAAGCTGGATGCTCGAGTCTAGCAGACTTGAACTGCTTCTGCTCGAAAACCAAGTACGTCTCTCCCTGCTGTGTTCCCGGCAGACGGTGACGAACTTTTTTTCGCGCCTTTTCTGCCCTTGTTCTCTTCTCTTCTCAACTGTCCTCGTGCTTCACGGCAGCTCGACAAAGTTCACTTCGGAGCTCATCGCCTGCATTGCTGGTACTCAGTGCACGTCGGATCTCGCTGCGGTAGAGAACATCACCGAGCAATTCTGCGCAGTCGCCTCCACGAGCACCTCCCTCACCTTCCCGCCTGCGACGGCCACAACGTTTTCCAATCCATTCTCAACGGCCTCCAACACGTCCTCCACGGTGTCGACCTCCACTGCGCCATCGAATGTGTCATCAACATCGACATCAAGCACGACGAGCACGAGCGCGACGACAACGAACAACGTTGCGCTTGGCTCCAGCTTGACGTCAGGCGCGGGGGTGGTGGCCGCAGCTGTGTTCGGCTTGGGAGGCACGCTGCTCGGTGTCCTCCTCTAATTTCCCTGGCCAGCTGCGTGCGTCGTGTCGGCCTCGGCCGCCTCGAGATCGCGGTCGCCTCGAGAGAGGGACACGGACACGGACACGGACACGGACTTGTCTCGCGTAGTGATGTTACCCCAGGTCGCTCGTAGGTGGAGATGCGGCTCAGGTCGTTGGTGCTGGTGAGCCCTGACGATATATGTACATACCCACCACCATATTCCCACAGTTTATGCATCTCGTGTCTGGAACGGATCCTTGACCTGAGTACAAGACCTTGAAACGAGCGTACCTCTTTGGGCGGAGCAATAGCGGAAAGAGGGGCACGTACAGCAGATGAGATCCGCGCCCTTGCTTGCTTCTACCGTTCACCCACTCGATGACTATTCTCACCAGCTCCCTCGCATCCTGTTCGGCCTCCGACTGCGACAACCGCGAGACTTAGCTTCGCGCCATCATTTTCTCCATGGGGACTCGAGGCCGATTCCATCGTCAGATGATATCCACTCGCTACAAGACGGTCTGGAGACCAGTCACGACACTCCTCGGCCTCCCTCTCGTCCCCCCGGCCACTAGGATAATTAATCCTGCCTATCACACCCTCATGGTCTTCATTCTCCGCCTGGCCAGAAAGGTGCGCATGTGAGTATTGTTCCCCGTCGGCCCCCCGAGGCCCCCCATCGCCCCGCCGCCCCCCGACAACGCCACTTTCTCCCCACTATGCCGTGTCAACCGACCACGCACCCCTAGCGATGCATCGGTCATGAGAACGCTGGGACAGGGAAATCACGGGACTGCTACAGGTGTGTTTCCCGTCGGGGTTCCAGATTCTTCCCACTCATTACGCTTGAAAAGCCCCCTTGGGACACCAAAATCCCCCGTTGAACTCAGCTCTTTGCCATGCCAGCGACGATTGGCGATACACTCTCCCGGCTTTTCAAGCCCGACCGCGCTTCCAAGTCGGGCCCCAAGTCTCCTACCTCCCCTGGGGCACACACGATCAGTGGCCACACTGAGAATGGGTTCGCGCCAGCCAACCTCTCTCTCGGAGAGTTCTCCATCGACGAGTACCAGCCTGTTAAAGTCATTGTCATCGGAGCTGGATTCAGCGGTATCATTGCGGGCATTCGGTGAGTGTTCGTCCGTAACGATGCGTTCCGCCTCTTCACGAACGGTCCCCGCGTTCTTGCGACGTTTATGGTTGTGAAAACGTTCTATGCTGACACCTCTCTTGCAGCTTCCCGCAGAAGATCCCCAATGTACAACTCACGATATACGAAAAGAGTGGGGGCGTGGGCGGAGTATGGCACAACAACAGATATCCGTACGTTCACGTCGTATCCTTCATCGCCCCTCCGCGAATCTAAATCGTCACATGTCTCAGAGGTCTTGCATGCGACATTCCTGCACACTGCGTATGTCCCATCCTTCCATCAAGGACGCATGCTCACATTAAGCCTACAGTACCAGCTTTCGTTCGAAGAAAAGGTTTTGTCGCCTTGGCACATCGCTGTTTCTTCTCTAACAATGCGTCTTCTGTAGCGCGACTGGTCTGCCTTTTACGCGCCGGGGCACGAGATTCGCGAGTACCTCGAGTCCGTGTCAGCCAAGCACAAGCTCGAACGCTACATCCGGCTCAACCACGAAGTTGTTCATGCTCGCTACGATGAACCGACAGCCAAATGGCACGTTCGCGTCTGCCGGGTCAAACCTGACGCCCCGGGAGAGACGGAGGAGATTGAAGACAGCGCGGATGTTCTGTTCACGGCCTTCGGGACACTCAGTCGTTGGCAGATGCCGGATATCCCCGGGTTGAAAGACTTTGAGGGCGAGCTGCACCACTCAGCTGGATTCGACCCTGGCGAGAAGACGTGGCAGGAGGTGGCAGAGCAATGGCGCGATAAACGAGTGGGCGTGGTCGGGGTGGTAAGTGCAGCTGGTGTCTGATGTCTGTGACCGTGTGCTGACACGCCATCTTAGGGGTCCTCTGCACTGCAGCTGGTTCCAGCTCTGCAACCGCGGGTTCAGAAGTTGGTAAATTATGTCCGAGGCAAGACCTGGCTCGCAGTGCCGTTCCAGAGCAGTTCATTCGCGGAGCTGTTAGGCCGCGACGAAATGCATGCGGAGGACTGTGAGTCTGTTCTCAGGTCGTGCAGCTTCGAAGGTGGCATTGACGACCTTGGACTTTTCATAGACAAGTTCACCCCTGAAGAGCTCGCGAGGCTTCGAGACGACCCGGAGTTCTATAAGAGCTTCCGGCAGCGCATTGAGCACGATCTAAATGTACGTATTTTCCGCGTTCACAAAGCCTCACAACCCCACCGCGCCCCTCCAGGGTGCCCACCCGTCAACTCAGCGGGGTTCGCCGATGCAAATCATGGGCAAGGAGCTCTTCCGTGCCAATATGGTGAAGAAGCTGGAGAGCCGGCCGGATATCGCCGAGAAGCGTGAGTTGTAAGATTAGGCCTCATCCGACTCTACTCACACAGTGGTATTCGCAGTCATTCCGGAGTTTCCTGTTGCATGCCGGAGACTCACGCCCGGCCCTGGGTATCTTGAAGCGTTGTGCAAGGAGAACGTAAGTGGCCTGCTCGTCTTTAGAACTCATAGCCTCAATTTTCAGCGCCTCTTCCGCAGGTCGACTTTGTTTCTGAGCGGATCAAAACGTTCACTAAGACTGGCATCGAGACCGCCGACGGCAAGACCCAAGACCTTGACATCGTCTTCCTCGCTACCGGTATGTCAATCGTCTTTTTACCGTCTACAAGCCTCACTCTCGTCACGCAGGCTATGACGTCTCCTTCCACCTTCCATTCCCCGTGCTTGGTCGTGGCGGAAAGTCACTCACCGACCGTTTCACTCCACATCCTGAAGCATACTTATCCGTCGCTGTCGACGGCTTCCCGAACATGTTCATGGCACTTGGGCCGAACTCGGGCGTAGGATCTGGCTCGCTCCTTGCCCTCAGCGAGTTCCAAGTCCTCTACGCGGTGCAGGCGGTCGCCAAGATGCAACGGGAGAGGTTGAAAAGCATTGAGATCAAGACAAAGGCGGTCAAGGACTACGATCGGTATTTGGAGGTTAGTTGTCTGGACTTCCAACCAGGGTGAAGTGTAATGCTGATTGCGTTCACAGAGCTACTTCCCGAAGGCCAGTGGCATTCCGTACGGGTGATGCTGATACTGTGGCTGATTTGCGCCTTGTAGACCGTCTACAGCGAGAAGTGCCGCTCGTGGTACAAGATGGGGAAGGAAGAAGGTCGTGTCGTCGGGCTCTGGCCTGGTACGTCTGCGCGTCTGCGTACCTTAGTCGTCGTCAGCTCACATGCTACCAAAGGGTCTACTTTGCACGCGCTCCGGGCGCTCGAGCATCCGCGCTGGGAGGACTACGATTATGAGTCCAGGGACGAAGGCGAGCATAGCATGTTCTGGCTCGGAGATGGCCAGACGTGGTCTGAGAAGACAATGACGGGAGACCGTGAGTTGCGACGTCGATGTTAATGGTGATGTTGCTGAATGTGCTCATCTGCAGGAGCTTGGTACCTGCAGGAGAAGTATCTCGACAGGCCAGAAGGTCTGCGTCCTATCCCTTGCGATCTAGGCTTGGACTCAGCTAACACGCAACGCCACAGCACCCACCGATTAGACCTAGACCAGGACCTCGCCAGCGTATGCGGTCACTCAGATGATATTGCTACTGCCAGGGTCTGAGAGGAGCATTAACTTAGTGTGAACCCTGTTGTTGTATAAAGAGAACTTGATGGTGGTCTTTGAAGCCTTGTAGCAAACCGAGAAGTGTGCAGAGCGACTACACGTGGTACCGCCGTCCCAGTAGACGCTGTCACTGGCGCTCTCCACTGGACCTGGGCCACGACCTCTCAACGTTCAACCGCCTCCTTCATGAGCCCATCCACACTTCATCTACTCTGAGCCCATCCTCACCTCATACGCCCTTGCGCACGACGATGGCGGCCTTTATGAATGATGGCAGTGATGTCAAATACCTTCGACTTGTCTAGGCAGTGCGCCAGTGAGGTATGGTGCGCACTAACCCTCTTCGATATGTTAGCTGTTGTGGCCGAGTCCGCTCAATGCGCACATGGATCATTTATAGATGCAAGCGGGCAGATTGGATGGCCTTCCCGACTGCGATTATCATGCATCAGGTTCACATCTCTTCTCTATCGCATTCATACGATGTTACACACTCGAACTCCGCCATCGAAGACACACCGCTCCCACGAGCTCAAGCGCAGACTTCTATCGGCCGACGCACCAATGTTCGCTATTTGTAGCACGCCGGTATGGTCACTTCAGCTGCCCTCACTTTCCTGTTTTCCCTCCAGCACATGCGACAGGCTGCTCCCTCCTATGGCCCCGACATTTGGCCATGTTGATTACATCTCTCACTCCAGGCAAGTCTACGCCATTCCGCGACACAGAAGGGGAACATCTGGACAGCTTTGCGAAGGTCGCACGAGAACACGCCAGGAGGCCAGGGAGCCGACGGACTCGCATCATACACCGCCTCGCAGCTGTCCGCCATCCAGCATGCGGACAGACCTGGGTCTGCCCTTCACCGGCGCACGGCGGCCTTTTCATGTCGCAGAGGTTCACCCCTCCCTGCCTGGATAGCGAGTGTGGACGGCAATCTCGGTGGGGTACGTGTTTTCCCTCCCATCCCTTCTGGCTCGCCCGTTGATCTCATTGTTTCCAGTGATGAAGATGACAGATGCTAGACGTGACGGCCGCCCCGATCCACGGTTCATGACCGACGCAGACACCGCCATCACCCTGCGCAGATCGAAGTCTATCATGCCCTCGTCTTTGATGGGCCCGCCGGTCCATATTTCTCGCCCCCGCCCAGGTCCGCCGTTTGATTTCTCCTCACGCCGTGGCCAGCCTCAAGGTCTCGTCGACGCCCGTCCGTTCCGGTCCATCCCCTTTCTCTCCTTTCTTCACCCTCCTTCCTGTGGGCTTGTTTTTTGGGGGGGCGTCGACGATGTTCTACACTTCACGTTCACTTCAAGCTTCTGTTTCTCCGGCTTCATCACTTCGCATGCCTCTTCCCTTCTTTATCCTTATTACCTTCCTTCTTACATCCAGTGCCAACGCCGCACCCACGCCTGCGACATCCGCAACCACCATCTCGATGAAGACTCTTGCTCGCCGAAACTCCAGTATCCCGAAGACCACCATCGTGCTCTCCAGCGTTCTTGGATCCCTCTTCGTCATTCTCATCGCTATCGCCATCCTTTACTATCGCTGCCGCCGATCCAAGGCCTTGCGAGCATCCTCGCGCCATCAATCCGACGTGGGGAAGGATAGCGAGATGGCGGATAGTAAGGACAATTGCGGCGACTCGAAGCGTGGTTTCTCGCTCCCCTTCCTGTTCCGCACCCGACCTGAGCGCGGTCTCGACCCTGTTCAAGTTATCGTCGCGCCCTTTGCCCCTTCCGCGTCTTCCGCGCCCACATCCGCAGCCCCGTCGCCGAGGACGTTCGAGGAGAAACGAGACCCGCTGCCTCCGCCTCCCACCCCGCCGAAGAGCACGCGCTTCAAACACAAGCCACCTTCACTTCCGCTTTCCCCTCCTCCGGCTCTCACACGCGACACCTCTGCACGCAGCAACAAAGAGCTCCCAGCTGGGCCTAGGCGCGAGAGTTACACCGTGCAGCCCAAGAACGGGGACTTCGCTAGCGTGCGTGGGATCGCGCCGAGCCCCGGCACCACGGGAACACACATTTCCACATTCACCTACTCGCTTGCGACGCCCCCACCTGGTAGCCCATTCGAGTTCGATGTGAAGCGGGCGACGCGCATGTCGAGCAAGACGGTCCGCTCCAGCATTGGCTCTTCCGCCGAGACAGGAACGGAGGAGACTGGCAAGAGGCGACTTTCTGAGCGGTGGAGGGCGCTGGGTCTGCAAGGTGCAAGCGGAGGAGCAAAGACGCGTGTATGGTCGGGGAGCATCCGCGCGAGCGCGTCCACAGGCGAGTCGCAATCCAACGTTACCCCCACGTCGCCAGTGATGTCGAGCGGGTCGGCGTACATGACGCCCGAGACAATGAGCCCCAGCCCCGCGAACAGTCCTGCGGCACCCCTCGAGACGCCACTCGCTACGCCCGTGCTGAACGCGCTCTCCATACGTGCACCCCCGGCTGGCCTCTCACAGACGCTCGAACAAGCTTCGATGCACCCGCTCCCCCGGCAAGCGCAGAGCAAGGCTACGAAGCCTCATCCCCCTGCGCTCACACTCTCCCGCCTCCACATCGACGTGACCGCCCCGGACGTCCCGGAGACCAAGTCGTGGTTCAGCCCCGAGTCTGCGTCCATGGCGCATTACCCGCTCCCGAAGCACCTCGCGCCGACTGCTGCCCTCGGTTCTGCACTCCCCATCCCTACCCCCGCTGTTGTATCTGCGGACGCATTGGCCACAACCGGCCCATGGACGACTGCGAACGCTATCCTCGTCGACCGTCGCATGCGTCCCAGTGCAGCGCGCTCCCACCCCCAATTCGCTCCCAACCCGCGCGAGATGGAACGGCGCGCGGCACCTGAAGTGGATCTCGCGACGACCCCCAGCTCGTGGACCGCCTTGGATATCGACGAGAACGAGAGGGACGGCGTCTGGCCGCTCAAGCGCGAGGACTCCCTGGGGACGCTGGGTACGTTCGGGTCCCTGGGCTCTCTGGGCACTGCTGCGTCTACGGGAATGGGCACGGGGTGTGCGTCGACGCTCACCTCGGCGTCGGATGTGGAGGTGGTGAACGCGACCGTGCGCGCGATACAGGCGGTGAAGGCAGCGGAGATTGGGAGGCAGGAGAGTGTGCGAGAGAAGGCGAAGCGCGAGGGCAGGGAGGAGGCGCGGCGGCGGATGAGGCTCCGGGACTCGACGGGCAGTGTGGCGAGTCGGCGGGCCTAGGGCGTGAGCTGCGGCGAGCAGTTTTTTTGATGTTCTGTTCGTTCCCTTCTTCCTTGGTTGTTCAAGCTGAAGCTGTTGTCGAGGTTTAGTTTATTGTTATCGCGCCCGCGTCGATGGGCGCTGCGCGTTTGGTGTTCTTTCTTTCTGCGCCGTCTCGTTTTCGGACGCGTCGTCCATTGACTGTCGTTTACTCGTTTCGTAGCTGTTACCAGTGTCTTTATCAATGTACTGTACTGTGTATCCCCTCTCCGGCGGCTTGGTGCGCAACTGTACTCACTACTCAGCGGCGACATCGCGATCAGCGGGAGCGTCACATGTTCACTCCCTTTGAGAGATCGGATTCGACGTCCCAAATAGTCGAAATGCCTTTTTGTGAGCGAGGAAGGCAAGGAGAGCCGTTATGTGAGTTGGCGAAGGCGTTCCCTGGCGCATCAAAACAGTCACGGATCACTTTCGAGCTCCGTATGTTGCGTAGATGCCTCCAGTGTGCTGGTCGGCTTAAATAAACTTGTGCGGAAGTGGGATCCGGCAAGGAAGCTGTTTGACAACACAATGCACATACTAAGTATATCTGAACGTACTATCACGTATATATCAACGCAACCATGAGGTTTCATCACTGTTAACTGATGAGATGTAAGCTTGCGCGATGTCTGCCGAGTCGTATCCGGCAGCTGGCTGACGAGTGCCATCTCCGACGACAGCAGCACTGCGCCTCTGCCAGCTGCCAGCGAGCATGGTCGAAGACAATGCACAAGTAAGCACTACGGCCTGAAGCGAGTTCTGACGGGCGGCCTTGGCCTCGCCGATCTCCGTTGCAGGGATCTCGGAGGCATAGCAACGGGCCCTCCCTTCTCGGATATCCAACAAGTTCCGCGCAACTGAAATGTGGTTCTGAGCCCTACCGACATCCAAATCTCAAAAACTACAAGACCCAATTCAAGCCAGCCATCATATTCGGATGGAGGCCCGTGTCGTTTACATGTTCCTCTGGGGATGCAATCATGCAAGTAAGCTGAGTATGATTGAAATGGTGTCGCTTTTGCTGCAGCGCGTCGCCGGCGCTAATTCCCATAGAGCGTCGCACCGGATACCCCTTTGAATGCAAGAAGGGCTGCCGAAGGGAGACTATGGATACCTTCGGCTTCGAGACCACCGCACACACCGCGCTCGGTACACTTCGTGACACCCCTGTCCTCGACGACCGACATCACTGCCAACCGTCCGTGACGGCCTTCCTTGCGCTTTACTTCAACCGAGCACACCCCGGCCCACCCCTGCTCCTCCTCCCTCCACCCCGACCACCCCATACACAATATGACGCTATCTCACCTACGCTCGCTCCAGGCGATCATTACCACCTCCATCTTCGAGATTGAGACCGCCTACACCCAGCGCTCCAAAGCGCTCGGCGTTCACCTCGACTTCCCCGACCTTGACACCCCTTTCTACCCGAGCGCGGCCGGTGCGAATCCACAAGCCCAAGAGGAGGCAGAGGCTCTCAGGGTGGACCCGGCCGTCTTCGACGCGACGAACCGGATCGTCGCTGCGTGCGGGCAGATCATGGCAACGGTTCACAAGCCGTTCTTTTCGCTCGTTGATAGTGTGGACCAGGTACGCAGACTTCTTATAGTGAAAGATATAGGAGAGTGCTGAGAAGATCTGTAGTCTGTCACAGTCGCGTATATCCAGTTCCTTGAGACCGCACACATCGTCGACATACTCCGCGAGGCGGGTCCAGGGGGCATGCACGTCAACGATATTGCCAGGACGGTCGTCGAGATTAGGTGTGGATCGATCACAACGGGCGAGGCGGTTCCGGATCTCAGCCCTTCGAAGCTCAGTGAGTCTCTCGCCTGTTCTCCCTTTACGCCTCGGCTGAACGGAGGCACGCTCAGGCCATGTCCTGCGCACACTCGCGACAACTCACTGGCTGCGTGAAGTGTCCCCGGACGTTTTCGCGAACAACCGGCTTTCGTCTATGTTGGACTCAGGCAAAACGCCATCGCAACTTGAAGCTTCGTGAGTAGTCATACGCGTAGCTCGCGTCCATCGATCGCGTGAACACATCTCCAGACCACAGACCAAGTATGACGAAACGGATGGAGTGGCTGCATATGCAGCTCTTGCGTGCGTTTTCCGTGCTTTGATGCCTTTCTGGTGGATCACTGACAAGGTGTACACAGGACGGACGAACTCATGAAGTTCGAGACCGGATTCACAGACTGGTTCCTCGAGACGGGAGGGACTCCTACGCCCGAGCAGCCCCAAACCCCATTCCACTACGCGATGAAGACTGATCTGAACTACTTCGCGTGGCTTGAGACTCCAGGCAATGAGCACAGACTAGCGCGTTTCTCGCACGCGATGAACGGTAAAAGACACTGGGAGGTGACCAAGAACGTCCTCACCGGTGGGTGCCCTACTCTGTGTGCGCGCATGCCCGAATGTCTGACGCGGACGGATGTGCATCACAGGGTTTCCTTGGGAATCTCTCCCGAAAGACTCGGTCGTTGTTGACGTAGGCGGTGGCATCGGATCTGTTTCTGTCATGCTTGCAGAGGCATTCCCCCATCTCCGCTTCGTTGTCGAGGACCGCGCACCTGTTGTTGCTATTGCCCCCCAGGTATGCGTTGTCGATCCTTGCACGTTCTGGCATCTAACTTGCGCTTTGCAGTCGTGGGGCGCGAAGCGTGCAGACCTCTTGACATCCGGACGTGTCAGTTTCCGCGCACAAGATCTCTTCGCGCCGCACGAGCCTCTCAATGTCCCAGGATTGGGGATGGTGGACACTCCCGCGGTATTCATCCTGCGCGCCGTCGCGCACAACTGGCCTGACGCACCGGCGACCGAGTGAGTCTCTCGCTCTTTCACTTCGCTGTCACCCGGGGGCTGACTGGCGCGCAGGATCCTCAGGCAGTGCCGTCGCGGTGCGGGCCCCTCCACCCGGTTGTTATGGATCGACAACATCTTGCCCTGCGCGTGCGATGCGCCTGGTACGCCTGCGGACCCGCGCGGGCGCCTCGCACCCAATGGCTCGCCGCTTCTGCCGAACCTTGGGCGCGCGAGTGCGAACGGCTATCTGCTGGACGGCGCGATGATTGGCATGCTGAACGCGAACGAGCGCACTTATGAGGAGGTCGCCGCGCGGGCGGGCGAGGCGGGATGGCAGGTGAAGGAGGTGAAGCGTGCGAAGGGCTCGCTGTGGTCGTACATTACCTGTGCGCCGGCGTGAGGGTGAGCGTGTGTGCCTATCCAAGAATGTACAGAATACACGGGGCGTTGCTTTCCAACGTCCAGAGGATGCGATGGCGTGGTCGGCACCAGTAGTGCGAGAGAGGATAGTAAGTACTTTATACAGAAATGTCAGATACAAGGTCGCGCCACTGTAGACTTCAAGGAGCGAACCCACTGGCGGCGAAATATACAGTCGGCATTCTGCAGCGACACCTTGACTGTCCCTCGGGTTCCACTTGAATGCACTTATTATGACCGTGCAGTTCCTCAGCACGTCGCGTTCTTGAGCGACGTCGAGCACAAAGTCGACTCGAGCCAACGGGTTACCGTCACATATTACATGCACAGACCTCCGGAACCCCCGGTCCCAGACACCGTGGCGGAAGCGTTCCAGATATTCCACAACGACCCCACATCTCACCCCGAGCATCCTCGGACATCGATACGAGGGCGGTTGAGTCAAAACACCAATTGGGCAATGGCTCCAGGGGCGGACTGTGCTCCGTACCGCGCTGTCCAGTCGCTCGGATTGCCCCCGCTTCTGCGACCGAGGTGGAGAGACGGAACGGGATGACGGAGAAGTACGAGGCGAGCATCCATCTGCCTGCTCGTTGTCGTCGGGCTGGCTCAGGGGCGGAGAGCGGAGGCAACGGAGTCCGGGGTCGGAGTCGGATCAGTGCTTGTCGGGTGATAGCGTTGGGGGCAATTGGATACCAACTACTTATGTACAGAGAAAGCGGGATCGCGCGGGTGGGGAGCGGTCCGGCAGAACAGGGCACGTGGAGACTTGTCCACCGCTGCTTGGGAGGCACCGAGGTTGTTCTGCGCGCGAAGCCGTCCTCCTCACCGCGACCGCCACCATGTCCGACGTTGCTGTCCCGCCCGAGGTGACTGCAGAGATCACCCAGATTCTCTCCAACCTTGTCCTCGGCGACAACCAGATCCGCTCCAGGTGCCTTTCCCTCCCCCGCCGCATCGATCACCTCCGCTGACCACCCGTGCACCCTCAGTGCGGAGCAGGCAGTCGACGACCGCCTCGCGCGCAACCCGGAGCCTTATCTACTCGCCATCGCCCAGTTCGCGACGTCGGCCGACTCCGAGCTCGTGAGTCCGTCTCTCGTCCGTCCCGCTCCCCGCGCTGAGCCGTTCCAAGATGCGCTCCTTCTCGCTCGTCCTCCTCCGTCGCCTCCTCTTCCGTCCCTCCACCGCCCAACGCGTTGCTCTCTACGACCATCTTGGCCCTCAAGCGATCGAGACCTTGCAACGGATTCTTCTCCACTCCCTCCTCCATGAACCCGCCTCTGTCGTCCGGCACAAGACAGTCGATACCGTTACCGATCTGTCCAACAACGCCATGAAGCGCGGCCACCCGTGGCATGCCCTGCGCTCCCAGGTCTATGCGATGGCAGACTCAACAGACGTGCTCACGCGCGAGTCCGCGTTCCGCGTCTTCGCCGGCTGCCCACACTTGGTCATGGATCTCGAAACGGACGCTATTGTCGCCATTCTCCAGAAAGGCTTGCAGGACCCACAGAGCACCGAAGTGCGTATTTTCCGCGTTCCCCCATTTTTCTCGTCATCTTCTGCACCTTCCTGCCGGATATCAAACTCCCGGGTCTTTGTATCAGATACGCCCGCCTCCTTCGGCGCCACCATCCTTCGCAAGCGTCACCTCTCCTCGCGCGCACGCTCTTCTCTGTCAGGCATTATTGCACGCACCAGACTTCGCGAACCCGGTTGCTGCTCGCGCGATCGTAGCGTGGAGCATCACCGGGCGCGTGGGGCGGTTCGTACAGATCGTTCGCGCGCAGGCGTCCCGCTCGTCGTTGCATTCGCCGTCATGAGATCTCGAGCAGCTGCGATGGCGCACCTTCAAGGCCACCGCGTTTCCTCGAGAGAACTTCGACGCGCGATCGTATGATCACGAAGCCGTGACTTTAAGTCTGGTCGTCCAGCCATCCCCGCACCTCTCTCCACTCACATGTTTTGCGCATTTCCTCGTTCTGTACAAAACACCTTCCCACCTTTGACCCTAATTTTGAATGGTTTGGCCACACGGGAAGGGTACTCGTGCCCTTTCTGCTTCGCCGCGCGTTCTGTAACTGCCATTCTGATTTTGTCTTCACGGCGATCCCCATTGTCACATTGTTCCAATGCTCACTCCCCCTCCGCAGGTCCGCCTTGCCTCCCTCCGCGCCGCAGTCTCTTTTCTTTGTGCCTGCGACCCAGGCCAGCAAGCACAAGCGCTCGTCCTCATGTACCCAATGCTCAACACCCTCCCTTCACTACCTCGCGCGCAGCAACCACCGTTCCTCACCGTGCTCACCGAGCTTGCATCCACGAATGCGCAGCTCTTCCGACCGCACATCCCTGCTCTCCTCACCTTTTTGCCGACCCTCCTCATGCCTGTCCTCGATGCCGGTCCAACCCCCACCGTCGCGCGCCCGCACGGCGGCTCGTTCTCGTTCCCGCCTATCGCCCCGGCGTCGAATGGGGACGGCGACGACAAGCCGTCGGGCGAAGAGGACGAGGTGCGAAAGGGCGCTCTTGAATTCATGACCACTCTCAGCGAGGCTAAGCCTGCGATGCTTCGAGGTGTGGAGGAGTGGTCGCGGACCCTCGTTCGCGGGTGCTTGGAGGGCATGGGCGAGATACCCGAAGAAGACACCGATACTTGGCTCGAAGCCGATGTGAGTTGTGTCTGCGTCGCCTCGCGCCATATTCACTGATAGAATTGCAGCCCGCCGAAGATCCAACGGATGTCAATTACCCGCACACGTACGAGCAGGCCCTAGATCGCGTCGCGTGTGCCCTTGGTGGCGCGGCGGTCCTCCCGCCGGCATTTTCGTTCATCCCTGCGATGCTCCTTGGTCACGACTGGCGACTGCGTCATGCAGGGCTCATGGCTATTGCGGCTATCGCAGAGGGCACAAGTAAAATGATGCAGCAGGAGCTTGGGAAGGTCGTCGAGTATGTAGCTTTATTGATGTGTCAGTTACTTGTGCGCTAATGTGTCTCGTGCAGGCTCGTTACGCCGATGTTCGCAGACCCACACCCGAGAGTGCGCTATGCTGCGTGCCAGTGCATGTATGTCTGCCTACGTTGTGGCTATTGAGGTAGAATCTCACCTCTTCCGGTAGCGGGCAGCTTTGCACGGATCTTGAGGTACGCCCTGTATCCTGCATTGCCGATAGAAGGGTGTCCCTGAACTCAATCATACAGGAAGTCGTACAAGAAAAGTTCCACCAGCAAATATTCGCAGCCCTCATTCCCGCGCTCGAGGCCCCTGAACCGCGGTTGGTGCTCACTCCTGTCCATCATTCACACTTCTTTCTGCTTACGTTCTCCTAGAGTTCACGCGCATGCAGCGGCGGCGTTGATCAACTTCTGTGAGGGAGTCGAGCGTGAGACGCTCATCCCGTACCTCGACCCGATCGTTGAGAGGCTGCTTAAACTACTCAACCCGGCGGCGACCGATGCGTCAAAACAACCGAAGCGGTATGTTCAAGAACAGGTCATCACTACGCTTGCCATGGTTGCCGACGCCAGTGAAGCTACCTTTGCTAAAGTGAGTGTTGTATTTCCCTGGTGGTTGGGCATGTCTGAAGTCCCTGCAGCATTACTCGTCGATCATGCCGCTACTGCTTAACGTCATGCAGAATGCCAATGGACCAGAGTATAGGAAGTTACGCGTGAAGGCAATGGAGTGCGCGGGACTGATCGGTAGGGTTTGAACCCTCGTCCGATGCCACGGTTGCTCATTTCGAGGCTTGTAGCAATCGCCGTCGGTCGCGACATTTTCCGTCCAGATTCAAGAACGTTCGTAGAACTGTTGATGCGAATACAGAGTGCGCTCCTCGTGTCTTTCGCGCGCGCGAAAACTTATCGTGCGCTTGTTCCCCAGATAGCCCACAGGATCCAAACGATACCATGCTCAGCCATTTCCTTATCGCGACGTGGGCTAAGGTCTGCCAAGCTCTTGGAGAAGAGTTCGAGCCTTACCTGCCCGTCGTCATGCCACCTCTGCTCCGCGTCGCAGGGTCAAAAGCTGACATATCAATATACGGTGCGCGCACTCCCTCTAATTCTACCGGTTTGTTCCTAAGCCACCCTGTATAGATGACGAAGAAGAGCACGAGGACCGCGATGGCTGGGAGAGCATCTCCCTGGACGGCAGGCAGGTCGGTGTGAAAACATCCGCGCTCGACGACAAGTGTCAGGCGTTCGAGACGCTTCTCATCCATGCGTCGACGCTCAGCGCACGGTTCGGACCGTATGTCGCACAGGTGCTCGAACTCGCGTTACCGGGTCTTCGCTTCTACATCCATGACGGCGTTCAGGAGGCGTGCGCGATGTACGTCCCTGTCGTCTTTATGCTCATGCGTAACTCTGACACGCTTCGCAGGCTTGTCCCGGTGTTGTTCTCATGTGGCAAACATAGCGGCACGCTCTCCCCACAGATGGTCGGCGCGACCTTCACGCAACTGATCAACTGCATCAGCGCCGAATCCGATTCCACCTTCCTCGCCTCCCTGTACAAGTGCTTCCTCGACGCGATGCTTGTGCTGGGCGGCCCCGCCGCACTCGCACCCGAGTACGTGCAGGGCCTTACTGAGGCGACGCAAAGACAGCTCCAAGCGCTCGCTGACAAGCGCAAGGGGCGCGCCACGAAGCCGGTGGTGGAGATCCGCGAGGATCGGGAAAACCTGATGTTTATGGAGGAGATGGAGGATTTCGCGCTTGAGGACATGGGCAAGCTTGTGCGCACATTCGACCCCGCACACAATCTGCTGATTGCGATCTCGAGTGTGCGCGAACTTGGGCTGCATCTGTCTGAGTACGAGGGGGTGGAGGTTGTGGAAGGTAGCTAAGGTCTGTAAAAGGTGCTGATTCAGTCTGTGTAGTGCCGCACCTTGCTTTCAAGGAGTGACATACATTTATATGCTGATAGAAGTAACAGATGTGTAGCAAAATGTGCAAGTTATCACCCTCTAACTGTATAGGCATTTATACAAAAAATTATATAGTAAGAATTACCAAGGGTGTGTTTCAGAGGGAGGAGATCTAGACACTTTATGGTTAAGCTAGCATCAGTAAAATCACTAGGAACTTGAGCCCTTGTGACACTTGTGGACCTTGCCCAAGGTGCTCAAGGGCCGCAAGTTCCCTGATGTGAGTCAGACTCATGGAGCAGCCAATACTTCGATAGAGTTATTTCTTTGTGTAACCAGGCGCGCATCAGTTCACTATTACCAGTAGTAATCGGTAGTAAATCAATTGGTAGCACTA